TACTACAAGCCACCTATTACGACCACTGCTTCTACTACCGCCACCACTGCTACTACCACTGCCACAACTACTAGCAAGCCACCTGTGACGACCACTGCCTCCACCACCGCTACCACTGCTACTACCACTGCTACTACCACTGTCTCAACTACCAGCCAGCCACCAGTAACCACAACCGCTCCTGCAACAACTGCTCCAGCCACCACTGCTCCAGCTACCACTGCTCCAGCTACCACTGCTCCAGCTACCACTGCTCCAGCTACCACTGCTCCAGCAACAACTGCTCCAGCCACAACTGCTCCAGCTACAACTGCTCCACCTACCACTGCTCCAGCCACCACTGCTCCACCTACCACTGCTCCACCTACCACTGCCACAACGATCACTGGTCCAGGACCAACGATCACTCAGACAACTTCGGCCACCACCGCAACTGGTCCTGTAGCCACAACCGCTATGCCAACGTCCACTCAGACTACCACATCTCCAGCTACCACAGGTCCAGCCACTACATCTCCAACTAGCTCTGGTCAAGTCACAAATGCCAGCATTTCATCGTCCACTGCTCCAGCTACTACTTTAACGACACCAGCCCAGACAACTGCGGTGCCAACTACCTCAACCATAGTAACAACCACGATGACCACCTTGGCAACAACAACTGCTTCTACAACTGCCATTCCAACTTCCACTATTACAGCCACTACAACGATGAGCACCACTGTTTCCACCACAGCCTCTACTACCTCCTCTCCAACATCCTCCCCACCAAATAGTCCGACACTACCACCTTTACCAAGTGTCCCAAAGTATCAATTTGCTCTCTTGACCTTCATTGATACGAACAAAGTATGTACATCTCAAGCTAATATTCTTACATCTTTCATCACATACTCACACTCAATCAATCAATCAACAGAATGGTGTGAACGACCCCGGAGAGCCACGATTGGGAGGTCTTAATGGTGCATTGTATAGAAAGGCAGAGTTCCTCCCACTCAAAAAGAGATCGATAACCAATGGTATTTCAAAGGCTGTAGTTGCTGGACCCTTTGAGTCTTTCATCTTCGATGCTACCAAGACCTACTTGTCTCCACTTTTGCTCGAGGGCGAGTACTGTGTACTTCTGAAGGACCCAATGAACAACTTTAAGATCGGACCCAAGGGTACATCTTCCCAATTTGAGGAGGATGGTCACTTATGCTTCATGCTCAACGATACGACCACCAACGATAAGTTCCAGTTGTCGATTCATGGAGGCTGCATACCTGTGGACGAGGCCCACCCTGTTACCTTCACCATCCACGGCTACTCTTGGATCGACACCGACTCAAATGGCGAGAACAACCCTGGAGAGCAATTATTGGGTGGCATGGAAGTAGAGTTGACTGACATATTCGGAAAAGTGGTGGGAACGGCCTCCACAGATGAAACAAAGATGCTTGAGGGCTTCCTATTCCCCTCTCTAACACCCAACGGCTACTGTCTCAAGATCACCGATCCCAAGGGCGTATACTCCACAAGCCCCTTAGGCAAATCACACAAATTCAACTCCACCGACCAGTACTGTTTCTCATTGGACGCCACCACTGTTGATGCCTTCGGAAAGTTGCTGGTTCCAATTGGTAAGACAAACAACGCTCCATCATCAACATCCAGCATTGCATCAACGACTGTTCCAGTCTCCACAGCTCCAGCTACCACTGCTCCTGTCTCAACTGTCACAGCATCAATCGCACAGACTATTGCCGCGACAGGCATCACAACATCACAGCCCACTTCAATCGCGAGTACCATCGTTACCTCAACTGGAATCACCATCGCCACCGCCACCACTGCTACCACTGCCACGACAACCACACCAACTCCGGCTACAGCTTCTACCATCATCGCTACAGTTAGTGCTGCCACTACCTCAACACCATTGACAACCTCAAGCGCTGGAACAGTCACCGGAATCACCACTTCGCAGCCAACTACCATTGCTGCTACAGTGGCGACCACTGCTGTGACCACCTCGCTCCCAACATCGGCAACAGCATCAATTGCCCAGACTGTGGCCGCGACAGGCATCACTACAACTGTTCCAGCAACCACTGCTCCAGCCACCACTGCTCCAGCCACCACTGCTCCAGCCACCACTGCTCCAGCTACAACTGCTCCAGCCACCACTGCTCCAGCAACAACTGCTCCAGCTACCACTGCTCCAGCAACCACTGCTCCAGCCACCACTGCTCCAGCCACAACTGCTCCAGCAACAACTGCTCCAGCTACAACTGCTCCAGCTACAACTGCTCCAGCTACCACTGCTCCAGCTACAACTGCTCCAGCTACAACTGCTCCAGCAACAACTGCTCCAGCTACAACTGCAACAACTGCTCCAGCTACAACTGCTCCAGCTACCACTGCTCCAGCTACAACTGCTCCAGCTACAACTGCCACAACTGCTCCAGCTACCACTGCTCCAGCAACAACTGCTCCAGCTACAACTGCAACAACTGCTCCAGCCACAACTGCTCCAGCAACAACTGCCACAACTGCTCCAGCAACAACTGCTCCAGCCACCACTGCTCCAGCAACAACTGCTCCAGCAACAACTTCTCCAGCTACCACTGCTCCAGCTACCACTGCTCCAGCAACAACTGCTCCAGCCACAACTGCTCCAGCCACCACTGCTCCAGCTACCACTGCTCCAGTCACAACTGCTCCAGCCACAACTGCCACAACTGCTCCAGCCACCACTGCTCCAGCTACAACTGCTCCAGCTACAACTGCTCCAGCCACAACTGCTCCAGCTACAACTGCTTCAGCAACAACTGCTCCAGCTACAACTGCCACAACTGCTCCAGCTACAACTGCTTCGGCAACAACTGCTCCAGCTACCACTGCTCCAGCTACAACTGCCACAACTGCTCCAGCTACAACAGCTCCAGCTACCACTGCTCCAGCCACCACTGCTCCAGCCACAACTGCTCCAGCTACCACTGCTCCAGCAACAACTGCTCCAGCCACAACTGCTCCAGCCACAACTGCTCCAGCTACCACTGCTCCAGCCACAACTGCTCCAGCAACAACTGGTCCAGCAACCACTGCTCCAGCAACAACTGCTACCACCACCGCCACCCCAGCCACTACCTCAACTACTATCCCATTGCCAAGATTCAATGTTGAGGTCTTCATCGACCGCAACCATAATGGTGCCAAGGACGCTGGTGAACAGCCCGCTTCGGACTTTATTGGCAACATCACCATGAAGGATGGCACCCTCGTTCAATCAATCGATTTGAAGAATATCGATGGATCATGGAGCACCAGCCTAGCGCCTGGCGACTACTGTGTGACACTCGAGCATTCGACCAATGTCGGGAAGACTGGACCAGTTGGCGATGACAACAAGTTCGTGAATGGCAAATACTGCTTCACTCAAGGAGCCGCTGGTACCGATATCAAGTATGGTGTCATTGGCAAGGCAAAGGTGGAGGTTGAGATCTTCATTGACCGCAACCATAATGGTGCCAAGGATGCTGGTGAGCTACCCGCCTGGGGCTTTGTCGGCAACATTACAAAGAATGATGGTACCCTCGTTCAAACGATAGATTTGACCAGCAACACTGGCATTTGGAGCACCAACCTCGAACCAGGTGACTACTGCATGACCCTCGATCATAACCTCAACGAATGGCAAAGCGGACCAGTTGGCACTGACAACAAGTTCGACGATCACAAGTACTGCTTCACCCACASTTTKTCCGATACCAAGATCWKGTATGGYRTCGTTGKCRAGGCCAAGGTCGAGGTTGAGATCTTCTTCGATACAAACAAGAATGGTGCCAAGGATGCTGGWGAGCWACCMGCCTGGGAYTTTGTYGGCAACATAACAAAGAAGGATGGTACCCTCGTTCAAACGATCGATTTGACCAGCAACACTGGAATTTGGAGCACCAACMTTGAGCAAGGCGACTACTGCATGACCCTMGCTCATACCTTCAATGGATGGATTTCCGGGCCAGTTGGCACTGACAACAAGTTCGTAGATAACAAGTACTGCTTCACTCACAGTTTTTCCGATACCAAGATCTGGTATGGTATCGTTGGCAAGGCCAAGGTCGAGGTTGAGATCTTCWTMGATWCAAACAAKAATGGTGCCAAGGATKCTGGTGAGMAACCMGCCTGGSAYTTTGTYGGCAAYATMACMAAGAAGGATGGTACCCTCGTTCAAACGATCGATTTGACCAGCAACACTGGAATTTGGAGCACCAACCTCGAACCAGGYGACTACTGCATGACCCTCGCTCATACCTTCAATGGGTGGCATACCGGACCAGTTGGCACTGACAACAAGTTCGTCGATAACAAGTACTGCTTCACTCACAGTTTTTCCGATACCAAGATCTGGTATGGTACTGTGTAAGGCTCCCCCTTTGATTGAGTAAAACTGCCTAATACTTTGGGAGAAAGCCCATTAATTATCATTGTACTGTTTCCTCACAGTTTGCCCAGCCCAAGCCAAGAGAAAAAGGTGTCGGGATCATTTGGGATAATCAATTGATGAAGTAATAATTGAGGATCATTGATGGCAATCATTATTGGTACTATTTATTGTTTGGATAGATTGATTGATTGTTTGATGGTTTGCTTGATTTTTCGATCGATGGTAGAGATAGCCGATGTTGCTCAAGGTTCCCATTCTTCGAGATCCATTTCCTCCTCCTGGGTAGAATCATAATATACTACTGCCATCAACTATTTGATGGCCATCCCATTTTAAACCATACATACATCATCATATATTTATTGCAGACTCTGTTATGTTCTTTGTTGTGCCAATAACACCTTCTGAGGTCTCAAGTGGTAATGGATCTGACAATGATGAAGTATGATGTATCTGGAACAATGTTATATTGTTTGCATCCCATTTGCGTCCCATAAAGTTGTAGATTATTGTCCACATGTATGGGGTGATGAACTCATAGCTGTCGCTGACCTCTTCGTATTGGAAACGAAGAATGCCCTCCGGATTGGATGGCGGTATCAACATCTGCTTGGACTTTGTCTCGAGGAATGATAGTATTCTCTCTGTAGACCAGTCCTCAGTTGTCTTTTCAGCCGCTAGTTCATTTGTGAAGAATGATAATATCTGTACACCAGTGGTTAGTTTGATTGATTGATTGATGGGTTCATTGATTGATGACATACATTAAGTATATTGGTCGAGATGTCTGATAACATCTCATCGTTGGTTGCCACCAAGTCGGACAAGTACTCGCTGTGATGGAGTAGTGAATAGATCAAGTGAAGATTGGAGGTGGCTCGGTAAGTCAATGTGTTGTTGACAATCTGTAATATTGTATGTAGGAAGTCAAAGTGTGTCTGTAGTTCTCCAGAGTTGATGTCTGTGATTGATATCTCCAACTGACTATTATTATTGTTGTGGTTGTCTCCATTATCACCAGCTGCTGAATACATCTGAGGTGATGATGATAATACCTTCTTACTGTTTGAGTGATTTGGTTAGCCATGGTGATCCATGTGTCCTGGCCTACAACTTACAGCTTAATGAATCGATGAGTTAGTACTTCCAACAACTTTACCAGTCTGGTGGCAGGGTATGGATGTATTTGTGCAATGTTTGATGAGAGGTTGGCAAGTATCGCTAGACAGTTCATATGTAGGTTGACATCCCTCAGCTTTGAAAGATTGAACAATATGGATTTGATCAGTACAACCATCAACAATCCTCCCAATGATATATCCTTTAACAATCTTTCCTTATACCAGAGTACTTGATGAATGACCTAAACATTGTATTGATTGATTAGGATGGTTTCATAATGCAACTGACTGAATGACATACCAATGAATGAACATTTGCATTGAATAAGGTGTCCTGTGAAAGGATAAGTATTATAATAAGGATCATATACACTTGTTGAGGCTTCTCCTCGAATGAACTATATAGAACTTGTAACAATGGTAGTACCTAAAGAATGATTGAATGAATGAGTGGGTTGAGCACGATGGATGGATGGACTGGGAATGAACAATACATACCAGTGAGTCTATATCAGTTCTGGATTGAACATATCTAAAGAAGTTGGGATTATCCAACAATAAATAATAGAGTAGTAGGAGGTTCTTATCGGATGATGGTGAGATTATTATGCGCTCATAAAGTGTCGACATTGAAATGGCAATTATAAATCGGTTGTTGTTAGGTGATGACGATCCAGATGTGTCTAGGTCTACGACTATTTGGAATGATGATGTGTCAGTGTTGAGGAGTGAGTGATGATCATACTGGAAAATCGTGTATCTTACATAATGTATCTTGGATTGAGTTCGTAAGCCTTCTGAATGGATTGCCATTTGGTGGATTGTGATATTGAGTGATGGCCAGGAGTGTCAAGAGGGAGAGGTCCGACAGTGGACCTGACCTTGATGTACCGTCTCCAGGCGGGAAGAAGTATCGATATGCGCTCCAAGGTATGAGTAACAGGTAAGCTTATGATAGGGATGGAGGGAGGAAGGCAGGTGAGTGATCGAGCAAGAGAGATTGATTGAATGATTGATAGGTACATGCAGCATTGCCAATTGAGTTCAATAGACCATTGGAAGCATTTGGTCTTGGCTTGTCGGTTGTGATGTTGACATAGAGTTGTTTGATGAATATATATATATCGTTTTCAGGTATCAGCTTGTCAGTGTACATCCTCATCAGTAATGTCAAGAATACATTGCTTTCAATCCTTTGTTTGTCGTCATCATCATCATCATCATCATCTCGCAACATCATTGTTGTAGTTGTTATTGGTCTATACATCTCTGTCGAGAACAATGTCAACATATAATTATAAAGCATCAGATGTAGATCATATGTTAAGTCCCTGAATGATTGATTGAAGGTCAGTCATCGATCAAATGCAGTGTCATGTGATCATAACATAACGTACGTTGATTCATGAGAGAGGAATCGAATGAGTGAGGTCAATAGATCGATTGGTAGTTGTTTGAAGCTGTTGTCAAGGGCACAGAACTGTTGATGTAGACTTAGTCTTGACATGTTCTCAATAAAGTATTGTGTGAATGATTGAAGTAATATAGTATAGTTGATAAGGTATTGTATCTGATTATATGCATGTAGTTGTTGAGCGTTGATTGCTGGGTCAACTGATTGTGTGTGATCTACTGTCGTCGCCAACATCGTTGTCTCTTTAAACTCATTGAGCTTTGTAATAAAGTGACCTAATATCCTATTGAAGTTCTTTGATTCAAGGTTGTTGATGGCTATCATCTTGGTCAGTCAGTGATGCTATGAATGACAGTGTACTTGAACATACCTAACTGCTTGGACAGACCGTGGAGGAGTTGTGAGAGATAGGTGTGATTGGAACTCTCTGAGAAGTTGAGATTGGAGAGTAATGTCTCCATGAACTTGTCAATCTCTCGAGGCATTGGTTGTTTAGATATCAATGCTCTGAGTTCATCATTCATCCTATTGCTCAATCCAACCATGCTTGCGAATGAGTAGTCCAATGAATCAAGTGACGTCGTCGTCGTTGACAAAGTAGATGTAGTAGTAGTTGAGGTCGAGGTAGACTCGGGTGTTGATGTCGAGTTACCCATCTCTCTCTATCTCTCTCTGTATCTCTATCTCTTATCTGTAACACTTATTCATTCATTCAACAACTTAATCGGGTGTGGTGGGTCACATGACTCTTTGTTGACTTCTTGCAGTTAGTGCGTGGGGGAAGTTCAACTTGAAACGATTCGTTTGGATGGATTGATTGATTGAATGAATGATCGGTTTATTATTATAACTACCCACTTGATGGCATTGTATCTGTATTGTTGATATCGACATTATTATTATTGTTGTTGTTGTTGTTGTTGTTGTTGTTGTTGTTGTTGTTCGATGATGATGTTGGTTGAGTGGCTCCTGTCGATGATGTACTGCTACCACTTGATGGTTGTACACTGGCTGATGGTGACGATGATGTACTGCTGGACTTCTTGAGTTGGATAGATGTGTTGCCACCAGCTGCAGTGAATGGTAACTGATGATAGGAGAAGATAAGTGTTGTGGCTGGCAGTATCTCTGTCAATACTAAGAGAATGAAACTGAATAGGATGTTGGAAGGACGTGCCGCCACCAAGATAATGATGAATATACAGTGCAACAAGAAACTGATGGCAAAGATCAGTGCCATTGCCATGGTCTTGTGCTTGAGATGTCGCGTGTTTGTCGTCTTGGAGTCCAGCTGTGACAACTTGCGATAGACCTTGCTGCCATAGTAAATGAATCCAAAGCCAATGACCACAGAGAGAACACATTGCACCACGGCATAAAGTATCGAGACGGCAGACTGTGCACGACTGTTGGTCGTCCTGCCAATGATCCTGCCGCCACATGTCTGTGGGTCTTCAGGTCCGGTGTAGTTGAACACCAACACGATCACGATGAATAGGATGTAGAGCACGGCATTGACCGAGATCACCAGACGATTGATCAATTTCTGGAGATTGGTCATCACACGCATGTTGATGTTTGCCAAGATATACCAAATGACCAACACAATTGTAAAGGCTGTAAAGTACAAGAATGTTGGCAACACGACCAGAATATACTGTCCAACCGTGTTAATATCATCCTCTCCTTCTCCACTTGTTGGAAGTTGAGAGAAGTATATTCCACGTGCTAATGATTGTTTGATTGATTAGTGAATGCGCAGGGATGGTTCCAGGTAACCCAAGGACAACTTACAAACAGTGAAGAGGAATAGGAATAGGAAAAGGACATGGACAATGCGGAATGGTTCGGACTTGAGTATACGTAGGAATACAAAGAAGGCAAGTTGGACGAGACAGATGAGTGCGAGAAGGAGGAATATGGCGGCTAGGATGTAGACTAACACTTTTCCAGAGTCGGTGAGTAGACGGAACTTCTCTTTGCGCCATTGTGCAATACGTGAGATGAGTAGGTAGCCACTTGGTGTTCTGACATTGGGGTCCGAGGGGAATGGATTGATCTCACAACAATATGATCCGTTGATCACTGACACTGTGCACTCGAGTGGGGTCACGGCGCCATTGGAATCATTGCCATAGACGGCGGCAAAGTCAATGATTGGATACCTAGACTCAATGGTTTGATTGAGACATAGTAGCAGACTGAGTGTGTTTCGATCGTTGGAGTGTAGTGACGCGCCATTGGCAAGCACCTGTCCAATGGTGCCCTGCTGCTCGTTGAAGATGGCGTAGTCGCCGGGGTGGATCACCGCGATAAAGTCCGACGAGAGTGTCTGCACCTGCTTGCCCAGGTAGGTCTGAGCAAAGATCATGCTCACACCAATGTTGCTGCATGTGTTGTTGACCACTGATGACTCGGTGAATGTGATCGTGCCTCCATTGATTGTTGTGGTGCTGTTCTGTTTGGCGCAAATCCTGATCACAGTGGCCAAGGGTGCGTCGAGGCGACTGGAGAAACAGTCCTCTCCGCGCTCAGTTCCACAGGAGCAGGCAAACATGCTGAGTGGGGACTTGATGTTGGCCACGCTACACATGAGCTCCGATCTGAACTTTTGAGTCATGTCCAGGTAGGCGAACGCAGAGAAGGAGGAGAAGACACGTGAGTAGTCGATGGTCTTGTTCCAGATTGTCAGCGCTTGAACCTTGGTGTCGACGGGCATCCATTGGAGCTTGACAGGCGCAGAGTCAATCCATTGGGCTGGCTTCCATTGGAATGGGCTGATCCACATCTCGCCAGCAGCTTGACATGATGACTGCGTCTTGTTGTTGAATCGCTTGGTGAAAGGCAGTACGGATGTGTCAGACTGATCGTTGCCCATGCATCGGTTGGCGTAGCCCTCACATTGTCCCTTTGTCAGCGACTGATTCCAAACGACTCCTCCATCATTCAAACAAACGGCAGGATCAATGTGTGAGATGTTGAGGGAGAAGCAGCCCATGGGCGAGTCCTGCTCCATGCCATAGACGCACTGGGGATAGGAGTTCTGTGGGTTCTCTGGCATCGACCATGGGAACAAACACTTGGGTGCATTCGTGGGATAGTTGCCGAGCTTGAAATTGAAGTAGAACTCGTCGGAGCACGTGCCACGCTTGGCTGGCTGCTGGCATTGTGCCTGGTTGCAAGGTGCGTCGACTAGTGAGCAGGCGCAGAATGGTTCCAATGCGCCACATGTTGTACATTGTTCATTGGACAATGATGCACAGTTGGTGAATGTGGCCTTCTTGGCCAGTGGGTCTACGCATTGACCTGATGTCAGTGTGGCGTTGTTGTACTGGCAGTGTGTGATTCCAGATATATTGATCGAGAAAGCTGCTGGGAATGTACCACCAATGATTGGACATGTCGTAAGTGTCGAGTATTGAATGTTACATGATACTCCTGCGCTGCATGTTGGACAGGATACTGAGCACGAGCCATCAGTACACTGCGCCGCGTTACTTGTCGTGTAGTATTTGTTGGGCACGGAGAATGCTCCTCGCTTGGTGGTCGACGATGCCTTTGAGTTGGGTCTGTAACAAACAAATGTGTTCTCGCATTGATCTTTGGTCGTGATTGTCGGGTCGACGTAGCAGTTGAGCAGCGGGTCACTGCAGTCACCACAAAAGAACGATGTTGTGTTCTTGGCACATTCGGTACTGAGTGCGACTGGGTCGTAGCTATCGAGTGTACCATTCTCTCCCTTCCAATTGCACCTCACGTTGCCACTGCATTTGTTGGCATCGACGTGAGTCGGTGTCCATGAGTACCTGTCCGAGTCAAACTGCATGCACGTGTCGTAGATAGTCATGGGCGCGGACAGGTCCAGGCCAGTGACGGGCGGGTAACAATGTATCTTGTAGTTGGGATCGAATGACGTGTAGACCTGTTGCTGGCGCAGGTATGGCACGACGTTGGTGCTCGTCGTGCAATCAGTGGTGTAGAACAGCTGCTGGACAATCTCGTCGAGATGTGTGTTGTTGAGGGAAAAGCCGTGGGCGGCGGCAAAGTCGTACTTGAGCTGCTGGGGGATGAAGTTGAGGACGCATCTTGAGAAGGCCGACTCGACCTCTGTGCGGGGCGCCACGCATTCGCCTGTGCGCATATTGCATCGAGCGGTCTTGTTGGCATATGCAGCGCATTGGGCATCATTGATGCATGGTGGTGGCTGCACGACTGCCTTGTGGCATCCGCGTAGCAATGTAAACAACTGCTTGAGTGGGCCTAGGTATGCGTTGGTCTGGTCCTCGCACGGGTGTATGGAGTTCCAATACACGGACGAGACAAAGTTATTCAAAACTGACTCTGTGCACTCGGGCAGCGAGCACTGGTCCTCGATCCTCTTTGTGTCCATCTCGCCAACAACCAGACTGTGCACTCTCTGCAGACGAGGCGTGCACACGTCCCCAAACTGTGAGTATATGCCACAGCATGGGTCGTAGAGGTAGTCGTCCATGTTGGACGAGTAGACTGGACAGTGCGTGGTGTTGACCATCACATAGGTCTCGGTGATGTTGGCCATTTGTGAAGCCAACTCATAGCAGCTGTAGTATTCATCGCGTGCCACCATCATATCGAACTGGTATCGCAGTGCTTGAACAAGCATCAGCTTGGTGTTGTTCTGCATTTGATTCAACATTGGATCTTGCATGTTGTAGACAGTCATGAACTCTGTGTAACTGCAATTGGTCAAGTTCCTCGCGGTCAATGTGAATGATCCCTTGACAGTTGTGCCATCGCCATAAACGACCTTATCCAAGAATGTCAATTGTACTCCACCCTTCATGTCGTCTTGCTTTAAGAATGGTACAGTAATATCAGAATACGATGTCTCCATCGTCAATCCAAATTGATACACATTAGCCACTGCAGGGTTATCTGTTTCATTGATGCTTCATGATTGATTGTGTCGTGTCAGTCCATGTTTGATAGCCATGCGAATGATTGGATACCATACCTTATGTCATCAAAGAGTGGATTGGCCAAGCCATAGTCGAGGAATGTACTTGGTACTGGGTATAGGGGCGTGTTGTGAGCTCGCGGGAAAAGTGGATAGAATATGGTACATCCAGTATGATAGTCATCACATCTATATTTGTTCTTGGTAGTTGGTAATGTGATCATTGATGTTCCAGCCAATGCCCATGTACCTGATATCACAGAGTTGTCTTGCAGTGCTACCAACTTGTACTTTCCACTTGTCGTCACATAAAAGTCAGACACAACTCCATTCATATTATCATTATTGATCACCAATGCTATATACAATGTCTTTGTAGTCTTTCCAGACTCTGGACACAATTGTACAACAATCCTACTTGATGCTAATTGATTGGATAAGTTAGTGATTGAGTGATTGATTTGATTGAGTGGACAACCTACATGAATAATCATAGTTTGTTGATGATACTGATTGATCCTCAACCTTGGCAAACATGATGAGGTCTTTGGAGTATGAGTCGATTGTAATATTCTTGCATTGATTGATTGTGAATGAGTAGACCTTTTGCGGAGCACTAACCAAGTCAAAGAGGTGAGCGCCATCATTAATACATTGGATACCACTTGCAACATTAGTGCATGGTACTACTGTTGTATCAATTGTTTGTACATCTATGATTGATTGGATAATGTCAGTCAGTCGATCAATCAATCAATCATGGTAATGGACGTCCACAACATACCAATAGATTCGAGAATGATATCATAGACAAGATCGAATAGACCTTGGTTCTCGATGTAAAAGTATATGGTACCAAAGGGGAATGAGTTGGCCTTGTTGTCTGGACAGATGGACATGGTGGCCACTTCACGTGTACTTAGTATCGCTCGGTTGTATCGGTCGTTCTGGGGATCGATTGGATGGAAGGTCTGGTACAACCTTCCTTCGCCCTGATAGACCTTCATCGATAGCCTGTAGCCCGATGGATTGGTCGTGTAAGCATAGTAGTTGTAATAGCTGAATGTTGTCATGCCGAGCTGGGACGGCGTCGTTCCGCGTACCGGCTGGCCCAGTGTGATGGTCGTCAAGTCGTCAGGTGCATCGTCACCACAAGCCATATTATAATCCTGTGTCTTGTTACATAATGGATTGCAGGCACTATTGCCACAACCCAATGCATTATTATTGGTATAATCACATGGTGGACATGCTGGCGGCACACCAGCACTTGAATAATTCGGACAACTATAACTGTCCAACCAATATAAAGGTTCATCAAATGTCAGCTCTGCACTAACAAATGTCATATCGCCTCCAAGTAAAGTAACCTGCTTCACATCATATAATGCTGTTTGTACTGTCTTGGATATCACTACATTCGTTCATTCATTCGTTCATTCATTCTTGTTAGTCTGATGTGATCACACCATCTCGAATATGCATGTATGTATGATTGAGGGTACATACCTATTGTTGTTTGTAATTGTAATAATAGTATCATTGATAGCATTATCAATGTGATACTCAGTCTATTAATATTGTACATGATTGATTGATTTGATTGATTTAAGATTGATTGATGGTGATCTATGAATACATAATAGTATATATATCTTATAACACCTTAAGTTAGTAATAAATAGATTAATAATTATCAAATGGTATAAATGATGATAAATGAAATGAAGTCAGATAGTTCATTCAAACAAAACGTCAAACCAACACGTGACCCATCCATCTCATCTTGTATGTTTGTGTGTTGGTGTGTTTTATTTTGGTTCAGATTGTGGGGTTGGATTGTCGGGCTTTACACAGATCGGTGTGAATGTGGAGGCAAAGGGACCACTCCACTCCAGACTAAACACACACTATCGTCATTTTCAATTTGATCACTTCGCACGTTTGATCATACGATTTATAGAACTTATTCAATGAGTTCCATGGTCTTGGCACCCTCAGATCACCATTCAGTGTAAATCCAGGAGGATAGGATAAAGAATGATGGTGCTCTTTTGGTTCGCAGTTACTTGAGATGATGGATGTGACCCACCCCAGGAAATTACCCATTTCGCAAAGTTCAGAGAAGTGCATGACCTCAAACAAACTACTAAACACGTCATTCGTTGTAAACATGTTTGAAGCGAGTGATCAGTTTTTACTAGTTGACGATGATGACGCTAAAGGCAAGATCCTATCCTTACCACCCATCAATGGTCTAAGTACCTCTGGTATAATAACTGAACCATCTGCTTGTTGATTATTCTCCATTATTGCCAATATTATCCTTGGTATAGCACATGCAGTGGCATTCAATGTATGAGTGAACTCGGTGGGCGACACTGACGCGGATGGCGTATCACTCGATTGCCTATACTTGATATTCAATCGCCTGCTCTGATAGTCGGTGCACGACGACGCGCTTGATATCTCGCCATAATCGTTGCGACTGGGTATCCACACCTCAATGTCGTACTTGCGGAAGGCGGGCGCGCCCAGGTCCTCGGTGGGCATGTCGAGCACGCGGAACGGCAGCCCCAGTGACGTGAACAGCTCGATCTGAATCTGCAACAGTTGCTCGAGGATCGCGTTGGACTGCTCGGGCGTCGACACCACAAACATCTCCACCTTGCTGAACTGATGCACACGGTAGATGCCCTTGTTGAAGACGCCGCGTCCAGTCTCGGCGCGGAAACAGTGGGAGAAGCCCACGAGCTTGAGTGGCAGCTGGTGCTCGTCCAGCACTGAGTTGGCGTGCATGCCCGCCAGAGGGATCTCGGCCGTGGCCGTCAGACACAGGTCTTGATCTTTGAGCCAGTAAAGTTGTGTAGCGTCGCTGCGTGGTTGGAAGCCGCACGCCTCGGCAAGCGCGGGATGCACGACGTCGGGCGTGATCACGGGCGTGAACCCGTGGCGCATCTGCATTGTCGAGAAGGCCCAATAGCTGAGCGCCATCTCCAGCATGGCAGCGTCGCGTGTGAAATAGTAATACTTGTGTCCGGATGTCTGGCTGGCGGGCAGCAACATGCCCAGCGACTCGCCCAGCTCGATGTGATCGCGAGGTGTGAAGCCGGCGAATGTGGGCTTCTGGCCCACTTCGAGGATGGTGCGCGCGCATGTCTCGGGGCCGACAGGCGAGTCGGGATGTGTGTCGTTGGGTATCTTGAGCGCTTCGGACGTGAGCTCATTGAGCATGCGGTCGTGATCGAGCTCCATCTGCACCAGCATCTCCTTGACTCGCTTGCCCTGCTCGACGAGCTGAGCGCGCTGCTCGCTCGTCGTAGTCTTTGCCTTGACATTGGCGGCAATAGCATTCTTGCGTGCACGCACCGAGTCGATCTCCTTCTTCACGCCACGATACCTATCGTAAAGATCTACTATTGCTCCAACATCAATCTGTGTGTTTCGTTTGTTGGCATTCTCCTGTATCATTGTCTTGTTATCCTTTATATATTGTAGATTGATTGATGGTTTGAACATATGCCAACTTGCTGATGTTGATGATGTTGATGTGCCACTGCCTGTATTGTCTGTTGTACTTGTACTTGTACTATAACGATGATGTTGTCCATGTCCGGTAGTCCTAATGATGTTACTATTGACATGTGACAGTCTATTGAGTATTGTGCGACTGCGTTGTAACATCATCTTTGTTTGATTGATTGATTGATCGAGTTGAGTTGATAGAGTTGATCGAGTGATACTAATCACATTCAATATTATGTGATTGATTGAATGATTGTGAACAAGTTAGCAACAATGAGATTCGTCATTAGTGTCATGCTTCGTTTTCTAAAGTAATGTTGGCCCAGGAGGGGTCATCTTCGAAGCGACATGTCCCCGCCCCCAGGGGCAACTCATTGATCAATCAATGGAAGGGAAGGATGACAACTATATTATTATCATTATATTATTGTATTATTACTATTTTATTGATTAATTGATTGAACGATTGATTGATTGATTGATTATAGGTTGTCTTCTTCTGGATCAACTGTTTGGAATGTGATGTACTCTAGTGGATCATCCTTCTTTCTTCTGATATTCTTACGTTTACGATAAAGTAAGTATGCTCCAACTCCAAGTGCAATGATCATCACCAGGATGATTGGAACTACAATTGCTGCCACTGATCTTGAATGTTTGGGAACTGTATATACTTCTACATAGTATGTAGACAACTCGTTGTGATCGGCAGTGGGCGCTGATACTCCACGTACATCGGTACTGGATGACAATGAAGATGTCGCTGTCACATCTCTGGGCAGCTTGGCCTGTGTTGGCAACAGGAAGAGAACAAACTTGCTGGGTACTGGGTCCTCCTGGGCCAAGGCCACGATCACCTCGCCTGCCAATGAGACGCTGGTCAAGTTGGTAATGATCACTGGCATATTGTTGTTGACATTGAGTGGCGTGCGGATATCCAGTACGCTGTCATCGCTGACCTCGAATGAGTTGGTGAGCTTATAGTTATCGGAACTGTCCTGCTGGACGTATGGACGAACGAACATTGTAGTGCCATCCATCAATACCATCTTGGAACCCGATTGCAACGTCACGTTGTTATGTGCATCAACTACTGATGATTGGAGGTAGAGTGTGGACGATGCCTTGACGACCAGTTTCTCGAGTGTTGTGATCACATTGGACGAGTTGAGCGTCAGTTGGCTGCCCTGGTCGACCGTCACACTGGTGAATGGTGTGCTGTTGTTCTTGGCAGAGATGACGATGTTTGATTGTTCATTCACAATGATTGGAGTGATGACTTGATATTCAAAGAGTAATGGGTGCTGTCCTAATATTGTTCCAATAGTGAATTGACCATGGAGATAACATAGGGTATCATTGTCGCCACTCAGGGTCAGTGACTCCATGTGTCCAGACTTCATGCTGATGTTGACAACTGGGTTTTGTTGTGATAGTACTACAATGTTTAGTTGATCACCAACATTGATCAAGTTGATGCTGGTGCCATTGACAAACAATGTTGCATTGCTATTGATTGTGGCCTTGATCATGTCGGCATTGATCGTCAAAGAATCGGTAGCTGACTCCATAAGGATGTTGGAACTCTTACTAAAAGTGAGTTGGGCGTTGCCAATGTAGGACAAGTCATTGTCGTAGGTGACGCCATTGATCGTGGCGCCATTGGTGAACCTGACATTGGGCATCAAGATGCCATTGACTTGATCGGTTCTGTCTGTGATGGTGATGGGACAAGATCCAACATTTATTCAAGGCCGACAGGGTGTCCATTGCCGCGAGTGTTTGTATTGCGATACTGGCTGTGGGTAATAAACCATTGCCCTGTATCATAGAGCCCTGTAGGATACTGAGACTCTTGATGGAGAGGTGTCCATTATAGTCGAAGACATTGGCACTGCTGACGCTGACCGACTTGATTGTCATGTCGACGGCGGTCATAAACATGGACTGGACACCATTGACTTGAATGTCGGTGTTGGCAAACACATCCACCGTTGCGGCAACAATCAACTTAGGAGGAGAACTGATCAACTCTGTTTCGACCAAAATCGATCCAACTATGCAATCCCTAATCTCTACGTAATAGTCTTGTGAAGGATTGAGACGAAGTATCTGCCTCGAAGTTGATATTATGATAGAATCTGTTGGATTGAGACAATTTGGACCATTGGTCGTCCTTCCGACGGCATCTAACCAAGCACCATTGGGTCCAAAGTTGTCATTTTTATCGATCAAACATCTGACCTCTGTCAAACTCTTTTGACATTGGGAAAGGTCGTAATAGTACACGTTACCAATGACATTGTCACCATTGACATTGTCAATGAATAAAGTAGCAGCCAATACCAAGAATGTAACTAATATTAGTTGTTGTAGTTGTAGTTGTAGTTGTTGCATAATGTATTTATCTCTATATATATATATTATATGTATACGTATTAAGTATTAATGAATGTCAATGAGAATGAATAAGACAACATTGTTGACATGAGAGTCACTTTGAAATGAGGGAACAAACGATCATTCTCGTTCATTCAATTGGCCCAAAGTGTCCAAATCCGGTAAAATATCAATCACATCTGATGCCCTGTTGGTGGACCCGACCCCTCTCATACTTATAAGGTCATGTTGGTAGTTCGTTAGAAGGACACATCGCATCCATCCATCGTTGTCGTAGGACGATACACTCAAACGACAAGACATTCCAGTCCAAGGGATGCTCCATCGATCGAATGAAAGGAAGGACAAAGTTGAGTGCAGAGCAAGAGTTTGAACTAATATTTGAAAGTTGTTTATTTCCCTCAATGACAACAACATTGGGATGGTGGACGATTGTGGACAACAATGATTGTCGTTGTTGTGGATGATGTTGTTGCTTATAGAGGGCGAGTAAGTGATGGAGAGTATATTTACTCGGAACCAACACCACCCTCGAAACCGAGAGCCTTCTGGATCTCGTCGTAGAAGACAAGGACGAGAGCACCACCAGAGCCACGGATGGCGTTGGAGAGGGCACCCTTGAAGAAAGCGCGTGGTCCCTCGTTGACGAGGATCTTCTTCCAGCAGTCCAAGGTGGAGGTGTACAGGATGTCTGCACGACCAGCCTGCATCATCATTCTTCTCCTATAAGTATTTGAATGGGAAAGATACACATGTAATGTTAGTATACTTGTCAATGAATGCATGAAGGAGTATGAGTATATACGTACCTGACAGTATCGAATGGGTAGGAGACAACACCGGCGATGGTGGTGACAACTTGGGCAATAGCCCAGTTCTGCCAGAAGGTGGCCTTCTTTGGATCGGCGAGGAGGAGACCCTTGGCTGAGTCGTAACCTCCGAAGAAAGCAGCACGGTACACGAAGATACCTCCGACGGAAACACCGAATCCACGGTAGAGACCGATGGCACCATCACGCTTGTAGATGGTGGAGATACAGTTGGTGAGACCAGTGAACTGACGGTTGGCACCGGTACCGATATCAGCAGCCAGACGAGTACGGGCAAAGTCCAATGGGTACACAAAGAGCAAGGAAGTGGCACCAGCAGCACCTCCGGACATCAAGTTACCGACGAAGAACTTGACTGGGGCCTCCTTGGGGGACCAACGGACGAAGAACTTCTTGTACTTGTCCTTGAAGGCAAAGTTCAAGGCCTGGGTTGGGAAGTATCTGACAACGTTGGCCAAGTTACCTCTCCTATATTATTATGGAACAACAAGGATACATAGTAGGTACAGGTTTGGTGGAGAGGGGATGAAGAGAAAGAGAGAGATATAAAGAATGTTTGTTTGTTTGAATGTTAGTTATTATGTTTGTTTCATCATTGATTGAATGATGTTCATTGATTGAATGATCGATCGAACGAATGTACGAACGAATGAATGAACGAACGAACGATCAAACGATCAAATGAACAAATAATTATTAAGTTATATAAGATATTAAGATTTATACATACCAGAGTGACATGACACCCTGCTCTCTTGAGACTCTGGTGAAACAGTCGATGATTCCCTTGTACTGCTTGTCAGCAGCAATCTGGGTGGAAGCAGCTTGCACCTGGAGCAAGAGCTTGACACGCTCGATTGGGGCGACGATGGTCTTGGAGACACCACCGGCGGTACCTCCGATCAAGGAGTCCTTGATGAAGGTGAAGACTGGGTCTTGGTTTTGCTTTGACTTGTCAGCAGACATTGTATGTATGTATATGAGCTAAAGAGGTTGTTGTAAGGAACAAAGAGTTGTCCAGTGTTTGGTAGAAATACAAATGACTGCCAGTGTCGAGCAGTGAACGAAGGGAAGTGAGTGTGCGTGAGTGGAGAGAGTGATCGTCGAGCGAGTGTGTTGGTGCGTTGAGAGTGAAGAAACCTGGTGCATTTGAAAAAAAAATAAAAATAAATCAAAACTTTGGCTTTTTTTTTGAAGATAATATCATTCCAACTGATGATGATGAACAAACGTAACCAAGTTTAGTGAGTGAGTTAGTGCGTGATTGTACTAGAGAGGGGTAGTAACGAAAAATTTACGCAATTATGTGTGTGATTTTGATGACGAATCCTTTATCCAAAGGCGGGTCAAAGTCTAATCATTCACGATCTAACGCGCACACACTCTCTGTTGTGAGATGGCACATGATTGTTAGTGGAACTATCAATCGTGTTTTGTGGCGGGCAGCCATTTCCAATTACATCATCCACCATGGTGGGTTGTCCGCTGCATGCGGACCATCATTTCGACGGAAATGTCATCAACGCACCCTTTGGAGTAGATCCAACCGACTGAACGACCGACTGATTTGGCGTGAGTGTCATCATTACCATTCTTTATTGATTGGTGCTGGATTGGTATTATTACTTGTTCTTGCTTGTCTTTCCATTGCTACCAATCTTTACAAGATATTGTGATAGCTTTACGGTCATCTTCTTGTGTTTCTTGTTGACATTGTTGTTGCCATTGCCATTGGCACTGTTCTGTGGTGGACTGCTGGATGCACTGACAAGTTGTGGAGATCCAATTGGTGATGCTGTGGAACCTTGATCCCCACTGGCATATGCTGCAATCTGTTGTTTGATCTTTTGTACCCAGAGGACTTGTTCCGCCTGTGACGATGCCCTGATCAAGTACTTGCGCTTGCGTGTCACAATGTAGAATGACTTGATCTCGGGCAATGCATCGGACTTGTCTTTGGCGCGCTTCAATGTGAATGTGCCACTGGATAGCTTATCATTCTCCTTCACACTCAATATCTCTGAGAGTGGGATCTTGAAGCTGGTGTCTTCGTCTCGTGACTCGGTATTATTGTTGTTGTTGTTGTCGGTGGTTGAGTTGGCGCGCTCCTTCTTTGTCGAGCCAGTCAGACAGTCTTGATTGAGCATGAACCAAAGTGCCACATTGCGTTTCAGGTACTTTGATTGTTTGTTAAGGAAGCCCTCTTGTAACACCTGTGCTGGTGGACGTGGACTTGTCGCTCCACTCGTCGGTTGTGATGATGATGATGCTGTTGGTATGGCAAGTGATGGTTCCATCTCTGTAATATGGATTTGTGTGATTGTATTGTTGTTGTCTGTATTGTTGTTATCCGATGATGATTGAGTTGTCGTTTGATTATCTGATGGTTGTATTACATTGATGGTTGGTGAGTTGGTGATTGCGATGGAGGTGGTGGTGGCAGGGGGAGGCGGTGATCGATCAAAGTGTGCCTGCAACGATTGATGCAGCTCCTTGATCTCGCCCGATGAGAGGAATGGTGTTTGTACAATCGAGCTGTTGGCATCCACTTGAAGCTGTTGCTTGGCATCCAGGAATCGGTTGAGGTTCACGACCGACTGAAGGTAGTCAACGTGTTGCCAGAGTGTCTGAAGACGTGGGGAGTCGACCACCGACACCTCAATCTTCTCGCCACCAAATGAGAATACCAAATGAGTGGCTGTGTTGCCCTGCACTGGTATTGGCAGAAGCAATAACGTGTCCACACATAGTTGATAGTGATTGATACAAAGGTATCTCCTAATCTCAGACTGGGGCATGGTCGCCAGGGTCTGATGCACCTGCTGTGCCTGCGCATCAATGTTGTCCAGTGTGCTGTCCAGTAGTGTTGGCAGACTGATCACCAACATCTTGTTGCCACTGACAGCTGCAGCATGCTCCTTGATGCGATCCACAATGTCCTGTGCCAATGTGCCAATGAACTCGCTGTATACGCCCGATGGACTCTGTTGGAACTTGGCAAAGATACCAACATCAGTCAACAAGTTTGGCGATGTCTTCTGTATCGACTTTAGTCCCTTCAATATCGAAACAATAGTATTTGAATCCCTTGTAGTATTCTTCTCCTCATTAGACAACAGTTGAAGCAAGAACTCCAATGACTTATCCGTCTTTTCCGGTCCACACATTCCAACTCTTTGATTGATTGATTGATTGAATGAGTGAGTGGAGTGAGCGAGTGAACTGACTGAATGAATGAATGAATGAATGAATGGTACTTACATTTGAATGAGTGAGTACTTGGATGCAGAGATCATTGTGATTGAGAGTAAGATGTCATCCATGATTGGAGTGATGGCCGATGGGTATTTGGCCACGATGAACTTGAGAATGGTTCCAAAGAGTGTGGTCAATGATTGTTGGAGTAGACATCCTTTGAGCTGAACAACGTATGGGATCAGACTGCATGCATTATGTCTTGCAATCTCTGACAAGATGGAGAGGATACTGGCCTTGCTCTCCGATGACCTCTCAAAGCACTCCATCAAGTATGGTATATTCTTTTCAAAGTCTGCTTGATTATGTTGACATAGTCCACTGAGTATCGACAAGTAGTTTGGATAAGTTGATGAATACTAATGGATTGGATGAGGTATTGTTAGTTGATTGAACGATCATTGATCGATCGATTGAATGAGTGTCATACATCAAGAAAGTCTTTGGCAAATGGAGCTAGGACTGCAGCTTGGTTGACAGTCTCTGAGCAGAGAGTGGAGAATACGATGGATTGGATCTGCATGGAGTGACGACCAATCTTTAGGACATGGGGCACGGACAGTGCCAACAGCTTGTCGTTGGTCGGGAAGAGGAAGCTGATAGTGCCAAATAGTGTGTAGATGGCGGCATTGGTCGCCTCGGTAAGGTTGGTTGGTCGCGGTGAGGAGATAGAGCCTGAGCGCAAAGGTGACGATGCCGTTGGCGATGGCGTGGCAGCGGCTATGAATTGATCGAGCATTGCAGTGGAGGGCGGCATCTTGGAGACCTCCTGCAGCATGTGCAGTATGCATCGGTAGTATTGGTCCAGGACGGGGATCACCAGTTCCACCTCCTCCTTGATCACTTCGCACAGAATGTTTGCCAGTGACAATGGGGATGTCTCGCTCAATGGCGAAGGTGAGTTGACTCCATCACCACTCGATGACAATGACAACTGTGACAAAGTCTTAATAATCAAACTGACTGATTCCGTCGTACGCAGCAGTGCACTCTTATCATTCGTTCGATATACAGTCACCAAATCATCAATGTTCCTAATATGATTTGACATTGTTTCAAGTACTTTGTTGTTTGATTGTTTGATTGATTGATTGTGCTGTGCTGTCACGTGATTGATTCCTTCGTTTGATCTTAATTGAATTGTTTACAACTATTACTATTATCTATTATATAATACAACAAGAATAAATAGTATCAATAATTAATGTATTTATACACTAACTTGTTTGAATCGTTACTATCGGAGTTCTTTGTTAAATCGATGACTTTTTGATTGATTGATTGATTGGTTGGTTGGTTGGTTGAGATTGATTGATTACCTGTATATATGTAGAGAGATATATTTATATGTATCTGTATGTAGTAGTAGTAGTAATAGTACTGATCGTATTTATAGAACACAACAAGGAAGCAAGCTTTGCTTTGACTCCTATCTCTCTCATTGATGGTTGAGCAGTGCAACTCCCTCCCTTTGCTCATTCACTCCACCCCTTTTCCAATGACACACCCACACACTCCCTAATCAACCCCCTACACCACGCTTTGTATCATTCATGTAATGTTAATGAATCTCAATCACCCTCACTGATCAAAGTACTAGTCGACTTTGATGGACTCGTCGACGACTACTCTTTCTTTGAAGCAAAGATAATAAGTATTTAATAGTGTAATATAGTATATCAATGTTTTTGTTTATTCTTCTGTTTGGGAGGAGTAGGATTGGATTGGATATGGATTGGAGTAGTGTAGTGTATTGGATTGGATTGGATTGATGTTGCATTCTCTGTTGGATGTGCGTGTAAAGTATGTAGTAGATATTGTGTCGAGTGATCATTGGGACCAATCCCATTGATTGATTGATTGATTGATTTGGAATATTCAAGTTCCACATGTAGGCCGGCCCCGATGTATATATTAGGTTGTTGATTGATTGTGATTGTTTGTTTGTTTGTTGTCGATGAATAATGGTGCCAGCTATGGAATATTGAAGAATCGAATCGTATCGAATCGATGGTTGGCTGGGCTGGCTGGCGGCTGGCTGGCGGCTGGCTGGGTTGGCCATCAAGCTTTACAATGCCATGTTAGACAAGTGATTGATTGATTGATTGCCCTTGACGGCGGACTACGAGTCCCTCACGGTATGGTATGGATGGATAGATAGATGGAACACGTTGCCTAAAACACAATATATGTGTGTGTATGTATGTAGCCACATTGTTGTTGATCAGTGTCGAGGTACTGGCTTGCTTATGTAGATAGTAGGTAGATAGATGGATAGGTTTGTTTGGTTGGTTGGAAGGTTGGTAGAGACGGCAGGGAAGATAGAGAGATATGTTGATGTTGATGTTATATGTTGATATTGATTCTATTCTTATTCAAAATAGAACGATGCAATATATAATTGATTGGATTGGATTGTGGATTGAGGATGGATAACGATGAAGGGTGATTGACGGATGGATAATATTTGGAAATATGGATGGATGGATGGCCGTGGCGCAGGGAGCTCTCGAGGCGGCGTTGGAGTTGTGTGTACATGTATGCAAAGAACAAAAACGACAAACAACAAAAATTACACGTCGTAAAGGTTCTTGGTGCCCTGGCTCCTGCTAGTTCTCAGCGAGTCCTCATGAAGAGTGTATCCAAACAGTCCTCCGGTGATCTCCATTGCTGATTTAAGTGATTTGCTGTTAGAGAGGGAGAGAGAGAGAAAGAGAGAATGGGATAAAGGGTAAATGGTAAAGGGTAAAGGAGGGGAAGGGAGAGAGAATGGTTAGTGACCGAACAAGCGAGTGATTGAGATTGGAGAGATATAACATACCCTAACCTTCTTGTGAGGTCCTCATTGTTGGCATGTCTGGTCCAAATGGCAATTCTGTCACCTGGCTTTCTGGATTGGTAGACGAGACCACAGACGTCATCGCTTGTGTCAAAGGTCTCACCAACGCAGGCCATGACGGCTTGCAGCCACATGTTGTCGGCGGTGGCCTTGTCTCTGATGCTGACCATCCACTTGCCACCCTTCTTGTTGGCCTCGTGCTCCCACTTGGGCTCGATGCCGTCCTTGAACAGATGGAAGCTGCTGCCCGACTTGATGGAGCTGACGGCGGGCAGGTTGTTGAACACGCACCAAAAGTCCTCGACCGTGTCGAAGCTGATGATCTTCTTGAGCTGGTCGGCCCACTGGTCCTGCGATGTCTTTGCATTGCGGTAGTCGAACCAAAGCGACCATTTGTTCTGTAGTGGATGTTTGATAAGGTTGCTGTCCAATGGTGTTGGTTGTTGTGTTTGTTGTTGTTGCTGCTCGGTGCTGCTTGTGGTGGTGGCGGTTGTCTGTTGTGATGATTCATCGGATGAAGTAGTGGTGGCGGTTGACGTCGTCGTCGTTGTATTGTTGTCGTTGTTGTTGTTTTCGTTGTTGTCATTGTTGTTGTTGTCAATGTTGTCCGCTGCGATGGACAACTTTGCCGAGTTCTCAATGAGAGAATCAACCTGCTGGCTGCTCGATGATGATGTAGAAGTCGTCATTGTTATTATTATATTTTATATATATATATATATTTATATATACGAGTGATTGATTGATTGATTGATTGATTGAGTATGTAGTAGAGAGTAGTGATGAATGTGATTGATTGATTGAGTGATTGTATAGATATTAATACTAAATATCTATTTAAACAAATAAATAACCTTGTCGGTCGGTTTGATCAAAGGTATATATGATACGATATAAGAATGAATGAATGAATGTATGACTGAATGGGTAGTTGATACTGCAAGTATGTGCAACGATCAATCAGTCAAGCAGTCAAGTGTAAAAAAAGATAAAAAGGAATAAGTAATAGTAGTTGTATAATAGTGATAATTAGTGTGTACCTAAAGAGTGGAGTGATAGAGAGTGATAGAGATAGAGAGTAAGTATAAGTATATGTTTATGAGTTGAGCTTTGACTGAAGTAGTGGAGGTGAACACAAGTGAATAGTTAGTTTTGAAGTAAGAGGATGGTGGACAACCAAGCACATCAACCACACACCCTTTCTTCAGCTATCACTCTCACGTCTCAGTCGCTTCCATTATGAAAAACAAAAAAGAAAACATTAAAAAAGTAGACTTTTTATAATTAATTTTTATGTTTACACACGAGTGGACGAGTGAGCGTGTGTGTCTTGTTTCTTTGGGCTTTGAGTCAAAGCGCGGGAACTCTGATCGACGACCGAATGTGTGTTGTGAGTGATTGATTTCATTGCCATGGGCGTCTATCGTCATTGTCCAATCCTATTATCATGGCATGTCTAACAATTCTGACCAATGATATACAATGTTTGAAGAAGGTTGTTGATATTCTCCTGGCTTTGGACACATTCATCATTATCAATTATCCGGATAATTAATTGAGTATGAATATAAGTACTAGTTGTCATACTGTCCAATTGAATTGAATTAGATCACAAGTGTTTGTGATGTTGACCAAAAGGTCTGGAAACAAGTGCGCTATGTGAGTTGTTCGAACAGAACTAACTAACTAATACTAATGTTTGAGTGAATGGCGAGGTTCACAAACTTCGAAACCATCTTTGTTTGGAATGAATGTGGGTCAATTCATGAATGCATCAAGATCACGTGGGAGGTCAAAGTCATACTTTAATGCATTCGATTGGTTAGCCAATATTTATTATTATTATTATTATTACTTGACTCGTCAATTATTCAATTGAGAGAGTAAAGGTCATAGGTGTGTCGAGCACCATAGTTAGTATACATACACAATATATAGATGAATAATATAATCAAGGGATTCAGGACGGTCCAGGCGGCCGCCGCTGGTCAATCATTCTTGGCCAATATCACAAGCAGGTTTCATGTCAGTTCGAACAAGTCATTGTTATTCTCAAGGGATGATCTAAAGAACCCTTCATCACCATCATCGGCCACAGCATCATCAGCAGCCACAACAGCAGGTGCTCAACTACCACCAATCAAGAAGTTACAACAATCACCATTCTCTCCACTATCAGAGCCTCATCCTAGATTAGCAGAATTCGTTCAACAAGCTGCTAATAACATTGTTAACAACCCAACATCAACATCAACTACAACATCAACTACAACATCAACATCAACTACATCACAGACACAAACAACAACACAGTCATCATTAAACTTTAATAGAGCAGATACTACTACATTACCAAATGGTATACGTGTCATCTCACAACAGACCAATGAGAACGCCTGCGCAGTTGGTCTCTACATTCGTTGCGGCACAAAGTACGAGACGCCCGACAATCGAGGTGTCTTCAATCTTCTCGAGAAGATGACATTCAAGGTATGTCGGAGACTTGTGATCATTCAATAATTCAATGGAATCATTCCACTCACTCGATCAATCAATCAATCAATCACTGGAACTATTCCACTCACTCGATCAATCAATCAAATAGGGTACAAAGAATGAATCAACAGCAGACATTGTACAAAAGTATGAGACAGTGTCTAATAATGCAATGGCATCGTCATCAAAGGATATTATGCAGATATCAGTTGAGGTATTGCGAAAGGATGTTGAGTATATAATGCGATCGTTTGCCGATCAGATCACTTGTCCACTATTCCAACAGGAAGAGTTTGATGAGAAGAAGATGGACGCAATGCGTAGTTTTGACATGTTGTTGTCATCGCCCGACGCCTTCCTGCCCGAGATCCTGCATCAGACAGCCTATGGCGACAAGGATCTTGGCCACACGACATTCGCCAAGCCCGAGGAGTACCAGCGCATCACCACCGACACTCTGCGCCAGGCCATGCAAAACTACTTCATTGGCAAGAACATCGTCGTTTCTGCCACGGGAATCGAGCACAAGCATCTGGTGGCCTACGTCGAGAAGTACTTTAGTCACATCCCCTACGCCGCTCCCCTCCAAACACAGCAACAGCAACAGCAACCACTGGGCAACAGCGATGTGCCACAATACATTGGCGGCACCAACTTTATAATGGCCGAGCCCAAGAGCGAGCAGGCCTACTATCTGGCCTTCCCATTCAAGGGTCTGCGATCACTGAGCGAGAGCAAGGAGCTGCTGGCCGGCTTCGTCCTGCAGTCGCTGCTGGGCGGCGGCCGCGACTACTCAACGGGCGGTCCCGGCAAGGGCATGCAGAGTCGACTCAATCTCAACGTCGTGTACCGTCTGCAGCAGGTCAAGGTCTGTTCGGCGTTCTTCAACGTCTACTCCAACACCAGTCTGTTTGGCGTGCACGTGTCCACCGACGAGGGTTACCTGATACACGCGCTCTACCTGGTGTTGGAGCAGCTGCTTGGTCTGCGCCGTCTCATCACCGACGAGGAGGTAGAGCGCGCCAAGCGCCAACAAAAGAGTATGATTCTCATGAATCTCGAACTGCGCAATGTGCTCTGCGACGACATGGCCCGACAATTGGTGTCCACTGGCATCTGGCGCTCACCCGAAGAGATCTGCAGTGGAATGGATGCACTGACCAAAGATGACATCCTGCGCTTCCTCGACAATCTTTTGCTCACCAACCCTACCGTCGTTGGATTCATTGGCGACAAGGACAAGGCATTGTCTAGTGATGACATCAAGAAGGTCATCAGATCAGGCAAGTTCAAGTAAATCCAGTGACTCGAGTCAGTTGATGAATGAGTGAACAACAATCCAAAGCGCGTCAATACTCGATGTTCTTTATTGTTGTTGTAGTTGTTGTTGGACAATGGTCCAAGGTCTAAATGGAGACTCCTAGAGGAGGATACAGGCAAGGAGTGCGGTGGCAACAAGCACCCAATAGACAATCAATGTGGAGCTGCCTGATGTGGTGGTACCGGATAGGGTGGTGGTCGTGGTACTGGTTGGGTTCACTGTTGTCGTGGACTGCTTGGTTGTGCCTGTGGTGGTCGTGGACGGGCCATTGGTCGTAGTGGACGAGCCATCGGTGGTAGTGGACGCGGCAGTTGTTGTAGTTGATGTAGAAGTGGATGTAGAAGAAGGTGTGGCTGTTGTCGAGGTAGTAGAAGAAGACGATAATGACTGGCAACCCTCTGGCAATGGACTGATATCAAAGAACTCACAAGCACTGGCCTTACTGTTGCAGACACCATACTGACAGGTGGCATTGGCAGGGATACATGTCCTGGGGAACTGGACGCATCCAAGACGGTCATCACACAGATATTCCACGCAGAAGTCACTTGCGGTGCAGTTCCTCTTGATCATGGTGCATCCCTCTTCCTTGTCACAGATTCCAATCAAACATCTTCCCAGGTCTGGACAGATGGTCTGGTTGTGGTAACAGCCCTTAACTGGATCACAGTAGTCACTGGTGCAGGGGTTACCATCATCACACGAGTTGGGGGTGTATGTGCAGTTACCTCCTTGACACTTGGGGATGGAGCACAAGTTGGAATTGTTGCACATCTTGTCAATATCCACACAACCACCAGACTTGGGGATACATCTCTGACAGGTGCCATCACACTTGACTGGATCGTGGGAGATCACTCCGGTCTTCGGGTCGCACAAGTCGACTGTGCAGGGGTTGTTGTCACTTGGGTCGATATCCTCGTAGACGCACTTTTGGTTGACACAGGTGGCGGTCATACATGGTGGGGTCTTGGTTGGGTCACAGCAGTTGCAGGCTTCAGTATCGAGGGTCTTGGTCGCGCAGCCTACATTCGGCTCACAGTAGGCGATCATACATTCTGGCAATGGGTCCGATGGAGTGCAGTTCCTGAGGTTGGAGAAGCATCCCTTCTCGCGATCACAGAAGTACACCTGGCAAACGTCGTCACCAGTGCAGTTCTTTGGCGTGCGGACACACTCTCCTTTTACACAGCTCACATCAGTGCATGCGTCAGGTGCAACGCACTTGGGCTTGTACTGGCAACCTCCCTCGGTAACGTTGCAGCCGACCAGCTCTTGGCACTCGATCTCTGGACAATGGGCATCTCCAACCATCACACAGTCTCCACCAACACAGGCGTACTCGTGACATGGATCGGCCAAATTCTGCTTCTCACAAGTAATTTTAGTATGAGTGCAGTAAGCCTTGATGTTGTATAGGTTCACGCCAGCCAAGTTACTTGGTGGGCAGGCATCGATGGTACATGCGTCTGTGTCGCCACAGGTCTCCTGAGCGATACAACATGATGATCCATCTCCATTGCAAACTCCACAGTAATCATAGACCAGACACTTCATGCCAATGTTGGTAGTGATGTTCATAGTGGACACATCAGTGTGTCTGTTGCAATGATAAAAGTCAACTGGATATGTGTTGCCCTTCATTTGATTGATGGATAGATTGAGTGTTAGTAATAGAGCTTCGATTAGTGGCTCTGAATCAAACAGACTTACAATGGCAAGATTAAGGTTGGCCATGGAAGAAAGGTTCAAAGAGCTTGACATGAATGGATGGATACCTCCAAGGTCCACGACCAATTTGTTGTTGACAAAGACCCAAGAGTCGTCAGTGGCGCCAAAGGTGAGTACTTCATTGCCTTGGTAGGTGAAGAAGGCATTCAACTTGAAACAAAAGTGGAAGTTCTGGTATGTGCCATTGGCGTCATGGTAGATTGTCGCGGGCTTGCCACTGTCCCATCCCAAGTGATTGATTGGATAGAAGGTATTGTAGACACTTTGGTAGATGCCAGTGGCCTCGTCCAACAAGTTGAATGTGAGATTGTATGGAATGAATTGAGTAATCTCATTATAGAGAGCAAAGAATGTTTCAAACGTCTCAGCGTCTAATATCCTGGCCTGCTCCAAATCAGAGTTCTTGGATAGCATAGGTATCCTGGTCTCTGGATTCAGGGCTGATCCCACCATGTTGGCTGAGAGGCCACTAATTTGGCTGGTGTCTGGTTCAAAGTTTACATTCTTTGATGGCAATTGATCAAATATTGGAACTGGCAATGAGTAGGACTCTGAGAGATATAATAATTTATTTGAGTTAGTGTGTGATCAGAGGTGTGGTGGTAAGTGGGTGGGGTGGGATGATTCCATGTACATACTTGGTCTTTGTGCGGAGATTGCAACAATGGATAGCAATGTTAATGCTAGTAATGATTTAGAGTTTATAATCATTATGTATTTTACAAATAATTAAGAAGATAGAGATAATATTTAATTGACATCCATCACCTTACCTAGGTCATCTTTTATACTTTTTCGACAAAGTCCTTTCCCTCAGCAACTCTCCTGCGGGAGTTACTTGACGAGTGTCACAAAAATCCGGAAACAGGTTTATTGGCTAAGCTTGGTTTTTTAGGACCCACTTTGAGGTGGGGCTTTGTTGATGTCACTTTCTTAATAAACGCTTGGTCTGATAAATCAAGTATAATCTGCAAACAACTAAATTTCTAAAATTGGATTGGTCATGCGACACAGCCCATTGCTTGGCAGTCACGTCGTTTACATTTGCGAAATGTTTGACGTTGGCTGACAAGTACCGCATCCGCTCTCACTATGATCATCATTCATTTGGTGAAGGTCTATCCAAAGATTATTATAATCCATCCTCAATCTTTAAACAATCAAACAAACAATCATTCAATCAATCTTTCCACCCATTCAATCCATCAAACAGTCAATCAATGAATACAACCCAAACATAATCTTACGTTCGATCGATCTTTTGTCGACCATGATGATGTATTGATCGTGTCTATCCCAAAGATGATGTCACGTAATGGGGAGGTAAATCAATAATGACCACGTCACTACTCGTCCAGCGTTCAGGACCTAGCCAAACATGTTAGAGTGCCTTTACCAGACATGTACGGAATAATTGCCTGGCGATGGTGAATCTCCAGGTCCGTGTTGCCTATCTAGTTGTTGTGGTGGTGTTTGGGAGTTTGATTTGCTTGATGTACCAATAGCTGTACATGGAGTTGGAGTAGTAGTAGTATTAGTAGATGTTGTGCCAGCTGACGTGGTTAATATTGTATCAGTCTTGTACACTTATCTGGTAATGGATTGTGATTGATTGAATTGGACATCCAAGTCGATCCTCCACATATTATCCAAACAGAAATCATATTGAAAGGAACATCAGCCTCTCTCATTCATTACATCCACAACAACTTTATTCAATGATTGATCGTGGTCACCTTTAAGTGAGTAGTGTCATTGCAACGGACAAAATGAGACAGATACATGACCAATGATCTATGTTGCCACCTGATGGCACGTTTGTTGTTGTGGTAGTAATAGGAGTAGCAGTTGTTGTAGTAGTAGTAGCAGTTATTGTAGTAGTGTTTGTTATTGGGATAACAGGTACGGCTAACTCACAATAAAGACCTGTAAAGCCATCATGACAATGGCACAAGTAGGTTTGATTGCCACCGTTTGACTGCTCTGTAATGCAATCACCATGCTTGCTACAATTCATGTAGCAACCAAATACACTACAGTCTTCCGTTGACTGATAGTTTGGCTCGCATTGGCACTCACCACCCTTGCAGACACCATGCCCAGAGCAGTTGGACAAGCACAAATTGATCTGGCAAGTGTCGCCCGAGTGGTTCGAGTTACAATGACACACGCCCATTAGACAACTACCCTGTCCATTGCAGTCGTCATCGCAGATTGTCTTGTAGGTCAACTCGATATAGTCTCTGCTGGTGACCAATGTCAGGATGCTGTTGGATGTGTTGATTGAGCGGCCAATCACATCAGAATAAACTGATGTTGGAATGTCACTAAAGAATGATATGAAGTTGGTCTTCATGCCTGCTCTTGTACCAGCTCCAATTACTGCCAATCCACTATCGTCGGTGCCGATGAAGAATATCTGACCTTGGACTGGGTCGTAGGCGGCAGCGGCACATTCATATAATAATCCGCTGGTTGAGATTGTCATGTTGTAGGATAGAGTTGAGATCGTAGACATCGTTGTTGCTGTCGCCGAGTACTTTAGTATGTGCATGGTACTAGCATAGTTCTTTTGTTTGGCACAGATGAACAATAGACAATTGGTTGTATCCATTGTCATTGCACCAATGTTTAGCAATGAGCTATTCTTGAATATGGTTGGTTGAATAGTCAGATTATTCATGTTGAATGTAGCAATGCTACCATTAGTATCTGCAACGAATAGTAAACCATTCTTATTATCTTGTGCACTGTTGTATGAATGAATGAATGATTGTATGTTAGTTAGTGTCTTTGAATGATTGATTGGTATACCATAATACTTACAAAGTCCATCCACCTTCTACGAGATCATTGATATCGATTGATGATAGTGTAGAGGGGATATCATTTGTAGTGATGTTGATCAGTAAGTAGTATAACTTCTTGTGGATCGAGTCGATTATGAACACTTTGGTATCGTCTTTGCCCACAAAGGTGAATGCTCCATCAGATATAATATCTAATGGTATGGAGCCATTTGTGAATGGTATGGTGCCAGATGTGAATGGTTCCGAAAGATTACTCCATAGTATATTGAATGAAGTGATTGAGTAGATCACATCACCGACATTGGTCGATGACCAAGCAGCTACATTATCTTTAGCATTCAAATTAATATAACTACTTGTTGGTGTTATTGTCGAACCTTCAGTGTAGTTGGATGGATATGATGTATTGTAAACATCAATATATCTAATATAACTTAGTACATAGTGGTCATTGTTGTTGATCTGCATAGGGATGGCTGTCTCACAGAGTCTATCAATATTTCCAAGCCTTAGGACACGTGCTTCAAATCCACTTTGTCCACTTGATATTGTTATAGTTGTAGTAAATAGTATAATAGTAAAGATATAAATATACATTATTTGTTTGATTATTTGTTTAATTGATCGATTGATGTAGATCAAGTAGGGTAACACCTGTCACATGTCAACGATCAGTCGTTAGAATTGAGGGAAAATGAGGCAGATATTTTTTTTGGTCATGGTCTCGTTTCATGATTCATGACGACAATCATTTCCAAATAAGACGGCCATCTATTTCTGCTATTGCCAATGCTGGAATCCATTTGAACCATTGTTTGTTGTTTTCATTATTACTACCTCCATTAGATATTTTTGAACCGAGTGGAAGTTGGAGCTAAAAGGACCCGTGGACGTCCGTTGTCCTTGAGGTTAATGGATTCAAAAGAAATATGAGTCTGCCTTGGTTGACTAGCATGGTCAGTTTGACTTATTGTTGTGATTCTACACCATGGATGATGATGTCCTCCGATCGTGATGATACTCGAGTTTGTTTGGCAAATTGAAGATACTGAGATTGATGAGGGTTAATGTTAAGTTTATTATGTTTGGATGTGAAGGCAAGGATATCAAAGGTGGATTGTTAGGATTGAGGGTTGAGGGTTGAGGGTTTACTTTCGTTTGAATAAATAATGTCCAAGATAGAGAGCTGGAAGTAGTGATACTATTGCTGTTGTTGCCAATTCCATCCAAGACCATTGTCTGTCGATAATGGAGGTTGAGGTGGCGACCATGGTGGGCACAGTTGTAAGGTCAATGGATTTAAATTTGATTGTTTGTTGAACTTGATGATCCATTAGAAGGAGATTATCTGGGGAGACACGACACATTGAATGAACGCTTGATTGTACTCCTTGATGTAGTTGGTCTGTAAAAGATATATTGCGTACTGTAATGGATTGGGATCTGTGATCCAATCGAGTGAAGATTATGTTGAAATCAATGACGTTGGGATAAGTTGAGAACAAATGCTTGATGATCTTTTTCTTTGATGAAGGAGTGTTATCATTTGGTAGATGAAATCCAATTGTGATCCAATTCAAATGGATATCAAGTGATGGAAAAGTGATTGGTTGACCATCGATGGTCATGTCAAAGCCTGCATCTGATCGCATCTTGACCACATGTGATGCGAATATGACAATTCCTCCAAGGGACTTCGGAAGGTTGTCTTTCTTCAAGGAACTGATACTTGGAGTCTCCAAGCTAATCAGTCCATTTGGAAGATTGACGAGTGGCTGTACAAATACCGGACCCATCCTCAACTCTGTGATTGAATCTGGTAGTGAGTTTGGTAACAACTTCTGATTGAAGGAGTGACCACAATCCAAATGTTTAAGAGTGGACGGGAGTACTCCAGGCTCAATCACTTGGTTGAATAGAGAACCCAAGTTTAATATGGTGATGGAGGAGTTCTTCAAGTTGATTCCAAAGAATGATCCAATGGGCAGATTAAAGTATACACCCAAATAGAGATCTGTGACCGATCTGGGAATTGGTAAATGCTCCATATTTTCTTCAAGCCATATCATTGGACTGATTGACAATGTATGAACAGATGATGGAATGTCATCAATATGCATTGGTCTCAAAAGAAAAGAAGAGATATTCAATTCAGTGATTGATTGATGTTCCTTGAGAGTAAAGTCTGGCAGGTAGTTTTGTCCAATCGCCAATGACTTGAGTGAGAGTGGAAGTAGACCATCAAGTGGTTGAGAAAACATGTCTCCAAACACAAGGTTCGTCAACGATACAGGCAAAGTATCTGATTTGATGGGTTGATTGAAATGGAAGCTGAACTTCAAAGTGAGAAGAGACTGGGGCAATGTCAAGGGTTCGATCACTTGGTTGAACATATCTCCAAACTCCAACTCGGTAAGTGATGAAGGGAGGGTACCTGGCTCCACTGGTTGGTTGAAACAGTAACCAAACCTCAAAGTCAGCAATGATGGAGGGAGCCAAACATTTTCATCAAGAGGTAAATTGAACAGCTCTCCAAACTCTAGCGACGTGAGGGAGGATGGCAGTGAGTTTGGTGCAATGGGATGATTGAAACTAATGCCACATTTCAATGATGTGAGTGATGGGAACTTGTTTGCAAGATATTTGCCAAGCTGTTGATCAAAGCAATGGCTGAGTGTGACTGTCTTGATCTGATTTGGCGATTGATAGGTCACTTGAGAACACTTGAGTACCCTTGGTGGTAGTTGCTCGGCCATCTCCTTCTCAATGTGCATCTTGAGATTCATCAGCATTATGTGATGCCTTTTCTCTACACTTTGTTGAGCCTCAATCAGCTTAGATTGATGTAATGATTTGAATACGGCCACCTCATCGACGTCAATCTGATCAAGTAATTCTTGGTATTGTTGCCATTGGTCTTGAAGAATCTGCTCTATATTCGGAAGGTCGGGCACTGTCTCTTTCCAGAGTTGTGCAAAGCGTTCATAAGCGACCTTCCCGTTTAAAAAGTTGAGAGCGTTGTTGTCTCCATCGAAAAATACTTGTAGCAGTTGTAGAAGACGGAACCTCTCAACATTGCCACCAACCAACAACTGTACATTATCTGTTGAGTTGAAGTTGTCCAATACACTGTTCATTATAGTATAGAATCGTTTGCAAGTGAGACCTAAACAGATGATATCCATTCCATTAGCCATTAGATAAACCGGTAGATCTACTTTGGAAATAAGTATATCAAAGATATATTTGATTGCAATGTTTGGTAAGGTCTCCATTATTGGTTGCAATGTTAATATATATATATATATAATCTCTATATATCTATTTATATGTATATATATTATCTTGATTGAATGACAAACAAATGAGTGGAGAACCTTGTTTTCTCAACATCATCTGAAAAGTCACATGGCAAAAACAACACGATCACTTTCGGTGTCCATGAGTTTTACTTAGTGATTGTTTATAAACTCGGATAATATAGATTAAGATATTTTGATTATTGGCGACTCCAATCTGGAGTGATCGTCTCGAACCAATGCTCAAGACTGGACCAAACTTTGTCCATTCTATGATAGAATGGTCGACCAATAAAACCTACTTCTTTGATGTTGTCATTGGCAAAAGGGTAAAGACCATCCTTTGTCCACATCACTAAAATATTTGATACTATATATCACAATAACAAGTCGTTCATTTTCATCATTGTATGAATATATATAAATATTTATTATTTTTATTATTATTATTCTTTGTTGAAGAATATGGAAATGGTCCTACTTTCATCTCAACAAATAATGTCCAAGATAGAGGGCTGGAAGTATAGCTGTTACTGCTGCTGTGGCTATCGCCAACCAAGACCATTGTCGCATGAAGGAGGAGGATTTGGGTACCATTGTTGGGACCTTTGTAAGGTCAATGGATTTAAAACTGATGGTCCTCTGTTCAGGTTGTTTCAATAGACCAATATCCTCTCCAAAGATTCGGCACCATGAATGAAGGCTTGGCTGTTTTCCTTGTTGTAGGTCGGCACAATATGACGTATTGCGCACAGACATACCATGCCTCTCTTTAGGTCCTGAGAAAAGTACAATGAAATCAATGACGTTGGGATAGATCGAGAACAAATGTTTGATTATCATTTCTTTCAACCTTGATGAATGAGAATGCTCGTCGTGAAGATGAAATCCAATGGTTAGCAAATCCAAATGGTTGTCCAATGATGGCAAAGTGATTGGTTGACCATCAGGATTGGTCAAGTCAAAGCTTGAATCTGATTGCAACTTGATCACGTGTGACTCTAATATGCCAAGTCCTCGAAGGGATGCTGGAAGATTAGTGCCCTTGATGGTGCTTATCTTTGAAAGTTCTAAGTCAATCAGACCTGTTGGAAGATTTTTCAGTGGTTGATTAAATAACGGACCCATCCTCAACTCTGTGATTGAATCTGGCAGTGAGTTTGGCAACAACTTTTGATTGAAGGATAAACCAAAGTCCAAAAGTTGGAGAGTTGGTGGAAGCATTCCTGGCTCAATCACTTGGTCGAACTGATTACCCAAATATAATCGTACGACTGAGGAGTTCTTCAAGTTGGGTCCAAATATTGATTGAAACGGATGATTGCAGTGTTCACCCAAATATAGGTTTGTGATTGAACTTGGAATTGGTAAATGCTCCATATGTTGCTCATGCCAAATATCTGGATTGATTGACAATGTATGAACAGATGATGGAATGTCATCAATATGCATTGGTCTGCTTGAAGGAATATTCAAATTGGTGATTGATTGATGTTCCTTGAGAGTGAAGTATGTCAAGAAGTTTTGTCCAATCGCCAATGACTTGAGTGAGAGTGGAAGTAGACCATCAAGTGGCTGAGCGAACATTTCTCCAAACACAAGCGCCGTCAATGATACAGGCAAAGTGTCTGATTTGATGGGTTGATTGAAGTAGAAGTTGAACCTCAATGTGAGAAGAGACTTGGGCAAAGTCATGGGCTCGATCTCTTGGTTGAACATCTCTCCAAACTCCAACTCGGTAAGTGATGAAGGGAGGTAACCTGGCTCCACTGGTTGGTTGAAACAGTAACCAAACCTCAAAGTCAGCAATGATGGAGGGAGCCAAACATTGTCGGCAAGAGGTAAATTGAACAGCTCTCCAAAAGTGAGCGAAGTGAGAGAGTATGGCAGTGAGTATTGATCAATTGGATGATTGAATCGAATGCCACAGATCAACGTTGTCAGTGATGGGAACTTGGCTGCAAAGTACTTTCCAATGCGTTGATCAAAGCAATGACTGAGCGTGACTGTCTTGATCTGATCTGATGATTGATAGGTCTCAGGACAACACTTGAGTATCATTGGTGGTATTTGCTGCGCCATCTCCTTCTCAATGTTCATCTTGAGTATCATCAACATCATGTAATGCCTATCTTGTACAACTCGTTGTTCACCCAACAGTTTAGATTGATGTAATAATTTGAACATGGCCACCTCCCCAGGATTATTGTGCTGTTGTAATTGTTCGTTTTGCTCCCATTGCTCGTCAAGTATCTCCTCCATATCCGGAGTCTCTGGCTCTATCTCAAGATATAGTTGCTCCAAACGTGCACGAGCGGCCTCTTCGGTTACAAGGGCGAGTGCGTCGTTGTCTCGTTGAAGCACTTGTAGTAATTGGAGTCGGTCAGCAGTGCCACCAACATACAACTGGACAGTATCTGGTGTGTTGAAGCTGTCCAATACACTGTTCATTATAGTATGGAATCGTTTGCATGTGAGGCCCAAACAGATGATATCAATTCCATAATCCAATGTATAATCCTCTCTATCTGATTTTGAAATAATCATTTCAAATATATGTTTGATTGCAATGTTTGGTAAGTTCTCCATTATTAATACTACTAGGTATATATTATTATCTCGTATATGTTTATAATTTATTATTACACACTATGATTAGATGACAAATAATGGATGGATGCTGGTTGTTCCAACAAAATGATGATCAGAAAAGTGGCTTTGCTAAAAAACACGATCACTTTTGGTGTCCTGAACAGATATTATCTTCTTTCTTCTTTCTTTGACAAATGTGTTGTCCAATGAGTATCAAAGGTGTGCTGCAGCTATTGGTATCCACCACAATGCTGACGACGATGATCTGTCACTCTGTACCTCCTCACAACTATGCTGTTGACATTGGGATAATCAACTAGCAACTGTTTGATTATTGGTTGTTTCCAACTCGAATTGATATATCGGTTGGAGCCTGTGGGCAAGGTGGATGTGATGGCAACATTGACTCTATATCAGCTGGCTGAATAACATCTATACTAGGCAACACCAACTCGAGCAGACCCTTTACGCCAACCATGTTCTCAAAGTAGGCACTCAATGAGAGTGTCGTGATTGATGTTGGGAGTGTCACTCTGGTAATTATTTATGACGCCAGAGCAGTCTACCAATGTACAATGCTACTGGAATCATGATGGCAACTGCTGTGATCCACATGAACGATTGATGTTGATCACTAACATGATCGGTTGGACCTTTTGAAGATGAAGAAGGAGTTGTAGTCGTGGAAGTAGTTGGATCACAAATTGATAAATCCATACTATAGAGTTTGCACCTGTTGTCATTTGTGTGTACTCCATGATCGTAGAGTATGAACCATGAATGCACAGGTGTAATCCTTCGTGTTGTAATCAACTTTGTAATTGAGTTTGAATGATGTTCGTCGGTTGAGGTGACAAAGTGAACACAAATGTTGGTAACATTCGGATAATAATCTGACAACAACTGTTTGATTACCAATATCCTTGTCCTATCATCGTTGATTTCGTCCGCCATAGTAATTGAAATTGATAATGAGTCCAATCGAAGGTTGTTGGATGGAATGAGTATCGACTGATCAGCCTTGAATTCTAGACATCGTGAATGCGGTCGGTGGTCAGCGTTATATATTATCACCAACATAATATGTTTGAGTGATTGAGGTATATTGTTGAGATTGAGAATGCCCATCGTAGGTATCCATAGCTTCAATAGTGATGAAGGGAGGTTGTCCAGTGACAGTGGCTTGGTGTAGTTGGCTCCAAGCCTCAACTCTGTAATCGAGTCTGGCAGCGAGTTGGGCAGGAGAGAATGATTAAAGCTGCTGCCAAATACCAATCGTTTGAGGGTCGATGGGAGCAAACCAGGAACAATGATTTGTTTGAATGCTTTACCAAAGGTTAATGATGTCAGCGAGGAAGATGGCAAGCTTTGTCCAAGATACTGATCAAACATCCCATCAAAGTAGTCATACAATGTGAGTGATGTCAGTGTTGATGGTATCATCTCAACATCCAATGGATGAAGCAGAAGTGTATGAACTGTTGGTGGCAAGTCCTCCATCTTGATCGGGCAGTACACCATCGATGTGAACTCAAGTGAGGTGATGGATGTCTGTCGACGAAGCGTAAGTGGCTGCAAGAAGTTGGGGCCAAATGCCAAGGACTTGATTGATATAGGCAGTCGATCGTCGATCGGTTGATTGAACATTCCAACAAACTTTAGATGCAAAAGTGATTGTGGCAGTGTATCAGGCTGTATCGGTTGATTGAAATAGAAGCCAAACGAGAGGAATTGAAGCTCGCGTGGCAAGGATGCTGGGTGTAGCGGGCAGTTGAACATGTGTCCAAGCTTCAATGACTTGAGTGACCATGGGAGACAACCAGGTTCAAACGGTTTGTTGTAACAATATCCAAACGATAGCTTCTCCAATGAGTTTGGGAGTGAGCCTGGGGCCAGTGAAGTGTTGAACATGTCTCGTAGCTTTAGTGATATGAGCGTCGTTGGCAACGAATGTGGCGCGATCACATTGTTGAAGCCAAGACCACAATCCAGCTTGGTGAATGATGGAGCATCCCCGAATATGCCAGGAGTGATCGGTTGATGGAATCCAGGTCCTAGACCCAAGGTTGTGATGCTCCATGGCAGTGAGCGATGCATGGTGTTATCCTTAGCCCTGCCCACCACTGACAATGTGAAGTATGCAGTTTGAGACGGCTCAACAAGTTGAATGATGTGCTGCTCAATCTGCGTTGATGGGTCCACATGCGGTGGCTGTATATGCCTCAGGTGTATCACCAACTTCATGCCTCTCATCAATCGGAATAAATTGTCTGGATCCGCAACATCCTCCTCTTGTATTTGTAGTGGATCTTGAACTCCTAACAACACAGATATGTCTGGTTGTCCTTGTCCTTGTCCTTGTTGTCCTTGTTGTTGATGTTGTTGTTGATGATGAATGAGTCTTTGTTGACGTTGTTCTTCACTCTCACCAATGAACATCAATGCTGTTTCAGGTACATGTCTATGACCTTGCTGTATAAAGTCAGAGTTGTTTAGTATTACTCTATGATTATGGCTAACGATATTGAAGAACCTCTTATTCACCAGAGCTAAACAGAGCATATCCAATGTAGTATCCATCCTCTGTCTGGCTGTTATACATTCATTCATTATTGTCAACATATGATTGATCACATAGGTTGGTAGACTATCCATTCTCTTCTCTATCTCTATCTCTCTCTCTCTGTCTCTCTGTCACTCTGTCACTCGAGGGTTGAGTCAATCAAACTTTGATGAACAGGTCAAGGGTTGGAGTGAGGGCAAGGGTAAGGGTTTGGGGTTAGGGCGAGGGCAAGGGTAAGGGTAAGGGTTTAAGGTTTATTGGAAGGAAGTAGTGTAACAAGGTCCTGAAGCATTAGTCGTTGCTTAGAACATAAACACGGCGGCGATCAAAGAGACGGCAACCAAGATAATGGATGGAACCATTGAGGAGGCAGCATTGCGGGAGCATGGGTAGAGACCCAAATGGAGGTTGGTAGTCTTGCACTGTAATCATTTGATTGATTGATTGAATGATTGTTTGATGTTAGTATCATTCATTGAATGAGAGTGCTAGGATTAAGGATGGTAAACCCATGGAATACATACATCAGTGTTCATGTTAACGCAATCAGAATAAGTGTTAAGGTTGATTGGCTTCTTCTCGGCTGAGGTTGAACCTGGGTCCAATGGGAAGTTCTCTTGGCAGACGTACTTGGCGTAGGAGGTTCTGCAAGCGGTTCCATTGTCTCCAAAGACCAATGGGTTGGCAATGTTGGCGGTGAAGGCAGCCTTGACGTCATTGTCGATCTGGGCGGCGGTCTGACCGATTGGGATCATGACTCTGTGGTTGTTGGCGTACTCACCGCAGAACTTCAAGTCCTCGGCGAGGACGGTGACGAGCTGATCGGACTTGGTGGTGTTGCAAGTCTCGGCAATGTTGATGGTGGCGCATGAGAACCAGTTCGAGTCGGACTTGACCTGCATGGTGCACTTGTTGTTGGCACAGGTGACGTCTGGGACGGTCATGCTGAAGGTGAAGGTAGTCTCAGCGTTTGGTGTTGGGCCAGTGACTGTGACTGGGGTGTTGAAGTTGGTGCCTCCATTGGTATCCAATGACACTGTGATTGGTCCACGTCCATCAGCAGCAATAACCTTCCACTCAATGGTAGTCTAAATTATATGAAATAATAAATTAATTAATATTGATCGAAAGGCTGGTGGAACTATCCCATCACATCAATCACATGGGATACTTACTGGCTTGCCCTTGCAGTATGTGTAGACGGCAGTGGTTGCGGCCGTACCACCTCCACATGGGGAGGTCTTGCTTGGGTTGGTGTTCCATGGGGTTGGGACAGTGAGCACAGAGTGCGAGTAGACCTGGCTGATGGCCAAGGCAATAAGGCAGAGAGATAAGATAATTCTCATTTTGTATAATTTATATATTTGTGTATTTGTACAGGTAATAATAAGTCAGTGTGATTGGTGAGAAAATGATATGTTGGCGCAGTTAGTTGAGTGCAGTAGTATGTTGGTCCTTGCCTTTGGAATGAATGAAGAGAGAGAGACTGCCGACAATTGTTGATGTCTCTATGTATGTGTGGTGGGGTGTTTGTGATGGTGTGATGTTGTCAAGGGTTTTGTTTGAATGAAATGGACAGTGTTTTCGATATTTTGGGCCACGCAACACTCAGATGTTTTCTCGACAAGATGGCAACAACACAGTTATGGGGGTTTGAAAAGAGGAGGGATCATAGGCGTTTTGAAAAAACATAACCCATTTTTGGAGTGACGTCAACAATAAAGCCTCAGACTCAACCGACTTTGGTAGGACAAGTGTGTTTCGAATATTTGCTAGGTTCGATATATTGTGATGATGCCACTTCAATTACAATCCATCAAGTATGTGTTGTCATTACGATACTCGAAACCAGGAGAATCATGGGCAGTCGTGACCGGGACCATCACCAAGTGTTTAACTTTGCGTCATCATCAAATCCATCACATTGGGTTGACGGTCTTCCACATGATCATAAGGTACCTTGGCTTGGTGTCATTGATGTCCCCGACAAAGTATGTAGGGGATCATTATTATTTAATTAAAGGTAAAGTAAGAAAGTCAGGCATTATCATGTTAACATGCATGTGGATGATAGTTCAAAAGGAGGGTTCCTTCCTTTGATTGGTTGAATGAATGATTGATTGATTGAGTGATGTGGGTCCTCAAGGACTTGCCTCTTGGACATCCACGACACGAATCAAACACAGACAGACACACGCACATGTGTGGAGCCAACAACAGCTTAATACAACACTCTTGTCTTGATGGAGTGCGGCAGCTCAGAGATCTTCTTCTTGATCTCCTTGGAGGCAGCCTTGTCGACGTCGGCGATGATGTATCCAATCTGCTTGGTGGTCGACAGGATCTGGCTAGAGACGTTGAACTCGGAGAGAATGTTGTTGATGTCACGCAGCACACCAGGACGGTTCTGATGGATGTTGAGGATGCGGTGAGTCTCCTGCGACACGGGGATCGAGATCTCGGGGAAGTTGACCGAGCCCTCGGAACCGCCGTGGTTGATAAAGTTGGTGATCAGGTCAGACACCTCGGCACCGATGGCCTCCTGCGCCTCCTCTGTGCTGCCACCAATGTGTGGCGTGAGGATGGTGTTGGGACAGCCCTGCAGCACGTTCTCCCAGTCCTTGCAGTTTGCCTCGGGCTCCCATGGGTAGACATCGACGGCGGCACCGGCGATCCTGCCCTCCTTGAGCGCCTTGGCCAGAGCGTCAATGTCGACGACCTTGCCACGCGAGGCGTTGAGCAGGTAGGAGTCCTTCTTCATCATGTTCAGCTCGTCCGTGCTGATCATGTTGCGCGTCAGCTCAGTGTCGGGCACGTGCAGCGACACGTACTTGGACGTCTCGAGCAGTGTCTTCATATCGTGCACCGACTTGCTGTTGCCCAGTGGCAGCTTCCTGGACGTGTCGTAGTATTGAACGTTCATGCCCATTGCCTCGGCCAACACCGACAACTGTGAACCAATATGACCATAACCAATGATACCCAATGTCTTTCCTCTAATCTCATGGCAATCCTTTGACTCCTTGCGCCAAACCTTTGTATGCATCTCTGAGCTTCTATCTCCAAGCTTCCTAGACAAGATAATGATCTCTGCAATCATCAACTCGGCTGTTGATCGAATGATTGAATGAATGAATGGGTCAATGAATGAGTGAGTCGCGGTAGTCTCGCGGGGCCATTCAATCCTTCGCGTTAACAATACATACCAACACTTCTGGAGTTACAGAATGGCGAGTTAAACACTGGGATCTAGAGGTTGCGCGAGAGAATGAGTAAGTGACTCGAGGGTCGCGAAAGAGTGAGATGATACTTACACCCTTGGACTCGGCATAGGCAAGGTCGACTTGGTCAGTACCGATACAGAAACAACCGATGGCCATGAGACGCTTGGCCTCGGCAAGGACCTTGGCAGTGAGCTTGGTCTTGCTGCGCAGACCGACGACGTGGACGTCCTTGATCTTCTCCATCAGCTGCTCCTCAGACAATGCCGAGCCGAGCGACTCGATGCTAAAGCCCTGGTTCTTGAAGGTCTGGATGGCAGCGGTGTGAATGTTCTCGAGCAACAGGATCTTGATCTTCTCCTTGGGGAAGGACAGATGTGGCGACGTCGACATTGTTGGTTCCATTGCGCTAGATAGTAAACTTATATTGTTGGTGGCTGAAGGGCTGTGGGACACGTCACGTCTAATGAATGTTGGTTGTGCTTTGTTTGTAGCTGTTGGTGAAAGTAGTGGCTGATTGCTCATTTCGTCGTCTACTTGTAGTCTTGTTGTTTGTTGATTGACAAGTTATTATTAATATTATTTAATATTATATATTATTTGATCTATCCTTAGCTCTATCGTCGTTACAGTACGGCACCTGATAATGAATGAATGAGTGAATGAATGAATGAAAGAATGAGTGAGAGTGTTAGTGACAAAGTGTATGAGGTTATGTCGTTTGTTCACAATTCATTGCCAGATTTGGACCATCTACACACTAACACTTACACTAACATTCGTTTGTCGGTTTGTCGTGTTGGGGGTGGTGTGGGTAGCCTAAGACCCTGCAGCAACCACCAACCCGATATCGGGAAGGATAAAGTGGACAAATATCCGAATAAAAAGTTGGTCTCCCATCTCGTTTTGACCATCAAACCTTCAGCAATGACTCATTCGCTCGATTCCAATGACAATGGGAAATATTTATTATTTGCTTGATTTGCTGCCCGTTCCCAAGATGGGAACATCAATCAACCATCAATGAGCAAATGAAGAATACTCAAATGAATATGTTGACGAAGAGTTGGAAGATGGGAATGTTCTTGGATAGAGTCTATCCAACTACATGTTCATCATGTAGTTGCGAAGAGTTTATTATGTGTGTGATTGTTGTTGTAATTGGAGTAGGGGAAGGGTAGTACAGAGCTAGGATTGATAAGTTAACTAACTGATCATTGCAATCCTCCATATGAATAATGAGGATGTAAGAATGGTAAAGATGATCCAGAATGTGATCAATGGATGTCGAAGTTTGGCCTTGACTGCGAATATAGTTGCACCAATCGCCAGTCCAATTGCAAACAGGTAAGAATACCAATGTGGTGATGGTGGCTTTGGTAATGATGCATGCTCCGAGTATGCCTTTGGGCAAAGGAACAGTAATTGGAAGAATATAGATGGGAATAGCATACTATTATTTGTTTGATTGATCAGTGAGTGTTTGGAGAAGTTAGTTATGATTGATCAGTGTGGACATGGAATAGTTCCATACATAGATACATACCCATATACTCTATCACACTTTGACCAGAAATCCACTGGCTTCATCACTGTTACAATTGGTATGAGTACACATAGGATGATTAGACAGGATAACATGATGAAGTTGAGTCGACCCAATGTGGAGAACTCCAATGTGGTGGCCGGTGATGTTGAATAACATCCATTGTCCCAACACGACCAACATCCAAGTATATCAAGACTACGTAGTCCAGTACCAACCAGACATACAATAGTACCCTGTAATACACCAAGTAGACAATCTGAAGGGTAGTGTACACCAAGGTTGATGCGAGCGAATGATGTAGCCAATATCATACCAATGAATAACAATGGCATCCACCATCTAAACACCTGTCCAGGTTGATAATATAGTACTGCCCATACAATAGCATATGCATACACAACTGAGCATGTAACAGCTCTCGATGGGAATGATGATGTCATGTCCTTTTTCATCTGTTTGATTGATTGATCATGGGTGTGAGTGTGTGATAACATGTTAGTTTATGGGTTGGAATGATTCCAATGAGATTCTGATGATGATGGCGGGGATGGGGAACATACAGTTTTGGCGCGATGTACCATGTATGGTCTAAATCTCCAGAAGAACCTCTTGGGAACTTGAGACAATAAAGCCAAAAGTAAGGCTAGATAGGTGAACTCTGTTGCCAGTGCATCCTGGCCCAGTATAAATAAGATATAAGGTGTTGCAATTGCTATTTCTATCGCTACAAGTGCTATATATATATATCCATTGATTGGGGGTGGATTGTGTCAATCAATCAATCCATCAAACGCCATCGCCGCCATATTCATTGGCGCTACATACATGTAATGATTAAACTTAGATAGTAAACAGGTCTACTTGTGTTCTTTTGACATAGTGCAATTATAGGATCGTCGAACCGCCTAAAGAACTCCTCCATTGATAGTGGAATTGGTCTCATAACTGATTGGAATAATTCCAGGTGGGTGGGGTCGTGTGAGTAATCCATCACATCAAGATTGAATGAATGAATGATGACTTACAGCTCTTGAAATGTTGCTTTGACATCTTCTCATTGTATACACGATGTAGGTCTTTTGGATTCAATGGTGTGTAGATGTCGTCGCTGGTGTCATCGTCGTCATCTCCACCATCGCCATTGTTATGGTCCACCACTTTGAAGTCTGGCATGAGTCTTTCCAACTCTCCATTACTATTTTGTTGTTGTTGATTCTGTTCATATCTGTTGGCAATGATGATGCTACTACTATTATCATTCGTAGAGTTTATCTCTCCATTCAACAACTGTATCTTGGTGGTGGTGTCCATTGCTTCTGCTTCTGCTGTTGTCGTTGTTGTTGTTGATGATATCGTGTTGTCTGATGACATATAGTGTGGATGCTCTTTGATAAGGTCCTCACGAAAGCTCTGCTATCTCAGTGTGAGTCCTCTTTGGCTGTTGTCGTGTATTCGTTGTGGACTGTCTTTGACAATGAGCGAGTCAGCCGAGTGATTGAGTGAGTGATTGAGTGAGTCCAAACTGATTCCAAATTGATTGAATGATTGATCGATTGATTGGTTGACCCTGTTTGACAAGTACTTGTTGGTGTAACTTTAGTTGTTGTTGAAGTAGTAATAGTATAAGATGGTGATGCAAGTGCAAGTGGTGCAAGTAGTGTGTCAGTCCTTGATCAGACGAATGTGATTGATAATTATGTGTGTGTGAATGTGTGTGAGTATGTGGTGGGGGTGTTGTCGAAAGCGACCTTGACTTATCCAAGGCCTCTTGCCATTGTGAATCACCTTCCTTGACAGTTTCACAATAAAAATCAATTAATATCAAGTTTTCTTCAACTGATGATGATGTTACTACTGTTGCAAGTGGAAGTAAACAATCAATCTCAAAGAGACACACACAAACACACATGTTCTTAATGCTTCTTATGTCCCAGTCCTCCATTTCCAAGTCCACAAGGAGACACACAAACACCTCATTCATTATCATGTGATGGATGATTGATCTAAGGGGGAAACCAAAGATTTATGGATAGAGTAGTGATGGTAATGGATGATGGCTGTTGCAATAAATAATCGAGGTTGTTTGTTGTTTGTTGTGTAATAGATAGTTAGTTGTGTTGTTGCCAAGCACTTGAGCGAGCGAGCATAAAGTAAACTCTTTGAGACAGACAGACAGACTGTTAGTCGATTGATTGTTTGCTGCAGGGTGTAGTAAGTATGAATGAGTTTGAATGAGAGTAGATGGGAGTGGAATGGRAATGTTATTGATGTTGTAGATGTTGTAATGTTGTGGTTGTTGTTGTTGTTGTTGTTGCCCAACAGTGGTAGGATATTTAGAACTTGTTAAACAAGACAATGTCGACGCTTTGGACAATGTCCTCGAGGGAGGCTATCTTCTCCTCCAGATCATCGGTGGACACGAGTGAGTCGACGACAACGCAGCCTATGGACAGCTTTTGGATGCCGTAGCCAACGGTGAGTAGCTCAGAGTTGCCCCACATGAGGCCATCCATGTTGATTGAGCGCACGGTGTTCTCGAGCTCGGACATGTCCGTCTCGGCATCGACGGGTTTGATCTCAAAGACCACGGACGACTTGGCCACGAAGCCATTGTCAGCGTGATTCTCGCCAGTGTTGTTGGTTGCGTGTTGCCACTGCAGCACCTCCTCGTCGTCATCGCCGTCGTGGTGGCCGCCATTCTCCTCAAAGTGCTCCTCGTCGTACTCAACGTCGTCCTCGTATATATGATTGGATTGGAAGCCGTGGAACTGGCCGGCATTGTCGAGTGAGCCGTGCACAAACACCTGATCATCATCGTCATCATTATCCTGTTGTGCCATCATCAGGCTCAACTTAAAGTCGCCCAACAGTCCATCCTCATTTTCCAACGCTGGCTGCAGTGATTGCTCAACGTATGTAGTCCACTCTGCGTTCTCTGTTGATGATGGGTTAGTATGAGTCGACTGGCTAGCTAGCTGGCTGGCTGACATGACATGCCATGACACATACCTGCAATGAATGCTTTATCTTTCTGTGTTCTGTTGATTGTACGCGCGATTTGGTTCAAGTATCCCATGAAGCCAAATTGGATTGGACCAACTGCCTTCTTGTTCTCCTTGTCGACGGCAATTATCCTCTCAACGAGCTTGGCGTCCTTGATCAACTAGAGTATGGATGTTAGGTTTGGCGTGAGTATGTGACCGTTTGATAGAATGATTGATTGATTGATTGAACATGGTAACATACTGCAAGCTTCAACTCGTCATTGGCGCTGGCTGTCAAGATATATTCGCAAATCTGTCCCACTTGGTTATGGAGGATGTTGTTCCATGGGTATTGGAAGAAGAGGTCCTAAGTTGAGTGAAGGTGGACATGTTAGGGAGGCCAAAGCTGATTGAGTTGACTGAGTTGAGTTGACTTACAAGTATGGTCGATAGGATTCCATGATCGACAAACACTTTATCAATACATAGATACTGAGAGCTGACCAACTCTGTAAAGAACTCGATGATCTTCAGTCTGTAGAAGCCCAGTGGCGGAGACATTGGGCCGGTGGTAGTCGTGAAGGTGAGGTCCGAAGTGGGCTTCTTCAGAAGCTCGTTGAGAGTTTGGCTGTGAGTGACCGACTGCTTGAACAGTGGATCGAGCTTCTCCAAAGGTGCGCTGACCTCAATCGAGCTATCCTTGTGTTTCCTCATGAGCTTAATCATCACAGTAAGGCCATTGATGAAGCAGCTTCCAAGTGGTGACTATGTATGATTGTTTGATTGATTGATTGATCGAGTGAGTTTGATTGATTGATTGGGTCATGTGATCATTCGATTCGGGATCATACCTCTGAGAACATAAAGCCGTAGAGCTTCTGGATTGTCTGCTCACTACCTAGCTCAGCTATCAAAGGTGACTCAACGTATCCAGAGGACTCGACAATCTCTGAAAGGAGGAAGGCAGCATTCTCATGGAACTAGACAATGAGGTAGTAGTGTTGATGTTAGGGTCTTCCATAACACATGACGATCACGGTAAGGTGAGGACAACATACATCTGAATCAAAGGCAGGGTCGAGCTTGGCAACAATACCTCCGATGAGGTTTGCTTGCTCCAGCCACTCCAGAGTGCCGGCGCCTCCCTGGAACTCCTCGATTGTGATGATCTTTAGAAGGATGTCAACGATAGCTGATTGATCGAGATGTGTAATGAACTTGTCAATGATCTTATCCTGCTTCTTGATATATGTCATTGTCTGATTTGTGTTTGATTGATCATTAGGTTAGGATGGGTGCCCATTCGTATTGGTTGGAAGGCTGATCATGCCATGGCATACCTCAACAGTCTTTCTTGACAAAAAGTTGATGGCGACCTTGCTAATGTTGGAGGAGAGTGATGGGTTGATGGCTGGCTGGTCCAACATGCTGTAGAGCTGTGCCAGATACTTCTCGTCCTTGTAGATGGCATCGATCACCTCGTTGATATCCATGCAGAGGATCTCTGAAGCAATGTAAGGGTAGGTATCCCTTCGCTTGCCCTCCTCTGCCACCTCTATCGTAGCATACTCGAACAACAAGTTCAATTGTTCAGGTTTCGAGAGACTGTTCATTCATTCATTCATTCAATCATTCAATGTTAGCATCTGTCCATTCATTCCATTTATCTGTTATGTATGTTTGATGAAGACTCCTTACTATTCGATCAATCTCTGATTCTGTAGTTTACACTCTTGTAGCAGTTCATCCTCATCGAGTAGTTCGTCCAATGTGAATGAGTCTCTATCGAGTATAGTCTCAATGTGAGAGATGGGATGGAATCCAAAGTTACGCCAGAAGCTCATCGTTTGCTCTTATGTGTATGTGTATGTATGTATGTATATGTATAATATATATAATATATAATGAAATAAGCTGCACAATCTTGATTGATAGGCTGCTTTGACTACTTGTATGTTTGAGTTAAGTTGAGTTGATTATTGTTACAAAGTGATTGTTTGATTGAGATGTGCAACTTCTACTTCTTCTACTTCTACTTCTACTTCTTCTTGAGAGTGAATGAGAGAGAGTTATAAGATTAGTTGCGAAATGTAGATAGATAGAACAGACAGATTAGAAGTGTCAATGGTAATCTGTCTGATGAGTGCGGGGAGCTAGCAAGCAAGGTTGCTGAGGTCACGGGAGGGTATGTGAGCGTGTGTGTTGGTGAGAGAGAGGAACGGAGAAACGATGTGGGTCTAGCTTCATTCATTAATAATCCCTTTTTCAAAAATCTGTTGGTGGTGTGGTGGGTTGGGTTTTGATTGACACCGCGATCCCATCTTGGAAGTTCAGTTCAATCCAGTGATCGATGGTGGTCAGTTCCAGAATAGTCCAACCATCACATGATCAGAGTGACGTTTTATTCCTCTTTGCAGACTTCTCAGTTGTGATATCATCGACTTCAACATCAACATATTCACCAGATGACATATCCATATAGTCAAGTGATGAGTCGTTATTGTTGTTGTTGTTGTTGGTTGTCTTGTGATGGTGATGATGATGATGTGCATTGTTGCCACTGCCACTGCTTAGCTTCTTACTGGTGTTACTACCGCCACCACCACTACTACCGCCACTACCAGATATGCCAAGCTTAATCCTAACCTGTTCCCTCTGTTCATCACTATGTTGCGGACATCTCAATGTCTTTGTACACATCTTTCCAGTGCTGGTTGAGACCACTCCACACATCTTATTCAGTAATGTCTGTATCTGTTCTGGAGTTTGTGATTTGATCGAGTCGAGCGAGTGTGATGGTTCTAAAATGATTGAATTGTTTGATTGATTACAATGGATTAGTTCCACTCCCTTCTGATTGAACAAGTGATCAACTTACTTCTTGACTTCCTCTTTGTTCTTGTCGTTCTTGGATCGTAGTCGTCATCTGAATCCTCTTCTGACATTGAGTTCTTGTCGTTGTTCTGTATGTACAATAGGTCACTCTGCTTCCTGGCCGTCCTGGTCGATCTTCCACCCATGCCCATGCACTTCTCCAGGTGTGGTGCATACCTGGCAGAGTTGACCAGGGCGTCGCACTTTATACACTCGAAGCTATCGGTTTGGTTCTTGAGCGCCTGTCCATAGATGTCCAGGCCCTTCTTGCTGTTGTCTCCATTGTCGCAGTTCAGACACAGACGTCCTTGATGGAAGCTGCGATGCGTCTCAAAGTAGAGGTCCATCAGTACCTCCTCAAAGAGGTCGGTGTATATCTCGTAGGCCATCTCGTCCTCAAAGGTCTTGCGCATCTCGGGGTCTGACAGATCGACTTCTTGCTCCTCCTCCACCTCTTGCGCCTCCTCATCCTCCACCTCCTCCACCTCTTGCGCATCGGCAGCCTGCGCCATCTCCTGGTCCTCCTGATGGGGACTGGACAGCGCGGCGGTCGTGCCGGTGGATGTCGTCGATGTGGTCGATGTCGTGGTCTGTGGCTTCTCTGTCTGAAGACCAGTCTTTGAGTCGCCATTGGCAGCATGAGCGCCACTTGTGGGGGCTGAGATCGATGGTGAATGCTTGCCAGTGGTCGCAGCCGTCGCAGATGCTGGATGATCAGCAGTCTTGGAGTCGCCACTCAGTCCAGCTGCTGATGACTGGCCAGGGCCCTTCTTGAGATCGCGTCGAGCAGAGTTGGTTGCGGGCGTACCGCTCTCACTCTCATCATCACTGTTGTCACTGCCGCTTGAGTCACTGTCACTCGACATGTCGCTGGTGTAGTCGCTGCCACTACTCGAGTATGAACTGCTAGAGTCATAGTCGCTGTCGTCGCTTTCATCGCTACTGCTACTGCTACTGCTGCTGCTGCTCCTGACCCTCCTCTTCTTGGGTGAGGAGGATGCCGACACGTTTGAGATGCTCGAGCCGCTTGACGACTTCTTTGGCAGGTCGTGTCGACCCGTGTAAGTGCCGCCCAGGTTGCTGGCCGACGTTGAGCGCATTGATGACAGGCCCTGATTGGGCGAGAGCACCTTGGACTGGGACTTGGCCCCGCCACCACTGGATTTGTAGTCTTGTGAACGACCGCCCGAGTCCTTGGACGGCCTGTCCTTTGAGCGGGATCGTGAACGTCTGTCACGCCTTGAGCTGCCACTGTCCCCGCCACCACGGTGTCGATCCCTGTCGACCCGGTCTCTGTCTCTGTCTCTTCCACCACGCTCTCTATCGCGATCCCTGTCGCGGTATCTATCGCGATCTCTGTCTCTATCTCGGTCCCTATCACGGTATCTATCGCGGTCCTTGTCAGTGTCGCGACGGTCGCGCATCGACTTGCCAGAGTCCTTGTCTTTGCTGCTGTACTTGTCCTTCTCCTTTATGCTGCTGGCGCCACTGTCACGCTCGCGCGACGACCTAGCCATATCGACGGTGGATGACTTTTTCAGCTCGCCACTGTCCTTGAGATGTGAGCGACCATCCTTTGCAATCTCCTTGCTATTCCTCAGTGACGAAGTGTTGGGCTCGCCCTTCTTGTCGCGGTCTCTGTCACGGTCGCGATCCCTATCGCGGTCCCTATCTCTGTCTCTGTCGCGGTCTCGTCTGTCTCTATCCTTGTCCTTCTCGCGATCCCTGTCTCTGTCACGATCGCGTCGATCACGATCTCTGTTGTCTCTATCTCCACGTGGGTCACGATCCCTCCTCAGCGAGTCCTTGTCACGATCACTTCTATGGCTGTCCCTATCCTTATCCTTGTCCTTGTCTTTGTCCTTGTCGCTTCGACCACGTTCGCCTCTCTCGCGATCAACGCCTCTTCCGCCTCCTGTTGGCGCTCCAGTATCAAGTGAGGTGCGTCTACTATCTCTATCATCGCTTCGTCTTTGATGATCTTTGTCTCGATCACCTCTATCACCACGACCACTCCTTTGATCTCTGTTTCCGCTGCCACTTCCACCTGTTGTTGGTGAGTCTCTTCGATCACTACTATTGCGTGCAACATATTGACCCGAGTCTCTAAGTGAATGTCTTGATGCATTTGGTGACTCTGACATATCGCTGTTTGGTGTAGACTCTAGTGATGCTATATTGATTGAATGTGTTAGCGTTACGCTTGTTGCTAGGTCAATGTGTTGTGAGATGAATGTACCATTGCCTCCTGTCGTTGTTGTGCCATGTTGTTCTGATTGAGCGTTGTTATGTACATAGTTGGATGAAGTTGTCAAGGACACCATTGATGAGCTCGAAGAGTTTAGATAAGGTGATGATGATGTATTATGTTGTTGTTGTTGATCATTACTATTACTATTTGTTGGACTATTATGGAATGACATCTCTCTCTCTTTATCTCTCTTGTATATGGATGGCAGCTTGTGCAGCTGTTGCACTTTGCTCTCAAACAATCGATACTATATCAATCAACTTGTAATATATGTAGTTATAATTATCTCTTTTCCAACAAATATAACTTTGGAATTGAATGTTTTGGAAATGACCTGAATCACAAGTTCACACAAAGTATCACCTGACTAATCAATCAATCTTGACTGGATCTATTCCATCCCATCCTCCACTCACTCAATCAATCAATCAATCAATTAAAGAGTGGAGTATTAGACTTTATTAGAATATTGAAAGTTCATTCACAACTTGAGAGGACCATGGACACCATATGTTGCCTGGAAGGAATGCTCCACCAACTTCACTTAGATGCTCTTGAACGTAGGAGATGGCAGCATCACATACTTCAATTGCAAAGTCAAAGAATACTATAGACTTTGAATCAAGATGATATGACCAGAATGGATTATATAATGCCCTTTTTGGTACAACTATACCCATTACATGTGGATTATCAGTTGTACGATTTTTGATTAGATCCCTTGCATGATCTATCAATGTTTGATTGGTCAACATTATATTGAAATGATTTCCAGCTGCATCCTTGAATGTGAAGTACCTTGGAATTTCCAAACAATCCTGTGATCCATAACATCCAACCAAAAATAATACCAACACAATAGTTATTATTGCCAACTTCATATTTGATTAGTTATTAAATTGATTAATTAAATGATTGAATGATTGAAGGATTGATATGATTAGTTAATTATACTTGTGATCCTTCAATCACCCACCACCAACCAATCAAACATTCATTCAATCAATTGTGTAAGATGTAGTCGTCTTTGGAACCCGACACCACACCACCTCGACTACGCAATGTTGATCGTAACCACTTGATGTCGGACTCCTACATCATCTTACTCCTACCTTGAATGATTGAATGCCATGATCCAAGCATGCTTGCATGATTTATTGAGGAAGTAGTTGAGTGAATGAATAGTTGAATGGGGAGTTGTGAAGAGGTGATAGGATTACATCGAGGAGTTCGGAGAAGTGAAGGAAGGTAGGAAGGAAGGTAGCTGATTTATCCATTGAGACCTTCAGCAGTGGCAACGTTGAAGAGGAACTTGTCCATGCCGGGTGGCAGCTTCCTCTCTTGCAGGTTCTCCAATGTGATCACTTGCTTGCCCTCGCCATTGTCCACTCTGAGTGTGTCGAGCTTGCCAAGCAGATCCTTGACCTTGTTGGACAGACCCTTGATAACGGCCTGGTCACTGACCTCCTCATCATCCAATGCCGCCAACAACATCTTCAACACATCCTTATGAATCGATCCCAATGAGAACTGATCCTTGCAATGTGATGCAACGCTAACCTCTTTAGAGTTCACTGTTGTCGTTGTCGCGAGAGTAGGTCAGTCAGTACAGGTCGTTTGAACGATGATTGAGTCGAGTTGATACATACGATCGACAAGTATATCGTACAGTTCCTCACGTGATTTGATGGAGGCATCAGTGAATCCAGCGACGTAGACACCGGCAGTGGTGAGATCCTTAAGCTCGCTCTCGTCCAGTGTGACAAAGGGTCGGAGCAACGACCAGTTCTGGCGATGGAAGACAAAGAGGGGGATCGCTCTGATGACCTTGAGCAACGATGTCAGCTTGTCCGAGTAGATGACGATGCGCTTCTTGATCATCATGGCTGTCCACACGAGAATGATCTCCTCGCCAAACAATCTGATGACGTCCTTGATGCTTGTCGCCAGGTATGAGCGACGCACGTCATAGTCGGCGTCGACAAACTTGCCGAGCGGGCCAACATCAAACATGCCTCTGTTCAACGCTCGCAGCTGACACTCCAGCAACTTTGAAGGGTCGCCAAGCTTCAAATAGATGTTCGACATGATCTGTGACAGAGCTGCGTATTTCTCTGGGTTGAAGTTCTGTTGGTTGGCACGAAGTGATTGATTGATGGGAGTGAGTATGTCGGTCCATCAGTCTCATTCATTCATTCATCGCATCGATCGATAACATTACATTTCTGAACAAACAGATTGAGTAGACTACTACACGCTTGATGGAGTCTGGTACGGTGAGCTCTGGATCCTTGTCCTTTTGAGCAAGGATTGAAGTGGTGTAGATGTATATCCATGTGTTCTTATACTTGCTGAAACTAAACTGTGCGTTGATCCTGTTGCTTTGCAGTCCAGTTCTGTTCAGTGCAACCTGTCGCAATGTGTCATCGATCGATGGGAACACCCTATATATCATGTCCATTCATTCAGTCAGGTCAGTGTACATGACCCAAGTCACAATGATCAATCATTTAATCATCAATAAACATACCATGTCAACAAGACATCACCTGTATTATCCTTTTCAAATATACATATACTGTCGTCCAATGATATATCTTGCATTGTTATTATCTATATATATATATATATCCTATCTCTCTCTATTACAACTAATAATCATACACCCAAAACTAAGACAAAAGCAGAATCAAACAAATATCAAGGTAGGTCCTTTTTGGACTTTTCATCACCTTTTTCAAACTTTGGAACTATCATCAACCATCTTTCATTACATTTTGCTTGAAAACAGTTACAGTATCTGTGATCACATACATTAAGGATTTATATATGATCAATGTATTCTTATTACTTATTTCCTTATACTTCTGCTTGAGGAGGAAGTCTGTGAAGAAGTGGAGTTGGATGTGGATGTGGATGTGGATGTGGATGTGGATGTGGATGAGGATGAGGATGAGACGCTTGTTGATGATGATGGCTTGGAAGTAGTGGTAGTGGTGGTTGATGCTGGACTGGATGCTTTGACTGGACTGCCAAGGGAAACGTTTGGTGATTGTGGCGTGGTTTTGGAAGATGCCGCTGCCCTCAAACTATCAGTGAGCAATGATATCTTTGGCTGGATCGTCACCTTCTTCTTCTCCTCGACCTTTGATGATGGTGACAGCACTGCTGATGATGTAACTGTTGGTACAAATGTTGTATCAGCCTTTGCTGCTGCCACAGGGGCTGGTGTAGCCACTGGAGTTGGTACAGTCACAAGGGTTGGTGCAGCCACTGGTGTTGGTGTAGCCACTGGGGCTGGTGAAGTCACAGGGGTTGGTGTAGCCTTTGGGGCTGGTGCAGCCACTTGTGTAGTCACAGGGGTTGGTGTAGCCACTGGAGTTGGTACAGCCACAGGTACTGTTGAACTTGTTGACTGAGTGGCCGAAACCTTCTTGATTACTATAGGTGTTGGGGTTGATACAACAGGTTCAATAGCAACTGGAGTGACTTGGACGTTGTTTGGCTTGGGAGTGTCCTTATCTTGATCGTCGACTCTGGTGTTTGGACTGCTTCCAACGATGGGCAATCGGTCAGAGCTGGCCAGAGTTACAATGACTGGTGCTGGGACTGGGGTTGTCGATGACGAAGACGATAATGATGATGGAGCTGTGGTCGATTGAAGTGGTGGCGAATAGATTGATACAGTTGGCATTGGGGAGGATGGCGCTGATGGAGTAACTGTCTCGGACGAGGGAGAGTTGAACTGTCGCTCTAGTGCCAATGATCGCGCGGTCGAGTAGAACTTGCCCAGACTCTTCCAGTCAAGCAACTCGGACAGCTTCTCTGTCTTGTTCCTAAGTTCAATACGCTGACGTCTGTCCAGTTGGCAGAACTTCCACAAGTAGTCGGTCATCTGTTCCACTGACTCGCTGGGTGACTTGAATCGTCTGTCCACGATGAAGATGCCCTTGGAGTCTGGGTCGGCCAGACCACGTCTCATGTAGTTGGCAAAGCCTGTCAGGTTACTTGTGACTGATGGCACACCCAGCACTGTACACTCGGCTGGCGTGTAGCCCCATGGCTCATAGTATGATGCAAAGACACCAAGATGACATCCACGAACAAACTCTGTGTAGTCCAAGGGTATGAGTGGATTGGTCGAGTTGAGGAACTCTGGATGATATATGATCTTGACTCTGTCCTCGTGTCCATTGAACATCTGTATCTTTCGCAAATGATTAAGTATTGGATCGTTATCTGATTGATTGATTGAGTGAGGGAGTAAGTGATTTGTCTTTGATTCATCCCAATTCATTCAATCATACATACAGTCATCGACCATGTTGTGTGTTACGATTGGAGGCAGAGATGGCCTCTGCTTGAGTGCATATATCCTTCTCTTGAGCTTGACGAGGTCCTCCTGGGTGAGCAACTCCTCGGGTGAGATGACCTTGCCACGAGAGGTGGCCTCAAAGATCCTCTCACCCATGCTCTCGACCAGTGAGTTGCAAGTCCTTCGCATGTCCTTGAGATAGGACTGACCCTTCAACGACTCGACGTTGAAGTTGTTTGTCTTGGCTGGCATGATTATGAATGCGACCACAGTGAGATTGGAGCCAGATTGCTTGAGCAGCTTGTTGAGGCCAGCCAGCGAGTCCAAGTACATGTCCACACCCTTGTTGTAGTACTCGTAGCGACCAGCTGTGAAGAAGTAGAGTGTGTTCTCCAGGTCAAAGTCGTAGTGGCCATAGAAGTGTCCGCGGACAAACTCGTGCAACACACTCTTATACTTGGCGTGGAGGTTCTGGAACTCGTGCAGCGCTGTGAACTTGTCCAACGTGAGGCCATTGGGGAGGATTACGTCGGCCTTGCGCTGGAGTATGTGCTCGGACTCATACGCCGTGATCTCGGACACGGTCGTGAAGACATGTGCGTCCGCCGCCGACTTCTTCTCGATCCAATGACGATGGAAGATGCCACGCTTGGACGCCTCAAAGTCCGTGCTTAGGTACTGCATCTGGTTGTACAGGTCCACACCGCCAGCACTCAGATAGCGACCGAGCAGCGTGGCGTGTGTGGTGAAGATGGTGGCGATGGGCACACGCCATTTGCGCAATAGGATGAGGCCGACCGATGCCTGCCACTCATGGAAGTGTGCAATGTAGCGCTCAGAGCTAGCTTCGGCAAACTCCTTGAGGAACAGAGCCACCTGGTAACCAAAGACAATGGCCTCATTGGTCTCGTTGTCGTTTGGCTGCTCAAAGCCAGCCATCAAGTCCCAGCGCCACTCGCCCAGTTTATGGAAGCTACTCCTCAGATCGATCAAGAAGACCTTTGGATAACTATCAATTAGCCACTTGCCAAAGTGTACCTGAATGCCATACTTCTTCATCATATTATCAATGACAGGTGACACCAAAGGACCAGGCACAAGCGGTTCAAACTCTGTTGATGCCGTCTCTGGTGAGTATGGTCCAATCAATGCATATCTTGATTTGAACTCTTCAACTGTTACCTGATTTGATGTGAATAGAAGTGAAGTCAATGATTGAATGAATGAGTGAGCAAGTTGAAGTGAAGTCATTGAATGAATGAATGATGATATGATACATACAGGTGCCTTTGACTTTAGTACAGTATAGATACCACCGACCTTCTTGGCAACCTCCCAACCAATATCAAAGAGTGCAACATTTGGCTCAACAACAGGTGTCACTTCCCCAGATGTAATGTCTCTGTTGAGTCTCATTTGAGACATGGCACCATCCAAGTATGTACTATTTGGTGTACCAAATATCATTATTATTTGTTATTTGTTATTTATATATATATGATTAATTTAAGTATTAGTATGATTGAACAAAGTTACATCCATTCATTCATTGTCATGGTAGTGTCTCAGATTATTATTAAAGTTGTCGATGTCAGTTGATGAGATCCAAAGTGTCAGTTCCCAACAAAGGGGCAAAGTTTGATTTTTTGATGCTTTTGACAACATTGTTGGTTGGATGTTTGACGAATCACATCATTGGTCAGTCCACTGACCCACACTTTCGACAACTTCTTCATCTTCAACAACTACGAATATTACAGTACAAACAGATAATATATATATAGTTATGAGTGAAGACTTGCAACATAAGTTCAATGCAAAGTTATCGGAAAGATTAACAACACTATGGAGTACTTTACAACAATCGGCAACAAAACATCAAAGTTTAAGTGTCAACAGAGTTGTTTAAACAATTGCATGAGATGATGATTGTCGAAGAGCATAGAGCCAATGCATCAAATGTTGAAGGACTCTAACAGACATCGACAACAATCGTTGACATTGTCAAAGAGATCAAGAGCATCATTAACTTGTTCAGACCGACGCCTGAGGACGCCATCGTCGAACAGCCAAGTGCCGAGATGATCGATGGTATCATTCAAACGATCACTTCATGCACTACGATGGACCAGTTCATCGAGCGAACCACCTCAACTACATCTTCTCAAATGACTGACGTTGGTGCCAGTGACTTGGTACCACATCGATCCTAAGGTGCTGGACGATGTCGACACTGAATCATCACAATGTATCGACACATTCAACTTGAAGACCAAACAGCAACAACATATCAGGCTCCCTGGCCCTGTGACCACATGTGCCTTTGATGGACGGGACACACTGTACATGATGAACTGGAAGCCGTTACAAGAGTCCAGACTAACGCTGTCCAACCTCGAGGTAGATGAACTCACCTACGTGGCCAAAAGGACGATGGAGAGGACATAACTGTCTGACGTATTCCACCTCGGAGAAAGGAACTCTATATCTACTGGAGGGAAAGGATACCAACTTCCGATACAACATTGCCAATGATGAGTGGACCAAGATTGAAGACAACGACTCTGTCAACTCCCGTGACCATCAAGCAATGTGTGTTGCGTGATCCCCGCATTCCTCGCAAGTAGATTAGGATCTAATCAAGATCGATTGGTGATCGTCCGATGATCAGGCTCCAACAAATATCTTCAAGTTTGGTCTTTTCGACTTCGAAGTTTGGTTGGGCGCGCAACACTCTTGACTTCAATTTGATTGCTGCGCATCCCGTCCACTTCAACATCAACACCAATAACAAGTAAATACATAATAATGGACATCGACATGAATGACTTGTGTTGGTGTCATCGAGATAATAAGTTGAAGGAGTTGATATGTTTGGATTGTAATACATTGATTTGTAAACTATGTATGAGTGTACAACACAAGAAGCATGATATAGAAAGTGTAGAACATATAAAGTCATTGTCAGAACAACATAAATACAATGATAAGTCATTGGAAAGATTATCAACATTATGGAGTACACTACAAGAGTTGGCAACAACTTATCAAAGTCTAACAATCAGTAGAAAGTCAATAACAGAGTTATTCAAACAATTGCATGAGATGATGATGATCGAAGAGCACAGAGCCAATGCATCAAATGTTGAAGGACTCCAACAAACATCCACTACAATCATTGATATTGTCAATGAGATCAAGAGCATCAACAACTTGTTCAGACCGACGCCCGAGGACTCACCCGCCATCATCGAACAGCCAAGTGCCGAGTTGATCGATGGGATCATCCAAACAATCGCCACATGTACCACGATCGACGAGTTCATCCAGCGTACGTTCCCAGCTGCAGCGCCAATGTCCGACGGTGGTGCCGGGGACTTGTTCCCAAGCACAGACACTCAGCTGTTGACCATGTTGCAGCTCATAGTGACAAAGATCAACAACGCACCAGAGTTCAAGGTTGTGCCGGCATCAAAGTTGGAGATTGATCAAGGCTTGATGTCCTACATCAAGTCTCAGATACGTGACTGCTTCCAAGAGCTGGGCGAGAGGGAGAAGTTCACTCATGACTTGGACAGCCAGATCATGAGTATTGGCCCGGAGTCAATGACATTCTTCTCGCCAATGACTAACACGTGGACCGATGGCCCAGATCAGACTTTCCCAGGAATTCAAGATTTCAATTTGTCAACTGTATATGCGCGAGGACACGTCTATTTGTTTGGTACTGGAGACAATTATGACTCTTACAGCCGCTTCTCACTGGCCACCCGTCAATGGGAACACAGCCCAGTGCCAAGCCTTGAGAATGGTTTCTATTGTTCGGCCTGTTATGATGGAGATAAGATAATCTACGTGATCGGCAATGAAACTGGTCATCAGGATAATGCCAAGATATTCAGCTTTAACATCGACACTCAACAGCTTGTACATGTTGGCAAGTTTGACGCGAGGCTAACGATCATGCCATCCTACGTGGACTACCACAATCAGGTCCTCTACTCTATCGATGTTGCCACTATGGGGGAAAATGATATTGCTTCAACAGAGTGCATCGACACATTTAACTTGATCACCAAGGATCAAGCAACGATCCCTCTCCCTGGCTCTGTCTACTCATCTGTCTCTGATGGTCAGGGCATGTTGTACATGATCGTCTGGACACCGGAGCAAACAGCGTTCATCAGCCTATCGCTGACCAGTCAAGAGATAGTCTACCTTACGGATGTGCCACCCCCAGCGGAAGGACGGAGGAGAGCGTATAAAGGTCTGCTGTGCTCCTCATCGGAGAAAGGAACACTATATCTTCTGGAGGGTCAAGATAGCAATTACCGATACTCTATTGACAATGGACAGTGGACAAAGATCGTTGACAACGACACCAGCATCTCACATACTTCTCAAGGAAAGTGTGTGTTGTTTGATCAACGAACTGCTCGTAAAGGACCAGGCGCCAGGTATATCTAATCAATCTAATCATTATAACCCAAAATTAAAGTGCACCATCACACATTGTCCGACAAGGGACATGCTGGCCTAGGCCATGGTTTATACCATAAACTCATAGACATATAGACCAATGTCCTCCATTTGCCAGGGCTCTCCACACCTCTCTCTTGGCATAAAGATATCAGTCATGTTGTATCTAGGTGAGCGGGTAGATGGGGAACCTAGTTTGAATGTTGATACTACTCTTGTGTGATGTCTGGCAGCCATTGATATTGTTCTCATTACAAATAGTTCAATATCAATATTGTTGGTACTGAGGAAGATGACTGGACACTCCTTCAGGGATTCCTTGAGGCAGAGGTGGTCATTGTAGATAGTTACTTGACGAGTTGATTCTGGCATGTTCTTTTGATAACTCAATCTCTTGTATTCTTGTATCTTGTCTGATGAAGTATCGTACATTGATGGAATTGTTTGGATTCCAATAGTTTGGATACCAAGTGTAGAGGCTACTTGGCAAACGAGGTCACCAGTGGTACATCCAAAATGAATGAGTCCATCTGCCTTGGAGAGCACTCCCCATTCCATCAACAATCCAACAACTCTAGGATTAACTTCATGGTCATTGGCACTTGCACCATCATTAAGTTCCTTTCTTAGTGCAATCCACTTATATAAATTGGTCATTGTTGATAATTCCATTGAGTAATACTTTAAGAAATACTAAATTATTTGTTTACAGATAATATATGTTAATTTGATTAAAAGATTGGCTGGCTATCTTGTATGTACATTCTCCTCTTAAGTTCCACGCTGTCTACCTTACCTCTTTTCGTTTGTTGCCTTCATCAATCAATCATTCACACTCGCACACACTCACACACACAATCTAACAAGTTGTAACACCATCTAAATCTGATGATGACAATGACCACACACATAGCTCCTCCCAAATGATAATAGATGGATGACATTGCATCCTGTGTTTATTCTCTCTCTACTCTCTCTATCTTATATTTACCATAACATTGGAGTGCCACCATTTGCTGATGTAGACACCTTGACCAACCAGTTCCAATTCTGGAAACAGAAAGACAGGAAGTTGACCGCAAAGAATACAATGTAAGCCACGACGGAGAAGATAACGCCAGAGTCCTCCTTGATGCGCTTGTTGAATCTCTCCTTTGACTCTTGGAAGTCACTCGTCTGTAATGTATAAGTAAGTAAGTATAAGGCCATGATGAATGAATGAATGAATGGATACTTACAGGCTTGATGGAGAATGACAACATTTGGTCATCATCCTCTGATTGGATGTTAAGATCTGGGTTGGCCAGTGAATGATAGCTCTTCTTCAGAAGACCATAACCTCCAAATGGTGATCGTCCAATCATTGCAAGGTAGAATAGTACCAACACCTGGAATGAGAGTCCCCAAATGAACCATACAAAGAGGTTGTCTATAAATGAGTGAGGATGGGATGTCAGTGGCATGGTAGGTGAGTATACAAGTTGTATGTATACATACTTGGATCGTTTTGTTGATAGACCAGAGCTGGATCAACTTGGAGTGCAACTGTTGCCAGGATCCACTGAGCGATGATGTCAATGAAGAGGACCCATTGTGGAACACGGGTCGAGTAGAAGTGGAGGAAGAAGCCAATGGTCGTTCCAGTGACTACCTGTCCAACACTGTGATATCCAAGTATAGTACGCTCAAAGCATACACAGACCATCAACAAGACACCTGTAATACGGGAGCTATGTATGATGGGAAAACGTGTCAGAACGATTGAGTGATTGAATGAGTGATTGATTGAATGACCTACAACATAGGATAGAATGGTGCTTTGTCGATCAAGAGTGCGCCAAGGATTCCACCAGCCATCGCATCACCACTGGGCACTATTGTTTTGTTGTTGGATGTAGTGTCAGTGATCAATCAATTATGCTGGTTGGCTCGATGCCAAGAGATGTCCTCGTAGTCCAAACATGATTACATACTTCCATAGTAACTTCCAATGTGAGCGCCATCACAAATGCATGGTCTTCTCTGTCTGAAGATAGCATAGAGTCCGACACCAAGTACCAATGGGTAGGCTAAAGTTTTGATTGATCGATCGATTGGACATTTATGGTAATTGTGTCAACTTGTTAGTCTATGTGGTGGGCCATTCAATCACTCCTTCATGAGTCCACTTACCAGCACGATGCAACATATGCACAATGTCGACTCTGAGCGACAGGAACTTGTTCTTGATTGTTGGATAGGATGATGGAGTGGTGCCAAGTAGCATCATTGCTGGAAGTACAAAGAGCATTGATGAGACGGTGATGGCCACGGTCCTGGGGTTGACAAACTGCATGATAAAGTTCGCCAACAATGGTAGGACGCCCTCGTTGTTCTTGAAACAACGATTGAAGAAGTTATCGCCATTGACATTGGTGCAGTTGGCTGTGTTGTGTGCCGACACTGATGTTGCCAACATCAATGTGATGGTGGCCATCAAGACCAGAGACATGCTGTACCTGTACATTGTATTTGTGTGTATATATAATACTTGTAGACGATCGTAGTTGTAGTGATGAGAGAGTGAGAATTGTTGAAAGAAGATTGTGATGGTGTTGATGGGCCAGCACACTTTTTTTTTTTGATCAGGTTTTGGGTCTCCACCTTGGCCTTTTTGACCCAAAGATATTTTGATCTTACATTTTTAGGTAGTCGACCTTACTTGCCAACGGGAATGGTCTATTATTTGTAATACAGAACAAAGTTTATTTGATGTTGAGATTGGAGGAGAAGGTGATGGGTGGGGTGGTTTGATGGATCGGATATACTTGGTACAATACAATTATGAAGACTCTCTTGACAACTGAATCAGTGGCTTGAACTGATTGCCATCACATGCCTTGTCTAAAAATGGATGCTGCTCATTTTAAACATAGTTAGTCATCTAATCAATCAATCAATCAATCAATCAATGGATCAATCAAACATACCCTCAAGAGTGTGGCGGCATCTGGTCTGGTCTGGACATTGATATCAAGGCACTTGTTGAAGAAGTCGTTGAAGTCTTTGCTCCACTTGGACTGCTCCTTGAGGGGTGGAATACCCTTGGTAGTGATCAAGAAGAGGGCTCTGAGAGGTGGGAAGTCCTGTTTGTTGTTGCGAAGAGGCAAAGCAAAGTTGTTAAAATCATGGAACATTCCAAGTCAAAGTCCAAAGACATATTGTCAACTTACCATGTAGGGTGGCTCACCCTCAGCCATCTCCATCATCATGATGCCAAGACTCCATATGTCAACCTTGATGCCGTAGTCGTGTCCACGAATCAACTCTGGCGCCATCCAGTATGGTGTACCGACGACGGTGTTACGCTTCTGCTGCTTCTGTGTGAGCTGTGCAGCGTATCCAAAGTCGGCAATCTTGACAGCACCGTCGGAGCTGAGCAGGATGTTGTCACTCTTGATGTCACGATGAATGCGGTGCAGCGAGTGGATGTATTGCAGTGATCTGAGTGTCTCGCGCAACACGTAGGCGATCTGTGGCTCAGTCATCTTGATGTTGTTGAAGGCCTCCAGTATGTCGGTGAGACAGCCACCCCCCATGAACTCCATGGCCACCCATAGCTCTCTGTCATTCACAATGTAGCTGTCGATGTAGCTGACGATGTTGTCGTGCTGGCTTGTCTTCATGATGGCGATCTCTGTTACTAGCAACTTGGCATTGTCGTTGTTGATCTCAATCTTCTTGATGGCCACTCTCTTTGTGGTCTTGGATGATGTGGCGACAAACACCTCTCCCGCTGCGCCCTCACCAATCTTTGTCATGTTCTTATATATCTTTGTTGGGTCCTCCCTGTTGACCAGATCATTGATTGTTTGGTTGGACTCATCTGGAAGTGCAGATGAAGGGCCTGGCTTTCCATCAGCAGCAGTCCTGCCAGCTTGGAACTCCAATACACTGAGCCACTCATTGGGCTTGTCCAACACTTCAGCCTTTGATACATTGTTGGTCTTTAGAATGACCTCCCATTCCTTTGGCAAGCCCTAAATATGTGTTGCCATATTGTTAGTATGGCCACCTTGACTTGTCCAGACGCATGCAAGACTTACAGAGAAACCTGTGGCAGAGTTAAAGTCAACATGGACGATGTGCTTTAGGTTGAATGGTGTGCCGACGCTGGAGTACTCAGAACCTTTCTCGACGGCCTTGATCCAGACGTTCATCTCATCTTGATTGTTGGCCTGGATGTAGAATGTCTTGTCGATTCTTGGTGACACCAGTTCAAAGCAGCACTGCTTGCCAATGTTGTTGTTGACACTGACACGACACATCCTCAATGGTACGACACCAATTGGACGTGGATCATTCTGTTCCTTAAAGTAGAACAACATATCCTTCTGTATCCTAAACCATCTCTTCTTCCAGTTCTTCACAATATGTCCTTGTTTCTTCAACTCACCCTCCTTATCTGGATGGCTCCATTGATCTGGTGTAATCTATAATCCATTATCCATTAGCCACCACATGTTAAGTTAATAACCAGGAATGTGGAGATGGCACCAACTCAATGAAACATACCTCATCTACGGTGATCATCATGAATGAATATATGATTGATTGTTTTGAACAAACAAATACTATTAATACAAGAATAATTAATGAATAATGATTGAATGACAATGAATGAATGTAAGAATGAGTTGGCCAACAACAACAATGATTGTCCAACAACAACAACAACAACATCCATGAACACCAACAACATTAAAGATGTGAGAGATGTTGTTGCTTTGAGATGTGTGGGTAGACAGGTGATGCCAACAAGCCAAGTTGGCTTGCAGACCCAAACCCAAGATAGTTTCGTTGTTGTGGTGTTTTGTTGACTTGTGAGCGTGGTGCCTCTTGGGGTCACCCCGAAGTGGCTCTAGCCCTTTATCCACACTCCCCCACCACTTCACTATTCAAACACTTACAGATAATTAGATACTAATAAAGATGTGAATGATGATTGAATTAATGGATATATATCTTATTATTAAGATTGATTACAATGCTTGTTTGATTCAGCTTGTTACTCAACCAATCTATCTTCCACCACCAGGCCCGACTTTGATCACATCAATGTAGTGAGAAGTACTCAAGCGACCATTATTTGAGCGGCCACTGTTGAACAACATACTCCATTGTCCAGGTTGAATGATCATATCATATTCCCTTTACCTTGATGTGACTTGGTCAAGAAGTCCATTACAAAGGACTCCTTGACTCGACTCGAGGATTCATTCATTTATTTGACAACCCTCGAGGGAAACAACATGAACATAAAGAGATTTGATAAGATAGCTGTAGTTAGTCTAGACGTCACTGGTACTCTAATCAATGTGAAGGGTACAGTAGGCTCACACTATGTATGTTGCCAGAGTAGCATACACATGCTCAAGATATGATCCCTCTAACAAACACATCCAATAGAATAATATATTCCAAAGCCATGGCCTGCACTTTGATGAGGACAACCTGAATAGAAACTTCCTCAAGTGCTTTAAGGAGAAGTCAAAGGGATCGCCATCGTTTGGTTCATTCGATGTGAACACTGTTAGCTCGGGAGAGACTTGGTGGAGTGAGCTCGTCAAGTCTGTCATCGTGACATCTACGATGGAGAGACATGATGCAAATCATGTCGAGCGAGATAGACAACTTGCAATCATAGACAGATTGCCACCATCAGTCTACTCTGATCTCTATCATAGGTTTGGAGGTGACCTTGCTCGCCAGAGCAATGTTGACGGTGTTGTGTCCACCTCAACAGACAACATTCACGACTACTGGTATCTGTATCCAGAGGTCAAAGACACATTGGAGTACCTAAGAGCCAACAAGAAGTTACTAACAATCATCTCCAACTTTGATGAGAGAGTTGTAAGTAGTCTGTCCACACTGGACTGTCTTCGCGTGCGTCAGTCAACTAAACAATCACATCATCGCCATCACCATCACCATCATACTTGTGTAGCATACTATACTAAGATTACTTGGCATTGCAGACTACTTCAAGACAAGTGATGGAAAGAGTTTGATTACGACATCGATCGACACTGGTTACTCAAAGCCACACCAAGCCATATTCCAGAGCCATTTGGATATGATCAGACAGGTCGACCCATCAATTACAAAGGATCAGGTACTATATGTTGGTGACAAGGTAGATAAGGACCTTGAAGGTTCATCATCATTTGGATTCAAGTCCCTATTAATCGATCGCAAGAATCGTCATCAAGACATTCCCCAACAATCAAGGATAAGCACACTGGCTGATCTAAAGACAATGTTGTGATTGACTTGGACAGGATGGACTGCAACTAAATCGAACAATTGTATCTTGGAACCATGGTTGAACATCCTTATTTGTTTGATTGATTGAAGCTTCGAGTGATTTATGCACTGAATCGAAACGAATTGGGGGCAATGATTTAGATCTTGCTGATCGAAATGTGGGAATGTCTGTTGGGGGGTTTTGGTTCTCCATGCCCTGATCAGATTCCTCAACTCAATCAACATATCATAACATAACATAACATTATATATATATACTACTACGAGATAGATAGAGAGAGATGGATGCATTACCAGAGAACTACAAACCTGACTCTGGCTTGTGTGACCTACACGATAAGAGATCTCAAGAATTCGTCTGCCTAACATGCCACAAGGTGATATGTTCATTCTGTTTGGTGTCAAGCCATAATGGACATACAGTGGACAATGTGGAGTTTATCAAACAAAGGATAACGGAGAAGAAACATGATACTTTGTGGTACATGTCAAGGCTCTCAATGCTCTGGTCTGCATTGCAGGAGCATGCTCTAGTCTATCATGCACTGGACACCACTGGCAAGGATGTCAGTGATCATTTTGCTAACATGCTCAAGTACTTGATGGCACATGAGCTCAAGCTCAAGACACCGCTAAAGGAGAAGATGGATCAGACACAAGTATCAATCAATCAAATAATCAATGAGATCAAGAACATTATATCAATCATCAATATGAAGAGGCCAAAGATTGATGGTCCACCACCAAAAGATGGAGATATTAATGACAGTGGCGCCACGTTTGATATTGAGTTGATGGTCAACTCAATCATGCACTGTTCATCAGTACATGAATTCATGGACAAAATGGAGTCGATGTTGTCAGGTGATAATCCGACTCAAACAAAGCCTGAAGATGATATAACTGTGTTTGATGGCAATGAGCTGTTTGCCATGATCAAGAATCATGTGTTGAGAACCCAGGCCATCCAGTATGATGATGCCAGTCGCCATCACTTGCGTATCAAAATCGACACCAACAAGCTCAGTGACATCAAAAGACAGCTCATGGAATGCTTTGAGATTGTTGACCCTACACAGCCAGCTCCACGACAGTCGTCAACAAACAACAACGGTGTGATGCAAATCAATCCATTCATGCAACAACCACTGTTGCCTCCTCACATCCAACAACAGCAACAACAACTACAACAGCCACAACATCAGCCTCAACCATTGATGATGCCGATACCTGCGCCCTCAGCCCTAGCCAACGTGACTGGTCACCACCAGCCAGGTGCACCAGTGTTACCTGGAGTGCCAGCTCCACAAGTGCCAGGTCACTTTGGACCTCCTCCAGTACTCCCTGTTGCAGCTGCACCACCACCTCCTCAACAGCAAGTTGCATCCTTTGGCGGAGCCCCGCGCAATCAGCTCTCCAATCACATACTCTCGCTCAATGGCAAGAGTTGTGAGGTGTTTTCGATAGAGACATCGACTTGGAAAAACATACAAGCGTTCCCTAAGCGATCATACATCTATCCCTCACTTGTATATGCTCGAGGCTTTGCGTTTGCCTTTGGCGGCTTCGAATCCCCAACCACATACTCCCGCCTCTCCTTGTCCGACATGCGCTGCTACGAGTCCGAAATGGTCGGCATAATGGGTGGCCGCTTCATCTCCACCTGCCACGATGGCGACAAACACATCTACCTGGTCGGTGGCTACAACAACGATCAAAGTTTGAACCGCATTGATCGCTTCAACATCGAGACGGGAGTGTTCACCTCAGTCGGCCAGCTGCCACTCCAACTCTGCTACCCCTTCACATTCTTCCACAACAACCACATCTACATCGTTGGCGGCTATCACACCAAGGACTACAACCGCACACTGGTGGCATTTAACCTGCAGATGCTCACATGTGAGTTCCTGATCAGGGACATCAAGACACCCAAGTTGGTGCATGGCAGCTGCTTTGATGGCGTGGACAATGTCTACATGATCACTGGCAACACAATGTTGCGCTACACACTGTCCACCAAACAGACCAACACTCTACCGTTCCCGGCCGACCTTAAGCTGGGCGTTGCAATCCTAAACATGATCTATTATTCCCAGTATAATATTATCCAATTGGTTGGTGGCAAGGGTCGCAACTACCGCTTCTTTATAGCAGAGAACGTTTGGAGACTATTAGTCGACAATGACAATATTGAATCACGTGATAGCTTTGGTGTATGTTTGATTCGCGATTGAATAAAGTAAAGAGGAAGAAGACTTGAATGGAATGGATTAATTATACAATATAGTACTGATATAACCTTTATAGTGTAACATTGTTTGATTGTTGGTTGATTGATTGATGGTAGTGTATACACTCGGCTTAGATGGTCGCTGAGACGGTGGGACAGACGAACTGTTGTTGCTGCGCGCGCTCGCGCTTACTGCTCCTGCTGCTGCTGGTTCTGCTCGTCGTTGTGGTGCGAGAAGTAGTCAGTGCCACCACCGCCAGAGACGGATGTGGATAAACCTGGGTCGAGGACTGGGTTGTACTCGGCGTGCGACGACTGTGGGCCAGAGGCGGCGCCAGTGCGACGGTAAGTGTCACCTTGGTTGCCGGCTGGAGCCTGCTTGCCAATGTCAGTGGTGGCGGTGTAGTTGGCGGTGGACGACTGTGGGCCAGAGGCAGATCCAGTGCGACGGAACGAGTCAGACTGGCTTCCGGATGGGGCAGACTTGCCAATGTCAGTAGTGGCGGTGTAGTTGGCAGTGGATGACTGTGGGCCAGAGGCGGCGGTACCTGGACGACGGTAAGTGTCCGACTGGCTGCCAGATGGTGCAGACTTTCCAATATCGGTGGTTGGGGTGTAGGAAGCAGTCGAAGACTGTGGGCCGGTGGCGGCGGTACCTGGACGACGGTACGAGTCCGACTGGCTACCGGATGGTGCGCTCTTGCCTGGGTCGAGCTTTGGGCTGTATTGTGAGGTTGATGAACCTGGTCCTGCCAATGATCTTCTCATTCTTTCTTAATTGTTATTATTATTATTATTAGTTATAAAGATAAATAATAATAATAATAATAATATGTATGTGTATGTGTAAGTAATATGTTTGATGAATGACTGATGTTGTCGATGAATGAGATGGGTGAGGTCATCCATCCATCCTCGCAACCAAGCATCTCATTTCATTCATTCACCAACCCACACAACATACTCAACAACCCTCCGTTCAGAGATCTCCTCTCCTGTGTGTGGTAGGTATACCATAGCTTAGTATGGGTTGCCTTTTCATTCAATTGATATGATTTGATGGGTGATGAGATAAAAGTGGAAGTGAAGTTGATAAACAATTGATTTGTTTTAATTTAATTGTCTATTTTCATCTCTTCTCACACAACAAACCATTTTTGATTATGATTTTTTTTTTGTTCAACAAACATGTGACACACTTTGTGTATGTGTGTGTATGTTTGAGCGCGAAACATTTCAACAACACACAGTTCAAAAGTCAGCTCACTCGTTCATTCATTCAATTCAATTCACAACCTTCTCTCTTTCATTCTACATCATCATAATTCTCTCTCTCTCTTCGAAACAAACAAACAAACATATTATAAGTTAATTTTCCAAAATTTACATCTAGGTATTATTATTATTTCTCCCTGATCAAAGACCTTTGAGTTTAATTTAAATATCAAATCATCCAAATTTAAATTGATCTTATTAAGAACCTTCTATCTCTCTCTCAAATCGATATTTTTAAAGCATCATCATCATCATAATGTATAATAATAATGTTGGCGGCGGTGGCGGAGTTACTGGTGGCGGCGGAGACCAATCTGATTTGTCAGCAATGCCAATGCCAAATATTCCTGCCGACTTTGATAGCTTGATAAATAGTATCAGCACCAACAACAACCTCAACAACAATAGTTACAACAGCAGCAGCACTATCAGCAACAACAACATGCCAAACAACATGGGCATGAGAGGCAATATGATGAGTAACAACATGATGCCCACCGTTGTCGGCAACGGTGTCGTCTCACCTAATGGCGGAGGCGTGATGGGTGGTGGCTATGTTGCCATGAACAATATGACTCCCATGAATAACATGAACATGAACAACAACATGAATATGAACAACAACATGAATAGGAATAGTTACATCAACAACAACAATAATAATAATAATAATAGACGAGGATACAACAACAACAACAACAACAACAACAACAATAATAATAGACGTGAACTTAATGATGATACACCTGTACTGATTAAGGATACCAATGGTATGTAATTTGAAACATGAATCCACAAGTGAGAGTATAAGTTCATCCTTATCCATCATATCACCTCCAACATTGATTGATTAATTGATTGATTGATTGATTGAGTGATTAAGTGAAGGGTGCATCTCCCCACAACAACTCTGCACAGCATGCTAACATGATTGATTTGATTGTCCTTTCTTTCTATCTATCTATCTATCTTACTCATTCTCATAATCGATCATGATGATTGATTGTTATACAAATGTCACAACTTGATATTACATTACAACCCATCAATCACATGATATAACATTCACCTGCACTCATTATAGGCAAAGTTATTGGAGATAAGGAGAAGCCAGGCCGTACTTTATTCATTAGAAACATTGCGTACAATGTTAAGGAGGAGGATCTCATTGGCATGTTTGAGAAGGCCGGTGATATCCGCAAGAAGTTCTCAGTGATCGACACAAGAGGAATAACATTCATAACATACGTAAGTGTTGATTAAAGAGGCCGCAAGTATTATCAAGCAATGTTACTTACACAGTATAACAACTACAACTAGTACGACATCCGTGATGCTGAGAAGGCAAGGGACGACCTGCAAAACACAACATTATCTGGAAGACAGATATCCATCCATTTCTCAATCCCAAAGGAGGACGCCAATGGTGAGAGCTCAAACTCTGGCTTCATCCTGGTCAAGAACAACAAAATGCCAGCCACTGAGCTAAGAACATTCTTTAGCACATATGGTGATGTCCGTGATGTCACAACCTACAAGGATGATCAACAGTACGTATATATACTACACTAGGCAAGGGAGGGATGGAGGATGGACAAGTTAAGTTAACTAACAATCAATCAATCATATATTATAGTCTTGTTGAGTTCTATGACACTAGATCATGTGAGAAGGCATTGAAGACTGCTCAGGGTCTGCCTCTGGCAGGTCAAACACTTGACTTGGGTCACTGGGCACCAAAGGAGGGTGCAGCAATTATTGATGCCTCCGAGTTCCGTGGTGGTCGCGACAATAGAGGTGGAAGAGATGATAGACGTGGTGGTTATAACAACAACAACAACAACAATGGCGGTGGCTATAACAATAACAACAACAACAACAACAACAGAGGAGGATCAGGACCAATGAGGAACAACTATCAAAACAATGACCGTAACCCAGACTACAGAAGAAGAAACAACAATAGTAGTGGAAGCAACAGTGGTGGCAGTGGCGGTGGTGGATACAACAACTACAACAGCTACAACAGCAGTGGTAGTGGCAGTGGCAGTGGCAGTGATAGTGGAAGCAGTGGAAGTAGACCAAACAACATATCCATGAACATGCCAATGAACAACAACATACCACCAATTGGCGGCAACAACTATAATGATGGCGGTATGTATCACACATTGACGACAACTCACTTGGACGACTTATTTGCTAACAACACAAACATTAATGTAGGCTATGGCAACTATAACAACAACATGAACCCAGGCTATGGAATGAACAATGAATATGGTATGAACAACAATATGGGAGGCATGGGCAACAACATGATGCCAATGGGTGGCGTGATGAACGGAGGAGGAATGGTGCCACCAATGAACGGTAACAACATGGGCAACCCAATGATGAACAGCAACATGCCAATGGGAATGGGTATGAACAACAACAACATGCCAATGGGAATGGGCGCTCCAGGCAACCCCGGTATGCCACCCGCTGGCGGCATGGGTTCCAACTTCAACTTTGATCCGACCAACCAAGAGATGTTGAACAGCATGGTACAGTCGATCAAGGTACCAACATTCAACAATCAATGGAACAACGGACCATCCAGCAACACTGTCAACCAGACCTCGCCAAGCCAACGGTACCAGCCAGCGGTCTAGGCACCGAGTTGATGATATATAGTCTCCCCACTGATGCAGCGGCTTACTTTTGCCAACCATAATGCCGACATTAACTTTAAGGATGGTCAATAAGTTAGGGTAGGCTGCGGCTTCACCGACAAACTACACTGTCCAAAGTTGGACATAACCAACCAAACATGTACACAACATCACACCTAATAATAATAATAAATACAAACATATCCAATAGTAACAACGTCCATCCATTCCTTCATACATCCATCATTGATTGGTTGATTGATTGATTAACTATACACGATACTCGTTTATTGCCACTCTTCATCATTCTCATCACCATCATCTTGATGATTTTTGAATTCACCTGCCTCTATCCTCTCTCTGAATCTCTCTATTGTTGTTGTTGTTGTAGATGGTGATGACGATTGATGATGAGTGTCAGTACATTCATTCAATCATTGACACATCAATCAATCAAATGACTTACCCAATAACGATTTGTTGATGTGATCAGTGGCTGATATTTCATATACTGGCTGTACAACTTCTTCTTCTTCTTCTTCCTCTTGCTCTACCTCTTCATCGTCGTTTGACGTTCCATATGGATCTATTCTAAGTCTTCCCATCTGTCTCTCATTAACATCAGAGGGTTGTTGCTCATCAACAGCAGGGTTGTTGTTGTCGTTTGAATCAACGACAGCAGTGATGCTGGTATTCGAGTCTGTTGTTGTTGTTGTATCGGCCATCATATGTTACTTGTTTTGTTGTTCTTTTTATTATACACCTGGTCGTCGTCGTAGTAGTTGTTTGAAACAATCAATCATTCAGTCGACTCACCAAATCAACTTTAAAGTCCTTTGAAATGAATGTGTTTGATAATAAAGATCTGCAATTATTTGAAGCGTTCCGCTCATTCATTCACTTCGAAAGCGAATCACTATCGATATTCGAACAACAACTCATAGATGTAAGAGAGGTCACATCTACTACTTTATTGTATAACCGTACAGTCGGTTCTTAGAATGGTTCAAACGAACGAACGACAGATCCAACCAGATCAACGCCTCAATATCCACTCGCGAGTGTCAAATTCACTCACTGTGACGCTGTTTGTGTATGAACCAAGAGTGTACGTATGTTGACCTTACAAACATACATGTAATAATAATAATAATAAAGTGGATTGATAATGAATAAATAATAAATAATTGTCGTTGACCAAACAAAGAATAAAAGGTAATGTTGGTTGGTCCAATGCCGGAGGCACACACAAGACTGGTCTTGTCTGTGTGTTTGTTTGACTGTCTGATCAAAGTGAAGTGCCATAGTTCATTGAGATCATAAGCTCGCAATGAAGGGCACCATTAAAATAAACAGCATCAATTCGCCCACAAACAAGCACACACTAACACTAACATTCAAATCAATCAAAAAAATATCTGTCTGGTTGGTCCAGCTCATCCATCCACATCCCGCTTTGTTGGATGGGTTTTGAGTACAAGGGCATTGAGTCCTACTGGAGAGGCGAGTGTCGCACGCGACTGCCTCCTCATGTTCATGTTGGGCTCAACAGCAAACACCACAAACACATCGCAACATGTTATGATGGCCTTGAAGCAAGCAGACAGGAGGATGTTCTATTGGGTTTGGGATTACTAGTTGGTAATCATTCATTCATTCATTCATCCATTCATTTGCACCTAACATACCTCCCATCATTTTAAACAATATTTATTCTTATTCTTCTTTGTTGTTGTTGTTCGCAACTTTTAACATCACTCATTCATTCATACATCGTTGCCAACATACCATCAATCCTTCCATCACATCGCACATCAAATATTATTTACCCAACATCACTCCGGAGTCATCACTTCTCCAATACCATCACTCTTACTTTGCAAAGTTATAATTATAATAACACTTTACTTACTTATAAATATTTAAAAGTCTTAGACACCATAATCACGCGGCTGATTGGTCGACAACACAACCACCACTCCACATCACAATCACAATCACACACAAAGTTACGAAACACGAAGTTTGATCACTTTTTTGAGTCGAAACACCCACATCCTCCACAAACCGCATCATCAAACAGCCACAAACGAACAAACACAACAGCCACAGTACATAAAGATACAAACGTAGCCTAACAAACTACCAACCAAGTAGATGGACGTACAAATACAGCGACCATCGTCGCCACTGGTACACTTGCAACAGCAACAACAGCAACAGAGGCAACAGAGAGGCGGCACAGGTGGCCTCGCTGGATTAAGGGTACAGATGGAGTCCTCAGACGAGGGTCAGAGCAATGAGGGCGAGCAATCGGTCGAGATGTTGGCCACGGCCGTTGTATCATTCGTCTATGTCAGCAAGCAGGCCAGTCTGTTCAGCTTGTTGATCCAGATGCTTTCGACCAAGAAGTTCGCACCAGTCAACTTTGTCAATGCAATCAATCCCTTCTCCAACATTCCCTTCCAGCCATCGCCCGACCCCTCCAACAAGATGGGCTTCAGCAGCGATACGCCAGCCTCCCTCAACAACACCCCTGCCAACCTGGCCTCAATCAAGACCACCCAATCACTTATGTTCCACGTGCTCAACGATGCAATCCAATCCGTCTCCCAACAATACCAAAAGAACTTCTACCTCCATATTATCGAGCCGCCCACAGTCGCCGGAGCCGACGGCCATCTGGTCGCCGCGCCACCCGCCGTGCTTCCATCATTCCAGTCGTACGACCAGCTGCTGGCCGGCTGTCTATCGTTCATCAATCACATGTTGTTCGCGGCGCCCACTCACTTTGACTTTGAGAGATATCGCCAATCGATCAGCGCCAATGGCATCAACGAAATTGTAAAGAAGCACATCAAGAACATCAATGCCAATGTCAGGTCCGAGTTGCTCCACTACCAAAAGCACCGTCTTGCCAACATCAAGATTGGCAAGCAAGTAAAGGACAGGTATGTTCCCAGGCCCTCCATCCCCACGCGATCCATCCACTAACAGTCCATCCCATCATCACAGACAAAACATTGACCATTTGGTAGCCAGATTGATAAAGATGTCTTTCAAAGGCGAGTTGGAGTCACTGCCTTTGGAACAAAAGTTGAGATTGATTGGCTTCAATGGCACATCAGCAGTGGACCAACAGGAGCTGCTTGGTACAGGTATACTGGGCCTTCGCAACCTGATATACTTTGGAGCACGTTATTCTAGAATCTATAACGAGATCCTTCAGGTACAAGTACAACGTGACCCAGAGTCGGCCCACTACTCCTTCATCCAAGTGGCCATGGCCATCACAAACTGCATCTATGAGATATATATCGATGGTATGTGTAGTATAGTTGTTTGATTGATGTGGTGGACTGGACTGGACGGGCATATACTAACCCATGACGACCAACAGATGAGAACCTCTATGAGATCATCTTTGACCAGGACGACTGGTTTGAAGAGTTGTTCTCCATTGCCTTTGAACTCTTTGATGAGATCTGGGAGATGGAGGCCACAGTACCAGAGGACTTTGTAACAGTATTACACAAGACAAGGTATGTATAAGGGTCCATGGCCACCCTCACTCAATCACTCACTCATACTCAATCAATCAATCAAAAAGAAATCTTGTATCAAGGATCAAATGGACAAATCCAGACTCGATCCAAACATTCCAGGTTAACCTGGGCAACGTGTTGGATGATATTAAGAATAGGGAGGTGGAGATGGTCGAGGACACATACAGGAGAATGCTGCCAATGAGTGATAGTATCATTGGATTGCCAGTCAACTCAACAGGCCCCATCCAGATCAACACATATCGCCTCCAGAAATTCTTCAATGAGTCCAAGAATAGACTCGAGAGATTCAAGACAATGGGCCGCAGGGATGCCCCGGGCGGCGGAGGTGGCGGTGAGGACGTCGACGTGGCCAGCTCCAGCAGTGGTGAGGTGCCCACCACAGGCTCACCAGACTCTCCTCAGATGAGCAAGTATGCTCAGCTGCGACAACAGATGAAGACCATGAGCTTCAAGAAGTTGTTCGAGTTGAATCCACAGTTGCGCGGCAACAAGAATGCCGACCAACCAATGCCAGACGAGGCCCAGCAATACATTGACGACAACTCCAGTCTAAACAGCAGCAGCAGCACAGTCCATCAGTTCACAGACAACAGTAGCACCATATCACATAACAACAACACAACCACTGCCGATGAAGAGTTGAACTCGTTCGGCAGGATCGTGCGCATGCTCAAGAATGCCGTCGCCACTCTACGCTCACGTCAGTTGTTCCACTTCAATGGCGACCGTCCATCAAGGGATGGCGGCAGCGATGAGAACCCCAATGGCCTCGAGACTGACGAGCAAAGACAAGGCACCACGGCCGAGAAGTTGCAGGGCACCCTGCGATCGAGTGGCGCCGCCGTGTACAATACTATGAAGAAGGTGGTCAACACGATCGAGAAGAAGGGCAAGACGATCAAGCAGCGCGTCAAGGCAGCGCGCAATGACCAGGAGCTAACCGAAGAGGAACGCGCCGCCAGGGCCGAGAGGAAGCGTCTGAGAAAGGAGCGTCGTGCGGCCAAGCGCATCATCTATGAGCAAGAGAACGATCATATTATCAACATGATGGACCCGACACTGGCTGCCAAGTTGGACCGTGGCAGCTTCGTCGAGCTTGACCTGGACCTGGGTGAGGACTCTGACAGTCTTGACTCATCAGACGAGTCTGGAGACGACTCTGACTCTGCCGAGGAGTTGGAGTTGGACGTCGACGAGCGTGCCTCAACTTCCTCCTCAAACAACACACCGACCAAGAGCCAGCTTGTCCGCAACAACAGCAACAACAGCAGCAGCAGCAACAGCCACAGCAATGGACATAGTACCAATGGTAGCCGATACAATATCACACATTCAACAGGCTCGGCATCCAGTCCCAACACATCCAGCCCCATACTGACCAGCAGCAATAGCCAAGGAGCAAGCTCAAGTCCATCGCTGGGCACCAGCCCCAACCTGGCCTCAAGCCCAAGCACAGGCCCACCACAGCTTTTCAGAAAGGCTAGCAATGCCTCGCTCACACTGCCACGTGTCCAACCAATCGTCATCCTGCCAAATAGCAACAACAACAGTGCCATTGCATCTGGTACCAATGGATACCAACGCACACAGCCCAACAGGACATCATCACCTACACTCTCACGCGAGTCCAGTTTGAGACAGGTCACCAACAGCAATCAATCCGACAGCAAGCCACTCTTCCTGCCACCATTGACACCATCTGCACCCAAGCCACCAATGTCCCCTGCCCCCAAGGTGTCTTCGCTCTCGAGCGTCGTGGCACCAGTCCCAACTCAAACTCCAGCTCCAGCTCCAACTCCAGCCCCAGCCCCAGCGAAAGTGAGCGAGATGTCTCAGGTGTTGGATATATTGGATGACCTTGCTAGTTGCCTGTCACCAGAGCAACAACAGATGGCTACTGCCGTACCACAACCAACATCACAATCATCCACAACAACAAGGACAGCTGAGCAACAAGCTTACAAGAGGTCGTTTAACAGCAACCCCAAGATGAAGTTGCCACCAGCACCTGTCAATGTGCCCTCCTCCTCTTCGCCCAAGTCATCCACACCAACTTCGACTTCACCAATCTCCAATTCACCAGCAGAGCGATCTCCACTTCTCGCAGGCAACAACAACAACAACAACAGTAACAACAATTTCAAACAACTCAAGTCAATGTTTGAGTCCAATCCTCCACCAGTCAACGAGCCACGATCACTAAGGGGATAATTCCACACATATCGCCATCACCATCACCATCACTTTCACCCTTGTAGCATATATGCCATATTGGCATCCATCAATCAATCAATCAATCGATCAAACCTATTATTTATTAACTATTTATTGTTAAACATGGCCACAAATGTCCACCCAAGTCAAGCCATTATCGAAGACATCCAGACTGGATGATCAGACAGTATCACATACACACAACAACCAATTCCATCACATCCCTGCCTCCATAATAAATAACTTATTCATTATCTATTAATATATCTCTTAATCTATCTATTTCCTGCTTTTAAACAATGATGATAAGAATGATGAGATGGCATTACCTTCCTTTGGTGGTTGTTTCCTAGACTTTGGACCAAAGAGTGGTTTCCATAATGCTTCTACATCTTTCTCCAGGAGAACAGGAATGATTCCATATAGACACGTCTGTTCTGGTGAGCTCCAATGATCAGATATCAGTACGTAGAGTAGGTGTTGCTCGTCCAAGTGTCGGAAGTGAAGTGCATTGTCCAGAGGATTAGAGTCATACTTGACTCTGATCGTCAAACGGTAGTTCTCTACATTGGGCACCTTGGCCGCCATGCTCTGTACCAGTTGGACTTGTACAGCTTTGCCATTCAGGTCAAAGTGCTCGGGTCGTATTGAACTATGTGAGTAGAGTTTGGCCGACAACAAGCTGAGACGGGTTGGGGCGGGTGGTTGGGCAAAGAATGGGAGTGTGAGCTTGCTATTGGTCTCAATGTTGGTAATGTGCACTGACTGCGCCGATGATGGAAGTTGTTGTAAATAGTGTAGTTGATCAGTGCTTGCAATCTTGAGTGATTGGAGTTGGTTGGGGAACTCAATCATTGATTTGAAGCAGGTGCCAAAGGACATATGCTTGAGAGATACAGGCAACACACCTTGATTGAATGGTTGGTTGTAGAGTGAGCCCAGTCTGAGTGAGATGAGTGAGGCTGGAAGACTTCCTTTGTTGAATTGTACGTTGAACGATGCACCAAGTGTCAGATCGGTGAGTGTCTGAGGCAGCATACCAGGTTTGAGTTCTTTATTCGCGTTGAGACCCATGCATAGCTTGGTGAGTGATGGCCTGAGAATCCCTTCATGCATCACATGTGTATAGGCCTCGGAGAAGATCAATGTGGACATGGTATCCGGCAGTGCGCCACTTATTGCCTGGTTGAAGCAAGCACCAAATTCCAGATGTGTGAGTGATGGCGGGAGTATAGCCGGTAGTCCACCTTCAAAGAGATAGCCAAACCTCAGCTTGGTGAGAGATGGGGGAAGTTGAACATGCTCAATAGATAGATGGAACGTTTCGCTAAAGATAAGTGATTGGAGCGATGAGGGCAGTGTCGACGGCAGTATATCATGTTTGAACATATAGCCCATGTTCAGGTGTTGGAGTGACTGTGGCAATGATCCTGGGAGCAACTGCCTGTTAAATTGATATCCAAAGGTAAGGTGAATGAGTGATGCTGGGAGCACACCTTCCAATATTGTCCTGTTGAACATGCCAAATGTAAGTCGTGTTATTGATGAGGGCAGTGTGTCTGGCGTAAGGTCATGGTCGAATGCGCCAAGTACAAGCTCTTTGAGTGACTTTGGCAGCACACCTGGCTTGATGTCGTGGAGGCCCAAGTATGTGAACGAGGTCAATGATGGAGGCAGCAGTCCTGGACTGTCAAGACATTGATTAAAGTGTAGTCCAAAGCAGAGTGATGTTAATGATGTCGGTAATACATCATGTTCGATCACAGTGTTGAATCGATCACAAAACACTAGGCTACGTAGTGTCGTCGGCAATGTACCGGGTATGATGCGAGTGTTGAATTGTAGACCAAAGGCCAATGCAGTTACATGTCGATCATTGGTCAATGTTTCTAAATCTTCTATTCTATTGATTATCATGTGGCCGGGTGGTGGCGGTGGAGGTGGATGCAACAGAGCAGGTAGCAAACTCTTCAATATCTCATTTAACTGTTTACATGTTGCACCAAGACATACTATATCGAGCAATGATGGACCATGTACTTGTCTCTCTGACAATGATAAATATATATCTTTCAATAAGTAGTTTGGTAAAGTATCCATCATCACCTACTATTATTACATTACTAATACTAACTACATGTTGTCAAACAAATAAACAACTTGTGTGTGTACAATTAGTATCTCTTTCGAAACGTGATGCAAACCTGATGAACACACCAAAAGTGGGATAAAAGAATTTTCTAAGAAGGTTATTGATCGATGGTCAGATGAGGGTCAATGCATGCATTGACTAAAGTTAAAGCACACAATTCTGTTTCCCTCATTTATTCAAACAAACAAATACACATACATACAAATATATAATGGTAAGTCTAGAACGATATTAATAGTCACTCAATCACAATTACTAACGAACGCATTTAACAAACTACAAACACAACAGGATAAGCTATCTTTTGATGAAAAGTCCAAGGTGACAGCATTTGTTGCATCGACATCAGTGTCCGAGTCAAAGGCAATAACAGAGTTGAAGGATAATAGGTGGAGATTGGATGAAGCTATCAATTCATACTTCTCAAAGCCAGCAAATATACCAAAGGAGGTCAATGTATCAAGCATTGAGACCTTGTTCAACAAGTACACAGACGAAGATGATCGCGACAAGATATCAGGCGAGAACCTACAGCGTCTGTGCCGCGACCTCAAGATCGAGAGTGAGCTGCTCGAGTTGGCTTTCTCGTGGAAGTTGCGCGCCAAGACCCTGGGCGAGGTCACCAAGACCGAGTTCAAGAACGCCTTGATCTGTTTGCGCGCTGACTCGCACGACAAGCTGCGATCAGAGATGTCCAAGCTGGCGACAGTCGTTGGCAACGCCCAGTCGTTCAAGGAGTTCTACTGCTACATCTTTGACTATGGCATGCAGCCCAACCAGCGTGTGCAGTCCCTGGACATGGCCATTGGTCTCTGGGAGGTCGCACTCACCGCCAAGTACAAGGATCTGAAGCACTGGTGTGAGTTCCTGCGACAGAAGAACCAAGGTGTCTCGCGAGACACCTGGAACCAAATGTTGGACTTTGTTCGTATTGTCAACGATGACATTACAAAGTATGATCCAGAAGGTATGTCATTGTATGAGTAGTAGTCAGGATACAGTCGCAAGTGATGATCAAGTGTATATTAACATATTTTGTTTATTTGTTTAGCATCATGGCCAACTTTGATTGATGAGTACGTTGAGTACTTGAGCACTGCCAAGGCGTAGAGGTGATTGAATGAACGAACATCATCATCATCAACATCACCATAATAATATATACAACTCTTCGCACTTCAACAACATACTCCAGCATCACTTCACCATCAGCATCACATCCATCAACAACACACAGACAGACAGTCACATCAACATACTCTGGAGTATCAATACTACTATTACTACAAGGATGGAGAATATGACATTAGTGATACACCGGCGGATGAAGGTATGTCACCTCCCGCGGCCTACACAATGCTTCTTCCCTCTTCCAAGAGCTTCAGGTCATCGATCCAGCTCTTCTTTGCCTTCTCATTCACTGCCATAAACGTAAAGATCAATGGTTTGCTGCCCTCAGGGTCGGATATGAATCTAAACTCATTGCCACCTTGGTATAATGACAACATTAATGTCAGTCAGTGTGTTGTCTCGAATCGTCGTGCTTCCTCTACTTACCCTCTAGCATCTTGAACTCGCTCTTGTTCAAGTGTATCTCTAGGAGATACTCAAACTTCTTTGTCCTCTTGTGCGAGAATAGAGTAGGCTTGGCCAGGACGATGATGTCGTTGAACAAGTACACCATGAACATTCCATTGTACTTCTTGCTACTGCATGCTGTATTGAGGACACCCTCTTTAATCCATCTTCTTGATGGATTGACAAATGTGTTCTGTATCAAGTAGTAGGGTGTCAGTCAATCATTGATTCAATCATTCAATCAATCAAACATATACATACAGGACATCCTTTGAGTTGGTCACGGATGGTCACCACTCTGTCTTGGTTATCTTGTAACTTCTTGTTGTTGTTGATATAGGCATTGATCTCTCTGATGCTTGCCAAAGCCTTGGTGAGGTCTTCATAGCCTAGATGATCTGGATTGGTATTCTGCAACAAGTTCTTTAACAACAACTCATACCTTGGTATTCTCTGCACCGGCATGATCAACAAACTCTGACTATTTGGATGGCGATGTTAGTACATGATCAATCAATCAAAGATCCTAACGATACGTACATATCCAACGAGTATTGGTTATCCTTTTGGATGTTCCTGAAGAAGTTTGGATACTTCTCTTCAACAAGTTGTAGCTCTTGCATTGATCGCTCGTAGTTGTTGATATAAGTGACGTATTTCTTCATCTCTGCTGCCTTTTCGATGTAGATATCACCAATCACTCTCTTCTCTGGTGGCATATCAAATCTACGCTTCAACTCCAAATGTAGGTCCTTGCTAACTACCAATAGTTCTTCTACATTGGAGAAGATTGTAGAGATCTGATGAGGCTCGAGTACAATAGTAGGGTCACGCTCCAATGGGAACTTGTAGACTAGGATTAGATTCTCCAAAGAGTCAATGTAGCTCTCCTCAGTTGACAACAGTTCTTTGAGTGCAAAGTCTCTCTTATGTTGTTTGGCATCGTTGGTCAATCCTGGCTTGCTGGATGAGTCACCTGAGGGTGGAGGGGCAGATGCAGCCACATGAGCTGGGACAGGGTTCTCCTTTGCCAATTGAGGCTTGTTCTCTCTCTTAGCAACTGGAGGTGGAGGTGTTGGATCAGCAGGTCTAGGTGCAGGTTCAGGGGACTTGGATGGAGGAGGTCTATAATGTTGTTGCTCTTGAGGATTTGGTAGGTTTGGACTGACTGATTTAGGTGGAGGAGCATATTGTGAGGGACGATTATCATATGATTGATAAGGTTGTTGTTGTTGTTGTTGATGTTGTTGTTGAGAAGGTCCTGGACCTTGTTGAGAGTATTCACGAGGACTTCTTTGTGATGTCAATGGGTGAAGGTATGAATGTGGAGGTGATCCAGTGTTGTAGTTTGAAGGATTGAGTGGACCATGATATGATGTTGGTGCTGGGTTGTATCCAGGTTGAACTTGTGGTTGTTGCAAGTAAAAACCTGGTGAAGGTGGAGGAGCATAGGGACTGGCAAGGAATGCTCCACCCTGTTGTTGATGTCCTATTGGTACTTGTCCATAAGGTAGTACTAGTGAGTTTTGATCATAAGCATTATAGGCACCAGTCTGTGGATTATATGTCACTTGTACTCCTGGTGGATTTACAAACTGAGCATTTATCACAGTTGGTGGAGGAGGCAGTACAAAGCCCAAACCAACCTGTCTATTACGTTGATTCATTGGATGATATTGTTGTGGTGATGGGTTTGCCTGTATATATCCTGATGGTGGGTATGCATATGGATACATAGATTTAGTTACCTAATTATATATAATTAATAATAAAATATTATTATTTGTTTTATTAAAATAAGTGCTAAGGATTTATGTGTCTCTTTGAAGAGCAGGATTCACCTCATGTCTTGTCGGGAAATGAAATAAATTGAGTTGAAGGTCTCAAAGCGAGAGAAGGAGTGAGTCGGGAACATGAACACACCAGATTGGTTGGAATCCAAAATTGGTAATTCTATCTGTCACACACTCACACTTCGCGACATCTAGACTAGTCTTCTTCGAGTTGAACATTTATTTGATGTTAATGTAAGTACTTAACATTGTTTGTTCTTTGCTTTTTGACTTTAACTCTTTCTATTCTATTATATCTTCTTTTAACTTCAACAGTTGTTGTATTGTTGTTGATTTGATTATTGACTCTTTCTCTATCAATATCTTTTTTAATATCTCTGATCCAATAATAGTTACTATAATTAGTGATTTTCTTCTTTGGAAGTCCTTCCAATAAGTATCTAATACATCTATGTGCATACCACTTGTTCTCTGTGATTGCCATGTCCAGAAAGTATTCCATGACCATTGTAATATTGATTGATTCCTTGACAAGTGCATTGTGCTGATTGGTATTGTTTGGAGCCTCTGGCAGAGACTTGACAAACAGCTCAACATAGAATGGAAGTAAGTCGACTCTATCGAATCCCAAGCATTTGATACCACATTTGCTCAGCAACTCTCTACTGTGTACTATCTTTAGACCATCTGGATTGGACATTCTCGATCAATTCTTGTTAAGCATAAGAGTGCTCGGTTGAACACTTCTGCTTTCTCAATGTTGTTTGGTGCTTGCAAGGCAACCAAGGTGTCCAGTGTGGCTATGTCCTCGTATCCAACCCAATCCCATGTCTTGAGAGATAATTGTGCTCCATATTTGTCCATTAGATGATTGCACAATGAGTATTTTTCATAGGTGAATGATACATGTAGCAAGGATGACATACTTGATTGGTCTGATCGTATCTGTTCAAAGACATCATTGGGCAAGTCGAGTAACATAACACAATCTCGTAGATCAATTGAACATGCTGATTCCAGGAGTGACATGACCTTCTTCTTGTCAAAGCCAGCAATGGGTGCTTGAGAGAGGAGATATCTGATCACACCAGGGTCCACATCATATTCCTCGGATGGTACAAAAGACATTGCCTTCAACGCGTGGTTTGAGAATGATTGGACATTTTCAAGTGTTAACTCCCCAACACGTGTGTTGAGACATTGGATTGTCTCAGAACGTTGAGCTCTATCATACTCGGCTTGTATAATTGATTTGATGGCAATGGACCTGTCAATATCATATCGTTCAAGATGATTAATATCCAATTCATGGACAATGTCATCAAGTGTGAGTATATGAGGATACAATGCAAGATATGATCTTAGCATGTCTGGGATAGCCAATGAAACAATGAAATTGAGTGTTTCCAAGTTATCCATTGGGTGTAAATTGTGCTGATGAATATACTCCATTACATCAATCGATCGTGGATAAACACAGTCCAGATGGATGTTGTTGCCATTTGGTGAGCCTCTATGGCGTGAGCGTGACACAGTATAGTGAGCAATCTTGACCATCTCCAGAGTACCGAATGTGCACACTGTCGCAAGGCCAAGCATCAGTCCATCTGTCTTCATATCATTAGAGAGGAAGTACCGAATGAACATCCTTAAGTATGTTTGATTGAATGTCTCAGCAGGAAGAACATTCATGAATATTCCCTTCCTGATATGTGACTTGAGCTGTGGCTTCTCGTAATGGCATAGGATCACATAGATGTTGAGGAAGATCACACCAGCTTTGTTGAGTATATCATGGCACCAAGGGAATAGTTTATGAACTTGAGGTGTAGGATGGCCATAGAGTTGTAGCACCTTGATCAGGAATTTGAATGATTGCTCCAACTGTGCTGGATCAGTTGGATGCGTGTCTGGGCCATGGAGTACATCAGTACCATCGATGGTTGGACGGAAGGTAGTCTCAATGTGATGACATAGTCTACCATGATTGAAAGGTATATGTTCTGCCACTAGCCCTGCCAACTCAATGTCCTTGCAGTTCAGCATCATTTTGAATAATGTACCACGCAATATTTGTTCCAACTCAATGATTGAGTTGAGTTCCTTGTTGCATACTAGGACATACTTTATCAACATCTTGAGTATCTTGGCCATCTGCTCCAGATCGTATGAGGTGTCTGATACCACCAATTCATAATAGGTGTAATGATCCGACCATGATTGAATCCTCTTGGCCATGTAATCTGATGGTTCGCTTGGCATTAGATATTCAAACATTGCCAGTCGGCCATGAATTAGTGCCCACAGTAGATCGTCGTCGAAACGATATGGGTGACCTCTCGAGATGCATGGATAGTCTTTAGAGAGTGTCTGGAGGTGTTGATAGATATCGAGTCGTCCATTTCTGGCAGCGATCGACTTCATTTGTTTGTCCCAATAGTGTATCATGTGTTTGTTTGTGTCACTGACTCGTTGGAACACAGCCAGGGGCATGGTCTCGATGATCTTCTCCAAGCAGTCGCGATTCATGTTATGCATGGAGTGGCGGCCGCCTTGTCGCAGAAGTCGTTCGACAAAGAAATAGTGCCAATGTGGGTTCATCAACAACTTGTGTGCATCTAACAATCGGTCGTACTTGTATATCAAATGATTGGTGAATGGTAGTCTGCCCATCTTTACAATAGTCCTTAACATTGTCCTGTTGCACAACACTTTAACAATGAAGTAGTCATGTCTTTGTTTATCTGCACCAACCATCATGAGGCATGAGTCTCGACAGTCACACTTTGGCAGGAATTGTTTAAGTACTTGTGATAGTTCAGTTGTGTGGGACATGATTGATTGATTGATTGTTTGTTAGATTGGTTGAATGTAGAATCGTAGTTTGATCAAATGATCACCAATCACATGACACCATTGTCCTCTCCAAACTTTCACCCTCATTTCGCTATTACCAAAACCCTTGCCCTCATTTAGACCTGACCCAAACTCTCGTTCTCATCATGATGTCGAATGGATGTATATTTAGTATTGTTGTGGAAGTATGATGCTCTGTTCTGTTCTCTTTCTCATGACTTGGATATTATGATTGGGTATCTTGGATATCTGACCATGCTCCAAACATTGTCGAAGGAGTACAAGAATGTTTAGTGTTGGTGTCGCTTGACTCTCTTGTCTGTCTTTTCTTGTCTGTCTCGAAGATAATTGGTCCAAACATTATGACTGAAATTGTCGATGGTCCGTTGTTCCATTCGTTCCATGACGTATCTAATACATTGCTCCGCATAGCAGATATCCTGAGCAACCATCTTCTCGAGAAGGAATACCCTGAGAATTGCCATGGTTACATGTGTTGTAACGACTGCAGACGGTTCTGGATGGGCATTCTCGATCAGATCTAGAATGAATGCCAACACATCAACTCGATCCAGAATCAAACATTTCATATCCGAGGTTTTACATATCAAATCCCTTGAGAGCTTCTCACGGTTGATGACAATATCCTGATACCATTTTGAGAGGATGATCTTGATCATTGGTAGGTTGCATTGGTCGCATGCTCCTTTGAGCGTATCCTGTTTCTCCTTGATAGTCGGTTCTTGCAATGCAATCAATGTATCCAAGATGCTCACGTCCAAACCTCCAACTGCCCGCCATATTGTAAATCTTGCTCCACAGCCAATGAGGTATTCACAGATTGAGTAGTGGCCATGAGCAAAGGCCACAGAGAGGAGCTGTGACATCAATTCCGAGTCTGTTCGAATATCAACAAATACAGGGTATGATGTTTCAAGCAAGCGAATAGAATCCATTAAACCAAGTTCACATGCTGATGTGAAGATCTGGAATGTAAGTTCCCAGTCCAACTCTGCCGCTTGGGCTTGTGAGAGAAGATAGCTGACCACTTCAACACTATGGTCTTGTGTAGGCTTGAATCTGATGTACTTGAGGGCATGGATGGGTAGTCTTTTGATCTGTCGCGGATCTAAATCTTGGGCACGTTCAGAGATGATGTCAAAGTCCATGTTTAAGCCGGCTTTGTTAATTTCGCGCTGTATTATTGATTGAATTGCCAGACTTTTGTCAATATCTTTGTCGACCAAGCAGTATCTTATCTCATCTCTGATTGAATAGACCTTTGACATAATATCATCTTCGTCTGGTGAGAATAAATCATATGTAAAGTTATCAAAGAATGCTTGAAGTATGTCTGGTTCAGCCATTGAAGCAAAGTGATTGAGCACATCCACTTCATCGCCCTCGTACATGTTATGATCATGCAGGTATTTCAGTATGTCCAGAGATGCTGGAAGCATATAGTCCATCCTAAGATCATCATGAACCAATGAATGGCCGTCTAGACCACCATCGGGTCTATCCAACAACTGATGACCAATCTCAACCATCTCCAATGTGCCAAAGGTACATATTGTTGCCAGTCCAAGTACTTTTGATTTGGGTGTCTTGCCGAGTCCGATGAAGTAATGGATGAACTCTACCAAATGTGGACGATCAGTCTGGCGAACATTCATGAAGATGCCCTGTGTGATGTATGAGGCGATTTGAGGTTCATTAAATTCCTTCATGACGACATACAGGTCGAGGATCATGATGCCAACGTCGGTGAGCACCTCCTGTCTTCCAGGAGATCGGTCTGCAGTGCGTTTTAGTTGACGTCCATACAACTCGAGAAGTTCAAACAGGAAGTTGACTTTGTGCCTCAGCCTCTCTAGGTCGAGTTTGATCCACATTTGATTGTTGTTGATGTTGTCGTAGAGGTAGAAGCTGTTTGAACCAAATATATTGTTGCAATAATCGAAGAGTTGAATATCATTGAATGGAGCACACTCGATATATTGACGTGCCAACTCCATGTCGGTACACCTCAGTATCATTGTGAATGGTTCAATCAATAAACATTTGATTGCTTGAGCAGGCGTGATCGAGGTGTCCTTCTTGTAGTGATGTGCGATATACCTGATGAGTATCTCAAGTGTTGATGCCATATCGCTCATGTCTGTGTCTGCGTTGAATTTATACATCTCTCTTGTCGTTTGGCCAATCAAATGATTCCTTCGTCGTATTCTTTTGTCCATGCTCTGTTTGGTCTCTCGTGATAGGAGATAACCAAACAATGACGAACGGCCATTGTCAAGTGCCATCATGAGATAATCGTCGACATTGTTGGTGCCTTTGATACGTAGATACTCTTTAGCTTGAGCCCAGAACAACTTGAAGGCTTCTAGGTGTCCATTCTTTGCTGCCGACTCCATCAATGCTAGATGATGATAAAGCATGAGGTATCTGTTTGTGTCATATACATGTTTGAACACAATGAATGGCATCGAATCCATCAACAGCAACAAGCCGTCAATAGACCAACTCATCCTGTGACCTCGAAGCAATCGTTCTAGAAATACATAGTTATGTTTGTTTGATAACATTCGATATGGATCATTGAGTTGATCATACTTGAGCATTGAATACCTCATGTGTATTTGTCTGCCCGAGTCCACAATCCTTTTGAACAATGTCCTGTTGCACAACACACCAACAATGACACTGTCATGTCTCTGTTTGTGTTGATCATCATTATTACATGTATCACTACAGTCACACTTTGGCAACAACTGCTGAAGTACTTGTGATATGTTCACCTGGTCAGTACTCTGTGACATTGTTATTGTATATATATGTTGTTGTATTTGTTGTTGTCAAGGTTGAATGATCCATTCGTGAAACTTCCAACATTTTCAACCCTCGCCCTCGCCATTGCCCTTGCCCTCGCCCTCACACAAACGATTGATGTTTTAATCAAGTATGTTTAGTGTTGGTGCTTGTTCTTTGTCTCTTGACACTTGTAGTCCTCTGATCTGATTGTCTGTCTTTATCACGACCATTAAATATCTTGATCCAAACATTGGCACTTGTGAATCTCTTGATTGTCAGTTGTGGCAACCCTTCCAGGAGGTACCGTATGCATTGCGCTCCGCCAAACATATGGTAGTAGCCATCATAGTAATCGTCCTTTCTTGCTACAATCTGATTGAGAAGATATTCCTTTGCAGAGTGCAGAGTGTTTGGAGTCTTGGCCGTGGCGGAACGAGTCTTGGACGACAGGATATTATTGTTTGAGTCTAATCGAGAACAATCGACAATCATCTCTGTAATGCTTGCCAACACATCCACACGATCCAGTGTCATACATTTAAAGGCCTTCTGTACCAATATATCTCGATCGAGTTTGATATCTTTAGACCATCTCCTGTAAACCATCTTGATCAATGATGAGTCGGGGTTGGAGCAGAGAGAGTGTATCACGACTTCCTTCTCCGACTGGGTGAGAGTGGTCTGCTGTTGGTCAAGCAACATATCCAACAACATGATGCTATTGTTATCAAAAATTATGATCCTCTTCCACATGAACCATTTGAGTCTTGCGCCACAACCCACGAGGTATTGGAATATTGAGTATTGACCATGATTGTAGGCCGCAAGAAGTAGATTTGCCATAACATCTGAGTCTGATCGAATATCCTTAAAGACTTGATTGGACGACGAGTCGAGAAGGTGAACGTACTCTATCAATCCATATGTGCAGGCTGACTCCATGAGTCCCTCTGCGAAATGCTTGTTGAGGATGATGTCGGATGCCCTGGAGAGAATTGAGATGATCACGGATGGGTCCACTTTACAAACTTCTTCATTAGGATAGTATTCAAAGCTCCTTAATTTGTCGTCAGAGAGGGATTGGACCTGTTGCAGTGTAGACAGATATGCTTGAACAGTTACGATCTTAAAGTCAGCATTTCGATTTGCTTTGGCCAGCTCAGCCTGGATGATTGATTGGATCGATATACATGTGTCTACGCTGTGGTTTTCCAAAGCTTCCATGATTTCATCCTGATACACTCTAAGATCATCAGCAGTATAGGTTTGATTATCAATCAATAATGTTGGGAATGTTGAGAACAGTTTCCTAAGTTGGTCTGGATCGCCCAATGAAGCAAAGTGAACGATTACTGGCCAGGTGCGCATTGTATACAGGTTGTGCTGAACGAGGTACTCCAGTATCTCCACTGACTTTGGGAATGAATCATCGTTGCTCAGATCCTTCCCGTCCAAAGATCTTCCTACGATGTCCATCGCAAGTTTGACCATCTCCAATGTGCCATAAGTGCTTATCGCTGTGAGTCCATCAAAAAGTTGATGGGTGGTCATGTCACGAGAGATGAAGTACTGAACGAACTTGGCTAACTCTGATTGGTTGGCATCCTGGCGAACATTCATAAAGATTCGTCGTATGACTATCCACGTGTCGTAGTTCTGTGTCAATGCGGAGAAGATGTCGAGCAGCATCACGCCAACGTCGTTGAGCACTTCTCTGCAGGCTGGCCATTCAACAACAGTGCGTGTGGCAGGGCGTTTATGGAGTTCCAAAAGATCAAAGATGAAGTCGACCTTGCGTCCCAACTGCTCGGGATCGATGGGTATCCCCTTGAGGTCATCATAGTTAAGCAATTCCAGGTTGAAGCTATTGGTCAGCTCCTCATCATTAAATGGGAAGTATTTGATTGATAGTCGTGCTAGATCCATGTCCTGGCAGAGCAGCACCAACATGAATTGACAATCACCCAACAAACGCGTGATCACATATTGTCCTTGAGTAAGCTTCTTGTAGTGTGTCTCGATGTATATGACCAATGTCTTGAGTATTGCTGCCATCTCTCGCCAATCATCGGGGGAACGTAGGCCTATGTTTGGAGGAATGATATTGGACCAATTGGTCAACCTACGATCCATGCTTTGCTTCGTCTCGCGTGCCAAAAGATGATCAAACACCGCCTGTCTGTTGTTATGAAGAGCCAGAATGAGATGGTCATCTGAGGAGGATTGATACGAGTGTTGCGGACCGGGTGGGAAGTCTTGAACCTGCGCCTCAAAGATCTTGAACATATCCAGTCGTCCATATTTGGCAGCTGTCGACATCAATACCCGATGATAATAGAGCATGATGTATCTGTTTGAGTCATAGACATGCTTGAACACAGCGAATGGCATCAACTCGATGAGCAACATCAATCCTTGTATTGACCACGATATACTGTTGTTGCCACAGCGGAGTAGTCGCTCAACCAACACATAGTGACGTTTCAATCTCAACAAATCGTCGGCTCTGTTGAGCTGATCATACTTGAGAGTTGAATATCTCCAATATATAGGTCTGCCCACATTGATTATCCTTCTTAACAATGTCCTGTTGCGCAACACCTCAATAATGATGCTGTCATGTCTATGTTTGTTTGTGTTGTTGTTGTTACAAGTGTCGCTACAATCACACTTTGGTAGTAACTTTACAAGTACTTGTGATAAGTCTGTAGTAGTACTACTACTAGTATCTGTCATAGTGTTGATTGTTATATCTGTATGTTGTTGTATCTGTTGACCACAATGTTGAATGAACAAACAAATCATCCCTTGCTTCACTTCAACCCCTCACCCTAACCCTTACCCTCGCCCTCGCCCTCACACAAGGATGGATTGAATGATTGATCAACGTGATCAAGTATGTTTAGTGTCGATGCTTATTCTTTGTCTCTTGACTCTTGTCCTCCTCTGATCTGATGTCGCATGTCGCTCTTGCTCACTACCTATAAATATCTTGATCCACACATTGGAACTGGTGTATCTCTTGATGGTCTGTGGTGGCAATCCTTCCAGAAGGTACCGTATGCATTGTACTGCTCCAAGCATATCTTTGCTTTTTGTTATAATAGAGTTGAGTAGATGATCCTTTACCAATGGTAGTGTGTTTGGTTCTCTGGCCGTGGCTGAACGAGTCTTACGCGACATGTTGTTGTTTGATTCGGATCGAGAACAATCGACTATCATCTCTGTAATGCATGCCAACACATCAACACGATCCAGTTTCTTACATTTAAAGGCCTTCTCTACCAATGTCTCTCTATTGAGTTTGATATCTTTAGACCATCTCGTGTAGACCATCCTGATCAATGATGAGTTGGGGTTGGAGCAGAGAAAGTACATCGCTTTTTCTTTCTCCGACTGGGTCAGAGGTGTCTGTTGTTGTTCAAACAATACATCCAACATGCCATCGCTATTCACCTCCTTCCACATGTTTTTTTTGAGACTTGCGCCACAACCAACGAGGTATTGGCAGATTGATATATGTCCATAGTTGTAGGCCGCAAGAAGCAGCGTAGCCATTGTCCCTGAGTTTGATCGTAGCTCGACAAAGACCTTGCTGGACGAGTCGAGAAGGTGAACACACTCGGTCAAACCATGAGTGCATGCAGCCTCCATGAGGGATTCTGTGAGATCACTCTCGAAGTCCAAGGCCGATGCCTTGGAAAGTAGATAGCTGATCACGGATGGGTCCACTTTCCAAATATCTGGAGGTGTGATTGTAATTCTGTTCAAAGTGTCGTCTGGGAGTGATTGAACCTGTGGCAATGTCATCTGATGTACACGCATTGTGACGATATCAAAGGTATCATTTCGTTGTGCTTTGACCAGCTCATCCTGGATGACTGATTGAATGGCAAAACATGTGTCAATGTTGTGATTGTCAAAGATATCCATGATATCATCCTCCAACTTCGAAAGGTCGTCTCCACGAGGTAATATTGTTGGAAATGTTGAGAGCAGCTTCCGTAGTTCATCAGGATCGCACATTGAGGCAAAGTGAATGATTGCCTGCGAGTTGGCCATTTGGTGCATGCCATGCTCAACGAGGTACTCCAGTGTCTCCACCGACTTTGGGAATATATCATAGCAACTTAAATCCATGACCCAAGTTCTACCTGCAATGTCCAGAGCAATCTTGACCATGTCCAATGTGCCGGTTGCATATATCTCAATGATGGCCCGACGAATATCATCGGTTTTCATGTCACGTGAGAAGAAGAATTGAATGAACTTGACCATCTCTGATTGGTTGGCATCCTGGCGAACATTCTTAAAGATTTGACGTGCGATGGCCAACCCGAAATTGTGGTTATTCTTGGTCCTAATCGTGTAGATATCGAGCATCATCACTCCAATTTCCGTGAGCACCTCTCTGCAAGCTGGCCATTGATCAATGACACGTGTGAACCGACATTTATAGAGTTGCAGGACCTCGAATATGAAGTCGACCTTGGGGCCAAGGTCCTCTGGACTGAGGGGAGGAATCTGTTCATGATTGCTATGCCTGGTTATATCGTCGCAATGTTTGCTCAGTTGATGAGCATCGAATTCGATATACTTGTAACATTGTCGGGCCAGCTCCATGTCCTGGCATTTGAGCACCAACGTGAATTGAACATCTTGATCAAACAATCGACCAAACACACGTAGAGCATGTTGAAGCTTCTTATAATGTGTCTCGATATGCTTAATCAAAGCCTTCATTATCGCTGCCATCTCTCGCCAATCATCTGGGGTACGTTGACTGATGGTCATAATAATGTGATAGCTCCAAATGTATTCCATCCTTTTGTCCATTCTGTCTTTCGTATCGAACGACAGCAGATATTCAAACAATGACTGTCTGTTGTTATGAAGAGCCAGAACGAAATAGTCATCCTTGGAGTTTGAGTATGAGCGAGTGCGTTTATCCTCTGGTGGGAAGTCTTGAGCCATCGCCTCCAAGATCTTGAACAAGTCCAGTCGTCCATATTTGGCAGCGGCAACCATCAATTCCCGATGATAATAGAGCATGATGTATCTGTTTGAGTCATAGACATGCTTGAACACAATGAATGGCATCAGCTTGATGAGTAGCGTCAAGCTTTCTTCTGACCATGATATGCTGTTGTTGTTGCCACAGCGGAGTAGCCGTTCGACAAACACATAGTGACGATCATTCAATCTCAACAAATCGTCGGCTCTGTTGAGCTGATCATACTTGAGAGTTGAATATCTCAATATATAGGTCTGCCCACATTGATTATCCTTCTTAACAATGTCCTGTTGCGCAACACCTCAATAATGATGCTGTCATGTCTATGTTTGTTTGTGTTGTTGTTGTTACAAGTGTCGCTACAATCACACTTTGGTAGTAACTTTACAAGTACTTGTGATAACTCTGTAACAGTACTACAACTAGTATCTGTCATTGCGTTGATTGTTATATCTGTATGTTGTTGTATCTGTTGACCACAATGTTGAATGAACAAACAATCAACACTTGCTTCATTTCAACCCAAACCCTACCCTTGCCCTCACACCACATACCCTCGCACAAATACCCTCGAATAAAGACTACAAACTGATTGGTAACAACCAGATCATATATATGGAGTACCTGTACTTTGTCGCTTGTCACTTTGTTTGGTTTGGATATCCACATCTAGTATTCTGTCTTGAATCCGGCCCATAAGATACTTGATCCAAACATTGTCACTTGAGTATTGCTTAATGGTATGTTGTGGCATTCCTTCCAGGAGGTACCGAATACATCGTTCTCCATTACACCTATCTCTGTGGATGGCCCTGCCAAGTATGTATTCTTTGGCCAACCATGTACGCTTCTCATTTCCTACCTTTCGATTCTTTACATTTACATACTTGACGATCAACTCTACAATGAATGCCAATATATCAACATGATCCAATTCCAAACAGTCACTCGCGCAGGTTATCAACCTCTTTTTGTCAATCATGATATCATGTGAACATCTCGATAGTATGATCTTGGCCAATGGTAGATTGAGTTTGTCTAAAGCTCCATACAATACATCTTCCTTCTCATTGTTTGTTGGTGATTGCATTGCGATCAATGTATCCAAGATTGTCACATCCTCACCTCCAACCCACGTCCATGTTAAAGAATCAAAGATTGCTCCACGTCCTATCAGATACTGGCAGATTGAGTAGTGGCCCTCCATGAAGGCATTGTGAAGCATGGCTGATGGAGTATTCAGAACAAATAGATGACTTTGTGAAAGTGCCATTTGGACTGACTCGTCCAATCCAAGTGAACAAGCCAGATAAAGTATGCTGGAGGACAGAAGATCGTAGTAGTATGCGACGTTGGCCTTTGAAATGAGATAACTGACCACTGTTGGATCCACTTCCCAATAGGGATCCAGAGTATTAAATTTGATGTTCTTTAGAGCTCTGATAGGGAGTAATTGAACATGTTGCAACGTCAAATCATCCATTCTATATGTGATATTATCAAATTGAAAATCATTGTTTGCTTTGTCAAGCTCTGTCTGAATGATTGATCGAATAACGATTGATACATCCAAGTCGGTAAGGCAGGAGAATACTTGAAGGATTGCGGATCTGTCCAACTCTACGTCTAGCAAACCTGGATATCTGGCAAAGAAAGTCTTGAGCATGTCTGGATTGCCCATCTTTGAAAAGTGAGCAAGCATTGCCATATTGTCCATCGTGTACATGTTATGTTCCAGTATGTACTCCAACATCTCCAATGACTTTGGAAAGACTCTGTTCAATCTAATATGATCCACCTTGAGTCCATACTCTAACACCAATAACTCGTGAACAATCTTGAGCATCTCAACAGTGCCAAAGGCACATATTGTATCCAGTGTAAGTATAAGTCCTTGGATCTTCTTGTTGTTGAGCGAGAGGAGGTATCGAATGAATTGCTTCAAATGTAATGGATCACATGACGGACGAACATTCGTGAAGATGCTCTTTCTGATAATGGAGTGAAGTGCAGGCTGTGAATCTGGTGACATGATGGCATAGACATTTAGGATCATCACACCAACCTCGGTGAGCACCTCCTTGCATGCTGGGAACAGTGTGTGAGTCGGTATGATGACAGGTCGGTCATATAGGATCATCAGTTCAAAGAGGAAGTCCACTCCACGTTTGAGCTGCTCTTGGTCAATCTTCTTCTTGATATCGGTATAAAGTATATTTTCCCAGTTGTGATAGCCAAGTATGTTGCTGCAATGTTTGAATAACTGACTCTGATCGAACGGGGCATACTTGATTGCCTGTCGAGCCAACTCAATGTCCTCGCATTCCAATATCATTGAGAATGGATCCTTCAACATTGCTCTGATCACATGATGAGGTCGAATCGGTGTGATCTGGTTGTTGACGTAGTATGTCTCTGTGTACTTGATCAGTTTCTTGATTATGGCTGCCAATTCAATGCGTTCGTTAAGTGTGCGCCGCCGACTGGTCGTTGAAAGTTGGTTGTAATGATGGGCAACTGGATCCTTAACCCGGTGGCTCATCGTGTCATAGGTCTCGAGCGCAAGTAGATGTTCAAACATTGATAGTTTACAACTATATAGCGCATACATTAGATGGTCATTGTACTTGTCTGGCGAGGGAATTGCTAGTGGGTAGTCTTTGGACTGTGCCTCAAACACCTTGTACACATCAAGTCGGCCAGCACTTGCAGCTGTTGCGATCAATGTTGGATGATGGTACAGCATGTTGTATCTGTTGGTGTCATAGACATGTTTGAATACAACGAATGGCATCAACCGGATCAACTCAATGATGGCATCTTGAGACCAATACATTCTATTGATGTTGTTGCTACATCGGAGTAATCGTTCAATCAACACATAGTGATGTTGTTTGGACAACAACAATGCATGTGCATCATTGAGTTGATCATATTTGAAGGTTCTATGCCTCCAGTATGTTGGTCTGCCCAACCTGACAATCCTCCTTAACAATGTCCTGTTATGCAACACCTCAACAATGACACTGTCATGTCTATATTTGTCAATGTTATTGTTGTTGTAGCATGAGCCTCGACAGTCACACTTTGGTAACAACTGTTGAAGTACAAGATACATATCATTGGTATCTGACATTGATTATATGTATGTTGTTGTATCTGTAGGCTACAAATAAAGAATGATCAAATAACATAACCCTTCACTCTTTTCATTCATTAGTTAATGATGTTTGGAGATGACGAAGTTCGTTCTTTTTTGTTTCCACACTTGGTCTAGTCGTCAGACGACGTGATTGATTGTAGTCTATCTTGATCACGACCATGAAGATACTTGACCCAAGCATTGACACTAGAGTACTTCTTGATGCCCTGTGATGACAGTCCGTTCATTAGGTATCGAACGCACTGTTCAGAGCACATCGTTAATCGATAAGTAGGCTCTTTGATTGCACGACTTAGAAGGTACTCCTTCACCAATGACACATCGTTGGTACCAATGAAGGGAAATGTAATGTGGTAGTCTTGTGGTGGACACTTGGCAATCAACTCTGTTATGACCATCCATCAACTCATCAACTAGATTACTTTCCATATGATATAAAGCCACCCTGACCAGTTCTTCTAGGTTATGTTCAATATCATTGATATTCCATCTGGAAAGTACATGTTTGATCATTGTTAAGTTGGGATACAAGTTGGTGACAACCAATTTAAATACAATATTCTTCTCCTGGTTGGTAGGTGCTTGCATTGTGATCAGAGTATCCAACTTCACTACAAATTATCCGCTGTGAAACTTAACTTATGTTTTTGGGAGTCTTAATGAGTGTGAGTGTGTTTGAATGTGATCATTCATCATCACTCAAACATATATATAATCAAACATATAATGTTGTTATTGACGTTTGTTGATGATCAATGTGTGTTGCAGTCATTGTAACACGATCGCCTGGTTGACTTGAGCAGTGTGGGGTGGTTCGCACTGCTCATGTCAACCAGGCGAGTAGAGTTGCACCGTCATGATTTGAAATGCGACCAGGAGTTACTTTATATTTTCGAAAGTGCATGCTCTTGTCTCAACCTACAAATGATCGACCAAGTACTCTATGAGTTGACTAGTGACTTCAGAATCAACTACAAGATATTTGTGGACTGCGCTATCAAATGTTTGAATGAGGATCGAGTCGATGTGTTGGCATTATCACAGAGTTTATAGCCAAGGGCGACCAGCAACAATAATCATCAACCGAGTCTGACTTGAATCATTATATGGCTAAGATCAAGGAGGAGATCCTTGTGGATGTAATCAAACTAAAGTCATTGCACTCTGAGCAATGTATTAGATACCTCTTGGAAGGATTGCCACAACAGACCATCAACAAGTACTCAATCGACAATGTCTGGATCAAGTATCTACTTCAATAATATTCAAGACTGATGATGTATCATTATTACCACCAATAACTATGACAATAATACTAAATAATTATAATATAATACACAATCACAAAAGATGATTGTTTGTGTTGGCCCAGGAAAGTGTAATACTGTATCATCATCAACATTATTAGTGGTCCATTCCACATTTTGGGTTTAAAATCATTTGATACCTAACATACTTCCAAACAAATACAACCACAAACAGATACATACAGTATACACACATACATATATATATATATATATAATATATATAACTATGACACGGACAATCACCTCTGATGACTTGTCACAAGTACTGAGGACATTACTTCCCAAGTGTGACTGTCGTGGAACATGCAACAACATCATCAACAAAATGAATGATGGTGAACACAAACATCGACATGACTGTGTCATTGTTGAGGTGTTGTGCAACAGGACACTACTCAAAAGGATTGTGAGCGTGGGCAGACCAAGATACTTGAAGCATAGACGATATAAATATGATCAACTCAATGATGTTGGAATATGTATGGCAAACAGCTACTATTATGTGTTTGTTGAACGATTGATACATAACGACACAATGTATTGGTCTCGAGATTGCTTGTGTAGTGTCATCGAGTCGATGCCCTATGTGGTGTTCAAACATATCTTTGACAACAACAGATACATGATGCTTTATAATCATCATACATTGATGATGGAAGCTGTCAGGAATGATCTGCTCGATGTGTACAAGCTGCTTGAGACTCAGGCACGAGAGCTTCCACAGGACACACCTCCATTAGATATCTACAACATCTCAGATCATCTAATGTTGGCACTCATTCAAGGTCAGGTATCAATGTTCAACTATCTCCTCTCATTAGAGACGCAACAATCAATGTCCAACAGGATTCAAAGTGAGAGGTACTTCTTTAATGTTTCACGAGTAGTACCCTCTTTCCATACCAACAATAACCAGAAGGCGGCGATGTCATCAATACTCAAGACACTGATCGGATACATTGAGAGGCACTACTCCAATGACACATCAATCACTCCATTTCAAGCATTCCGTGTGTTGTTGAAGGATGCACATCCATTCGGGCTGATACTTATGTGTCAGGACATTGAGTTGGCAGAGATGGCAATCAAGTACGTGGCATTAGATGGCAAACAACTTGGCATATATTGCAATGCTATATTTGATCATTGCAGTAGATCAAAATATGCGCCCTACATCCCCTCAGACTACGAGTTCGATCAACAAGAGCTCAAGCACACTGTCCAGTTCCTCTTTGCACTATTGAAGTTCTATGGCCGCCATGTGGACAGCACTGAGGTACAGTTCCCAAGTTGCCGCGGGGCTCTCACCAAGTTTGGAGTTCTGCTGACAGACTTTTACGTGATCTTGTCCTCACAGTACGCCTCACCACCACTCCGGTCATACATAAGGAGGGGCATCTTTGACAACATCCACCAAGATTGCAGTGATTATCATGAACAATTCATTGATTTCTACCTCAATCAATCAAATGGACGTCATCAAACGTTGATTGATTTCAACGCTATATGTACATATGGCACGAAGGATATGGTTACAATAGGCTATGATTGGATTTGTAAGCACTTCGACCATAATATATATTTGCACAAAGCTTATCCCAAGTCATTGGAGATACTAGAGTTCCTCGTTGACAAAAATTGGTACCACTTGGACCAGATGGCAATGCTAGTTCACTTTATATCAATGGCCGATCCAGACATGCTCAAGGCATTCTTGACTGAATATGATATCAATCCATTGTTTACCACTGATGATGATGGTGATCTCCACATTGATGGTCTCATTGATTCGGTGGGACCCACGGAGTTCCACCCCATTGACAAATGTGCAATCATTCAATCAATCATCCAGACAGAGTTTGATCGGCAACGCTGCCCCAAGATCTTTGACATCATCTCACACCGCATAGAGGAGATGACACTGCAACTCTATCAAACATTCTCTAAAGATGGACTGATTAGGATAAGGTTTGACTCTCCCGAGACATTCCTGGCGGACCCAGCTGTAGCCAGGTATCTTCTATCTCAAGTCGTAGCAGACTTTGATACTGCCATTGTTGAAAATGCCATGAAGTCGGCATGTGCTTTGGGCTTGATGGAGTGTGTCCATTTGCTCGATTCACCCAGTAAGGTCTTTAGCGACATTCGATCATGGGAGGGCACAATGTCAGCTCTGCTTCATCATGCGTTTATAAATGGCCATCACTCAATCTGTCACTACCTCATTGGCTGTGGCGCAAGGTTTGGCGGTATGACATTCCAATGGGTAGGAACAATGGACGTGGCTACATTGGATACTTTGATTGACATGCTAGAGATGACCAACAAGGATAAATGTCAAGTGTTTGGCTATTCATGCCTTCATCTCAACTTACCATTGATCAAGAGTATTCTCTTGAGATGGACTCGAGATATCATACTCAAAGACTGGGATTTTAAAGGTTACGCCTTCGAATGTTTGAAACAGGATCGAGTCGATATGTTGGAATGCTTCTCAGAGTTGATGGTCAAGTGTCATCATTCACAACAGTCATCAAACACATCAAACGATCAAACCTCCTCGACCGATCCTGATATAAATCATTTGGAAGTGGTCAAGGCTCAGCTACTAGATGATGCAATCAAAAGAATTTCTTATCACTCTGAAAGCTGTCTCAGATACCTCCTGGAAGGATTGCCACAACAGACCATCAACAATTACTACATCAACAATGTCTGGATCAAGAAAATTGTTCAAAATATTATTAGTAAAGACTGATTACAATATCAAATATATTTGTACATAACAACATCACAATCATTTGGATTGAGAATCCATGTAAGAGTGAGAGCAAGGGTAAGGGCAAGGGATGAAAAACCAACTAAAGTTGGAAACATTCACTTCTCATCCCTCTTTAAACATCAACAAACAGATACATAATAGACAAACATATATGTATGTTTAGACCACACACATAAACAATGGCAATGACACAGACAACCACCTCTGATGACTTGTCACAAGTACTGAGGACATCACTTCCCAAGTGTGACTGTCGTGGAACATGCAACAACAACATCAATAAACATCGACATGACAGTGTCATTGTTGAGGTGTTGTGCAACAGGACACTACTCAAAAGGATTGTGAGCGTGGGCCGATCAAGATTCTTGAAGGATAGACGATATAAATATGATCAACTCAGTGATGTAAGAATATGTATGAACAACAGATTCGATTATGTGTTTGTTGAACGATTGATACGCAACGACACAATGTATTGGTCTCATGATTGCTTGGAGTTGCTAATCGAGTCAATGCCCTATGTCGTTTTCAAACATATCTTTGACAACAACCGATACATGATGCTCTATAATCATCAATCATTGATGATGCATGCTGTGAGGTATGGACAAATTGATGTGTATAAGCTGCTCCAGTCTCGGGCACCATTGGTCACACACCGGAAAGATCCCAACTACATCTCTGACCATCTCTTGTTGGCACTCAATCGTGGTCAACTTTCAATGTTCAACTATCTCCTCTCTTTCGAGACTCCACAATCAATGATCGACAGGATTCGTATGGGTAGAGACTTTGCCCGCACTTTCTATCACTTCAGTGACCCGGTGGCGATGTCATCAATACTCAAGATATTGATCAGATACATTGAGACAGAGTGCAACAAGGACGCATCATTCACTCCATCTCAAGCAATCAGTTGCTTGTTAAAGGACACCAATCCATTTGGTATTCTACTCAGGTGCCAAGACATTGAGTTGGCACAACTAACAATCAAGTATGTACCGAAATTCGATGCCTTCCAACTCTACAAGTATTGCAATTATATCTTTGATCACGGTGATGGCTCATTCAATGCACCATACATCCCATTAAAGGATGAGATTGAACAACAGAAGCTCAAGCACACAGTCGAGTTCCTCTTTGCACTCTTGAAGCTCTATGGCCGCCATGTGGACAGCACTGAAGTACAGTTCACAAGATGCTTTGATGTGCTCACCGAGTATGGAGTTCTGGTCACTGACATATACGTGATCATGTCATCGCAGTATGTTCCACCACCCCTCATGTCATATATCAGGAGGGGCATCATCACCAACATCCGTCAAGGTTGCGATGTACAATATCTTGATGAATTCATTGAGTTCTTCCTCCTTCAAGCCAACAACATAGTTGACCAAATGTTGATTGATTTCAACTCTATTTGCACGTACGGAACAATCGAAATAGTTACCATGATGGACGTTCATTTGCAAAGACGGCACCACGACTTGGCCATTCATTTGGACAAAGCCAACGCTTATCCAAAGACAATGGAGATACTGAAGTACATCATTCAGAGAGGTTGGTACCCAGAGGACCAGAAGGAAATGCTCATTCACTTCATTTCAATTGCCGATCCAGGTTTGCTCAAGACAATCTTGGCAGAATATGATATCAATGGACTGTTTACTGGTGATGATGATGATGATGATGACTACTTAGCGTTCATTGACTCAATGCGAACACATATGGAACATTTCAGTATTGAAAGATGTGCAACCATTCAATCAATCATCCAAGACGAGTTTGATCGAAAACGCATCCCCAAGTTCTTTGACATCATATATGAACGGGCAGACGAGATGACTGCGCAACTTTATCACGCACACTACAAAGATCGTCTGAAGAATATTACTTTCGATCCCATAGATACCAGGGAAGTGGACCCAGATGTGGTCACATATCTTCTTGCTCAAGCACCCACTGCAGGCTTTGATCATGAGACACTGGTCAATATCATGAGGTCTGCCTGCGCGCTTGGCATGATGGATTGTGTTCATTTGCTCGACGATCCCAAACATCAGGTCTTTGGCGTCATTAGATCAGAACAGAATTCTTCTATGTCAGCTCTGCTTCATGAAGCGATCATACATGGTCATCACTCAATCAGTCAATACCTCATTGGTTGTGGCGCAAGGTTTGATTCAGATACATTGAGGTGGGCAGGAGAGAGTGACGTGGCTACATTGGACACATTGATTGCAATGCAAGAACTGACAAAAGATGAGAAGAATCAAGTGATTGACTATGCTTGTTCTCTTCTCAACCAACCAGTGATCAAGTTTATCCTTTCAAGATGGTCTCTAGAGATCAATATACCTGACTGGAAGTTTGCCAACTATGCCATGGAATGTTTGAAACATGATCGAGTCGATGTATTGACATGCATCACAGAGTTTATGGTCAATTGTCAACAGCCGCCAGAACAAATCGGTCATACCTCCTCCTCCACTCATCATCTGGCTGTGATCAAGGTTGGGATTCTTGAAGATGCAATCAAAAGAGACTCTCACCTCTCTGAGCGCTGTCTCCGATACCTCATGGAAGGATTGCCACAACAGACCATCAACAAGTACTACATCAAAAATGTTTGGATACAGCACCTAAACTACAAGATTGATGATGTTTGTTCCAAAATAAATATCAATCACTGATGGGCGAGTGAGGTGCCAGGTCCCAGTTTTTTCTGATCCTTCACTGAGAAAGATCATGATTTTTGATTGCTTGGTCACTGATCCAATCTCATTTCCTTCTTTGTCCTCATCTCTCAAGATGGATAGTAATATCTAATGTGTCTCTTGCTAGGGTATATCTATCAATCATGTATGAATTCATTCTTCAATTACTATTATAACATAAAACAACAAACAATGACTCAGACCAATAGAAAGTCTGATTGTGATGATGGATTATCACAAGTACTAAAGACATTACTTCCAAAGAGTGACTGTCGTAACACTTGCAACAACAACAACAAGCAAAGACATGAAAGTGTTATTGCCAAGGTGTTGTGCAACAGGGAGTTGCTCAAAAGGATTGTGAACGCTGGAAGACCAAGATATCATACTGGTAGATCGTACAACTACACTCAACTCAGTGATGTCAGAGCATGTATGGATAATGGATACTATTATGCGTTTGTTGAACGATTGCTACGCAACGACACATTGAACTGGACTCAAGATTGCTTGGAGAATGTCATCAAGTCGATGCCCTACGCAGTGATCAAGCATGTCCTTGACAACAACAGATACATGATGCTCTATAATCATCACTCATTGATGAGGTATGCTGTGGAGTATGGACAACTCGATGTGTACAAGCTGCTTCAGACTCAGGCACGAGACCTTCCACCCGACGCGCCTCCGCCCTCAGCTGATGACTTCAACTACATCTCTGATCATCTCTTGTTGGCACTCAATGTTGGCCAACCCTCAATGTTCAACTATCTCCTCTCACTCGAGACACAGCAATCAATGAACGACAGGATCCTAGAGGGTGACTACAGATTCCACACGGATACAGTGTGCCGCACAAGTGACGAGCGTGTGGCCATGTCAACCATGCTTAGGACTTTGATCACCTACATTGAGTCGCACTACAGCAAGGACACACCCATTGAGCAATACAAAGAAGCATTCAGTCGATTGTTGGGTCACCCATTCGAACTCCTGCTCAAGTGTCAGGACATTGAGCTGGCACGTCTGGCCGCCAAGTATGTCGACTTCCATCCCCAGCAACTATATTACTATTGCAGTGATATCTTTGGTCCTCGTGGCAGTGCAACAGCACCATATCTCCCGTTGAGCAAGGAGATCGATCTACTCGAGCTGGAGCATACCGTCGTCTTCCTCTTTGAACTTCTGGAGCTCTATGCCCGTCAAGTCGAGCGCACCAGCACGTTGCTCCCATCATGCTCAACGGTGTTCACAAAGTTGGGTGTGATGATCACCGACATCTACTTGATCATGTCTTCGCAGCACGACCAACCAAGACTACTGTCCAACTTGATGAGAGCCATATACGCCAACATCCGTCTGGAATGCGATGATGGTCATCTGGAGCAACTGGTACACTTCTTCCTCGATCACTCATTGGACTTGGATAAAGTACATGACAGTGGCAACAAGCATGTCTCACTTGTTCTCAACTCTATCTGCACTTATGGAACAATCACATTGGTTAGAAAGGCCTATGCTTGGTTGGGTCTTCGCAACATCAATGAGGAGGATGTTCGATTGAACGAGGCGTATCCAAAGTCAGTGGAGATACTAGAATACATCAGTCATACTCACAGTTGGTACCAAATGGACAAGATGGCTATGCTGGTTCACTTTACCTCGATGGCCGATCCAGACTCGCTCAAGACATTCTTGGCTGCACACGACATCCAGAGTTTGTTCAGGACTAATGTACCTGAAGATAATCAAGACGATGATAATGATGATAATGATGACGATAATGATGATGATGATGATTATCAAGAGGATTCATTCTTTGATTTAATCAATTCAATGATGTCCAAGCACGACATTGACACTTGTGCCACCATTCAATCAATCATTCAGACAGAGTTGGATAAGCATCAGATCCCCACTGTCTTGGACATCATCTCTGATCGCACCAATGAGATGACAGTACCATACTATCAATTATTCACAATTGATCGTTTGAAGGATACCAAGTTCGAACTTCGCAATACCTGGGACGTCGACCCAGCCGTTGTCGCCTATCTTCTTGCTCAGGTACCCACTGCTGTCAATGATTCCGACATGGTTATCAAGTACTTGAGATCAGCCTGCGCCATTGGAATGACCGAGTGTGTCCAACTACTCGATTCGCCCAGTCAGGTCTTTACCCTACTCCGTTCGCACGATTATTCAATGTCAGAGCTGTTGCATGAGGCATTCAAGAATGGTCATCACTCAATCTGTCAGTACCTCATTGGTTGTGGCGCAAGGTTTGGATCTTCAACTTGGAAGTGTGCAGGAGCAATGGATGTGGCTACATTGGATACATTGGTTGCAATGCAAGAACTGACCGACGAGCAAAAGGATGAAGTGTTTGACAATGCTTGCTCTCAACTCAATCTGCCATTGATGAAGGTGATCCTATCGAGATGGCCAGATGTCAAACTCACTCACATGACACTGAATGAGAGTGCATTGAGTAGTTTGGTCGATGATCGAGTTGATGTGTTGTCATGCGTCACAGAGTTGTTGGTCAAGTGTCCTCCAGACGAATATGACGAGAGCTCCAACGGATCCGAGTCCGAGTCCGAGTCCGAGACCGAGCCAGAGCTGGTCATTGACCTGGCTGTGATCAAGGATAAGATTCTAGAGCAAGCAAAGTGGCGATTGACTTTCAACTCGGAGCGTTGTCTCAGATACCTCCTGGAAGGATTGCCACAACAGACCATCAACAAGCACTCCACCAATGTTTGGATCAAGTATCTACTACAAGCATGATGATGTTTGTCCAACTTGGAATAGATAAACAAGAATCAATGAATCCATGTCATAATAATTGCATTCAACGAAATAGATGAGATTTTGTTGGGCGAGGGCAAGGGTAAGGAAGGTGCAGTGTGTGAGGCCAAGGTTCATTATTAATTTGATCAAGTGATAATAACAATAAATATACAATAACAACATGTTAATACAACAACATCAACAACAACAATATACAGAGTTGTCAAAGATACTATATACATACCTACCAAAGTGTGATTGTAGAGTGACTTGTTGTGAGTTAAAGGATAGACATGACAAGGTTATCAATACTGTGTTGTGTAATAGGACACTACTTAGAATGATAGTGACATTGGGTAAACATAGATTCAAGAAGTTATCATTCACAAAGTATCATCAACTTGACAATGCCGTATTACTCATCAACAAAGATCTACACTATGTGTTGGTTGAGCGATTGATTCGTGGCAGTAGACTATATTGGAGTATTAATAGCTTGGACAGACTCATCGAGCTTATGCCCTTTGTGGTATTCAAACATGTATATGATACATACAAGTATCTCATGTTGTATCATCATCGATCATTGATGTGCTTTGCTACATTGTATGGACGACTTGATATCTACAAGCTGCTCGAGTCGCAGCAACATGATGTTGATAAGATGCTACAAGTACATCAACCGGTAGACTTGACGGCGACAGAGTACGAACCAAGTAGTGATCTTCTCCTATTGGCACTGTCAAAAGGCCGTCTGGCAATGTTTGAGTACCTACTCTCACATGAGACAACACAGAGCATGGAGAGAAGAATAGGACATTGGAGACAGAATGAATCTGGTGGTCTCACATATGTGAGGTTCATAGACATTGATGATTGGGACCAGATGATATCGATCATTAAGTTGTTGATTACTTATATCAAGTCATACAATCGATCCGATGGCGAACAACTAACACTCAGTGTACTGTTGTGCGAGCCTTTCAAGTTGGTACTTCGGTGTCAGGACATAAAGTTGATGCGACTTGCCATTGATCATGTGTCTTTAGAATTTGAAGTCGTGAGACAACATTGCGAGGATGTCTTTCGTCCAACAACCGATGGCACCACAGAACTATACAGTGCAGACCAGCAACGGTCCGATCCAAACAAGCTGGAGCAATCACTCATATTCCTCATCGACGTATTCAAACTTTATCATCTGTCAACACGCCATGTGACTCTTGATGGTGACGCATGCTGTAATCAGGTACTGACGGATGCTGGCAAGATATTCATCGCCGTCTACAGGCTACTGGTCACACATGTTGTCCTCCCAATCAAGTCATTCATTATAAAGGGCCTGTTCATGAACATACTTCAGCCATGTCAACAAGATCATCTGGTCGCATTCCTTAAACTCTTTCTATCACTCGATACACTTGACCCTCATTATCGTTCTGGTATTTCCATAGTCTGTACCTACGGCACGATAGAGATGGTGAAGATCGTTCATGAGATGGGACGGGTGCCACCCACCCTGCAACCTTACACTCCATCACTGGTAGTGTACCCCAAGGACTTGGAGATACTAGAGTATATCAATCAGACCAACTTGTGCTCGTTGGACAACATGGAAATGCTCACTCACTTTGCCTCGATGGCCAACCCCGACTTGCTCAGGGCATACCTGGCAGCACACCCTCGTCTGCTCATTGACACCACACAAGATGAATTGGATGATGGATTCGATCCAATCACAATCAATGATCTATTGAATCGCCATGACATAGACAAATGCATAGCGATCAAATCAATATTGAAAGCCGAGTTCACTCGTGCCAATCAATCAATGAGCATTGATTTGATGTTTAATCGTGTCGATGAGATGACACTAGGACAAGTACAATCAATCTCCAAAGATGCTTTGAAGAACAGTACATTCCATCCCAGGGATTATTTGAATGTGGACCCTGCCGTTGTCAGATACCTCTTGCTCCTGGCACCCTCAGCAGGCTTTGACAAAGTGCTAACCATGTCGATATTGAAATCAGCTTGTGCCTTTGGTATGACTGATGATGTTGTGCGATCAATTGAACACTCAAGCAATAGTACAATCAGATTGGATCATTCAATCATGTCCAACCTGCTACATTATTCATTCATATATGATCGACACTCTCTGGTACAATATCTTATTGGTCAATGTGAGGCAACGTTCAGTGGCACCACATGGATCTGGGCTGGTAGTAGGGTGGACATTGAGACATTGGACAAAATGATCTTGCTGGAAAGTCCAACTGGATTTGGAAAGGAACGACTTCTTATAGGTTCCTCCCAATCATCCAATGAATCTTTGATCAAGGTCATACTCGAGCGATTGTGTACCGACATGCCACGCAAGAAATTAGGAATGATTGCGATGCACTCTTTGGCCTACGATCGAGAGGACGTGGTGGAATTGTTTGCAGAATGGATGATCAAGTGCCCACCCGATGAACCACTACAGTCACAACATCACAACATTCACGAAGCACTCATCAGCAGCACTGACAAGTTGGACATAACAATGGTCAAGGACTATCTCCTAGGTGAGGCGATCACTCACAAAAGATTTGAGGCTGAGCAATGTATTCGATATCTTCTCCAAGGACTGACTCGTGCTACCATTGACAAGCACTCTTGTTCAAATGTATATATCAAGTACCTTCAATATAAATAATCAATGACCATAATTTTCCCTACATATTTATTAATTTATCAATTGATTGATGGTACAATCAAAGATACAATTTTGTGTAGAATAAGATTTGAACATAATTTCCAAAAGACACACGAGGTCACCAAAATTTGGAGACCCTTTGGTAGACTACTGGGAATAATTGAACTATATATTAAAAGAGTTTTAAGTTGTTTTTGATCACTTAGATTTAGAGTTTGATCGAATTTGGAACCAAATTTCAAATGTTTCAAATTGAGAGGTAATAATCCATCAACAGGATGATTGAATTCCGATCCAAAACTAAGATGGAATAGTGATTGGGGAAGGGAATTGGGAAATATTGGTTGGTTAAAGCTTATACCAACTCTAAGGAATGTCAAAGTGTCTGGCAAAGTGTTTGGAAGTATTGGAAAATTATAAACATATCCAAGGTCCTAGTACCTTAAAGTCTCTGGGAGTACTCCGATCTTTATAGGTTGTATTAAAGTATCTATTTCAAGATGAGTAAGAGATTTTGGAAATATATTGCAATCCAAAATATTATTAAATTGACCTAGAATAAATAAAGTTGTTAAACTCTTTGGGAGGTTAGGTGGAAGAGAGCTATAATTAAGGAAATTAGGAATCAATGTTTTAATATTTTCATTCTGAATAATTCCTAATATATTATTATCCAATATTGTTTTGTCTTTATTTAAGATGATTGTATCCACTGATGAAGGCAATAGATTTGATTCAACATCAGAGGTTCCATAAGAATGATGATTCATTTTGATACTATAATCAGTCTTTAAATTGTTTTGAATAGATATTACTCTATATGAATTACACTTTCGAATTAATAAAGATGAATTTAATATATTTATATTCTTTTACAAGTTTGTAAGAGGCACCATATATCCATATCAATATCCACATCATCAATACTCAATAAAATATCACCAAGTGTTTTGATTACAACAAAAGGTAACTTATTCAACATTTTTTATCTCTACTGTATGAATATTTAAATTAATTAGTACAATAATGGTTAGTAAATACTTAATGATCAGGTATTCACACACTTAAATAATATTTTTGGTCACCAAATTACAATAAAAATTGTCTCTATTAGATTATTATTAAATTATTTATTTAAATAAATAAAAAAAATATATATATTTATTTTCTTGATGAAGAGATTAAAGGTCTAGATAATTAATACACATAATCAATCAAACAAACACTCACACAACAGAAAGTACAATAAGTGGAAATCGAACCACAATCTAGATCAAAAAAAGAAGTGGGGAACAACTGACTGATCAGTTGGCGGCAGATCTGCCCCTTTTGCAAACAAATCATATCAAAATTTCGAAATGCATAAGTCAGAGAGGGGGGCACCATCACATGGTTTAGGGTGCTCGATCTCGACAAGAACCCCATGACTTTGTCTCAAGTCATTCTATTCCCTGTTGTTGGCCCAAGACAAAACATACACATATACAACACATTACATTATATTCCCCATCCCATTACATTATCACTTCAATCAACTAAATCACTCATCTCAATCATTCAATCCTACTCATTCATTCAATCACTCATTCAATCACTCAAACAATCAATCAATCACACATGTCAAGTTAACGAGACAAGACAACACAACATATAACATTCATTCATATTATATATTTACTTTGTAACAGTACTACTACTACATAAATATAACAAACATATAATTACAAAACAATATATATATACACACGAGATGTTCCAACTTCCAGATGTCAAAAAGTCAGAGACAGGCATTAAGAAGTATACGGCATGGTTAGACTTGAGATTCCCGAGAGTACAGGAGGAGAAACACTTCCAGTCATATTATTATCATAGTTATGTCCGACAGATTCGAATGGCCGTCGTCTTTCTCACGATGGTCTTGACATTGGCACTGATAGTCGATTATATCAGTCCATTAGATGTCAATGCCCTACCCTTCTACATGCCATATAGTTACTTCTATGATGATGAAGATGAAGATATGAATAATAATAATAATAATAGTTCAACATCATCAACATCAATACCTCGAGAAATACCTGCAGGCTTTATACCTGATTATCTGGACTTTAGCTCAGACGAAATTAGACAACAACAAATCAACGCCTTCATCTCGAGACTTGTTGGCGTAGGCATGCTACTAGTCTTCTTCATATTCACCTTTACCAACTACTTTAAGCGTTTCTGGAAGTTATACGCATGTCTAATAACATTCTTAGGTATGTGAGTTAGAGCGAGCGAGTTAGAGCGAGTAAGCGAGACATCGTGATACTGACCCATAACCTGATGATGTAGCAACATGTATTACATTGTTATTCGTCTATGATATACGAACGATTCCTGGACGAATGATATTGTTGTACGTGGCCATAACGATTGCCTCGGGCTTGACGTTTCTGCCTGCGGCCATATCATCAGTGGCACTATCTGTATTCTACTTTATCTATTATATAATATCCTTTAACATATACTATACTACCATGCTACTACTATCACTATTCATATTCGTTTCAATGTTCTTCCTTGTATCAATCGCGCAATATAGGTATGTACCAAGTGTGGATCGATCAATGACTCGACCGACTTCATCAACTGACCCATCATCTTTAGAGAGCAACTGATACGAGACAAGTTTAGAACATTGGAGAACTTGAAACTACAGAGGATAAGATCGGGAAAGGTTATACATCAGATGTTGCCAACGGTGGTGGTTCAGAGACTGCGATTAGAGTCATCAAAGGAACAGACGTTGGATTCAATAGTGTCGACTGAAGCCAAGACACTGCCATCAGTATCGTATGAAGCGCATCATGTGGAGATATCGATTGGAAGTGGGTCATCGTCGACGATGACGCCCGAGGCATCGCCCAGCAACTCTGCACCATCAACACCTCAACTCTCACCACAGGTCACGCCTCAGTCAACACCGTCAATGTCGCGCAAGGCTCCGATCGACCCACAATCACCATCATCACTCAACCCAGGACATTACTCAGGCAAGTTGATCGTCGACTCTTACGACCCGGTCACGGTTCTCTTTTGCGAGATTGTCAACTTCACCGCGATGCTCGAGAAGATGCCCGCGCCACAGGTCATCACGCTGCTCAATGAGATATACAACTCGTTCGATCGCCTTACCGATGTGTACGGCGTCACCAAGGTGGAGCACATTGGAAATGTGTACATGGTGGTGGGCGGCTGTCCTGAGCTGTGCACCGACCACGCCGTGCGAGTGGCTCACATGAGTCTTGGCATGCTGCAGATCATCCGTCGATACGGTATCGTCCAGGTCAAGATTGGCATGCACACGGGCCCGGTGGTTGGCGGCATCATTGGCAAGAAGAAGCTCAGCTGGCATTTGTTTGGCGACACGATCAATACGGCCAGCCGCATGGCATCACACAGCTCAATCGACAAGATCCAGCTGAGCCAGCCCGTCCAACAGCTGCTCAAGTCACACTTCCTCTTTGAGGACCGCGGAAAGATACAGGTCAAGGGCAAGGGAGTGATGCGAACGTTCTATCTCGTCAAGACCAAGGCGTTGGACAAGCGATACACGACCATCTTCTCACTTCATCGCGACAACAAGCCGTACATCCCGCCCATCGACATTTCTGAGGTGACCTCCCTCGAGAGCTCTCCGCCCCCACTCTCCAGCTCTCCAATGGCACCGTCGGCACTAAACATGGTCGAGCCACCCCTGTCCAGTCGTCAGCGTAAAGGATCGATCTTTGCGTCGGTCATCCCGCCCAAGGTGCTCAACTTTATTCATTCACAACCGCAACAACCTGCAGCCAATGCGACAGATCCAAATGCAGCTTCGTCAAGTGGAGGCGATCACAAACGATTGGAGAAAGGTCCCAGCACGTCAAACATCCATAACCTCTTGGTTGGTGGCCCCAACAATGGCGCCGACAGCTTTGGCAAGAAGAAGAGCATGGTCACATTCCAGAACCTACCAATCATTGACCGCCGACCCAGCCGAGCACCCACCGTCGTCGCGATGGACGACATGGACCTTCAGGCCGAGCCAAATGGCAGCGACATGGTGGAGATGTCCAGCTTTGACCTGGGCAAGGGAGTCAAGGGTTCCAACGTGATCTACTCTGACTCTTCACTGTCCAACATTGAGAACGAACTCAAGAAGAACTACACGATCGACTATCTGCGGCTGAAGTTCGTGTCACGCGATGACCTTGTCGAGAAGCAATTCCGTATCGACTATCATAAGCTGGTGTACAAGCGAGTGCTACTGGCCATGATATTCGCCACCGTAGTACTGGCCATGGGTGCGATTGGCGACTACTTCTTCATGAAGGACTTTGACGATTTGTCCTACGACCGAGTCACTGGTATTAGATTTGGTGTCTGTCTCTTTGGATTGATATATATATACGCAGCTTCAAAGTCAATCAGGTATGTTGTATCTCATCAACTCAATCAATCCTGGCTGGAACTATCCCGCTCACTCAATCACACAAACAGACTTAGGAAATACTTCCAAGTGATTGGATCATTGTACTTTATGATGATGGCATCGAGTGTTATTGGATTGGCAAGCTTGCCAGCACAGACTTCTGCACCATTGGAGACGTTGACATTGTCCTCGATAATGATGATATTCACAATCTGTTACAATTTTTCAGGCATCCGATTCTTTGCAGCCAACCTGGTGTTTGCCTTCTGCCTGTTCATATTCAACATCAGTCTGCTGTGGAAGTCGACTGATCGCCAGATCATGCTCAGCCACAACTTTTACCTGGTGACCGTGGTGCTTGTCAACATCAGCACAGCCTACATGGAGGAGTTGTTCCAACGCCAGAACTGGGTGCACGGCAAGCTGCTCGACAAGGACAGTCGCGAGACCGAGCAGCTCGTGTCAGAGATTCTCCCGATGTACGTAGTGTTGCAGATGAAGTCTGGCCGTCAGCTGATCGCCGACGAGTTTGAGCAAGTGACCATCTTCTTGTCGGACATTGTCGGCTTCACAGAGATGGCCGCGCGCATGACCCCGGGCCAGCTGGTCGAGACACTCAACGAGATCTATTCAACATTCGATGAGATTGCTCAGAGGCATGGCGTGCTCAAGGTGGCGACCATTGGCGACGCCTATCTCTGCGTGTGTGGCTGTCCAGAGAAGCGCAGCGATCATGCCGAGCGTGTAGCAGACATGGCCATCGAGATGCTCGAGGCCATCAAGAACATACGCACCGTGGACAACATACCAATCAAGATGCGTATTGGCATTCACACTGGTCCAGTAGTGGCTGGCGTCGTAGGAATCAAGATGATCCACTATCAACTGTGGGGCGAGAGCGTACAGATTGCACAGCAAATGGAGAGTTCGGGCAAGGCCGACATGATACACGTCAGTCACGAAACATACGCATTGCTCTATGACAAGTATGTGTTCCAGGATCGCGGAGAGACAACGATCAAGAAGCGAAAGATGCATACATACTTCCTTGAGCGACCGAGGACTGAGGCGGATGGACCTGCTCCAGAACTAGACCCAACGATCACAATCAACAAGGCAGGATTTGGCGCGTCACTCACAATACCAAGAGTGGTCGTGATGAGTGGTGCTGATGTCCAGACCAACTCGAGTGTCGGCAGTCAAGACGATGACACGACCACAGTGGATATACCAATCAATACTTCGATACCCTTGGCAAGCAGTTTCAATGAAGATGATAACAACAACAACAACAGTAGCAGAAGCAACAATCACAACATTGATGGCTTGTCAATTATCAAGGAGGAAGATGAGGTAGAGGCAGACGAAGAGGACCGTCATCGTGGAAACGAAGTATTTTCCTTTGATACACAATAAATACATTGTTCGCGAACGTCCACCTATTACCCTGAGCCCATTCATTGGATGATATAACAAACTTAAGTTTATTGGTTGAGTGATCGGGTGATTGGAACTACTCCATCATCATACCATTCGATGAACCTAGACAGAATGACATTGTTGATGGCTCTTGTTCAGTGACTGAACCTTCCTTCTTCTCTCCCATTCTCACAATGTCCTTGAATAACTTTGCATTGTTGTTGCTGATACTTGTTATCTTGGCCTCCTTCTTCTTCATCAGGTTCTCTTCTTGTTCACTCAACTCTTGTTCAATCTGTGATAGACGCTTCTTGGTGTCCTTGGCCAACACACCTCGCACACTTTCAATCTCGGCGCGTGACTTGTCTTCCTGCTCCTCGCGCCATACCTCCACCTCGGACTCCTTATCGGCAATCTCCTTTGCCACACGAGCCAGACGTTGTTCCATCTCCTTCTTTGTGGCCAGCATACTATGTGCTCTCTTGCTCTCGACCGATGCGCCATCCTTGACCTTCTTCAGCTTCATCGAAGTGACCTCCATCTCTAAGTTAGCTCCATCCTTCTCCTTTGAAGCATCTTCAATCATCACCATGGCAGCCATCAATTTGCGCTCCAACTCTCTCTTCTTCTCCTCGGCAGTGCCACGCTCTGACAATGAATGATCCAACAACTCTTGCTCGGTCTTGCGCTCAGCTCTTGTGCGCTCCAGACGACTCTCCAGACGTAGTTGCTTGGCGCCCATCTGTGCCACCTGTTGATCAATGTTGCCAAGCTCCTTGCTCTTGATTGACTCGATCGCGTTCAACTTTAGCATCTCTCGGCCATACTTGACATCGACAGTCTCAATCGCCTGCTTCTGCTTATCATACATTGTAGCCTCGACACCTTTCAATCTCCTCTTCTCCTCACTGAGCTCCGACTTTTTGTTGTCCAGCTCTGCCTCTTCCTCGATCATTCTGATCATCACTCTCTTGCCCTCGGTCTGTGTGTCCTCGATGCCTGAACGCAACTCATCATTGGCAGAGTCCAGTCGCACTGTCTGGCGATCTTGTGCCAACAACTCTATACTGGCCTGCTCCAGACTCTTTCTCAGTCTCTGCTTTCTGTCGATCAGTTGTTGATTGGCCTTCTCTAACTCTTGATTGAGTTGCTTCTCCAGCTCGACTTGCTCCAGAGTACGGGTCTTCTCCTTGGCCGTGCGTTCAATCTTCTCCTCAGTGACCTGTCGCTCGATGCCCTCCATATGGATGTCAAGTGTGTATGACCTGTTGTGTTGAGCCATGACCTCCACCTCTCTCTGTACGTTCTCGGTGGCATAAGCTTCACGGACCAACTCTGTCGTAGCCTTTAACATCTCAACCTTCATCTCGGCACGCTCATCATAGAGTTCATTCTTGTCACGATCAAAGTCTCTCTTTAGCTTGCCCAATGCCTCGCGATGTTCACCCTGCAGTGCCTTGACAGACTCCTTCTTCTCGGTGATTGTAATGTCCAGGTCCAGCTTCCTCTCGCTCAACTCCTCGGTGATCTCTTCACGTTTGATCTCCAACCTCTTCTTCTCGCGTCGCAAAGTGTCTAGATGCTCTTCGACATCATTGGTCTCGACCTTGATGACCTCGGTCTGTTTCTTGATGTAGACAGTGTCGTTTTTGAATCGATCCACCTCCATCTTTAGCTCCTTTACATTTCTCGTGGCACTATCGATACCGCGCTCAGTGTCAATCCTTGTGCGTACCACTCGGTCTGTGTTCTCCTTGGCAGCGTTCAGTTGATCCTGGATCATGCGTCTTGCACTCTCTATCCTATTCTTGTCATCGCGGGCATCGTACAGCTTGTGCATCAACACCTTCTCCTCCTTCTTCAATCCCTCAATGTTGACACTCAGCTGCTTGGTCTCGGCCTTGGCCTGCTCTAGCTTCCTCTTGGCATCGGTGATTCCAGTGGCGTCCAGCCTGGCCTTGACAGCATCCATCTCTACCTGCAACACAGACATCTCGCGCTCCAAGTCCACTTTGGCACTGTCCAACTTGACCTCGCACTCCTTTCTGTCAGACTCGGCAACTTGTACCTGACCCTTTATCTGAGCCAAGTTCATCGATAGTCCAATAGCCTCATGTTCCAACTGCTTGATGATGACAGCCTCCTTCTCATATTCTTCCTGCAACTGCTCTTCGGTCATTGGAGCCTCGGTCTGGAGCACGGTCAGCTCCTCCTCCAGCTGTTTCACCTGAACTGTGTAGGTCGAACGTTGCTGGTCCCACTGATGTGCATAGTCCTTGGCCTTGTCCTCAAACTTCTCTTGGATGTTCAAGTTCTCAACCTTGACCGTGTTGATCCTACGACGCATCTGATCAATCTTCTCCTTGCTCTCATGGGCACGACTCTGGTACAATTGGATGGCGCTCTCAATCTGAACGATGGTGGCAGTGTTGGCGGCGATCTTCTCGTCGGCACTCTTGATCACCTCGGATGGTATGACTGGTTCCTCATCAGCCAGTTGATTGAACTTGTTGAACACATATGCTATGAATGCGATGTTTAGACGACCATTGGCATTGACAATGTCATCAGTAGTGATGAACTTTCGACATTGAATCTTGGCAGCAGACTCGAGGAACATTGTGGCGCGCTTGGACAGGTCTGGCTCATTGAGTGCATCCAACGTACATGTCTTTGGTGCAAGTTGATTGAATAGTATAATGTACACTTCTGAATCACGAATGTCCGATGCAAAGTTGGACACACGACGATCAGACTTTGCATTGGCCAAGTGATGATTGACCCATCTTATCAATATCTCGTCGGGTACCATTTCATCAACATTATCCATCGCACCCAAATCCAGTATCTCAGCCTTGACCCTCGAGGCCAGTCTTGACACCTTGTTCAACAAGTCCAACTTTACCAATTGCCAAAGTATTGACAATATTAAATGTCTCTGTTAATATTGAATGATTGATTGATTGGAGATGGTTAGTTATGTGTGATTGATTGATGGACATGGAATGGTTCCTTACCTTTCCTTCATGGAAATCAGTTGGACCAATATTGATCACATAACATCCAATTGTCCTGGCAGACTTTAGACATATATCCAAGTTGACATTCTTTTCAAAGATGTTCAACTTGTTGGATAACTTAATATCCTTCTCATTGATCACTCCAGGTCTAATAGCATTTATAAGTTTACTAAAATGGGTGGATGAGTTAGTGGAATGATTCCATGTGATGATTGATTGATTGACTGATCATGAAACATACCATAATATTACACCATCTGCTAGTGAGGCGAATATTGAGTCTGATTGTGGATCGATTGGTATGATTGTGGACAGTCTTTGATCTTTCCTAAGTAAGAAGTTGACATGTTCCACAAGACCTTGTTTCTCCTCGTCGTGATAGGTATGCATTACACTGTCTCTGGTATCAGCTCTCAACAATCTTCTATTATTGTTGACGAATGATCCAGAGCTAATTGTCTTTGTAGACGAAGCCATCATCGCTACTTGATTGTTGTGTTGATGAGTTTGATTGATTGATTGATTAATTGATTGATTGATGATGTATCTTGGTGTTGGATGGATGGATGGATGGTAGATTGAACGAGTGACCCTTGAGTTGGGTATGGTAATACTACTACTTCGTCAAGTATTAGATTACTAAAGGTAGGTATGTATAATAGATTGGAACAATAGAGTTGATCACACTGATTGATTCAGTTACACTTGGTGTCAATAAAGATGCCCAGCAAAGTAACAATTAACAATAACTAATAATGAATATCATCATCATCATCATCATTAACCGGGGATGCATGGATGGATGGATGGATGGACTAATGGTTGTTGGTTAGTTAGGGTTGGTTAGTTGGTTGATTGGGAACCGATGCGATGCGATGCGATGTCCCTGTGCGGCAAGCAAATGCATTGATGATGATATGTGTCTGGTAGTGTGACATGTGCGTGCGTGTGCCCTTTGCCTATCATTCATCCATCCATCACCCTGCTCACTCCTCACTCTCCTCACTTCCCGAATTAGCTCCAACAACAACCTTGAGTGCCACTGCAAATGAAATCCAATCAATCAATCAATCAAATATACGTATATCTTATCTGTGTTATGTGTGTCATGGGTTTATATGTTGTTTGTTGAGGTTGATGCGTGTATTGGTGTATAACAATAACTCATCATGGGGTGAGTGTGAACTTGATCACCTGATCATATTCGCGTGTGTTTGTGTTTCTTTGTGTGAATCTGATCAAGTTTCACCCATCCACATACTCAATATAACCAATTTAATATAATTTAAATAATAATATGTTGTCCAAGGACAAGACAGTTAATACATATACTTCGGCATTATCATATTCCGATACATGTCCATTGTGATTATCATTTTCCGATCAGTTACCCATCAACCTAACCCAAAACCAATCAACTTCTTCAAGTATCGTATTAACCTAATTTGGACGTATATTCATTTAATCAAATAATTCATTGTCTAAAAGGTAGAATAATAATAATAATATGGAGCTAATACTACCACGGAAACCAAATGATCATAAAGGAAAACCGACATTACAGGAACAGATTGATTTGGCTTATGTTGGTGTTAGAGTAAACAAACAATTTATAGTAGAAATATTGAATGTATTATGTTTCAAATATAGATTTAATAAGATAACAAGAAAAGAGTTGATTGATAACTTGACTCTATTATTCAATGATGATATAGCACATTTCTACGCAGATCTAATGGATAGTATTGGAGAGGGTAGATATCAACCTCCTGATTCAATAGTATACTCAATGATTACAACAAAGAGATTTATAGATAAAGTATTGGAATACAAAGATGAATACATGGAATTCTTAACTGATAGGCAACTTCTGAGTAAATTGTTAATACTATCTCCAATCCGATCATCAAACAATCCATTCCTACATGATTATGTTATGGTCAATCCATCAATAAATATTCAATAATCACTCAGTTGTAGTTCATCTTGGTCCTAGATATATGATCGATCAATCCATCAATCCACCCCACCCTCAATCAATGATTATTTAATTGATAGATTGATTGATTGGATATAAATATATTCTAAATATTTATTGAGCTGATACACCTATCTCCAACTTTGAATGTTGGTTGATGTTGGTAAGAGGTTTAAAGTGTTGTAATAATGTCCTGAGTTCGGTTGAGAAGGACATTACGGTGAGATCATCCATGGCACGACCATCATAACCTCCAAACATGTAGACTTTGTCGCCGACGACATCTGCACTAGCCATGTCGCGTGGGCTTGGAACTCCATGATGGAAGACTTGCTTGCTCCAGGTCTCAGAGATAGTGTCAAAGAAGTAGAGCTTCTTGGTGACCTTGCCCTTGATCAGATGCTGGCCGCCAAACACTCCAACCAAGTGACCAATGAGGAAAACACAGCTGAATGTACAGACTTGGACCAGTTGGTTGGATGGGACGTGGCGCCACTCTGAGGTGATCGTGTCAAAGATGTGAATGTCATTGAATCGCTCCTTCCAAGAGTCGCCAGCACCACCTCCAAACATGTAGAGCTTGGTACCGACTGTGACCAGACGGTGGCCACAACGGGATGATGGAAGGTCGCCCTTGGCCTCGACCTCACTCCAGGTCATTGTCTGTGTATCAAACACGTAGAACTCGTCCAGGTCTTGCAGCTCCCAGCGGGAATCTCGGTTGATGCCGCCAAATACATAGAGTTTGCTGCCAATGACTGCTGAAGCGTGGTTGGTACGCGAGCGGGGTGGCTTGCCGTGAACGACTGGGCTGGTCCAGGAGAAGGTCTCAGTGTCAAAGATTGAGAGGTCAAAGTAGACACCAGAGCCATCGAATCCACCAAACACATATATCTTATTGCCAACGGACACTGAAGTGTGACGGGCAAACTTGGGTACCTTGCCTCCATTGACGTGAACTCTGTGGAATCTATGTGTCTCTGTGTCGTAACGGAATATATCGCTGAAACGTCTCAGCTGAGTCTCTTGGCCTCCAATATAATAAATCGATGATCCAACAACTGTTCCAGTGTGTTGATATCTTGCTGATGGGCCAGGACCCTTAATGCGAAGGGATATTGCCGAGACAACTCCCTTGCCGGATGTGATCTCTCTAAGATGATAATAATTCTTCCAGGAGAAATCTGTCAGACCCTCCTGCGCCAGCAGGGACATCTTGTTGGCTTGTGGCATCCATTGCTTCTCGACATTGAACTTCCAAAGACCGACATCCTGCACCAGACGGTACATGTCGCGAGACACCAGACTAAGGTTATAGATCATGTCCAAGTTGAAGCTCTGTGAAATGCGGATGATCAACTCTTCGGGCAGGTTGGTCAGAGGGAACACGCCCTCAAACTTGCGAGACTTTCCATTGCTATTGGTTGAGTTGTTGTGATTGTTGTGGTTGACTAACATAAGCTTGCTCATTCTTGATTGGTACTTTGGTCGTTGTTGACGGATAGTGTTGTTGGCGTTTGGTGATTGATTGGCTTGGTTGCACTTGTCTGTTGAAGATGAATGGCGATTGGATGATTTGATCGCGTGGAATAAACTATCGAATATATGACTAAAGAATGATGTATGATGATGACCAGTACTTTGATTTCCACTATTCTCTGTACCAATATTGTTGGAGGACTTGGACCTTCTTGATTTAGATCTAGATACAACTGGCATTGTTGTTGTTTGGTGTATATATAATAATAAATAATACTACTCTTTTTAACTTGAATAATAATAATTGATAGATGGATTGAATGAATGGACAAATATGGAAATAAAGTTGGAATGTTTGGTTGTTTGGTTGTTTGATTGATTGATTGATTGAATGAATAGAAATGGTTGGATTATTATGATATAAGACAAGAGACAGGAATGATAAATAGGGTGGTGTATCCGATCAGACGTCTGCGGAATGAGTGTTATGTGTTGCGAGAACGTGTGTGGTTGGTTGGTGTGTGGTGGACTGATTGATTGATTGACTGAACTGATTGATAGTTGAGTGTGTGTGATCTTGATGATGATTGTCCAGTATACAAATATATAAAAGGGGTTTGGATTGTTGTGATGACTGGCTATATGTATGTATATATGTATGATTGGAGAGTAGATAAATAATGATTGTAGGCTTGGTCGACCTAACTACAACTCTACGACTAATTATAGACAATCTGATTGATGTGTACGTTTGAACTTGGTTGATGCTATCAAAGTATGTATATGTACAACAATTGACGACAAGGTTTGGTAATTCGGTCACACTTGCCCTCCCTCCTCAGAGTATTTATAAACAATAGTGGTAGGTGATGATGATGATGTTGCTTTTAATCCAGGGTTCAACGACCCCCGGGTGTCGATGAGATGGACCACTTGTGGCCGGGGTCATCAATTGTCGTCGTATCGATTACTGCATAAGGTTGGAATGGGTGTATGTGTGTTTGATGGTATTCGACTGCCACGTCCTAGCGTGTGAGAGAAAGAGGGAAGGAAGGAAGGTGCATCGATGTCCCGGTGTGAAGGGCGAGTGATAGGCCAGGTCCCGCATCCACATCATCAACATCAGGATGGTGGCACTCTGGCAAGATGAATCGAAAAGACATAGTATGTTGTCATAGTGATGTTGAAAGAGGTAGCTCTTTGGGATCGTGATAATGCAAGGTGGTGTGGGTGGTGAAAGAACGAGAACTGCACTCTGCCCCCCATGTTAGCCTGGTAACCCACCAAACCATCATGATGGTTCGATGTTAAAGCTGAAATGGAGAGAGAATGATGCATGTTTTTCAGGCCCAAATATTTGTGTGTGATTGGCGAGTGATAGACCTTGTTTGATTATGTGTAGCACAGTAGTATTGACAACAGGTATTTCCAAAACAGTCGATTTTAGGTCGACATCGGTAATACTAAACAAAGCGTCATAGTCACAATCTTAATATAACTTTGGGACTTTGGTGTCTGATAATCATTCGAAGAATGAATGGACTGTGAATGGGGGATGACTCATCCGAGTCCAAGGCCCAGAGGCAAAGTATGATGTTTATGGAAAGGTAAGTGTTGTCAAGACTTACATGATTGTAAAGTAATATGTATTATAATATTGATGTGGAATATGATGTTTATATTATTATTATTATTACTTACAAGTTTGATTGAATGAATGATAACTCAACTGATGATGAAGTTGAACACTGAATGAATGGTCATTTATAAAGGTGTGGTAGAGGGGAATGAACAGGTGTAAACCATGGAGCATCTCTCAGTCAATCAAACTGGCAGCTCCTTTATTCAATCATACAGTCAATCTAAGTATTGACCAAGGATTAAGAGTGTTTATAACACCACCACAATGTGTGTGGCTGTGGTCAATGGGCGAGCACATTTGAAACAGGTCAGTGTGATTGACTGAGGTCCATTCAATTCCAAAGCCCCAAGTGTCAAAAACAAGGGTTGTTTTTACGTGTGGTTTTTGGGGCTTCTTTTTTTTGAGATCTGTTATCATAGCCATTAATGCCAAGATCAACAAGTCCAACCAAAATACGATATTTTGTGTGTAAGTGTCTTTTGACAATTAGAGTCTTGTGAGTGGAACAGAATAAGTTGGTTCAATCTTTTATTATTTGACTCGTTGTTTGATGTTGCCGAATTATGCATCATCGGTGTCCGCCTCAGATCATGTTTCAACCTTCTTAATAAAGAATATCAATTGCTGATTGGATGATTCAAAAGCTCCAAAGTATGAAACTGATCAATTTTGAGTACCTTGATATTACATGTACCCAAGGGTTGAGATTTAAGTAATGATACATCCCATTGGCTAAAGGAACACCACTATCAAAATGGTTTGATTGAGTAAAGGGTCACCCTTTAAGGCCATGGGCAGACCCTAACCAAAAAAGGACATTCAATCAATAATATTCTGTTGTTGGCTGGAGGAATGCAAATGTTATTTCTCACAACAGACTCAAACGAGTTGAACAACATCATTCCGAATTTACAATACACTCATACATTATCATTTGTATTTTAATAAATAAATATGTTGAAGGAGACATCCACTCACTTCAGATTGCTCCATGGATAAATGGGGATACTATTCCCTTAACTTAAAAGGTCTTGTTATTAATAATCAACCTACTCCATCATGAGTTGAAGTCAGTTGGAAATAATTCGACAAGTTGATATATTCTGAACAACAATAGAATCTAAACATCTTCTTACAATCGTGAGTATATATATATATGTCAGCTGGACTTTGGTTGATAAACTCGTCACTCACCAACTGCTTTTCCATTAGTGATCATTGTTAGAGCGAGGCTTGTGTTCATTTTCAAAAGAAAGATCACTAATGGAAAAGTAAAGATAATCCTATATATATACAATATGATACAGACTACAGTAGGTCATGATGTCATGTCACAAGTACTTAAGGCGTTTCTCCCAAGTGTGACTGTCGAGGCTCATGCAACAACAACACACAGAAGCAGAGACATGACAATGTCATTGTTGAGGTATTAAGCAACAGGAAATTGCTAAAGAGGATTGTCAACGTGAGCAAGATACCATATCAGAAGACATTCAAGTACAACGAGCTTAATGTTGCCATGATTATGTTGCGCACTCGAGTCTATTCGCACAATGACTGCAAGGGTACATGACATTTATGCGAGGAAAAAGAGAAACAGTGGAGGAGAATAAGATGGATTGGCAACAGATGACATCAATACTCAAACGATTGATATCATTCTTGTATTATGATGAGATCGATTTCTATGATTATGATGATTGTCAGGATGCATGCCACAATCGATCAACTTATGTATAAACCCTTCAAGTTGTTGTTGCGTTGCGAGGACATCGAGTTGATGAAACTGGCATGCAATCATATCACATTCAATCATAATGATGTACATGATTATTGCGAGGATGTATTCCGTCCATTGGTCGACGAGCAAGATGATGTACTCTATGGCGCCAAGAACAAACAACCTACCGATTCTGCCAAGTTGGAGCACTCACTCAACTTCCTCATTCAAGTGTACCAGCTCTATGGCAAGATTAAAAAACCGCCATCCAACGAGTCATTACAAGCATACAAGTCAGTACTCAATGTGGGCATGATATTCCTCAAGGTCTTTGCCTTCCTCTCGGCTACACCAAGAACGATTGATAAGCCACCTCTACTGCCGGTATCATTCGTCAGGAAGGGCATCTTTTTGAATGTGCGCCAGTCATACCAACAATCACATTTGGAGTCATTCATTCGATACTTCCTCTCGTTGGACAAGAAGAGACCTGGTCTGCTGCTTGGACTGGCAACCATCTGTACATTTGGCACATTGGACATGGTCAAGATTGCTCATCAGATCGTTTCAAAAGAAGGAGGTCTGCCTCTTGGACATGATATTAGGCTCCAAAGTGTGAGCCCCAGGTCATTGGACATCATGGAGTACATCCAACTTCACAACCTGTACCCAATGGAGACCATCGAGATACTCACTCATGTTGCCTTGATGGCCGACCCCAACATGCTCAAGTCATTCCTTGTAACATACCCTGATGCACTGTTCGGACAGACAAACCCAGATGACGAAGAATATCTGAACGTTGATATCATATCCAAGAGAATGATGAGGCATGATATGGACACACACAATGCCATTCGATCAATCTTGTTGGCCGAGTGTGAGCGATTACGTTGTTTGGAAGATGATGAGAGTGATTGTCTTATTCTTCGAGTGGATGAGATGACCGTTCAATCATACTCCAACAGTATTCTGAGGGAATCGACATTCGAACTACCTTTTGAGTTGGATGTTGATCCGGCCGTGGTAAACTATCTTCTCACTCAAGCACCGATTGGAGACTTCGGAACGGAGTTGACCTCTACAATCCTGGAGGCAGCTTGCCGACTTGGAATGACAGAGGGTGTTCACTTGATCGAGTTGCCCAATCAAGTGTTTGTCAATGTCCGATCCAACCCTTCATGCATGACCAGACTACTCTTGGCAGCACTCCAACGCGGTCATCTCACAATCTGTCAGTATCTCATTGATCGTGGCGAACGATTCGACTGGTCATGGGCCGGCAATATCTCCTCTGTTGATGCGATTATTGAAATGCAAAGACCAACAAACAATGATAAAGAGGCTATATTCTACGAGGCATGTAACAATAGCAACACCTCGATGGCAATGAACCTATATTCAAGAAGGTCTCAGGATATGGTGCTCTGTCGAAAGAAGTTGGCCGACTATGCCAAACAAAGTATCACTCGATGGGCCGACCCTGTCTACTTTGTGGCCTACATTGCAGGACTGATCGTCAAATGTCCACCAACAACCAACAACAATGGTGCGTTGTACAACCATCAACTTTCCAAGAATTCATTCATTCTTTTGTTTGTTTCAGTGTTTGTTATTGGTTTGAGAATGTCAAACACTCCATTCAACCATTCATTTTTCAATTCAATTGAATTACCTTAATATCTCATTCAATCAATCAATCAAACAAACAAACAAACAAACAAACAAAATGATACATACTACAGATGGTGACGATGGCTTGTCACATGCACTTAAGGCGTTACTCCCAAAGTGTGACTGTCGAGGCTCGTGCAACAACAACAATAGCAGTGAGGACAAGCAGAGGCATGACAATTTCATTGCTCATGTATTGTTCAACAGGACATTGTTGAATATGATTGTTAAAGTTGGCAAGATACCATATAGTAAGACATACAAATACAATGAGCTCGAAGATGCCATGATTATGTTGCGCAACAAACAATTTCACTATGTGTTTGTGGAGCGTCTGATGCGAGATCACAAGATGCATTGGACACAGAATAGTTTGGAGAAGCTCATCGAGTTGATGCCCATTGCAGTATTCAAACATGTCCACAACGCATACAGATACACAATGCTCTATCATCATCAGCGAATGATGCAGCTCGCGTCCCGATACGGACGACTCGATGTTTACAGGTTACTTGAGAAGCAGGCAGACGACAACAAAGACATACACTATCATTTGTTTGAGAATGATTTCCAAGGCGATAATCGATATGACCATCTCAAGACTGCACTGTCATTGGGCCGGCGTGAGATGTTTGAATACCTTTTACCACTCGAGAATGAACGCTCATTCACAGGTAGGATACATAGTACTGTGTTTGAGCATTATATCGATTGGCAACAGATGGATACTCAAACATTTGATAAAATTCTTGGATAAAGCTGGCATGCCATTTATAAGTCAACTTCTGAATAGACCCTTCAAGGTATTGTTGCGTTGCCAGGACATTGAGTTGGTGAAACAGGCAGTCGATCATAATCATATCGAATTCAATCATGATGATGTCCATGATTATTGCGAGGATGTATTCCGTCCATTGATCGGCGAACAAGATGTACTTTATGGCCCCAAGAACAACCTATCACCTACGCAACCAGCTAAGTTGGAGCAATCACTCAACTTCCTCATTCAAGTGTACCAGCTCTACGGCAAGGATGTTCCACCATCCAACGAGTCATTCCAATCATGCAAGTGGGTGCTCAATGATGTGGGAGTGATATTCCTCAAGGTATTTGCCATCCTCTCGGTCACACAGAGATCGAGAAATCAGCAACCTCTTCTACCGGTATCATATGTCAGGAAGGGCATCTTTTTGAATGTGCGCGAGTCATACCATCGATCACAATTGGAGTCATTCGTTCTATACTTCCTCACCTTGGACAAGAGTAGACGTGGTCTGTTGCTTGGATTGGCAACCATTTGTACCTTTGGCACCCTGGACATGGTCGAATTATCTCATCAGATCGTATCAAATGCTCGTTACAAAGGTGTACCTCTTGGGAATTATATTAGGCTCCAAAGTGTTAAGCCCAGGTCAATGGACATCATTCAGTACGTCCAAATTCACCACCTTTACCCAATGGACACCTATGAGATGCTCCAACATGTTGCCTCGATTGCCGACCCACTCATGCTCAGGACCTTCATCGAAACATACCCCGATGCATTGACCAGACACCATATAGACATTGGATACATTTCTTCATATTTGTATTATCATGACATTGACACACACAATGCCATTCGATCAATCTTGTTTGCCGAGTGTGAGAGACTAGGAATCCTGGAGAATTCCAAATGTAATTGCCTTTATCATCGAGTGGATCATATGACCTTGGGACACTTTGAATCTTACTCTAAAAGGTTCTTAAAGTTATCTATATTCAATCCACGCCATGACTGTGATGTTGATCCGGCAGTGGTCCACTATCTTCTCACTCAAGCACCGATTGGAGACTTTGGAAAGAATTTGACCAAGTCTATCCTGGAAGTGGCTTGCTCACTTGGAATGACCGAGTGTGTTCATTACTTGATCGACTCGCCCAATCAAGTATTTGTCAATGTTCGATCAGACTCATTGTGCATGACCCAACTGCTCCGTGCAGCCTTCAAGAGAGGTCATCTCTCAATCTGTCAGTACCTCATTGAAAATGGCACATATATAGACTGGACTATGGTGGACACAATCTCCTCTCTTGATGCGATTATTGAAATGAAATCACCAACAGACAAAGACAAAGTGAATATATTCTACACGGCGTGTATGATTGGCAACATCACAATGGCCAAGAACATATATTCAAGATGGTCTCAGGAGATGGTACTTTGTCGAAAGATGTTGGTGGATTGTGTACTTGAATGCATCTCGAAAACTCCAAGGGGCGATCCTGTCGAACTGGTTACATTGATTACAGAACTGATCGTCAAATGTCCACCAACAACCAACAACTATTGGCCAGAAGATATATTTGTCAAGCATACGATCGATCTGGTGATGGTCAAGGAATACCTTCTCGACCAGTGGGTCCATGATAAAGAGTTTGGATTACAGGAGCTATGTATTCGATACCTCTTGGATGGACTGTCAGAGCAAGCGATCAAGAGATACACTGAAATCAATGTTTGGATATGGTATCTGAGTAGACACAATAAAGAGACCAATCAAGACTGGCCACCAACAGATGATGACAAGGTGAAACGACAGAGAACAGACAATAACAATCTTGATTGATACCTGATCATTGTATCGTACAACTTTTCCTGTGTGAGATTGACATTATTGATACAGTACCTTAATCAATGCAACAATTCCATTTCCCAATCATTCTTGTTGTTCATTCTTTCATTTTCAAAGGATGATCAATGAACAACATGTACAGATAAAATATACCTTAATATCTCTTTCAATCAAACAATCAATATGATGCAGACTAGAGATGGTGATGTTGATGATGACTTGTCACAAGTACTTAAAGGGTCTCCCAAAGTGTGACTGCCGAGACTCATGCAACAACAACAACAACACACAGAAGCAGAGACATGACAATGTCATTGTTGAGGTATTAAGCAACAGGACATTGCTAAAGAGGATTGTCAACGTGAGCAAGATACCATATCAGAAGACATTCAAGTACAACGAGCTTAATGTTGCAATGATTATGTTGCGCAACAAACAGTTTCACTATGTGTTTGTGGAGCGTCTGATGCGAGGTCACAAGATGCATTGGTCACAGAATAGTTTGGAGATACTCATCGAGTTGATGCCCTATGCAGTGTTCAAACGAGTCCACGACACCAACAGATACGCAATGCTCTTCAATCATCAAATGTGGACGGCTCGACTTATACAAGTTGCTCAAGCAGCAGGCACTAGACAACCCAGACATACTTAAACCCAACTATCATGACTACATGATTATACAAAGAAAGGATCATCCAGGCAAAGTCAAGTATGATTTTGGACAAGACCATCACCTGATCGCACTTAAACACGGCCGACTGGCGATGTTTGAATACCTTCTGCCACTCGAGACTGCGCGCACAATGGCAGCGAGGACAAAAAGATCAAGGGAATATATATTATCGGCAATAGAGTCTCAGATGGATTGGCAACAGATTGCTGCAATACTCAAACGATTGATATCATACTTGTATCAAAATGATGACGACGACGACGAATATGATGATGACGATGATAGTGATGATTTTTGTGGGCAAGGAAGCTATCTAACAAAGATCTATCAACTACTCAATAGACCTTTCAATATATTGTTGCGATGCGAGGACATCGAGTTGATGAAACAGGCACGCAATCATATCACATTCAATCATAATGAAGTACATGATTTTGCCAGGATGTATTCCGTCCATTGGTCAATGAGCACAATGTACTATGGCACCAAGAACAAACAACCTACCGATCCTGCCAAGTTGGAGCACTCACTCAACTTCCTCATTCAAGTGTACCAGTTCTATGGCAAGGATGTACCGCCATTCCAAGCATGCAAGTCAGTACTCAATGATGTTGGAATGATATTCCTCAAGGTCTTTGTCATCCTCTCGGTTACACCACGAACGAACGATTGGCAACCACACCTTCCTGTATCATTTGTCAAGATGGCATCTTTATGAATGTGCGCCAGTCATACCAACAATCACATTTGGAGTCATTCATTCGATACTTCCTCTCGTTGGACAAGAAGAGACCTGGTCTGCTGCTTGGACTGGCAACCATCTGTACATTTGGCACTCTGGACGGTCAAGAGTGCTCATCAGATCGTTTCACAGACTTGTATCAAGGGGGGTGCCACTTGGACACAATATTATGCTGTATAGAGTGTATCCCAAGTCATTGGACATCATGGAGTACATCCAACTTCACAACCTATACCCAATAGACACCATCGAGATACTCACCCATGTTGCCTTGATGGCCGACCCCAACATGCTCAGGTCATTCCTTGTAACATACCCGGATGCATCGATTAGAGACCCAGATGAACAAGGTCTGGATTTTGAAAGCATTTCTAATCACATGGACTATCATGACATGGACACACACAATGCCATTCGATCATTGCCATGGAGATGTTTCCATCGCTACATGCCTCGTAGAATGCATCCTCTTTGTTCTTGTTTGTTGGTGGTTGCATCTCTATCATCACATCAACATTTGAGATATTGTCGATCCACGACCAGTCGGTCAATCGTGCGCCACGATCAATGAGATACTGACAGATTGTGAGATGGCCGCGTTGGAGTGCTGCCAAGAGTAGACTGGTCATGTTGGAGGGGTCGGATCGAACATTGACAAACACTTTATGGGGCGAGTCGATCAAGTGAACACCCTCTGTCATTCCAAGTCGGCAAGCTGCCTCCAGGATTGTAGAGGTCAACTCCTCTCCAAAGTGTCCAATCGGTGCTTGAATGAAAAGATAGTTTACAACGGCAGGATCAACATCAGGTAGTTGGAATGTCGATTCCCTCAGAATCCTTTTGGAGTATGATTGAACCTATATTCAAGATGGTCTGAGGATATAATGCTCTCCAGAAAGAAGTTAGTGCACAGTTTCTTACTATGCATCTCTCGATGGGACGACCCTGTGGATGTGGTGATATTTATTGCAGAACTGATCGTCAAAAGTACGCCAATCAACAGTGGGACAGATGATGTAATGAACAGGACAACGATCGATCTGATGATGGTCAAGGAATATCTTCTTGACTCAGTGGTAAACGTTCAAGACCGTGACAAAGCACTTGGGTCAGAGTTATGTATTCGATACCTCCTGGAAGGGCTGCCAAAACCAATCATCAAGAAATACTCAGAGGTCAATGTTTGGATCAAGTATCTACGTGGGCAGTATCTAAAGACCAATCAAGATAGGCCACCAGCAGATAATAACATAGTCAAGCGACAAAGAACAGACAATAACAACAATTATTATTGATTACTGCAACGGGAAATGTTGCAAGGAATGTCCTGAGCATGGGTGGGTCGGCAGTCGAGCATCTCAATGGTGTCCGTGTAGTTGGATGTACTCCATGTTGTCCAATGACTTGGGTTTCACACTTGGGAGCGTAGTACCATCTCTCAACAATGGAGAGTAATATGAGCTTGGGAATGGCACTACTGTAAAGAGGATATGAAACATGAGTCTGATGTGATCATTGGCGGGCGAGGGTTAGTATCGCGCGCTCACTCAATCAATCAATCAATGTCGTCAATGTAATAACTTGGAGAGAATGAATGACCAACTCATGTTTCATATCCTCTTTACAGTTGTGCCATTCCCAAGCTCACATGGTCAAGATTGTTCCAGTGAACATGTCCAATATCCAAATACTCGTTGGATGGCGGTTTTTTAATCTTGCCATAGAGCTGGTACACTTGAATGAGGAAGTTGAGTGAGTGCTCCAACTTGGCAGGATCGGTAGGTTGTTTGTTCTTGGCGCCATATAGTACATCGTGCTCATTGACCAATGGACGGAATACATCCTGGCAATAATCATGTACTTCATTATGATTGAATGTGATATGATTGCGTGCCTGTTTCACCAACTCGATATCCTCGCCATACCTTGAAGGGTGTAACCAGAATTTGATCGATTTGTGGTGCGCACGTAGATGCCAGACAATAGTCATGATAGTTGGTTTTAGTATCTGGGCCAGCCAGCAGAACTGGCTGGATTAATTAATGATAAGAATGCAAAGAGTCGACCGGGGTAGCCGGAATGATCTAGAAATGGTGTCAAAGTCGAAGGTTGAATGAATAATATGTTAATGAGATTAACGAAGTTAATCGGAATTTATTGATTTAATCTAAATCTAGCAATCCAGACACCATTTCTAGATCATTCCGGCTACCACGTCACTTTCGATACCGCATTCATCAACGCCCATCTTGATCCAGAACTGTCCTTGGTTGCCCCAGGAGGTGGTCCATGAGTTGTTGACGATCCAGTATGGAGTGCCGTTTTGGGCGCCCCATCCAATAATCTTGACACAGTGACCTCCGAGGTCCTTGCCAGTGGTGTGAACGTAGATACCAGACTTGTATCCGACAAAGTCCTCGTAAACGGTGAAACAGGCCTCAACTGGACCGTTGGTCATGATCTCAGTTTGGATGACAGAGGCAGCTGGGTGAAGAGAGTAGACAGTGGTGACGTGGTGCTTGTCAGACTCGTAGTCGAGAGAGTCGTTGGCACACTTCTTGACACAGGCTGGGGTGTCAACAAAGTTGAGGCATGGCTGTTGGGCTGGTGGGCAGGTTGGGATGGTGTATGGCTGGCACTCAGCTGATACAACTCCGGTCTTCTGGACCCACTTGTAGGCAGAGTAGGCATCACCACCGTTGCAACCGTCCATGGAGGTGTCACAGGTGACGAGGTCCTGGAAGGAGAGCTGGATGGAAGTGTTCTTCTGGATGCAATAACGGTCAGAGATGGACTCGATGGCACCAAAGGCCCAGCATGAACCACACTCAGCCTGGTTTTGGATGGCGCCAATGGTCTCACATTGTGGCCATTGTTGACGGGCGTCAAAGGCGGTTGGGACAGCATCGAGGGAGAATGATCTGACTGGGAATCTCTGGCGGTGGGCGGCTCTCTTGAAACCCATTGGTGGAAGATGGTTCTTGTTGTAGAAACCGCTCTTCACCTCGGTCCAAAGTCCGTGGTCAATGACGACTGGTCTGTTGTTCTCGTGGTTGATGGCCACGGCAACACAGACGAAAATGGTGAACAAGAGTGCAACTCTGAGCATTTTGTTATGTATAAATAATATTATATTTGTATAATGTACAACAAGGTATTTTAGTTTGATAGATGTTTGAATGAATGTGAACTTGTTAGAGTTGCAGCACGTGTCGCAGTGGAGCAGGTTTGTTCGGTCGGAAGAGAGTAAAGAAAAGTAGTGTGGGTGCGTTGAAGACTCTAAGTAATCCAAATTAAATCGTAAATAATATCCTAAAACAGTTGATAGATTGAGGATTGGGAGGCAATCACATCCAATTGTGGGGATGTTGTTGTTTTGTGCATGCCAAGGGTTTTAATGGTGGGTACATCAAGGTCCGATACGTCATTGGAGAATGCTCAAATGAAATTTCCAGCAGTTGAAAAAACATCAAAATCCCAACCTCAATCCCCCAAAAAATGGATCAGAACGTTCTTTTTTGGAATCCTCGACATGACCCATCACACACTCTATGAATATGATATCTTTGATTGACTGGAATAGATACAATAATACAAATACAAGTTGTAGTAGGATTGTAGGAGATTACGATTGTTATGACAGTTTAATGTGACCCTTTGATGATTCTGTGGAAGTTGTAGGACCATGAATGTTTTTGATATTGACCGACAAAGTCACCAGTGTCAGGAAGTCTGTCAATCATTAGTTTTTCGAATTGCGTTTGATCAGTGATTTCAAATAGGACATTGTCAACGTTGGATTGTGGATTAGAGGACAATTGATCAAACAGAAATACAAGGTCATCATACTCCTTGGCAGTGCGAGACTCCAAAATATCGTTCTGCTCAAGGTCCAACTCGACATCATCTGGATCCGTGATGCCAATTAGTATCGAGTGTAGGTTGGTATCGCGCACCAACACTGGAATCAATTTGGACTTTTGATCATCCGTGAGGAATAGGTAGTCGCCAAAGAATATACTGGACAATGACTTGCTGGTGCAAACAAAGTCGAGGAATTGATCAAAGTTGTCGGCGGTCAGGTAGTGTCGATGATCAAACAGGAATAGTCGCACCAGGTTGGATGTTGGATTCAGTGTGATGAATGATGTGAATGCTGCAGGTGGGATCTCGTTGCGTAGGGATAGGTTACTGAGTGTTGACGGCACCTTGGACATGACCAGAGGTGACATGCGCAACTGGAAGATACTGGGCTTGGCAAAGATGGTCGCGAGCAAGTCTGCACTCACAGGAAAAGGTGTGCTGAGTATGCGAATGTCGCGAGACTTTACATAGTCGATGAGTCCAGCGTTAAATTCGGCCATCTTTGTCGACGAGTAGAATGGAAATGTGAATAATTTGAGTTTCTTGATGTGTTGCATTGTGGACAGTCCTTGAAGGAATGGTCTAAGGTCGCCCAAGTACAGCTTCTTAATGTGGAGTGAGTGAATGTGACTTGGCGCATTGGACAGGATGCCAAAGAATCGCTCAAAGAACTTTGTGGTGGTCTCCTTGCACTCGTTCGACACCTCCATTTCGATGTGTCTCGTGTTGAACGTTGAAAAGAGGCTGACCTTGGTCAGAGTTGGCGCGGTGTGCTCCAGCATCGACAGTATATGATCATGTCCTTGAATGTGATCGAGAAAGTGTATAGAGATGATTGATAGTTGTGGATATTGGTTGCGATTGATGTATTCTAGCAGTGTGGGCAGAGATTCATCAGTGTCTTCTGGGGAACGCAATGTCAACTTGCGTAGCGTGTTATTGACGACATCAAACAATGTTGTTACTTCTGTCTCATACTCTGTGATTGGTGCGGGACCGATTGAGAATACATCCAGTCGTGTTATTCGTGACAGCATTACCGCAAGTTGTTGGGGTTGTGCTTCGTAGTTGGTGATCAGGTCATCCATATGTTCTAGTTGGGCATTGAGACCTGTTGCGAAGCGATAGGGGAAGTGTGGACTGTCCAAGTGTTGTCCCATTCCGGGTCTGCTGAACATTTGACCGTTGAGCATACAAAGATGATGTTTAGCAACACGTCTGGCAAACATCTTGCATACCAAGCACAGTGATAGCCTCCACTTGGAGCTCGCAAAGAAGTTGACCATACTATAGTGTATGATCCTTGCCAGAACAATGTCAGGTAGCACAGTAATAGTGTCACTCATTGTATATGTATATGTATATGTGTATGAGTATCTATTTGTGTGAATTGAATGAACAATGAAATGAAGAAAGAAGTGTTATCGTTTCCCAAAATATTTATTTATTTATTTATTTAAATCATCATCAATTGATATGATTGATTGAATTCTGTGGAAATTATAAGTCCATGAATGTTGATGATATTGTCCAATAAAGTCACCAGAGTCCAACTTGCGATCAATCATTATTTGTTCAAATGACTTTTGGTCGGTCACTGTAAAGTAGATATTGTCCATTTTGGATTGGGGACAGTCAGCCACATGACCAAATACTTGTACAAGGTCATTGTACTCTTTGATTGAACAGGTTTTGATATTGAGTGCAACATCCATCTCTGTCTCATAAAATTCTATCATTGGGTCATCAGAGTCGGCGACTGACAGAAGCAATGATTGAATGTTTGTTTCTCCAACAATCACTTGTATGATTGAATTCTTCTCCTGGTCCGAGAGGTACAATACATAGTCACCAAGGAAAATACTGGCCAATGACTTGTTGGTTCGAAGGAACAAGAGGAATGCATCAAAGTTGTCCGAGGTCAAGTAGAGATGATGTTGGTTAAGTTTGAGAGAGACCAGGTTGCACATTGAATTCATCGAAAGGAATAATGTAAACACCGATGGCAAGGTATTGTAGCTCAAGAAAAATGTGTGTAGAGTGTCTGACAACTTGGACATGGCCAGCGCTGACATTCTTAGTCGGTTGATACTTGGTTTGGCCACGAGTGTCGAGAGAAGATCTGCACCCACTGGGAATGGCAGAGTGAGTCTGGTGAGGTCACGGGACTTGACAAGGTCGATGATGCATGCATTAAAGTGATCGATTTCCATCTGTGTGTAGTATGAGAATGTGATCAACTTGATTTTCTCGAGATGTTTCAATGTTGATAGTCCACGAGAGAATGATACCAAATTGCCCAAGTATAGTTCTCTGAAATGAATAGATTGAATATGGTTCTGCTCTCTTGATAGGATTCCAAACAAACTTTCAAAGAACTTGGTCGTTGTCTGTTTGACCTGCTCGGTCACCTCCAAGTTCATATGTCTTGTATTAAAGTTTGAAAAGAAGCTCAACTTGGTGAGCGTAGGACTGGCGTTATCAAACAATGTCAGGATCTTGTCATGTCCTTGAATCTCGTCGAGAAAGTAGATAGAGATGATGGACAGATTTTGAAACTTGATGTTGTTGATGTATCCCAACAGGGTGGGCAGGCTCTCGGCCTTGTCGGTGGGTGTTCGCAGTGTCAACTTGGTCAGATTGTCTTTGATGCCACCAAACAACGTCTTGATCCTACTCTCGTGATGGGGCAGTGGGACAATCAACGTAGTGTATGATGGCCCGTCAACGCGTGTCAATTGTGTGAGCAATGACACAACGTGCTCAGCATGTATGTTAAACAACGTGTTCAACTGCTCTAGTGATGTAGTGAGGCCTGTTGCTTGTTTGTATGGGAAGAAGGGATTGGTAAAGTGTTGTCCAAAGTCACTCTTTGTGAGCAAGCGTCCATCGAGCATGGTCATCAATGACCACACACGTTTAGCAAACAACTTGCACACCAAACACAATGACAACTTCCATTTAGTCATAGCAAAGAAGTTCTTTACACTATAACCAATTATCTTTGATAATACATGATGAGGTAGGTTATAAGTTGTCAATGTTGTCATTTTTCTCTTAATTAAATAAATTAATATATATTATACTTATTTGATTGAATAATTATCTGTAGTTGTTTTCAATGAATGATTCATTGGTTCTATTGGCAAAACTTTTAAAGTATAAGGTCAATCTATTTGCAAATGATCAAACATATACTTAAACTTTAACAGATGTATAACCTATATATATATATATAATCATTCTTATTATTTCTTTTCTTTTTTGTGTGAACAAGTTGAATAAATGAATTCAAAGACAAAGGAACTGAATAAAGTGGTTGCCCTATGCACGCATCACACTCAACAAACACACAAACGCAATGTTACAGATACAGATCCTCAATTTATTACTAGATTAGGAAATAGTTACCACCCTGTGGAAGTTGTATGATGATGAAGAAGAGTGAAATCGTCCGATAAAGTCACCAGTATCAAGCCTGTTCTTTGGCAACTACATCATCTGTTGGAATTGTTTCAACTCTGCAATGTCATAGTAGATGTTGTCAACATTGGTCTGTGGATATGCAGCCAACTGAACAAACAGTTGTCTAAGGTCTTCAAGCTCTTTGATTGATCGCTGCCTTCTCTCTTCATCTGATGGGACCGCTTCATCTGAGGGATCTTCACTTTGGAGCGATATACCGAATAGCAATGATTGGATGTAGGTCTGGCACACCAACACACTCAACAGTGCGGTCTTCTGTTCAGTGCTAAAGAGGAAGTAGTTGCCAATGTATATGATCGCCAGTGACTTGTTGTTACGAAGGAATTTGAGAAACAGTTCAAAGTTGTCGTCAGTGATATAGATCTGAGGTAGGTGTAGTCGAACTAGGTTGCACATAGGGTTCAATGTGACGAATGATGTGAATGCTGATGGCGATAAATCATAACGTAGACTAAGGTTACTTATGTTCTTTGGTAACTTGTTCATTACCAATGGAGTAATGCGTAGGGTAACAATGTTTGGTTTGTTTAGGATGGCGGATAGAAGTTCAGAGCCCACTGTGAAAGGAGTATTGAGGATGGTTAGATCGCGGTATTGAACAAGCTCGATCAAGCCATCATTGAAGGAATCCATCTCCTTGGGTGAGTAGAAGTCCTTGTAGGAAAGTAGTTTAAGCTTCCTAATGTGCGTCAGCTTCAATAGTCCACGCAGGAATATGTTTAGATCGCCAAAGTACAGATCTCTCATGTGGAGGGAGTGCAGACAGCAATGCTGTTTGGCCAGTATGTTGAACAGGCGATCAAAGAACATTGACGTGTCGGGCTTGGCTACTTTAGAGTAGGTCATGTCCATGTAACTCGTGTTGAACGAAGAGAAGAAGCTGAGCTTGGTGAGTGTCGTGGTAACCTTGTCCAGGAAGGAAATCACCATATTATTTGATTGAATGTCGTCCAAGAAGTGTATGGTGATGATTGATAGATGTGGATAATTGAAGAGATTGATGTATCTCAACAGAGTGGGCAGGGTTTCTTTGCTATCGATTGGAGTGCGCAATGTCAGCTTACGGAATCCTTGACGCCATCAAACAGTGACTTGACTTGACTACCATACAGCCCCACTTCACCTAGTGAAGATGTATACGGGAATACATTCAGTCGAGTGAGTTGTGACAACAATGATATCAATGTCGATCATTAGTGAATTCAACTGATCGAGTGTGTCAAGCCTGTTGAGTGTTGGTAGGGGAAGTGTGGACTGGTGAAGTGCTGAGCAAAGCCAGTACGTGTGAACAACTCTCCTTTGAGCATTGGCAGCCTTGTCCACACATGTTTGGCAAACAACTTGCTAACCAAACACAGCGACAGCCTCCACTCCATATTGTCCTGACAAAGAAGTTGGTTAAGCAGTAATGTATGATCCTAGACAGTACATGACGTGGCAATGTCTGCTGTACAGGTATTATTGTTGTATCCATTACAAATATATTTATTTGATTGATCAATCAAGATTTATGAGTGTAGTTCACTCACTCATCATTGATCAACCATCATTTTTTTCCTCCCTCAAGCCGATGGAAGATGTAGGTTGATAGTCTTGGAGCAAAGTGTCCAACAAAGTCACCTGTATCCAGTAGACGACCATTGATCATCTCGGCGAATAATGAGCGATCGGCAACGTCAAACTCGATGTTGTCAATTCTTGATTGAGGACTTGATGCCAATGTCCAAAACAAGAGTTGGATCCCTTCATAGTCTTGTTCAGTGCATTCTCTAACACGATCCAGTGATTGACCTTGCTCGAGATCATCATAATGATTCTCTCTTCCAATCAGTATCGACTCCAAGTTGGTCTCGCTTACGACCATGTCGAACAACTTGGCCTTTTGCAAGATGGTGAGATACTTGCACGCACCGAGGTAGAGACTTGACAATCGTTTGTTACTTCGAAGAAAGTCGAGGAACAGATCAAAGTTGTCATCGGCGATGAGGTAATGATGATGATCATGCAGGAACAGTTGTAAGAGGTTGCAATTTGGATTCATCTTGAGGAATGATGTGAAGGCTGCTGGTGTTGTTTGATCCCTAAGCCAAAGTTTCTGAATGTTGTTTGGCAACATGATTCCTTGTGCCGACACCAGTGATGTTTGAATGCTAAAGATGCTCGGCTTGGCCAAGATGCTGGCTAGTAGTTCATTGCCTACGCCAAATGGTGTGTGGATGACTGTTAGATGGTCAAGCATCTTGACATAGTCGATGAAGCCCGAGTTGAACAGGTCCTGCAACGCCTGCTGCGAATAGAACTTTGATGGGAGAGTGGACAACTTGAGCCTCTTGACATGTCTCAGCTTGAGCAATCCGCGAAGGAATGGACCAAGGTAGCCCAGATGCAATCGTTTGATCTTGAACGTGTCTAGATGAGTATTGCCCTTCTCCAGGATGTCAAACACTCCCTCAAAGAATTTAGTTGACATGTGCATATGGTGCTGTGAAGGGATGGTCAAATCAGATTGTTGCGAACTCAGTATCGAGAGGAATCCTAGCCTTTTTAGATTGGGCGCATTGTGCTCCAACAGATCCAAGATCGAGTTGTATAGACTGTCGACGTTATAGATGAACATGATGGTGATGCTGGTGAGATGTCTGATTGGGAGGTCTTGTGCAGGGTAGTGCCGCGCAATGGTCGACTGAAGGTATACTGTGTGGATCGATTGTCGTTCACTGATCAAACGGAACACAGACTGGATCATTCGATCATTATCATATTCATGTGAAGGTAGTTGGTACAGCGCCAAAAGGTTGAAGCGTGACATCACCTCTTTAAACATTTCATCTGGCAAAGAACTGTTTGTGATCATATCTTTCAAATGATTGAGTCCTGCTAATATGCCTGTAGAGTATCTGTACGGGAAGAATGGGCTGTTGTAATGATCTCGAATGTCAGACTTGGACAGTAGACTTCCAACAAAGATGGTCCTCTGTGTTAATGAATGCTTGGCAAACAGCTTGGACACCAAGCTCAGTGACAACTTCCACTTGGGACATGCAAAGTAGTCCACCATGCTATAATGTATGATCCTGGACAACACAATGTGAGGTAGGGTGATTGGTTCATCATTCATCTTTATATATCTATATTTGATTGATTGATTGATTGATTGATCAAATGAAAAGGATGAAGCAGGTCCGGATTTTATTTGTCACGTGGTGATCATCACTCACCTGGTGCGACCTTTTTGGTCCCCTGGTCATTGTAGCCATGATTGCTTGACCTTGTGGAACTTCATGGCGAATGAGTGATGGTAGTAGTGGAAGACAAAGTTGCCAAGGTCCATGTGTCGATCAATCATCATCTGTTCAAACAACTTTCGGTCGATGATCTCAAAGAGTATGTGATCAATGTTGGACTGTGGATATAGTGCCAGCTGTGAAAGTAGGTATTGGAGGTCATCAAACTCCTTTGTAGTGCGTGCTATTATACTGTCCTGATTGTTTGTGACCATACTATGGTCTTCAGGGTCGGTCATTCCAATGAGCAATGATTGTAAACTTGTCTCACGTACCAACACTGTGATCAACAACACCTTTTGTTCGTCCGTGAGGAATAGGTAGTCACCTAGGAACAACGTGGACAGCGACTTGCTCGTTCGCATAAAGTCGAGGAATTGATCAAAGTTGTCGGCAGTGAGGTAGTGTCGATGCTCAAACAGGAGTAATCGCACAAGGTTGGATGTTGGGTTCAATGTGATCAATGTCGTAAACACTGTAGGTGGTGTCTCATTGTCAAGGATCAAGCTCCGCAATGTGGCAGGAAGCTTGGCCATGGCCAAGGGAGTGATTCGCAGACGGACGATGCTTGCATTGGACATGATGGCTGTGAGGAGATCGGCTCCCACTGGAAATGGCGTATTGAGGATGGTGAGCTTGCGCGTTTGCACAAACTCTACGAGTCCAGTGTTGAAGTCATCCATCTCGGGACGCGTGTAGTATGAATATGAGAGCAGCTTGAGCTTCTTGATGTGCTGCATTGTGTAGAGTCCGCGAAGGAATGGTCGCAACTCGCCAAAGTACAACCTCTTGATGAGCAATGATTGAACGCGACTGTTTGTGATGGAGAGGATGCCAAACATTCGTTCAAAGAACTTGGTGGTGGCCTCGCGCTCCATCGGCGACACATTCATGTCGGTGTGGCGAGTGTTGAAGATTGAGAAGAAGCTCAGCTTGGTCAGGGTGGGCGCGCATCTCTCCAACAGCGACAGTACACTATCATATGATCCAATACCATCGAGAAAGTGAATGGATATAGTTGAGAGGTGTGGATACTGATGCTCTAGTACATGAAGTATCAATGTGTCCATTGCAGTTGTGCTATCAAAGGGTGTGCGCAATGTAATCTTCCTCAATGATTGATTGATACTGCCAAACAACTTCTTTACCGTGCTCTCATTACTCTCATTGATTGGTGTGGCGCCAAATGAGAACACATCTACACGTGTCAGTCGTGACAACAATGTATTGACTATTACTTGCTGTTGTTGTTGTTGCTGTTGTGACTGGACATGTGTGATCAGAGAGTGAAAGTGATCGATGTTTGTGTTGATGGCAGTGCAGAGACGATAGGGGAAGAAGGGACTTGTGAGATGTTGACCAATGTCGGGCTTGGCGAGTAGACGACCTTCAATCATGGACAACTCTTTGGAGACATGTCTGGCAAACAGTTTACAAACCAAACATAAAGATAACTTCCATTTTATACTGCTAAAGAAGTTGACTATACTGTAATGTATGATCCTGGCTTGTACATATTGTGGTAGGTCTGGTATTGTTGTTGTTGTTGTATTCATTATTTATATCGATCAATCTAGATTTATAAAAAGTGATTGATGATTGGAGTGCACTGAAAACTAATGTGATCGGTCAATCACCTTTTTATTACAAGTCGACTTTGTGGAAGTAAAGGGTATATTGATTGATGTAATTGATTGAGTGTCCACTGAAGAGACCACCAATGGCCAGATGGTCATTGTCGTTGGTATACTTTGGTATTTGGAATAGTCGAGGATTGTATAGTTGGTACTGTACATTACATAGACTTGATTGTTGATGGTGTAACTTATATTGTTTGAACAATATTTCCAAGTCTTGTAGAAATACATAATTATCAAACTCTACATTGGATCCATATTGTGAATAATCAAAGTCCAATATACTACTATTGGAGTAATGTAGTGTTTGTATGTTGGTCTGGCCGACCAACGATGCCATCAACTTCTTCAATTGCTTCCTATGGAGATGTTTGACATCACCAAGATTTAAATGGCACAATGACTTGCTCGCTCTTAACATTTCCGTGAATGAATCAACATTGTCTTCTGTTAAGTAGTGATGAATATCCAAGTCCAGTCTTGTGAGATAGTTGTTGGACACCATGTTCGTGAAACCAACTTGTTGTAATGTATCTGGATATATTGGAATTCCCAAAGGCATCATTCTCAACCTTGTTATTCCCCGCATGTTCGTGATGGTCGACACTATTGTATCACAAACTGGAAGTGGAGTGCTGAGTCTCGTGATGGACTTTGATGTTGATGACTTGAGATATTCGGTGAATCCACTATTGAACCGATCAATCCAATCATAAGTGTAGTTATTGAATGAATAAAGATTGAGTCGTTTAAGGCCTTTGATCATGCTCAGTCCTCGCAGGAATGTATCGAGGCAGCCAACATGTAGACCCGCAATACTCAGTGATTGGATACGATTGTCTTGCTGCTTAGCAGCAATGATGCCAAAGATTCGTTCAAATAGCTTGGTTGCCTCATGGTTTCTCGGCATAGCACCGTCAAAGTTGTGTTCGGTTTGTGATGAGACGATTGACAACTTGGTGAGAGTCTGTTTAGCCAAGATCGTCTCCAAGAACGCCAGTACCTTGTTAACTTCTGTGATCCCACGGACGAACACTAGTTTGAGACTTGAGAGGTTTGGAAAGTTAATGCCTGTTATGTGTTCCAGCAACCTTGGCAAGTACTCATATTGACTTGATGAAGGGTACAACGTAAGCTTGGCCAATGTGCTCTTGAAGCATCCAAACAGAGAGCCTAGTGTACCTTCACTTATAGTGCCAAGGCTAAGATATTGCAAGTCAAGTTGAGTTATACGTGACATCATCTCATTATTATATTTCTTCTTGTTGTTGTTGTTGTTTGATGATAGCTGTTGGAGCATTGCATTAATGTGCCACATATGACCTGTTAGGCGGGTACATTGTCTGTAAGGGAAGAAGGGACTGTTGAAGTGTTGAACTGCATCATTCCTTGTAAACATGTTGGCATTGAACATTGGTAGTTGAGGCAACACACATGTCATGATCGATTTGGACACTAAACATAATGCTAGCTTCCATGATGTGCTGGCATAGTAGTCATTCACACCATAGTCAATGATCTTGATCACTATAATATTGGGAAGTGTAGGAATAGTCATCATCATTATATATATCTTCAAATTGATTGATCAGAAACGAATGATCGTCGATTTTATTTCAATGCGCCCTCAATCAATCATGATTGGACGACCCTGTGGAACTTCATTGACCATTCATAAGAGTCGTAATGTCCGATGAATGAGCCAGTGTTTAGTGATCGATCCACCATCATCTTGAGGAATAGTTCCTCGTCTGTGATCTCAAAGTGCACGTTGTCCAGACTGGACACGGGATTGAGTGATAGTTGATTGAATAGGAACTGGAGGTCATCAAACTCCTTGGTCGTGCGCGCCTCTATAGCCTCTTCATCATTGAGATCAATGTCAATATCCTCTGGTTCAGTCATTCCAATCAGTATCGAGTTGATACTAGTGTCGTTGATCACAACTGGTATCAATGTCTCCTTCTGCTCGTCTGTAATATAAAGGTAATCGCCAAGGAATAGAGTTGACAGTGTCTTGCTCGTTCGCAGGAAGTTGATGAATGGCTCAAAGTTGTCGGCATTGAGATAGTTCTTGTGATCAAACAAGTATAGTCGCACAAGGTTGTGTGTTGAGTTCGTAGTGATGAATGTTGTAAACACTGATGGAGAGACCTCTTCACGAATCGACAGTTTGGTGAGTGTGTCTGGTAGCTTGGTCATGGCAAGTGGCATTATACGAAGATAGTATAATGTTGGCTTGGAGAGTATCGCAGCGAGGAGGTCGGCCCCCACACCAAAGGGCGTGCTGACGATGGTGAGTTGGTGCGACTTGACAAAGTCAATGAGACCAGAGTTGAAACAATCAATCTCCTCTTGTGAGTAGTTTAACAATGAGGGCAGCTTGAGCTTCTTGATGTGTCCAAGTTTGAAGAGCCCACGCAGGAATGATGCCAGATCACCAACATACAGCTTCCTGATGTTGATTGATTGCAAGCGATTGTTTGGCGCGGACAACAAGTTAAACATTCGATTAAAGAACTTGGTCACGATGTCTTTGAGCCATATTGCTATGTCGAAAGATGCGGTGCGAGAGTTGTTCACCGAGGCCAGTGTGAATTTGGTGAGCGTCGGTGCCACCTTCTCCACAAGTGACAGGACGAGGTCATTCTGTGCAATGTCGTTCGAGAAGAGTATGGTCAAAGAGCAGAGATGAGGGAAGTTGTGTTGGGTCAGCTGTTCAAGCAGTCTGATAAAGTCTGGAGGACTGCCCAAGCCAGTGGGTTGCACGGTCAACTTTGTCAACGAGTCCTTGACACCACCAAACAATGTATCAGAGAATATCTTGTACTTATCAGTGATCAATTGAATATTATATGTTATCTCGACATAAGTGATGCGTGACAACATGTCATTGAGTGATCGATGACCAACCTGACTCGCCACTAGACTCTCCAGTACTTTGTTGAGTGAGTACACCTGACCCTTGATCGACGTGCAATGTCTATAAGGGAATAGGGGACTGATGAAATGTTGGACCATGTCTGGTCTCGATCCAATTGAATTGGTATCGAGAGTCGAGAGTTGAGTTGATACACGATGAGCAAACAACTTGCACACCAAGCACAATGACAACTTCCACTTTATATTGGCAAAGTAATTGCGAACACTATAATGTATGATCCTTGCAAGTACATGATGTGGTAGGTCTGGTAATAGTGATTGGCTAGCCAAAATCATTCTCTCTATCTCTTTATCTCTCTTACACATACAAGCAAACCAAGAATGAATAGTTGGAAGTTCCCAAAAATGAATCTTATTGAATTCGTGAAACTCCAACTTTGTTTCGGTTGCACTCAAAAAAATTCGTCAATTGAAACGCACACAATGTTTATCAATCCTTTGTCCAGTATTCTTCGTTCATTCAAACAAACCATCAACTTATAAACATACAAATAATTATACACATAATATATAATATTTATATAATATAAATTATTTAATACATAATACATAATACAATATGGTAAACTTATTAATTACAATTCGTAACAATAACAATCAAATTAAGACTACTAGGTCGTCTTTAAAATGTAAGAATAGATCACTTGCAAAGAGATCTTTGTTGTTGTTGAAGAAGATGAATCAGTTTAACTCATCATCCTCTTTACTTCAAAAGAATAATTGCAAAAGCAGCAGCAATTACAATGCAAGAGATAGAGTTCGCAAAAGCATTAGAGGAGGTCGTGACATAAGAGAGGTAAGATTCTCTAGATCACACACAACTACTACTACTTCTGGAGCAGAATCTACTTCTACATTCAATGAGCGTGCTCAATCATTCGGAGTCGTACCAGTGGTGCACCAGTTGCCCGGTTTGAACCACGACGAGTGTCCAAAGACACCATTCAACTCGACGTCATATCTTATCGATCTAATTCAACAGAGAGATATGCATTCGTTGGATGTGGTCGGTTGTGGTGGTGATAAGTCCACCCATGCAGCAGACGAGGCTTACAATGTCTTTGGTTCAATGTTTGGCCTGATCAGCCAGCATAGCTGCGCAGTTTAACAACAACAAGTCGTATACGATATATCGATGTGTGTTGTGGAGTAGAACGACACAAGAGGTAAATACCTTCTAGTCTGCCATCGTGGTGGTAGTGTGGACATAATATTATGTAAGCCTCCCATAGCCCATTCCTTGGCGCCAGTGCCAGGGATGGGAATGGTCAAGTGTGAGTGAGTATCTCACAGAAGTGCCCATCAAGAGTGTCCCAATGGAGCCAACGAGTACCCAGTCAAGTCAGTCAATCCATCCCAATGAGTATTCCGTCCCAAAGCCAACGAGACCGATCCAGACCCATCAAGATCAATCAATCAATCAAATAATCAAGTTACAGTTGACGACGACTGTTGTGTGTAAATAATAAATCAAGTTCAATCAAATAATAATCAATCAATCATCCAATCTTTGTTATAATTAATACTATTTTAATCTCTTCCAATTGTACATTTCCTACATCCACATCGGAACAAGTACTTCTCCAACAGTTGCCTTTGTCTTTGTGGTCGTGACTGGTCCTCATCAATGTAGGATATCTCTATCGAGTCGCCTGGCATTATCTGGCGCAATGTGCGCATTGTAACCGTGTTGTTGTTGCTCGAGTAGGTGACCACAGCATTTGGATCACAATTGTGATTGCAACTGTTGGTGATGGGGAATAGGCCACTGCCATTGATAGATAACCGATCCATTCGTTCCAGATAGTTGCCAAGCTCATCAATTGGTATCTTTGTACCTGGTGGCAACTCGATATAGTCGACACTGAGAGGTGTCTTTGCCACCATGTCATTGACCAACAAATGTACATCTGAGGGCGGATGTATTCTTGATGCATTGCACTGTATGATCGCGTTGAACTGTCTATATCTCTCGATTGTAAACAGGTTTGTTGTGAGGTCTTGTCGCGTCGAACACTTCTCCGACAGCATCAGATTGATGAGAGTGAGCATCTCTTCGTCATGTGCCGTCTGCCATTGACCATTGGATATGAAGCTGGTGAATGGTAACAGAGCATCTTGTATCATCATGTTGTGTTGAATCACATTGGAAACAATCATTGTAAACATCTTTAGAATGACCAATGGATTGGTCTGTTTGTACTTCTTGCATTGTGAATGGAATTGATCAATGTGTTCGCGTGTAGATGGAGAGCACACAATCGAATGATACTTGTCCCATGCATCCAAACAACATTTATCAGAGCAGAACCATTCTTTGCAAGCCTCGCCATCACATTTCTTCATATGTCTTGGCGGTGGAGATTGTCCATAGATCATAGAGTGAACGGCCTTGTCCTTTTCGCCAAAGAGTCTGACATCCAAGTCTGTTGCCAAACAGTGAGAGCAGTGTCTATACATGTCATCACCAATATATTCATACGATATGCTCGATACCAATGGTGACTCATTGAACAACTCTTGATTACTCTTCTTGCTACACCTTGCCATCACACCCTTGCCCTTGATCTTATCAATGTACTCAACATACACGTCCATTCCTTGAGTGATGGTCTTGTACCTTGTGTCTGTATGATTGGTTGACATGTCAATAACTAGTCATCAAGTCATCAATCTAATGCTATACTTACCAATCAATGTAGTATATACACCTGTCAACTCAGTGTTGATCATTGCTATCAAAGTCTTGTCAACAACTACGTTGTTGTTCTCGAGTAGTGAGAGTGCCAATTCAAGACAATCGATAGCATCTCTATATGCTTGTAGTTGTTTCAATGCCTTTGCCTTCCTAACATAAGCCTTATACCATTGTCCATTGATTGCAATTGCCTTGTTGGCATCATCTGTTGCCGACTCATAACTCTCCAGTTGATAGTTTACAATACTCCTATTTGTCAATGCCAGATAATCCAATTGATCCTTCTCTATTGCCTTACTATACCACTCCTTAGCCTGATCATATTGCTTCAACTTGAAGCATTCATTACCATTCTCTCTATCACTACTACTCATCTTTGAACTCATTCATTCATTTGAAAGAAGTTCATTTAAAATGAAGGGGTTACCCTTCACAGATTGATTCATTCACATTCGCGTCCAATGAATACAATTACTAGAACAAATAAATATACACCTACTTCTATTAGATATAATAGAGTACTACAAGAGTTAAGATCTAATCTTGGATTGACAGAGAAGGAGGCTTGTAAGAAGAATTTGTTGAGAGCAGGCACCTTTTCCTCAAAAAAGAGTAGATTGCAAGGAGAAGATTATGTAAACTTTCAATTACTTCTAACAAATGAAGAGACAACAACTCTCCAAGTTCATCCTTGATAAACAAGCCTACAATCAATACTTTACTAAAACACAAATACTCGATATGGCCATGGAGATGTATGAGCATAGAACTGGAAGGAAGAGACATTGTCGACCAAGCGATGACTGGTGGCTCAAGTTCAAGAATGAGTTCAACATCAAATTGCCAATCAAGTATATTCACGGCAGTGCTACAACAACAACTACCACTACGACTCAATCACAACCATTACCGGACAAGAGGATGGATGAAATCGTTTACTTAAAGGACAATGTGAATTCATGTTTACATTGAACTCCACTCATTCAAATACATGTACTGACCGCCAAACAATTGCCAAACCTACAGATGAGAGATGGAAAGGATGTATGATGCTCGTGCAAAAAGAGCCAAGATCAGTGGTCAAGACAATTCCAACTTGGTCCAACTGGATCAACAAAAATCCAACCAACTAACTAAACCCTGACACTGACACTGTAGCTGTTGTACCAACATTGAATAATCAAAACGCCACAATAAGGAACAACACTGGTACACAACAAGCGCAACCTCTTTCATTGAGTCAGCCTTTTCCCTTGACTTTCATCGAATATCAAGTATGTAAATAATACTGTACATATCTAATCAATCAATCAATCAGCTATACTTTACACATCATGTTTATTATTAATGATTACGAGACATCCATCCACTCACTTCTTGATTGATGATGCCTTGACTGATTGTTCGTGGTGGTGTCTCAACTCTTTACGCATAATCTTGCCAGTGTTGGTCATTGGTAATGATTGGATGAACTCGACTAGACGTGGATATTCATACGCAGCCAGGTTCTTCTTGACCAACTCTTGTATCTCTGATTTGAGTGAATCGCTGCCAGTCACACCATCCTTTAGCACAATGTATGCCTTTACAACCTCGCCACGCAACTCATCCGGTGCGCCAATCACACCGCACATGGCCACAGCACTGTGCTTCAGGATGCAGTTCTCAATCTCTGTTGGTCCAATCCTATATCCACTGCTGTTGATAATGTCATCGTCGCGGCCAACGTACCAGAGGTAACCATCCCTGTCCATGCGTCCAAGGTCGCCTGTCATCAACCATGGTCCAACAAACTTGGACTTGGTTGCTTCGTCGTTGTTCCAGTATCGCAGGAACATGACGGGGTCTGGTGACTTTAGTGAAATGTTGCCGACTGTGTTGGCGGGCAAAGGATTGCCCTCTCCATCTAGAACGGCCACTGTATGGCCTGGCATAATACGACCCATAGATCCATTCTTTGTAGGCATAATGGCTGAACAGTTGCCAACAAGAAGGTTGGCCTCGGTCTGTCCATAGAACTCGTTGATTGTGACATTGAACACCTTGCGGCCCCATTCCAGCAACTGGTCGCCAAGACTCTCGCCGCCCGATCCAATCGATACCATGTGTTTGTATGGCGCGAGCTCAGTCTGTCGCATCATCTTGAGAGCGGTGGGTGGCAGGAAGCATGTAGTCACGCGATGTCTGTCCATCAGAGAGAGCATTTTGTGTGCGTCAAACTTGGTGGCGCGATGAGCCAGCACTGTGACACCATAGTAGAGTGATGGGAGCAACACGTCAATCAGGCCGCCAATCCACGCCCAGTCGGCGGGCGTGTAGAAGCACAGCTCCTTGTCAGTCTGTGGGAACATGTTCTGGGGGAATTGGACGCCGGGCAGATGGCCCAAGAGCACGCGATGTCCATGCAGACAGCCCTTGGGCAGGCCGGTAGTGCCCGACGTGAAGATGATCAGGGCCGGGTCGTCGGCCTTGGTCTTGACCGGTGTGTACTCTGTGCCAAAGGTGTCACGTACCTTGCTCCACTCGACAAACATTGGGTCGTCCTGAGGCACCTCCACTCCCTTGTTATTGTGGCCAAAGATAAAGACGCGCTTCAAACATTTGCTGAGGTTCTTCTTTAGCATCAATATCTTGGGCAGGTTGTCATAGTCTGTCAGAACACATGAGGCTTCCGAGTTCTTTAGACGGAATACCAGACCCTCGGGTCCAAACTGAGTGAACAAAGGGATGGAGATGGAGCCCATTCTAAACACAGTCACATGTGACAATGCAGTCTCAATGCCCTGTGACAACAACACACCAACTCGATCACCCTTGGCAATACCATGTTGTTCCATTGCATTGGCCAATTGATTGGATTGTTGATAGAGTTGTGCAAAGGTTATCCTAAAGAGGTATCATATGATTGGAATGAGTGAGTGTGGAGGATCGACTGACTTGAGCCAAGATGTACCTACTTCTCTACATTGCCACTCTCATCCTCGTGGACGATGGCGGGCTGGTTGGGACGGTCGATGAGATGCTTGTCACAGACGTCCATGCCAATGTTGAAGTGCTCGGGGATGGTCCATTTGAAGTTGTTGTACGCTTCATCATAGTTGTTGCCCTTGATCATGTTCATGCCAGTCAATGCCTTTGCCTGATGTAGGTACTCTGAATGTGGATGTTGTTGTGCTAGTTGATTGGTTGATGGCATTGGCCTTGTCGATGATGATGGCTTGTGATTATCATGAAGTGTTTGTGATGCGTTGGCTCCAGAGGCACGTTGTTGATCGACATTGTGATTGAATGATGATGACGAAGAAGAGGATGATGATATTGTACAATAGCGATGGTATGATGGTATGTTTGTTGCAAGTGTCATCCTAGGTATCTTGCTTGATCTGATGATGATGTTGCTGCCAACACTGGCACAACGACTAATGAAAGACCTCAACATGTTATTGATCTATCAAAGAGAGAGATATAAACATATAATATAAGTAATGTACACTTGAGTTTAAGTTACAATGAAGCATTGGACCCTTGAGTTTATTGCAATTGGATTGATGATCACCCATCTTGGGTGAGTGAGTGCACTGAACAATCAATCAATCAGTCAGATGATCAAATAGCCCAACATGGCTCGCCTTTTTTGGAAAAGATCTCGTGGTTTGTTGTATGGTGGATCAGTCACCTGATTGATCTATGAACCCGGCCGGGTAGTTGTCCTGCGCGAATGATCACTGACGTCATGCCATCCGTCCACACGTGTGTTGAATGAAGTCGATCGGTCGACAATGGAGAGATGGCAATCCCTCACTTTCCAGACTTCACGTTGAACCGTCTCTCTCTGTCTCTGTTGCGCTTCTCACGCTCAGTGTCTGCCTCGGACATCTCCTCATCCCTCCTTGATCTGCTGGACCTGCCACTGTCTACCTCGCGGCCGTCTCTCCTGTTGTCCTTGGAGCGCTCAGGGTATCTGTCCCTTTCTCTCTCCCTCTCTCTTTCCTTCTCTCTGTCGCGATGGTCACGCTCGCCTCTGTTGTCTCTGTGGTCCCTGTTGTCTCTGTCTCTGTCTCTGTCCTTGTCTCGAACGGGTCTGTCCCTTTCCCTCTCCCTCTCTCTTTCCTTCTCCTTCTCACGCTCTCGTTCTCTCTCCTTTTCCTTCTCGCGCTCCCTCTCTCTTTCACGCTCGCGCTCTCTTTCCTTTTCCTTCTCCTTCTCACGTTCCTCCCTTTCGCGCTCTCTCTCCCTTTCCTTCTCGCGCTCCCTCTCACGCTCTCTCTCCTTATCCTTCTCTCTTTCACGCTCGCGCTCTCTCTCCTTGTCCCTCTCTCTTTCGCGCTCTCTGTCCTCGTGTGATGACCTGTGCTCCCTGCTGTCTCTATTGTCGTGCTCCTTTCTCTCGCGTTCTCTTTCCTTTGATCGCTCCTTTTGTCGTTCGTCACCATCATCCTCGCGTTTCCTCTTCTCTGACATCTCCCTCTCTCTTTCTCTTTCGCGATCTCTGTGCTCCCTCTCTCTTTCTCTCTCTCGCTCACGTTCACGCTCCCTCTCTCTTTCTCTGTCGCGCTCTCTGTCCCTGTCACGATACTCGTCTCTGGGCATGTCGGATGGATGTCTGATGCGGTCGTCACGAGGCATGTCTGGGAAGTAGAAGCCCGACGAGGGGTGCGGGAAGGGCGGCATCTGCATGTGTGGTGGAGGTGGTGGCGGATATCTCATGCCACCGCGAGCAACGCCAGGTGGTCCGCCTCTGTATGACTTCATGTAAGGCATTCCCCTGCCACCTCGAGGCGACATGCCAGGTGGCATCGAATGACCATTGGGATACATGTACTCTTGAGGTGGTTGTAGGAGACTGCCACGGCCAGGCATGCCTCCTCGCATCTGAGGTGGGCCACCTCCACGTTGTTGTTTGTTGTTCATGTTGTTGTTGTTGTTGGGACCACGACTGCGTCCGCCTGGGCTGACCATAGCTCCAGTGTGCTGATGATGATGTTCTGAACTGCCACCAGGTTGTACTTTAAACGATCCAGTCTTGATCGATTGTAATATCTGATGATAACTGTGCATTGGAACTGATCTGATCACAACACTCTTGCCACCAATCTCCCTGTTGATTGTATACCAGACCATGTTAGTGCTGTGCTCACTGGATTGATTGATTGATGTGGCATCTGGAAGTCCCCGCCGGATTCTACATACTTTGTGGCCAGCTTCTCTTTGGCCTGTTGTGCCAACTCGCTTGATTGTAACTCGATGAATGCATAACCCTTGGACTTGCCATTGATCTCATTCTCGAATATCTTTAATGTCTTTGGCTTGCCAAACTCTGAAAAGAAGTGCTCCAGCTGTTGCTCTGTTGTCCACTGTGTGTTGTCGTATAGGAGAGGTCAGAATGGTATCCTTGAAGGCGACACTACAACCATAACCATAACCATAACTTACCCATTCAAGTCCACCAATGAATACTGCTGGATTGGCTTCCTCACCAGATGCAGTATCACCCGATTGATGTGATGCCTCTTCATCAACAAAGGCAAGGTCCTTCTACATTGTATTTATAAAGATGTGTGAGTGATTGAGTGATTGAATGATTGAGTGATCCACTATATCGTCAGAGACAACTTACCTCTGCATCTGCATTGTGATGATCGTCATGCTCATCGATTGATTGGATTGTATGTGTTTCTGAGAATGATGCTGCATCCTTCTCACCTAGTGCCATGTGATCGCCATCACCATCGCCATCGACAGTACCATCATGGTCTCCAGTAGTACTGTAATCCTCGTTATCCTTCTTGACTTCATCAAACTGTTCTGATGATCCATTATAATGTTCATCACCATCATTGATGTTATCATCTGTATGCTCTTCAACATTCTTGTTTGAAGTAGTTGTTGATGTTGATGTGTCTATAACTGTTGTTGCAGCAGCTGCAGCTGCATTGTCATCATTTAGATCATCATCGTCGTCATTTGCATTACTAAAGTCACCATAGATATCATAGTCATCCATGTTGTGTTGAACTAACTACCACTACTTCTACTACTCCTATATATATATACTTATTAATTTTATAATAATGCACTTGCAATGTCTACATCATTGTGTAATGTCATCAAAAGTATGTCAGATTGTGATTATCTCAAACATTGAATTTATGGGACACCCTTGAAGTTCCCACCACACAACTCTGTTGATTGTCGAATCATCTCCAATCGTCAGATACAAAGAATAAAGATAATGATCGCCTAATTAGTCGATCAATCAATGTTACATACAATTCATACACTTGGAACTTTATTTACATTATGTGTGGATAATGATTGATCAATCGACTTAACCATAACATCTGATCTTGTCACCGCAACCCTTGGAAGAGCACTGACCTCCCTTCTCAAGGTACTTCTGATGGTAGTCTTCGGCATCGTAGAAGATGCCTGCGGGGAGGATCTCAGTGACGATTGGTGACTTGTGGTTCTTCTGCTCGTTCTCCTTGCTCTTCAAGGCGGTCTGATGCTGTGCCTCTGAGTGATAGTAGATACCCGAACGGTATTGAGTGCCGACGTCGCCGCCCTGTCTGTTGGCGGTGGTCGGGTCGTGCTTATGCCAAAAGATATCGAGTAGCTGGTCGTAGGTGGTCTGATCCGAGTCATACTCCAACTGAACGGCTTCAGCATGTCCAGTAGTGCCAGTGCACACCTCCTTATAAGTAGGGTTCAATTTCTGTCCAGCTGTGTAACCAACCTTTGTTGACAACACACCAACAGCTCTCTGAAACACCAGTTCTACACTCCAGAAGCATCCAGCTGCGAATGTTGCTTTCTCAATGCCCATGTTATTATTATTGATATGATTGATATTTGACAAAGTTGATGAAGTTGATGATAATGAAATAAATGATGAAGGTGACGATGAAGACGATGAATGATTGCTTAATTTTGATGAACAAGCAATAGTAATATTTGGATGATTGGATAATATTAAAATAATTATTAGGATAAAATAAAGTTTGAGGATATATAACAATGACTTCATTAATGACGCCAAACGATATTTATAAATAGGGTCCACAACAACAAGACTGTTCAGATTCGATGAACTTGCCCAACACACATTCAAACAAATATTATGTAATCGAAGGATCGAGAACAATGATGTCAACCAAACATTTCAAGTGTTGTGTGGTCCTTCTTCTTCTGGGCTTTAATTATTATTATTTGTTTGGAAACTATATCTTTGAACTTCGAAGGTCTATTTGGTCCTTGTGGACTTCGTTTGAAATAAACAAACACGGATATTTGAAATTTATTTTATTTTAATTTAAAAGGTATTATTTTTAGTGGGTGAATGGTGTGAAACTACTGAAACCCACTCAAACCCTCATTCTTACACTCACACACTCTCATACACACACATTCATTCACCCGCACTAACTAGTTCACAGTGAAGGGGCTTGGCGTTCACAACCAACGACAACCCAATAATAATTATAAGAGAGCAAGGAGAAGAAGAAGGAGGATAGTAGTGAGCATCCATCGTATCGTGTGTGTGTGTTTGGTTTGATACAGACACATAAAGACAGAGAGAGAGAGACAAACACCAGAACCCTTTATTCATTCATCCAGGAGAGTGTACAGAGATTGGACACCGACTTATACATCATCGCTCAATCATATCGAGTGTCAGAAGTAGTCTGAAGTGTGAATAAGTGATAGAGATAGAGATAGAGATAATACATATAAATATATATAATATTTAAACAAATACTATTTATATATATATTATAAATAGTTTATAGACAGAGATATTAATATTTATATTTAGTTCTAAATAATAATATTGGTGACAACGAGTTCACAATAACGAGTCAATCAATCAAACTACCCTTTAGAGGAGTAGATACGAGACAAGAGAGAGATAGAGAATGACAGACACAGATAGAGATAGACATGATAGGGACCGACATGATAGACATGACAGGGACAGACATGATAGAGACAGCAGAGACAGAGGTGATAGAGACAGACACGATCGTGATAGGGATCGCGACAGAGAAAGAGAGAAAGAGAGAGAAAGAGAACGTGAGAGAGATAGAGATAGACACGATAGCAGACATCATGAAAAGACCGACAAAGATAGAGAGAGAGAGAGATTCGAAAGAGAGCGATCAAAGAAGTTGTACCCGAGCACAGCTTCAAAGTACGAACTGAAGGAGACCATTGGCAAGGGTGGAAGTGGCACAGTCTACCGTGCCATCTGTCTCCCCACCAAAGAGATTGTAGCAATCAAGATTATCGACTTGGAGCATTGCAAGAATATATCATTAGACGAGCTTAGAGTATGTATTGTCGACGGCGCGTAGTACGACCATGATGAACTCATTCACTCACTCAATCAATCAATCAACCAATCATCGATATCAACAGAAAGAGATCCAGGCAATGAGCCTTTGTCATCATCCGAATGTAGTAGCTTATCATACTAGCTTTGTTGAGAACGAATCGTTGTGGGTGGTGATGGACTACCTGTCATCGGGCTCCTGCGCCGATATAATGAAGTTTGCATTCCCTCACGGCTTTGAAGAGTGCGTCATCGCCACGATATTGCGCGAGACACTGAAAGCCATTGCCTATTTTCACAAGACTGGCCGAATACACAGAGACATCAAGGCGGGCAACATCATCATCGACAACAATGGAGACATCAAGCTGTCGGACTTTGGTGTCAGCGCCACACTCGTCGACACTGGTGATACCAGCAGGAACACATTCGTCGGCACGCCGTGTTGGATGGCGCCCGAGGTCATGGAGCAGGTCAGCTACGACTACGCCGTCGACATATGGTCGCTGGGCATCACCGCTCTGGAGCTCGCCAAGGGCCGCGCGCCCTTCTCAGAGTATCCTCCCATGAAGGTGCTGATGCTTGCGCTGCAGAACCCGCCACCCCAGCTCGACGCCGATGGCGAGTCCAAGTGGACACACTCCTTCAAAGACCTGGTGGAGCGCTGTCTGCAGAAGGACCCGGCCAAGCGTCCGCTGCCCTCCAAGCTGCTAGAGCACAAGTTCTTCAAGCACGTCAAGAAGCCCGAGTACATCGTGCAGCACGTCATCGCCAAGCTGCCACCCCTGGGCGAGCGTTACAAGATGATGTCACACGACTCCAACTTTGCAATGCTTCGTAACACATCGTCCGCACAGCTGAACAGCATGGACACCAATCCAAACGACGAGTGGATCTTCCCCGAGACCAAGGATGAGAGTGACAACTTTGGTCTCACAGGCACCGGTGCCAACAACACGCCAATGCAGTCGCCCTTCATGACGCCTATGTCTACGCCCTCTGGCTCACCCAGCCACACACCCGTGCCCAGCAGGACGACCACGCCCACGCCCTCCACCCTGCACCCATCGCAACAACAACAACCCAATGCGCTCTCAAAGACAACGAACCTCCATCCCGCCTCGACAGGCAATGTGATGATGCACCAGCCCAACCCACTGTCACTGTCACATCCACATCCAATCACAGCGACCAATCCAAACAAACTGTCCGACGAAATACCAAAGATGGTCAACAACAAAGTCATCAATGGCAGCAGCAGCATCAATAGCATTAGCAGCAGCACCAGCACAACCTCGACAACATCAACGAGCAGTCCACAACAACAACAACTACAGCAACAACTCTCAACACCAGTACTGACGACCACATCACCAAAGCTTACATCATCGGTGTCGCCGCAGGACTTGATTGGCAGCGGCGGGGTGCAGTCACCCATCCTGTCAACGTCCAAGTCGACATCGCCCACGTCGGAGAAGGACAACCAAGGACCGAGCATGCGCGCCAGCAGCAACGTGCTGAGCGTCCTTAAGAAGACCGACACCATGTCGCGCCCGCCCACGCTGTCCGACAGCCTGTCTGACGCGTCGTCCACCACCAGCTCTGACGAGCACCACCGATACTCCGACAAGGACAAGTCGAGCAAGTCCCGCCGATCAAAGAAAGATAAATACAGAGACAAGGAGAGGAAGCGCGATAAGAGCCGTGAGCGCGAGAGAGGTCGCGAACGCGATAGAGACAGACACACCGAGCGCGATAGAAGCCGCTCAAGGAGCCGATCCAGAAGCAGACGAAGCGACCGCGATCGCTCGAGAAGTCGTGACCGCTCCAGGAGTCGCGACCGCTCGAGAAGCCGCGATCGCTCGAGATCCCGCAGCACACACAGTCACCGAGACAGAGAAAGATCCAGGACTAGATCGAGGAGTCGTTCGTCCAGCAGGACATCTCGACGCAACAAGAGCCGCGAGAGGAACAGAAGCAGGAACAGAAACAGAGGAGGCGGTCATCGCGACAGGGACCGCGACGAGTCGTCCGACAGCGACAGAGAGAGACTGGCTTCATCGTCGTCTTCCGTCAAGCACAAGTCGTCGTCATCGTCTTCTTCATCCAAGAGGAGATCCACCGAGAAGATCCAGAGCAAGCTGATAAGACAGGCACAGCACATCTCCTACCTCGAGGAGAAGATCGCCTCGCTCACCAACTGGGTGACCACGCAGCATCACATGACACAACATTCAATCAACTCGCCACAGGACCCCGCAATGATCAATCGTCTCCAGTCCCAATTGGACACATTGCACAGTGAGAACACACTGCTGCGCAGTGAGAACAATCAACTCAAGAGTCTGGTGAGCAGTAGCAACAGTATCTTTAGCCAACCAGGTAGTCCGCTGAAACAACAGCAGAATCCACAATCACCACAACAACAACAGCCACAATAAGAACATAATCAATCAATCAACAACAGCAACACATTATATATCACCTTCATCTTTACCTCACCTTTTTCTTACCCTCCACTCTCCAATGCCTCCATAACAGTTATTAACTATATCAACTTGACAACCTTATCCAAACAACAACCAACAACAATCAACAATATCCATTGCATTGAACCCTCCTTGATGATGCAATTGCAAGTAATTCTTTTGTATCTATTAATTGCCCAATAAATCCTTCATCTACCCTCTACCAATCAATCAATCAATCATTTCTTTAATGGGGTCGTTCCATCATGATTGGACTGCACAACAAGTTTTCACAACTTCAATCGATCAGATCAGTCACATGACAGACGACACAAGTGATGTCACAGCCACAACCAAAGAAAGCAACCAAGCGTTCATCAACTTCAATGCCACATGACTTGCCGGCTGCGACACTGAAACAGCCGCAACATAATGCTCGACTTACTTCCAGGCAACAGAGTACATTGACAAGTGTACAAGAACTATATGATGAACAGAAGTATACACAGGCATTGAAGGTGGCAGATACATTCCTCTCATGGTTCCCAGACAATGTAGAGTGTCTATCTGTTAAAGCTTTGATCTTGGCGCATGTCGGTCAGAAGTCACAGGCATATGAGTTGGCACATCAGCTGATCGATCAATCACGTGACAACGTTGCATCATGCTCTGTCGCCTGGCACACACTTGGAAGGCTACGTCATCAAGACAGACAATACAAAGAGGCATTGGAGTGCTATCACAAGACCAACTACTCCAAGGTCATTCTCAAGGACATGCTCAAATCATACACGTTGGCCAGGGATCTCAATGGTGCCAAGGTAGGTCATCTCAGTGCACTCGTCAAGAGGGTCATTCACACTCACTTATGGTCATCACCATCATCACTCGTGTAGGACACTTATATCTCATTACTATCACCTAGTCTCGAAGATGAATCAACTACAAAGAAGAAGAAAGTGAAGAATGGGAAGACGCTGAAGACTGAGAAGACAAAGAATAATAAGTATTGGATTGGACTGATGATGTGTTATCATTTGATGGGCAAGAACGAACAGGCGCTACTCATATTGGACCTATTGGAGTCATCACTACAAGATGGTGAGGATGGCAACAACACGACAAGCAAGAAGATGGAGCATTCAGAGATCAAACTCTATCGATGCCAACTACTGGAAGACTCTAAACAGTATGACCAAGTACTTGATATCCTCACAAACGATCAGGATCGTATCTTGGAGAAACAACATGTACGTATGACTGTCATTAGTCTCCATTATTAGGTCGCTCATTCCCTGACTTACCAATCGTTGTTATATCATAATTAGGTGAAACACAAGATGGCCGAGACACTCATACACCTTGGCCGACATCCTGAGTCCAGGCAACTCCTAGACCAGCTGATCATAGCCAATCCCAATCAAAGACATTATCACCAAAATCTCTGGAAGTGTCTTGGAATCACAAGCATTGGTATGTTCAACAACGAAAGCCGCAGACCCTCATTCATGCTCATCCTAACATGTATGGACATTGCGGATAGATGGTCCATTGACAGATCCTCAAGTTGTAATGTTGTCAGAGTTCTATCAATCGTTATCCAACACTCATCCTGATAGCTTGTTGGTCAGGAAGATACCGCTACACTTCTTAAGTGGTGAGCAATTCACAAAGCATATGACATCCTTTGTCGCCTATTTCCTAGACAAAGGAATTACATCACTATCTGATCACCTCTCCAGCTTATACGATAACCAACAAAACAAAGTGTCAATCATTCAAGATCACCTGTTGGAACGATACCAACTCGCGATAGACTCTGTTGCTCGATGCCAAGATGGAGCCACCAGCACATCAGACCTTCGTTCAAGGGCACAAATGTGTGCATATTACCTTGCCAGGCATCACCATCATCTTGGAGACTATGTCATATCACTCAAATATCTGAACGAGGCAATAGACTCCACAAATCAGCCACTCACAGATATCCTTGAACTCAAAGCAAGGATACAAAAGGTAGGTCGGCCCTCAAGCACCATCACAAGGATGACTTATTGGACTAACCAACAAACATAATCCGACCCCAGCATCAAGGTGATCTACAAAGCGCAACAAAGACATTGGAGGTGGCCAGGAATATGGACAACACAGACAGGTATCTCACATTAAAGACCGCGAGGTATTGTGTAAGAAGTAATGACCTGGAGAAGAGTGATCAATATATTAGAAGCATGATGAAACATGATAAGAACGACTCAATAATGGATATAATGTTCAATATTCAATATATCAAGTATGAGATCATCATGGGCAAGCACTGGATGTCAATTGGAAACTATGGCAAGGCACTCAAGACCTTTCAAATGGTCATCAGAGTAAGTTTGATCCATTGTGGTCGCTTATTTGACACCAGACTAACATCATTCGTCACTAAGCATTACAATGACCTCACAGAGGAACAGTTTGAATATCAATCATCCATTGCCAAGACGATGAAACTGCGCACATACCATGACTTACTCAAATGGCTGTACAACATCAACACTCACAAGACCTATGTCTTGGCCTCAATCATGATCATTAAGTTATGCATATTGTTGGCAACTTCAACTCCAACACCAACTCTGTCCAAGCCAAAGGATGATGCTGTTGTGATGGTACAAGAAGAGTCGACCGAGACTACATCCACACCATCAAAGCGATCGAGGAAGAGGAAAGGAATTGAAGAGGTGGTGGAGTATGACGCGGATGGCAATGTCACACAGGTGGATGACGATCCAAATGGTGACAAGATGCTGGCGGCCATAAGTACCGATACTTTGGCATTATCCATGGCGTCCACGATCATGGACAAGTTGTTGAGCTGTCCATCTGGCGCCGCCAGCATCGAAGTACATCTAACAGCATGTGAGCTATACATGGAGAAGAGTACGTATACATTCTCTTCCACTCACTCAAACAATCAATCCAATTACTCACTAGTTCACTCATCCATTCCAGAGAAATACTTGTTGGTATTACGATCATTGTTGGCACTCAAAGATCATCATGGTCTGGCGGAGAAGGGTCATCCACTCTATCATAAGAACCTTGTAATGATGTATTGTACAGTGGACAAGAGCACGGATATCATTCAAGCAACAAGACTGGTGTTGGAGAATCATAGAAATGTACTCCTGGACAAATGCACATCTTTGAAGGATACCGCCATGTAAGAAGCCTAGGTGTTCCACTGATCGCCAGGTCTATCGGCAATAAACACCTCACCTCTGATCACATCACATTGCATGATAGTACTTTGTCGTATACTTCTGAAGTCGAGAGGATACAGTTTATTACTGCTGCTGTAGCTGAGCTGCTGCTGCATGTGTGAGTGAGGTGTGCACCTTATGATGCCTTCTGGAGATGCTTCTGAATGATGTTGATCTGCTCGAGTGCATCCTGGAGCTGATCTCTGTCCATCTCGAATCTGATCTTCTGAAGTGACTTCTTTCCATCTGTTGTAGTAGTAGCAGTGTTGTTTGATGTCTTTGAAACATCCATCTCGACGATAGCCGTTGGCTCATTCATCTCTGGTACATCCTTTGACTTTGTCTTTAGGTCAAGTCTCCAACTAAGTTTAAGCATAGAGTTATTGAATCTTGTGCTTCTGTACAATATATCGTGAATCTAATTGAATGAATGAATGAAGTCCAGTATTAGTCCTCAGCCACTCCCTTTACTCCTTCACTAACGATACATACCTTCTTCTTGTTTGTCTTCCAGAACTTGGTCAATGCCTCAAGTTGTGTCTGCTCAAAGCCACTTTCCCTGGCCAACACCTCAAAGGCAGACAAGTCCAAATCTGAGTAACTTGCTCTCTCTATAATATTTAGACACTTGTTATATACTGCTAGAATAGCTATTGTGATCACATATACATATATATGATTGTTAGTGAGTGTGAATGAGTAACAGTATGAGTGCAGCATGAGTACATACAGTCCATTGAGAGATCAGACTGTGAAAAGATCAGATCTTTCAGACTCTCCAATGAAGACAGAGTAGCATCATTCTCATACTCCCTCTTGAGTAGGAATCCCAATAAACTTTGAAACTGTTTAGCATCCATTATATCTATATCTATATCTATCTTCTACAACTATTATTACAACATCAATGCATAAGTTATCTCAAAGGGTCTCAACAAATCCACGAAAGTTCCCTACAACTTTCATTTTGAGTCTTGGATATTTATTTGTTTGTCAAACAAATACACATAAGATCAATCATTCATTGTTCAAAGACATGTATTGATAAGACAATGTTATAATGTATGTAGCAATGTTGGTACATGTATGGATACACTTTAACACTTTGGCGAAAGATATGATATGATGGAGATGTTGTTTTCTTCGCTATTTCCCCTCTTCTTGAGTTTGTCTCACATTGTTATTTGGTGATGAGATAGTTGAGACCATAAACTATTATGTGATAAAGTATTATTCAACTCTTTATTATGATTGATAGTATGATTGATTGGGGAAGGACGTCCATTCAATAACTATGTTGACGCAACCATACATCACATCCATATATAGATAATTAGTTATCTTATACAACGGATATAAGTTTCCAATCATGAAAGGAATTAGATAACTTCCCTATTGTTTGTTGTTTATTATTTATTACTACATATTAACATAATACGTATGTTCATCGTCATGTCCCTTTACTCGCATCATCAATCAATATCACGACTCAATCAATTTGAAAGATTGTAACCCAATTCAATCAAGTTTCAATGAACCATCAATCCATCCAATCAATCAATCAATCAATCAATCAACAATCAAGTTTAAAGGTGTCCAAAGGGTAGAGACTTAAAGTATTAAAGTCCGCATATAGATGTTAACAACAAATGACGACGATAGATCAATCAACTTCACTTCACATCACCATCCAATACCCTTTATGACCTTATATATTCATTGACGAAGCAAGTTGGAATAATATAATAATCAAGTCCGATTGTCCAAAGACAACAACAACAACAATAATTAAGATGGCAACGATTATGACTGCGACGACAAAGACGACTAACATTGTTATATTAGCAGTAATTCACTGACTCCCCGTAGGAGTACCATCATCCGGGTATTCACCTCACTTCACACTTCTCCTTCGCACACTCACCTCTTAGCCACACTAAGGCATGGCACACACTACATGATGATCATCACACTCCAATCAATCAATCCATTAACTCTACTAGTACACACTAACCACATCTATAACAAGGTGTATGTGTATTCGCCACCTGCCAACCATTATGGTGTAGATGATTAGAACCATTGACTCTCTCTCACCTTCACTTGTTTGATTCATTCATTCATTCACTCTTTGGTTGTATTATTGGTGATGATCTGGCTAACACACTCATACTATCAGAGGATCCAGCCTTCCACAGAACAGTCCCTGGTCTGAAGGTGAGTGACAAAGTAAGTTAGAACGTGTAAGTTGTCAACCTGGCTACTACTACACTGATTATATATACAAGTGATAATCACCCGAATATCAATCATTCAATCAATCAATCTAACAATCAAACAACCAATCAATATTTGAAAGAGAGAGAATGTCAAACAAGTTAATATCTTTATTATTACTCAGTGTATTGTTATTAGTATCTGTGTTGGCTGAAGCAGACCGTTCTCCTGCTCCAACTATCGCTCCAGAACCCGAGCACGCCTACTACACAGTTAATATTGCCGCTGGGGAAAAAGGAGATGTCTACCATTTGTCCAAGGTTAACAACCCAGGTCAAGTGTTGAGCGCATCGTCTTTGGACCTGCCACACACTGCAAACTTGTCCGACATCCACAGCCACTCCGCTTCGTACGTTCTCCGAGGTTCCATTTCGACCGAGTCAAATGACAGGTTCAAGGTGGCCAACTTCTACAAGGTGGCTCGTTATCCAAACTCATACAACCCAAGTGACCCAGAGGAGGAGCGCACTGGTAACTTCTACCATGTCCAAGGCGCAGGCTTCGGTCCATGCAAGTCACTCAACTGCTCGGTGGCCCTGAACGAGCTCAACTCTGACAAGAGGATCATGCTAAAGAACATCACATCGCCATACACCGGTCTGCTCATCGATAGGATCTGGATCGATTTTATCCTCTTTGAGCTAGAGAAGGGAAGCAAGGCATTGGTTCAGGCAACAGTCAATGACAAGAATGAGGCCGCAATCACTGGTTTGTTCATCAATCTGCCTGATCCTACTCGTGGCTGTCCCAAGTACAAGATGGCCGCCTGTCCCGCTGGCCAGAAGAGGTGGTACAGCAGATCCCCCAATAGATGTCTTGTGCCCAAGGAGTGCATTCCACAAGCACCATGTCCACTCTACGTGCCACACTGTCCCGAGGGCTACACGCTCACTTCGTACCCAGGCAAGAACTCCTGTCCCAAGTACTGGTGTGACCCATCGTTCGTCACACGAATCGGCACCAGCTATTAGTAGTAGTCCATACTCCTCTTGTATTTGGGTCTGACTTTGCATTCTTTGTCCCGACCATTGCTCCTCCTCCCATCTCTTCTTGCATTCTGCACCCGGAACCAACCATCGCGTGTCCTTTCAAACTGTTTGGTGGACACTACATATATACATACCTACATTCACCAGTGTTGTCAATAAATATATATAAGCACAAATGAATGTGTGTATATTACATTTTACATTATCTGATGCCCCAGGATGGAAATACATCGGGTCCTTGGTCCTCAAGCATCATTTACCTTTTGTCGAGCTCATCACACGTATTCTTCCCACACAAACACGAAATTGATAATAATAATAATCTTACCAACACACTAAAAGGAAGAGAAAGTGAGAGATTGGATAGAGTGGGGGTAGTGTTGAAATTGACACTGGCTCACTCACTCACTAACTACTCGAACATTCAATTACACATACACACATAATTCATACAAATACAAACATACAAATACAATATCTTCCCTCCCTCAAAGATACATTGTTGTTCATTTCACTCATAATCAACCAACTCAACTTCTCAACTTAGCTTAACCAACTACATTCATTCATCCCCAACAACAACAATTGTATCATATTAATATTAATATTAATATTATTATTATTTATAAATATATATATACTTCAAATACTTTGTACATTAAGTTAATTAATATAGGACAGATTCTTCTTGTTTAAATTCAAATTAGAAATGACCATCACTAAAGCATTCAAGGAGGAGTATTCGCTTGAGAAGAGAAAGCATATCTCTGCAAAGATCAAGAATAGATATCCAGATAGACTACCTGTAGGTGTTCATTTCTTCACTCAAAAGACAGACATACAGACAGTCAGGCTAACAATCAATTAATCAATCTGTCTATCAAACAGATTATTGTCGAGAAAGCACCAAATAGTGATATACCAGAGATTACAAAGAAGAAGTTCTTGGCTCCTCATGATATGATTGTGTCCAAGTTTGTGATGGAGATCAGGAAACATTTGGACGATACTGGACAGACGAATGAGAAGACTGCTATATTCCTCTTTGTAAAGAACAACACAGTGCTGCCACCTTCATCCAATTTAATATCGACTATTCACGAGCTCTACAAGAATGAAGATGGTTTCCTATATATTACATACAGTGGCGAGAACACATTTGGTGGATCCGACTACTGCTGCTAAGGTGTTTGAACACAAGGTCCACAACACCAAATAAGAAACATCACGGACAGAGCTGTGTCCACGCCAACAACCATCCAATCATCATAATCCTCATCTTCTTCTTCCTCCTCTTCCTCCGCTTCATCGCACAACAACCTCAGCCATCCACTAACATTCATTCATTCATACCACCAAACAAACAAGCCTTTCAACCTTCACCTTCCATCAGCCTATCGTGATGTATTGTAAATAAATCCATGGATACCTCCTTCTCGACGAATCGTACCTTTGCCATCTTGTGCGTCTCTCTCTCCAAGCACATCAACTCACAGTATTGTTTGAAGGAAGGGTGTTGACTGATTGGAAGGTCTGTGGTTATTGGGGAAATTAATTCATGTAATGATCTTGTGATCATCAGGGATGGTCCTCATCTGGGATCGTGATGAGTCAAGATGATCAGAAGTAAAGTCAGTTGTAAATTACAATGGGAATATTTATTACACATATTAATACAATCACATTATTAATAATTATAATCAATCACATTTAACATTCATAAAGCAACAACATTAACAACAACCTACGAGACTGATGGAAGACATAACATGTATGTGCTGGTTGTTGTTTGTCCATTGTAATCAACTTTGGAAGTCATCTGCCACAGACAACAATGACTTGACCTTTGGACTCTCCTCTTTCTCAATCACTGTCTTGGATTACTTTGTATCATCGGGGATGGTTCATACACATTCAATCATTCACTCATTCATTCGATCATGGATGATTGTATTGTTAGCGTGGACAGAGAGGTGGTGTGGAGATGTAGTGTCCATGGATACACAACTCAAGATCAATACAAGTTGGATCTCTACATCAATCATTCACTCAATCATTCACTCACAATCAATCAATCAATCAAACCAGTCTTAAAACGACAAGACGACTATCCCACCCCATCACTCACTCACACACTAGATCACGTGATTAGTACTCACACTCCAGGGAGGAGTGGAGAGTGGGAGAGGGAGAGAGATAGATTGTTGGATCACCCATTTACATCATCATCCTCATATGACCAACCAAACTCATAACAACCTTACAATCGGCTCGATGTTGGACGATGCTGATCATAATCAAATAATAGTTAGTTGTCGTCGTCGACCACCACATGGTCACATAGTCTTGCGCAAGGTTACTATGTTGTTGTTGTTGTTCACACTATTGTGCGCGCGCTCTGGACACATCTTGTACTCAATCGATTGAGTGAATGAATGAAAGAATGAATGAATGGATGGACTGCATGATCTAATACTCACTCTTACTCTCTATCACTCATTCGACCGACACGACGGTGTGTTCATTCCTTGATCCTATTACTAGATACAACAACAAGAGTAGCAGAAGAAGAAGAGGAAGAAGATAGTACCGATCAACCTTTGGTTAGGATGAACACAAGACTACTACAAGATCATGAGATTGAGAACTATGGCTCGCCAAAAGGATTCAACGAGCTGTTGGACGAGGTCAAGAATGTAGTCGACAAGTATCTCAGTGGCACACCCCTTGGTCATGGTCATGGTCAGGGCAATGGCATATCCCCTACCAACCCACATCGATCAATCAATCTCAATATCAATGACATTGGCAATGGAAACACGCCACATTCATACTTGGCACAACAATTGAGGACTTCGACATCGTTGCCTGCAGGTCGCTTCCAGCTCAATCCATCTGCACACCCATCCCCTCAATCACAATCACCTGGAAGTGCGCAACGCACACCATCGACATCGGCAACAGATACAATCAGCAAGGCTGGCCTACGCGAGTTGTCCAACATGCTGAACAGACAACGCGAGGGCGAGATAAACATACGGGCGATCAGACAGATTGCCGCACTGTACAGACAGGCCCGCCAGGCCGAGGCACAGCGCACGAAATTCGTAGAGGAGATCGTCAAGGGCAGCTGTCTGCGGTCACTCTTGTCCTTCCTCACGCTGAGAGAGCCATCATCCAACTCATCATTCGAATATATTGCACAACTAGAGTCGTTAGAGTTGTTGGCGTTGTTGACCGAGTCCGACGCTATAAAGTCATACATTAGACACACAGGCGACCTGCCGATCATTGTGAATGTTCTCGGCTGGGCACATCGATCACAACGATCACTGGAACTCAACTTCTCACTGATCGACCTAATATGCAACCTGGCGACACAAGAGTCATGCGCGTCCATCCTCAAAAAGTCTGGCGCCATCCCGCCCATCTTCAACATGGCCACCAACCAATACATGAATGGAGAGTTGCGCATCCTCTCAATCAACACTCTAATCATATTTACAAGTTATTCTGGTGAGTCAATTAATTCAGGAGCATACATGATGTCATGGACTAACATTGATCAATCGTAGATCCCAAGATAAGTGAAGCAATCATAGATAGTGCATCATCACTGCGGATGATCATACAACAGATACATGAGAACTCAATACTGGCGTCCAATGAGGACATGCTAGACTCCATTGCCATCAAGATGTTGGACCTACTCTATCGTGTATCAGATTGTGGTATGTGTACCTCCATGATTGGAATTGTTCCGGGATAACTATTGACACTCACTCATACCATTAATCAATCATAATTAGCCAAGACAAGGGCAATAGCGTATGAGTGTGGAATTGAGCGACTGGTTGAATTGCTCAAGGTCAATGAGATATATCCAAAGTATTTGAATCAAGGCAATTACTTTGTTGTATCAAACACTTCAGTGTCCCCGGCCAACGATCCGACGGCGGCCCAGGCCAAGGTCCAAGGCAAAGTGTTACAATGTTTAGAGAAGCTTGCACAACATGGTACGACTATCTTATGTCCACTCGAGCTATAATAATGACTAACATGATGATATTACATCATCTCTAGAGAACAACCGTGTCAAGATTGGTATGGCTGGATTGTTCAACTGCATGTCCTACCTCAAGCCAATGTACTTAATACCCTCTGACATATTCCGTTGGAACATCAACATCCTCGAGAAGGTACTAAAGTTCCTAATCCAGTTACTCAACAATGGTATGTTTGATTGATTGAACATGTGATGCTGCCTCAATCCCTAACACACGAATCAATCAGATAACATCAAACAAGTGTTTGTTGAGAAGGATGGATGTAATATTATTGTATCGATGGTGTCCTCTGACTTCTTGCCAACAAACATACGATTGTCATGTGCTCAGGTACTTGGCCAATTCGTGTCGCCAAAGAAGACGGAGAGTTCAAGAATATATTACTCTGTGGATAAGGTCATGAGCAATGAGATTGTCCCATCACTGATGAAGTTGTTCAAGTCCTATCCGGACGAGACATCATTGCAACTACTTGTGTGCAAGGTGTTTACCAACCTTGGTGAACAAGATGAGCTCAGACAGACCATCTTCTCCGAGGGTGGTATCCAACTCCTCCACCACCTCTTGACCAATCCCGACATTGAGGTCGTCACAGCAGCGTGCGAGTCACTAGCAGTGTTATCCAACAATAGTTAGTATCCAATGATGGCTTGTTATGGCATGGCACAAGATGTCCATCATACTAACAATCATTCAAACATACTCATAGAGTTCATTAGGAAGGTACTTAGACTGTTGGACTCTGTTGGAGTGATTGTTAGACATTTGAATGGTGGCGTCCAGCAACTTAAAAGGGGCGCCATCCAAACATTATATAATGTATCACGAGATGGTATGGTATACAGTCCAACTCAATCAATCCAAGATGATGCTGATAACTAACATCACATAACAATCAATCAAATATAGATGAAGGACTCTTGATGCTTCTTGACAATCATACAGGCGTGTCACCACTCACTATTTACAATCTACTCTTTAGCAATGATACAATCACTCAGACCTATGCCATCAAGTTGTTGGTTAACCTATCATTGGATGGTATGTTTAGAGCAACAAGGTGACAGTCACTTCATCACAATCACTAACAAACATACATCAATCAGATCAATATGTCAACTGCTTCGTAACAAGAGGTGGACTCAACTCATTGATCAATGCACTTTACTCCAACAATGAAGCACTTCAACATTCTGTCTTGGACATCATGAACGTGTTACTACAAAGCAACAGTAAGTGTCCAACGTTGGATATTGCACTTTTGGCCACACATTTACTAACAACATGCAACATGGAACATTTGACAGAGCTGGTCCAGGAGTCAATCTTTGGCGAGGGCATCATTGAGAAGCTCAAGAAGTTGACGGCACATGAGAACTTGGCCAACCCTTCATCAATATTATTGCAGCCACTTCGAACATTATTTATTACAATCAAGCAGTTACAACCTCCAGAGTCACCACCATATCATCAACAACATGTTTCAAACAAGTCGCCACATACACCAATATCATCTACAACTTATGTCTCGCCGCCAAGCGGACCAAGTCCTCCACACAACACAATCACCAGTGTATCGGCACCCGATTTCAAGAGAATAGAGAATGTACTGGGCAAGCTGGACCCTGATCAACTCATACAAGTGATCATGGAAATGGTTAAGCACGACGCGTCACTGGCCGACCTTGTCCCGGTGGCCATCAAGTCCGTTCTGACAGGCAACCGCCTTCCCACGCCCGTGTACAGTACCCCGCCACCATCCACCTCCCCATCGCCACCCCCAGCTCCAAGACATGTCGCCCCCCAGAAGACCCCTGCCGCCGCTACTTCAACTACCGCACCAGGCAACAAACGTGGCGGCAACAAGCCACCACCTCCAGAGAAGAAGAAGATGGGCTTCTCATGTTTGATGGAGGAGATCATGATGAAGGTGCCCACAGGAAAGCTGAATCTCCGTCATGTGGACATGGAGAAGGAGGCCGAGCGCAGACAAAAGAGCATGGTGATGCAGAACCAATCAAACATTCTCAAGGACATTGTGAACATTGCCCAACGACGCAAGACTGAGCAGACGGCCAACAAGCGTGTATTGGTGGATACAAGCATAGTCAATGGAATGAGGATATGGAAGAAGGACTTTGAACTCTGGAAACAGGAATTGCAAGGAATGTTCAGGCGTGATGTCAACCTCACCGTTCTAATCTATCGTATCATGGACTCTGTCGACAAAGAGTTCCCCTTTGATGAAGCCATGGACATTGCCAAAGTAGAATCTCCAGAATCCTTGGCTCAAAGTCTCTGTCGAGTTGGATTCAATGTCAAACAATCAAGGTACACCTCGTCCACGTCGTCCACATCATCCAGGTCCTCATCATCATCATCAAACAACAACAATGATGTTGAAGTTGTAGAGTCGATTGAGTACATAAGTATATCCAAGCCAACAGGTATGCCTTATAAGTTACTCTTGTCCACAATCTTGGAATACATGCAGTAAAGTAAACAACCCTTGCCCTTGACCTTGACCTGGGTATGATTGATCGGTGTAACGTTATTCTGGAAACGATTGTCGGACCAGACCCACACAAGCCCACACATTCCTTTTTATTTTTTTTCACGATGATGATGATCAAAGTAGTGTGTGGAGGTCAACCAGAGGGCGAATGAATGAAAATGTGTCGACACAACAACTAGAGTGTGCACGAGGTGGGGTACTCCTGCTGATCACCTCCAAGCAATTACTTCCCGCAGTGAGCGTGAGCAGCACCAGCAAGCAGCAACATCAAATCTACCATTTCTTTCAAACTCTTCATTGTTTTGAGATAGATACTCCTTTTATATTCTTCATATATATATATATATTCACATTCGATCGAACCAACATTCAAACCATGTCTTTCAGAAACATCTCGAGACTGTTCAATACCAAGAGTTTGGTACGTGTCTATGCTCACCTGTCGACAGTTTAACTTCATATCATCAACATCATCGTCGTCTTCGTCGTCATAGTCATCGTCAGAGTCGTCATCGTCAGAACTACCCTCAGCAACATTGACATTGACATTGACATTCAATCAATCAATCAACTCGGAGTCATATGTTGGAGGGAGTATCATGTTCATGACGATGATGATGGTGATGAATGTACACTTCGAACGAACGAATGAATGAATGATGAATGAATGAACAATCAAACAGCATACAGATTATGAATGAAATAACAGATAACAGACAGATAGATCTAACATACAGGGTCAAACAATCAATCAATCACAATCAAACAATCAATCAAACAACTACAGACTACACAGACCCTTCGTTCATACTCGTCTTCAAGAGGCGAGATTGGACCACTCAACACAGACTTTTTGGCAAAGACACCAGAGACAAAGGTGACCACCTTGCCAAATGGCATCCGTGTCGCCACCGAGCAATCGTTCGGCGAGACCGCCAGCATTGGTGTCTGGGTCGACTCGGGCAGTGTATACGAAAACGATCAGAACAACGGTGTTGCTCACTTTTTGGAGCACATGATCTTCAAGGGCACTGAGAAGCGTACCTCGCCCACTCACATCGAGACCGAGATTGAGAACATGGGTGGCTCACTCAACGCCTTCACCTCTCGCGAGCACTCTGCCTACTATATGAAGGTGCTCAAGGAGAACATCCCCAACGCCGTCGACATCCTCTCTGACATTCTCCAGAACTCCAAGTTTGAGTAAGTTGAGTCGGAGGACGGGACTACCCCCTGCCCAGGCATCATCGATCACTGATGATGGCCCCTTGCCCGACATACACTAACACAATCAATCAATCATTCAAACTATAACAGCCAGAAGTTGATTGACACTGAGCGTCACGTGATTCTCAGCGAGATGCAGTACGTTCAATCAAAGCAGGACGAGGTCATCTTTGACCAGCTGCACGCCGCCGCCTTCCAAGGTTCGGCTCTCGGCCGCACCATCCTCGGCCCAGTCGAGAACATCAACAAGATCTCCCGCGATGACATTAAGAACTTCATGGCTCAGAACTACACTGGCCAGCGTTTGGTCATTGCCGCCGCCGGTGCCGTCAACCACGACAAGCTGGTCGCCGCCGTCAAGGAGAAGTTCGGCTCGATCCAGGCCGGTCAGCCCTCGCCCCGCCCCCAAATCACTAACGACTTTGTCGGATCCGAGATCCGTGTCCGTGACGACTCACTTCCAAACATCCACTTCTCCGTGGCTGTCCGCGGTCTCTCATGGGACGACCCCGACTACTACACACTGGAGCTGATCCAGACGATGATTGGCAACTGGAACAACACAATTTCTGGCGGCAAGAACCTGATCTCCAATCTGGCAGAGGTCGTCGCCACCGAGGGTCTGGCCGAGTCATACTCCACCTTCCTCACCTGCTACCAGGACACTGGTCTCTTTGGAAACTATGGTATCTCCACACCAGACAAGGTCGACGATCTCGTCGCCGAGATGCTCAAGGAGTGGCAGCGTATTGCCAACAGCGCCACCGAGACCGAGGTCGAGCGCAACAAGCAGAAGCTGCTCGCCTCCACCCTCATGCAATACGACGGCACCTCAAAGATCTGCGAGAGAATCGGTCTCCAGATGTTGACTCTTGGCCGCCGCCTCACCCCACAGGAGATCTGTCTCCGCATCCAGGAGATCTCTGCCAAGGACGTCCGTCGCGTTGCCGCCCAGCTGCTCACCGACGTCTCGCCAGCCATCACCTGTGTTGGACCAACCGACAATTTCCCCGAGTATAACTTTGTTCGTGGATGGACCTACTGGAACCGACTTTAAATTCATATACAGCTGCAGCAACCCTACTACATCTACTCCTAGCAGCAGTCCGCAACCTCATCACTCGCCATTACCAATATATAATAAACTGGAACATTATTGTTTAAACTACAACAACAACAAATCTCCAGTTTGTCAATCATTCATTCATTCTCCAACCCACAGAGCTTGACCATGAATGAAACGAGACATTCCACAATAGTAGTTATTAATATGTGTATTGTTCCTAATTTGAAAGTCTAGATCTGGTGGAATACGAGATTCGACACCTAGGTTGGGAATTTAATTTGTATTATCGTACCATGGTGTTATATTTGTTAGTTTATTATTAAATAAATAGGTAGTTACCCCTCAAGCGCCATCATTCTCCTCTCCACTTCGTACATGGTGAGATGTTTGGATGTCATCATCTTTGAAGATATATCAAAAGCTACATCTTTATAAGATGTGTTGTGATATCGAGTTGTTGTGAGCAGATTATAATTGTCATGTCCTTGACCGGTTGGTGGTGACGGAACAATAGACTATCCAAGGGTCTAGACAGGGACTGTCGACATGAATTACTATATGATACCACATGACTGGGAAGGGAAGATGGTCTAGGTAGTCCATGGACTTGTGCCAAAGCCGATCCAATTTCCGATATGTTGAATAGTTAATTAATAATCAAACTCTGGTGGTGTGGGAGAATGTTTGGATACAAGTATGAGGTGGGAAAAATCGTAATATAAGAGTTTGTTACCATTTAATTAAATAAATATATGGAAATATTTAATAATAATAATATTAATAAATATGATATCTCTTAATAGAAACATATTTCCAATAATATTCAAACTCAAATAGTCAAACATTACTCAAATGTCAGACCCCTACCTATAAAAATTCAACCAAGGAGGAGTCAATACAGTCTTTACAATTCCGCCAGATCACCACTTTTTGCCCCATCTCCTCTTTTCAACTTCTTTCACCACCGAGGATATTGTGGACTCCCAGATAATCTTAACTTCCCATTAGTCCAATTAACTCCTCATCCAGTTAAGAAAAAGGAAAGAAAACAAATCAAGAGCTACGTTAACGTCCATTGAGGACTTTCGGTTGACCTCTGGAAAGCGTTCAAGGTCTTATTTGTCATTACTTTGATTGTTGAACTCTATGAGTTAGAAGTCTATAAAGATAAATTAAAGATCAATAGTACTGTCCCTACCCTACTACAAAAGGTGGAACATTACTAGTGTTTACAACAAATATGTCAATCATTTTATTGACTTTTTTTGTTTGACTCAAAATGTCACTTTTGTAGAGAAGAAGGGAAAGAAAACAAATCAAGGACATGGATGTCAGGGACCAAAGAGGATTTTCAATTGACCTATCGAAAGCACTCAAGGTCTTATTGGTCATTACTTTGATTGCTGAACTATATGAGTGTGACTGTGATAGAGATAAATTAAAGATCTGCAATGCTGACTCTGCCCCAAAGATGGAACAAGACTAGTGTTTAATAAATTTATATTTGTTGTTTATTATTCCCAACCTATACACTATTTGACTACCTATTATTTAAGCAATCTTTAGATTCTTACGGCTCTTGAACAGTCTCCTCTTCATAACAGCTCCACATGTCAAAGAGGTAATAACACCTCCAATTAAAATATATAAGAATCTGACATTCTATTTGAATGAATGATCATGATTGGTTTGTTAGAGATACACTCACTCAACATCACGATAGAAAATAATATCATACCTTAAGATCATACAACTTATCCAATATTTCGGTAACTTGGATATCGAGTGGATTGGTTGAGACATTGTTCTTGACCTCAACTCCCTCCTGGATGGGTGGTGGCATCTCACTTGGCTTTGATGATGGTTGAGTCTCCAACTCAGACTTTGGTAGTGGGTATGTGGCATACACATTGGTTGGCAATCCCTTTCTAACGAAAGTGATCATCTTGTCAATGGTCCTGTCCTCAACATATTGATACAAAATACCATCACGATATCTAAATACATAAATAAATTGTAATTAGTTAGTTACTTTTATGATTGATTGAATGAATGATGGATTCAAGTTTCAGTGTTTGATCAACATACACTTTGATGGTAGGGTAGGCCTCAATGTTGAATCTTGAGATGAGGGATGGATCAGCAACACAGTCTAGACGGGCAAAGTTGAGTTCACCATTGAGTACTTCGGCAACGTAATTGAATACTGGCTCGAGCTCCTGGCTGTATGGACACCATGGAGCATAGAATGCCAACATCCAAGTTCCCTTTCCAACGACATAACTGTCTACATTGTCACCATTCAACTCGAACATATTGGTAGGTCCATCTGCCCTTACCATCGAGGCAACGGTGGCCATCAATACCAATGTAATAAATATACTCTTAAAATAAGACATATTATTATTCTTATTATTATATATAATAATGATTGATTGTTTGATTAAGATATAGTTATATAAGAATATATTATTATGTTAAGTTGTGTTCCAAATTATCTCTTAGGGAGCTGGATGGGTTCAAATAAATAATAATTATGATTAAATTGATGGCAAGCAAGGTGTTCTGATTCAAATTATTGATTGATGATGTTGATGATGAAGCTAGTTACAAAGGTGGATGATTGCCATACTATCCAAACCTCAAAAGGGTCCGTCCACTCGCAAGCTTGGCCTTCACAAGCTCAGCTAAAGCTGATAGTATTAATAAATGATTGAATGATTGAATGCCATTGATGACTGGACTGATACATACACATAACACATCTTAACATATACATGTTATAACATAGCAGAAATACTTTCGCATATTGTCAACGACATCATGGATGAATGTGTGAGTAGATGTAGATAGTAGGAATTAGTAGTACTACTACTACTACTCTATCTCTATCTCTATTTGTATGTTCGCCCAACCCACTCACTCATACTCATACCACCATGGTATGGTCAGTGGCCGAGTAGGATTGGATAGAGAAATCACTGAAGGGGCACAAATGATCATGATACATGTGTGCTTGTGTGATCAAAGTGGACTCTAATGTGATGTGTGTGCAAAGTGATGAGAAGAAGGCGAGTGTGTATGAGTGAATGTGTGTATGAACATTAGGGCTTGGCTGGGTGTTACTACTCACCCAGCCACTTCGATGATGGTGATCATGAGGTTGATGAAGCTCTCATTCTGCATCCCAATGCACAACGGTAGTAATATGCATGATGGATGGTCAAAGCATATATCTTCGATGTTGTTACTGGTCAGCAATATGTTTGCTCGTGTTTGTTGCCTTTGCTGCCGCTACCTGTTTCCATCTGTTTTGTTGTGTTGTGGCTCTGTGGCTGTTGTTGTTGTGGTGGCTGTTGCTGTTGATCTATGTTAGATGATGCTAAAATGTAGTACGAATCGAATAAAGTTGTTATAATATGAATATTACAGCATCAGCAACACAGGTATCGAGTCGATGCATGGTGATGACTGATTGCTGGCTAGTGCTCCTGTTTTATGATCATATTCATCATGTCCAATAGCTATAGATATCATTTATTTGGTCTGAACCTTTCTGTTGTAGTTGGCCATCTCGTCTCTCTTCTTCTTTCCAGACTGGATCGAACCGAGCTGTGAGTGATGGGGATATGATTGTTAGTACAACTGTAACTGTGGACTAATGTTTGTTGATTGATTGATTCATACCTTCTTCTTGGCAACCTTAAGAGCACGCTTATCCAAACCAGACTTCAACAGCTCTTGGATTCTACGCTCGTATGGGGCGAAACCAGCGACCTCACGGATGATGTCACGGACAGCAGCGACTCTCTTGGTGACGAGCTATATTGATTGATTGTGATTGATTGATCGTTTGATTAATAACCTGTTATCCACTACATCTCGAATCCTGTTGTTGTCCTGTCGCCTATCCTATCCTCTATCCAACATCCTATCTTATCCTATGTATCGATACATACACCCTTCTTGAAGGTGCTTGCTGGCTTGCGGGCGGTGGTGATGTGACCCTTGTTGAATCCCTTGGCAATGCCAGATCTCTTGACAATAGCGGTTTCCGACATGATGATATTCTATTGGCTGATGTATACTGTTGAGAGTAGAGTAGTGTTTGATAAAAGATAGATGGATACCAAGTGTCCGCAGAGAGAATGACTCCAGCTCTCGCTAGTGTGGGGAAATGAAAAATTAATTTAAATCAAACAAATTCATCATTCGTTTTTGAGTAACGTTATTTTTGAATGATTGATTAGTTGAGGATTGATCAATGACAACAGTTCACCTAATTATTTGTTATGTTGTCCATGTATATGATATACACAAACCACTAATTCATATTGAATGTGACGCATGTGTCAACCAACCAACCACCAACTCCTTGACATCTTAAGCAAACTACACTTCACCAACCACACTCATCCATTAAACAAGGACATTGAAATATGATTATTCATTGATGGTGATGATCATACACCAACGATTAATTGATTGAATGAATAGTTGATACTTAAAAATCGATGACGTCGTTTTAAGATGTTCCAGCTGATCATCATCGTCTATTTAAAGACATTAGTCATTGTCAATTTCAAATCATCAATCAATCAACAATTAAGTTAACTTAATACTAAAGTAATAATACCAATATACTACCACCAATACCAATACCAATACCAATACAAATACAATAATACAATCATGTTGTTCAAGAATATCTCCAAGTTGACCATGTCATCAAGCTCATTTGCCCAAACAATTAATAATGGACAAATATCCAGTGCATCATATAATAATGTTGCTCAATCAGCTAATACCAATTCAAATGGAATCTGGTATCAACCAAAGTCATTTGCCGTCGGACCAAAGTACCTGGACCTTTCCAACTAAATCAAATTAATAATAAGTGGCCCGACACACAATGGATTCGAATCCAAACAAATAAATATAACTTAGTAGGTGATGGATATTTAAATATCCATTACCTTCATGTACATACTCTATAAACATATGTTCAAATGTATTGTGTAGGTGTAGGGAAGTGGGGTCATAGGTAGTCGACATGACTTGGTAATGGACCATGGTATGGTCTACGGAATAGTAGGATATGTGGCTCAGGTCTATGATAAGCATAATGTATCCATCCCTCTGATTGAATGATTCCAAGATATCTACATTCTTCTTCAGTCAATAAAGTACCTATTTGTATCATTTTTGCTATATCCATTGGTAGAATAACATGTCTATTACTATACCTGTCAGTTATAAATCATAATACAATAAAGTGACAATGACATACCTATACTCATAATTATGATCATAATACTTCTCGGAGTAATGTACGGTTGGTGCTTGGGTTGGCATTATTGTGAATATGTTGTTATAAATACTTATACAGATAGATATAAGTTTGTTTGAGTGTATGTATCTGTATAAGTAATAAGTATGAATGAATGAATGATGAGCGGAGGAGATGAGTGGATGGATAAATGAATGAATGAAGGGATGAGAAGATGAAGAGATGAAGATGTTCATCATCCAGATTTGATGGTGAATCTTTGAGGTTATGGTACAAGACATGCGAACATTTCCTTAATTGGGTTTAGAGATTCGCCTTGATTAAGACACCACCTTCAAGGGGTATGATTGCGCCTGTCACCTGTTATTAATTAATTCATCATCCGAGAATGAAAGGGCATGAGCAAGGATAAGATTTTAGCATATTCATTCATTCACTCATTCACTAACTTGAAGACTGGAGATACTTACATACTTGCTCGCACGGGAGCTGAGGAAGATGGTCATACCTTCGAGATCATCGTTGTCTCCGAAGCGACCGAGAGCAACACCGTCGAGAATGGTGTCACGGAATTGTTCGAATGTGGACTTGGTCATCTTGCTGTGGAATGGTCCACAAGCAACGGCATTGACCAGGATATAGTCTGTCGCCAGTCGATTGGCAAGTGTACGTGTCAATTGGTGTACTGCTGCCTTGCTGGCAGAGTATGAGTAGGTCTCGAGTACAGGAACACGGATACCATCGATTGATCCAATGTTAATGACGTGGCTGGGGTCGTCGACTGTAGCCTTTGCACGCAACAATGACAGACATGCCACAGTCATATTAAAGACTGCCTTTACATTCAATCCAATCACCTTATCCCAAGCACTGTCTGGGAATGTCTCCAAGGCTTCTCCCCAAACACATCCACTATTGTTCACCAACACATCCAAGCGTGTCTCCTTTGCTGCAATCGCTTCGGCAACTCTGTATAGAATGATGTAAGTAAGTGCCTCAATCATTCAATCAAACATGAAGGATCGGATGACGTACTTCTTGCAGTTCTCTTGTTTGGAGATATCGGCTTCGATGGCGTAACATGATCCTGGACCACGCTTGGTGAGCTCATCAGCAGTTGCTTGTAGCTTCTTCATATCACGAGAGCATATGTACACCTTTGCGCCATGCTTGACCAATGCCAAAGCCATTCCATATCCAATTCCACTACCACCTCCTGTCACCAAGCAGACCTTGCCCTTGACCTGAAACAGTTCCATTGAGCTCATTGTATATTAATGTATATATGTATATGTTAAGTTGTATATGTATATCACTTGAGTTGATTTGATTGATCATTCGTAGGGGTCAATCAATCTGAATGACCCGTCACCATCACTCACACCACTAATCAGATTGTTTTTCCAAGACTGGCAATGCCTGTCGACATCAGTGACTCCAAGATAGTTCCCAACACAATGGTGATGTGTATTAGCTAGACATGATATGTAGATATCTTTATTACACATATTAATGTGATGCCAACTGACGGCTGCTGTCTAAACACGACACATGGTGGTCGTGCAACAATGTGGCAAGCCAGCCAGCAATCACAATCACTTGGTAAATACACGAACCATAGTAGGTAGTAGGGTCGTGTATATAAACGCGCAGTGCACCTTGGGTCCCAAGGGGTTGATCGGGTTATGGACGCCAGCCAGACAATGGAAGGACGGAACCATAATTAAGTATATCGATGTTAACGAAATCAGAGCCGTCCATCATCGAGTGGGTCCACGTCTGAGTCCGTTCGCTGGTTGGCTGGCTGGAGGAGTGAAAGGGGGTGGGTATTGAGGGGAGGAGGAATTGGAGGAGGAGGAGGAGGAAGTAGGATATGTTGTTGATGGTGATGTTGTTGTAATCAGAGTTGTCGCGCACACAATCGATTAAGGTTGAGAGTCATGATATATCATAATGTGTTATGAAGAGTTGCCGCCTGAGCAAGGACATCGCTTGTCCTGTGCCTTTCCTTCTCTGGTCGCAGACAACTTGATGGTGTTCTTGTCGGTGGGTGTCGGTGGTGGCGCCGTGCCATTCTTGCTAGAGTCCAATATCAAACGCGTCAGATACTCGATGGACTCTTCCAGACCCGTGCCCTCCTTGGCCGATGTCAAGAACCATTTGTTGATCGAGTTCTCCTGACAGAACTCCTCGCATTGCTGTGCCAACACCTCCTCGTTGCTCTTATTAAACAAGTCGCTCTTATTCGCTAACAATATACATGGGATCGACTTCTCCTCAGGGAAGCAACAGTCCAACTCCAACTTCCACTTTGACGCAGAGTTCAATGTTGGTAAGATACGCGTTGAATCGAATACAATGATCGCTCCATTAGCATTCTTAAAGTATGACTATATGTATGTATACAAGGTCAGTCACGTGTCGTTCAATCATACTCGCACTCGTCTCGCACTCAAACATACTCTAATCATATGATGGAATCGCTCTTGTCCTGCAACATCCCAAAGTGATAGACACACCTTGGTATCATCAACATTTATAGTCTTTGAGAAGAAGTCCAATCCCATCTATTATTGTAGTATCAAGTATTAGTATGAAGTATGAAGTATGATTGAATGATTGAATGATTGAATGAATGAGTGTAAACACATACAGTAACTTTGTACTTGGGAAGGAACTTGTTTAGTACGTATTTGTTAATGATGCTGGTCTTTCCGCAAGCAGCTTCACCAATGACCAGTATCTTAAGTGGTGTAGCATCATCATCTATATGATTAAGTTGTGATGGTATAATATCATCATCATCATCCTGTTGTTGAGGTTGCTGTTGTTGGGGTATTTGTTGTGACCCTTGTTGTTGTGTATCGCTCATATTATTATCTATATATATTTCAATATCAATATATAAATATTGTTTACTTATAATCAATCACTTATTTGCACTCAATCACTTCTACTAGGACTAGACTACGCGATACTCTCACACACACCAACACCCAAGTGCGCTCTTGTTTCGCCCTGCCAGGCAAGAGACCAACACACACTAGTTTGGCGATCACTTTCAAATTGTGTGAGACCCGTTTCCATGGTTTCGCAACCTTCGATGGATATTTCTGTATTAATTTTATTGATTATTTTGTTGTTAGTGTGATTACAACTAGTGGGATTTTGATCTTCAGGAGGGCAAGGGTCATTTGATTTGGGTCAGTGACCACTATGTGAGTGCTTGTTCTTGCCGAAGTTTAATAAGTTAGCTATTTGAGCCAAGTATGACCTTGTTCCTGCATAGCCCAGTTCCGACTTGGATATTTATTTAATTAAATAAAGCGAGTTGATGGAATGATTGAGTGAGTGAGTGAGAAGTGTAGAAGATGCCTTGATAGGTTAGGTATGATAATGATGAGAGAAAGTATGACCCCCGATACCAACTATCGTGTGGACCTGGACTGACTGCAGAGTAGACCCAAGCCCCTCACTCACACTCTACTTTACATTGTTTATGTTGTTGCTGTTGATGAATGCAGGCGAGGTGAGCATGATTCAATTTGGTAACCCATTGAACAGGCAAGCAGTGCAGCACCGCCAACCAATCAGATATTTCCAATGACTTACAAGACTGCGAAGAAGAAAGGTCTTACAACACTCAACACATTCTTGCAAGAGGGCCTCACTCCCTCACTCAATCAATCAATCAATCATTCTCTCTGGGTATTATCTATCCATCAACATCATTTAATTAATCAATCAACCAATCAATCATAATCATTGTAACTTATCTTTTATTTATTAGACCCTAACTTAGCGTTATAACTATCTCTTTCCTGGATTGATCAGCAGGCATCAACTTAAGTATGTCTCGTCTGCGAGACAGACCACAGCCTCAAACTCACACACTTACACTTTCCAATCAATCAATCAATCACAAACAGAAGGCCCACCATCATTCCAACCATGGATGCATGGAGAGGCTTCCATTCAATGAGCAACTTCAAGAATGCTCCTCAATATGATCCTGCTCCACAACAACAACAACAACCACAACACCAACAACAACAACATCAGACCAAGTCAACTGGCGCGTCTTCATCTTCATCGTCATCATCTCCATCTCCATCAACTTCGTCATCTTTTCAGATGGGATGCTCCAGCTGCAACCATGTCTCACCAAACAAAATGCCATCGACTTCAATGAGGAGGACTCTAAAGTGTGGCCACGTCTACTGCGGCGACTGTATTGACAATGTCCTATTGCGCACGTTCTCACAGTCCAATCAGCCACTGAGCTATCTATGTGTACTCTGTAATACACCTTCGCCAGTGGTCTCTTCTACATCTTCTTCTTCGTCATCATCGTCATCATCGTCCAACAACTCGGCCACTTCTACGCCCAGACTGAACGCTTCGGAGCCACTCTCTCTACATGGCTCCACCTCATCAATGACACCCCCGCTGACCTCCTTCTCCCTATTTAACAACAACGGAAGCTTTGAATCCTCCGACTCTATTTATAACTATCAACAGCGCAAGGTGTCTCATCCAAGGGATGGCTCCGGCAACCCCAATGGCTCAATGGACTTGACCTACATGCCCTACAGCACGACACTGCCCTCGCCCAAACAGGGACCATCCATGTCGCCAACCTTTGGCGGTCCAAAGGGAGGCAACGAATCTTCATTCTCCGCGCCAACCAGACTGCTCCGACAGAACAGCTCTGGCATGATGAGCACATTCCAACATGTGGGCACCACTCCTTCGCCTGGCAGCACAACTCTCTCCCACATCAGGGGCTCGGCTGGCGGCGGCCTGTCTACACCAACCTCGCCAATCATCGAGAGCAAGTCCCCACTCAATCTGTCTGGTGGTAGCTCTGGCAACAATAGCGCCAACCATAGTCGTCACTCTTCAACAGGCGGTGGAGGATACGATAGCAGTCTGTACTATTTCTCGCCTGGTGACTACTCCATTGAAAATGGTGGTGGCAACAGCGGCAACATCAACAACAACTACAACACCAACAGCAACAACTACGGCAGATCACCTGGCAACTCATTGCAACAACTCCTGATGCAACATCAGGATCAGAACCAATCCAATGTCTACCGATCACCTGCGGGAATTGGAATGAGCAGTCAGTATCCACCGTACATGTTGTTTCAACAGCAACAGCAGCAGCAACAACAACAGCAGCAACAGGCTCAGCAGCTACAAGGATATCCAACATCCCAGATCCAGGCACCGACTCCCAAGAATCCATTCCAGTCCCCGCCTCTATTTGCTCAGCCAGACTCGCTACTAATGTCCAGCTACATGCCACATCAACAGCAGCAGCAACAGATGCCAGTATCACCTCAGAAGCAAGCGCAACAGCAACAGCATCAACATCAGCATCAACCACAGCAGCAGCCACAACAACCAACTCCACCCCCACAACAGCAACAACAACTACAACACCAACAACAACAACCACAACACCAACAGCAACAGCGTCAACAGCTCCTAATCAAGGAGCAATCCATTGTATACAATGAGCTTTCCAATGTTAGAGAGCTAAGGATAGGCGACGATGAAGACTATATGTGCAGCGTGCATGGCGGCCTGCATCAACTGTACTGTTTCAACGACGAATGTAACATATCTCTGTGCAACCAGTGCTCCAAGACCCAGCATCAGGGTCACAATGTGCAGCCCTACCAGGAGATCACCAAGAGATCGCAAGAGGACATCCATATCATGCGCCAGTCGGTGGTCCGTTTGCGCAGCTACCTCGAGGTCGAGGGTGAGATTGTCGACCAGTTGCTGGCAAGGAGCGCCCAAGTCGAGGAGGTCAAGCGACGACTGCGCGACGAGGTAATGCTGTGGCTTGATGGCGCACTCAAGAAGATTGACGAAGAACATGTCGAGCATGTGAGCAAGACCAAGGCCAAGCGCGACAAGATCGTCCATCTCCTTCAGGAGATTGACAAAGAGCAAAAGACCAACGGCGGTGGCGGTGGCGCAGGCGGAGGTAGCTCGAGCAACAGCAACCTCAACAGCCCAGCCAACAACAGCAATAACAACAACAACAATGAGCGTAACAGATCAAAGAAGAAGCTAACTGACACCAACAAGCATAGAGTGCATCTTCATGACATGTTCAAGGGAGTTAGCGATGTGGCCACAATGCCCAACGACGAGATAACTTGGCCAAATGCATGTTTCCTCGATGTAGCGCAACAACAGCAGCAACTGATCCAGTTACAGCCACAGCTTGCGCCGTTCAAATGCTCTCTGGACTACATCTACGCCATCGGTGGACAATACAAGAAGACTGTGGAGCGATACTCAGTGGCGCAGAACAAGTGGACGTTTGTGACGAGCATGGACACTCTCAGGAACAGGCTGTCGGCCGTGTTTGATGGCAAGCAGTACATCTATGTGTTTGGTGGCGAGATGAAGTCTTCGCCCGACCGCTGCGTCACTGAGAAGTCTGTAGAGCGATACAACATACTCAACGACCGCTGGGAGAGCGTCAAGGAGATGCCCAAGCCCAGGAGCCGACACGCCACAGTCTACGATGGCAAGCGTTACATCTACATCATTGGCGGCAAAGACACGTACTTCTCGAACGAGGTGGACCGCTTCGACACGCACACGCAGGAGTATGCCTCGATGTCGCCCATGAGCACCGCGCGCTCAGATCTGTCGGCCGTGTACGATGGTAGCGGCATGATTTACGCCATTGGTGGATTCAACAGCAAGGCGATGGACATCATCGAAGTGTACGACATTGCCGCCGACAAGTGGGGCAAGACCAAGCGCATGAACAAGAGTCGCGATGGCCCAGGCGCCATCTACGATGGCAAAGGGTCGATCTTTGTCATGGGTGGATCGTACGCCACACACAAGTTGTCCAACAGTTTGGATCGCCTGTCTGTGGAGGATGGAAACTGGACGTCGTTGGCCGATATGTGCAAGCCTGTGGATGTTCGCAACTCTGTTGTATATGATAGTGTCAACTCGATCTATGTGGTGGGTGGATACTGCTCCGAGATACTAAGTGACGTTTGTCGGTATAATATGGACACCAACACTTGGGAGACGCTCAAGTCGATGAATGAGGCTCGCGAAGGAAATGCTTTGGTCTATGTATCTCTGCCAATCAATCAATAAACACCAGTTGGCCATTGAGTGGATGAGTAAGTTTATTAACACAACATCAACATTCCAATAATTTCACTTGATACTGAAATAATGTGTGATGATGTTGTCAATCACGAATGAAGTGTGCTCTATTACTTGTACCCATGTGTCGGAGGATGGAGTGTACTTGAATGTCTTGCTCTCTCCAAAGAAGTATATCACTCCATCTTGTGCATCAGAGCCAAATGGTTTATTTAACCAATTAATTATAGGAAGAGAGAGATCCACACGATTCTTATTTGTCATATTGATCTTGTAAAAGAGTTTCTGTCCCATGATGTAGATATTGTCCACTCCATCGAAACAACATGTATAATAAGAAGGACCAACCTCAATTCCAACAATCAATTGTTGAGTTTCCATCGTATGAACATTGAACGACATAATATTTTTGTATGATTCGTTATTTTGGTTAACTCCACCAACGATGATGATGTTGCCATCCTTGAAGAAAGTTCGTGCTAGGTATATTTCCATTGTCAACCCACCAACATGACTGAACTGTTGAGTGATAGTGTTGAATTTAGCAACTCGCTTCAACTTGGTCGCATTGATACTACCACCAATCAAGTAGAATTGTTCATTGCCTTCATAACACACTGAGGTCCATTTGGATCTCCAAATATATAAATATTGCCTCTTGCATAATCAGGACGTCATTGTCCAATAATTCTGTGCAAGTCGGAGTACGCAACTCTGTTATTTATGATAATTAATAATGCCACCCTTGGAAAATGAGAGAATTTAGCCTGTCAAATCTATATGTGAGTCTATTGGATGTGTTGTCAATCACGAATCAAGTGTGCTGCTAATATTTGGTGGCTATCAGTACTGGTACCGTTTATCTGGACCCAAGTGTTGGAGGATGGAATGTATTTGAATGTCTTGTCGTTTTCAAAGTGGTATATGGCTCCTCCATTGTCTGGATCATACACCAAAGGATGTATTATTATTGATAATGGATAGAGATCAACACGATTCTTACTTGTAAGATTGATCTTGTATATCCACCTTGAACTCCATCACCAATGAAATTGTCATGTGTCCATCTCAGTTCTGTCATTGAGAAGCGGGAGAATGTCTGTTGACTGCCAAATACATATATATTGCCTCTTGCATAAACTGATGACGTGTAAACCCGGTTCCTATTGAATGTATCATTATTGGATGTGATTGTTCTTGAAGAATATGGTGAGACGATTGAGTATCGTAGATTTCTATCCAGTGCAAAGATATGACTATCATAACCTCTTGAGTGTAGATTGGAATCGACGAGTTTCAATGATAACCTCACTTGTTCCTTCAAGTTGTTCATACTGGATTGATCGATTGAATCAACACGAATTGTGACTGGATTATCATACTTGATTGTCTCTGATTCAATGAGATGATACTTCACTCTCGACAACAGGTCATGATTGTTGAGTGCCATGATGTCATCATGTGGCAGAGGTGGGAACACTTTCTCAATGATCTCTCCGTTTGAGAGGGTTGTGATCCAATGAATCAACTGGGCATCATCGACATCGATCCGAGCACTTCCATTGTCAGTGTTGGTGAGAATTGTGTTGATTCGACCAAGTTCACCAATGATCGATTGAATTGTGTCATTGTTCTTCTTGATCTGTGTGTCCAGTTTGCCAACGACACTCTTCTCCAACTCATTGATGAACACTCTCCAATCATCAAAGTGTTTGACAGCATCCACTTTGGATTGTTCCAATGATTGATGATTGAATGCCAAGTGCTTCAACTGATGCATCAATGTGTTGACACGATCATGACAGTACAGTGATGAGTGTTGTTGTTTGTCTCTGATCAATGTTTTGAGTCTATTGACATGATCAATCTTATGACCTTGATGATCATAGATCATACACTCTGAACATATCAACTTCTTACATTGATAACAAATGATATCCATTAGTTGTGTTGAATACAGTCCTACTTGTGATCCTTCCGAGATGCGCCAAACTTGAATGTTCGAGTTGTTTTGAAAATGGGAGGGAGTTCAATCACATCATAACTTTCTTTTCTTCATATCAAAAAGCTTGTGATAATATCTGTATCCAATGGAGAATCCTGTAGTTGGAGACTCATTCGATTAGTGATCAACGAGTCCGTGATTGTTAATATTTTGTATAGTGTAATTTATTAATCAATCAATCAAGGATCATTAACGCAGTCCTTGCAACGAAGCCAATAGCACCATTGATCTGGACCCATGAGTTTGATGATGGAGTGTACTTGAATGTCTTATCCTTGCTAAAGAGTAGAACTGCTCCAAGTTGTGGATGGTACACAATTGGATAGATGATTTGAGTATCCGGAAGAGGGAGATGTACTCTTCGTTTGTTTGTCAGGTTGATCCTGTAAAAGACGCCTTCTTCCCTGATGTACACATTGTCCTCGCCATCGAAACAACTTGATAAGATGAATTCTCCAAACTCCATACCATCAATCATTTGTTGAGTCATCAATGTATGTACATTGAATGATCTGATTGTTTGATGAGGAATGGCATCGCCATGGAATCCACCAACGATGATGATGTTGCCATCCTTGTAGAATGTTGATGCGCCATGTATGAACATTGGCAGCTTGCCAACATGACTGAACTGCTGCGTGACGATGTTGAAACGATCCACTCGCTTCAAGTTGTCACCATCGCTGAAGCCTCCAACCAAGTAGATGTGCTCATTGCCGTCAAAACACACGGATATTACATTGCCACCCGTGACACCATTATCAATAGCATTGTTATGCGTCCATTTCTGGTCGGCAAGGGAGAAGCGAGAGTAGGTCTGGTACCTGGAGTCGTCAGCGCCAAACACATAGATGTTGCCACGTGCATAGACCGTTGATGTTGTAACCAGACCTCTGTTGAATAGATCATTGATTGGTGCGATTGATCTTGATGATATCGGTGAGATGATTGAGAATTGTAGGTCATTACTCATCACAAAGACATGACCGTCATACTCCCTTGAGTACTGATTGGAGTCTATGAGCTTCAGTGATGACTTGACCTGCTCCTTTAGCTTTGCCATGTCTGCCTGATCAATGCTATCCACTCGATATGCCATTGGCGAAGCATAGTTGGTGGCCTCAATATGTTTGATATGATTGTTGATCAACATCAAAAGGTCGTGGTCAGTGAGTGGCTGTGACGCGGCATCATCATCATCATTCGGTCGATGATGAGGGGGAGGAGGTGGAGGGAACACTTTGTCGATCAGTTCGTTTGGAGTCGTGCTCGAGGTGATCCATTCGTTAAGCTGGGTCGGTCTGACATTGTGTCTTATATTACGTTCGCCAGCAGAGTAGTGTAGCACTGCACTGATGCGTCCAAGTTCATTGATCACTGATTGAACTGTTGATGCATTCTTCATCTTCTCATTCCGTATCTGATCGACAACGTTGATCTCCAATACGCGTATCATGTCGATCAACTCTTTGAAGTGCTTGGATGCCTTTTGTTGGGCTTGGTCCATCGATCGTTGATTATTGGTCAAATGCTTCAACTTATGTAGCAGCATATCCATCCTCTTGTTAAAGTATAGAGATGAGTGCTTGTCCTTATCATCTATACATGATCTTATATGTAGTACATGATCGACATGATGTGACTTGTGATCATAGATAAGGCACACCGAACATATCATCTCTTTACAATCATAACATATAATATCCAAGTCCTTTGCATGTGTTGGACAAGGTATGTTATCACCATGCTTCATTCTCTCTTTGTCTTTGTATGATATTATTATTACAACAATGAATGAAGGATTGAATGAGTGAGTAGTTTTGATTGATCAAGAGTTGATGAGTGAGAGTGGGAACAGTAGTTCGTGGCTTTGATGGCCTTTAATAATGAGTATGATTAATTGATGCGGATGAAGTACATCGCCTTCTCGGTAAGTTGGTAGTCAAATTGATCACTGAGGGTTGTTGTTGTCTCTATGGCATCTTCAACCAATTGAAGATCCTTAATAGTCTTGTGACTGGTCTTTAGACGATTGAAGTTCTTGGTGTTGGGATGTAAGAGGAACTCGCTAACCTTGGACATTACACACTTGGTCCATGTCAATCCTCTAAATGACAGCACTTGGAGTGAAGAATTCTTGTTGGACATTACACTGTCAAGTAGACGAGTGATAAACTCTTCATCGAAAGGACGATCAATCTTGAGTACACGTAGTGATTCTGATCTTCCGACCAATCCAATGAGTTCCTCTTCCATTTGAGGACACATGCTGGAGACTCTTAGCTCTGCCAGGTGTGGCAGTGCATTGCGTGTACCGAGGATAGAGCAGTTGGTTGGGCTCTTCTCTCCATGTTCACAATTGATCCTTAGCTTGGTGACATCAGAGTGAAGATCAACATGCGATGGATCATCAGCCTTGTTTGCCATCACCAAGTTGAGTGAGGTAATGTTTCGCTTGTTCTTAAGGACATTGCGACAATCTTGGCCAATGTCAACTGGTATCCTTACTTTAGCCAATGACACTAAGGATGAGTTGTGTACTAGGAAGTCGATAAAGTCGGGTCCGGCTAGAACCAAAGACGAAATGAAGTTGATCGTCTTCAATTTAGTCAATCGAGACATTTTGATCCATTCACCTTGTGGCACCTTCTCTTGGTCAATGGTCAGATGTTGGAGATTGGCTGGAAGTGCTTCGATGAGTTTGGAGTAGTAGCTCTTGCTGGCTTTAATATCGATGGTCATTGACGCGATGTCTGGATGACTGCCAATATATCTTAGTAGAGGTATGGACTCTAGACAGCAGTCAGACTTGATCATGATGTTCTGTAGCTGGCCGAGGATTGGCAACAGTTTGTTGAATGCCACCTCAAATGGATGTAGAACATCAGTTGAGGCAGTTCCAATGTCCACGAGATTGACTGACAACTCCTTCAATGAGAAGTCATTCCTTGATGAATTGCAGAGATTGGCAAACTGCATGAATGATCGTTCACTGACAGTAAACGACATAATGTCATAGGGTATTGACAGGTGCAGGGACGTGAGCCGGGAGTAGACATGACGGAAGAAGCTCATGTGGAATGGGTTGTCCATTGATTCGCCAGTGACCAGGTTATAATTTCCACGACATGTTACTATTATCGAGTTGATATACTTTAACAGACATAGTCTATTATCAATGTGTTGTGATGTGATGCTATGTAGTGATTGATTTTTTGCTCCACTCGAAGTATAACTGAAGCGACTTGAGAATATGTTTGAAATATGATAGAACCATGACTTGCAGACTGTTGCCAACAACAGTTTGTCCTTTAAAGGTATACGTTTCTCCATCCAATATGTATCAAGTATATATTGTTGTACCAATAATGGTAGAGTTGGGTTGAGAACTGACTTGGAGGCAGTTGATGGATAAGTGTCTAAGTCGGTCTTTGATTTCTTCTTCTTCAAATGGATAGGATAACCAAGTTTGTTGGCAACCTTGACACCATTCTCTTTGATATAATCAAAGTACACTGGATCTGGAGGTAGAAAATCATCAAACGATGGCCATTGTGGATATGGATTATCATCATAATCGACTTCTTCAATTGCAACATTGAAGTTTATTTGATCAAATTCATCCATTATTAATTAAATATATATATATAATATGTGAAGTTAATATTTGTATAATAAGTATATAACAAAGAATGAATGATAGTGATAATGAGCAGAGTATGTTTATTACAACATAAGCAGCAATCATTAAACCAGAATTAAGATAGAGTTGAGAAGATACAAGAACTTCAAAAGCGACCATCTTTGGATATTTTGGAAAAGGGGTTCCATCATTCAAAAACACAGAAGGTGTCAATCAATCATTTTTACTAAACAATGCATTTGAGTTTAAAGAGATAATTGATAGATAGAGATAATAATAATAATTGTAAAATAGTCATCATTCAATAGTAATAGTAGAGATAGAGATAGTGAAGAGAAGAAGAGACATATTAAATATGTCAACTATTTATGTAGAGGAGAATGTGGTTACATTCTCATGTTTAGCAGCGGCTTATGGTGTGATCACTGTAGTGTCACTGATACAACTTATAAGAATACATGCTATTGGATTCCCTTGGCGAAGGATTACTACACAAAAGACATTCCTAATGTTATTGGTACTCACTGGTATATGTATGTTAATGATCAACTTGACCGACTTGTCGCTTGAATCAATGATTCACTCACTCACTCAATCATTCAATCATGATCAATTACAGTTCGTGTAATATTCTTTATATCTATTAGTATTGCAGGCAAACAGACAGAGTTTGATATGGGACGATTCAACATACTTTATCTTACCATACTCGACGACTTTGGTTGCATGCTATTCTTTACAACATTCTGTTTATTAATCTTATTCTGGTATGTTGTTGAAGTGCACTCATTCAATCACTCAATACTAATGATCAATCAAACAAACCAGGATTGAGATTGTATATCACTCAAAGAATAAGACAAGAGTTTATAGAGCAAGAGTTAGACCAATATTTTACAGCGCGACTTCATTGATATATATGGCTCAGGTGGCGATATGGATACTTATAATAGCATTGCCAGACGACAAACAGGCAAGACTGATGAATCAGATTGACAATGTCTTCTACTCGACCATCTCGCTGTGCGAAGGCTTTGGCTTCTTCTATTACGGCGTGATGCTATCGCTCAAACTCAAACGCAATCCCATCAACTCCAAGGGAAAGAAGAAGAAGTTGATCGAGGTGATCCTGTTCACGGTTCTCTGCACGATCGCCTTCCTCACACGATCTCAACTGTTCCTGGTGGCCACGTTCAAGACTGGCACGTACAATGTCAACAGTCTATTCATTGCACTCTACTATTTTGTCTGCGAGATACTGCCATCGACATTCGTCATTGTTCTCTTTAGAAAGATGCCGCCCAGGCCATCACTCACGCCAACATATCGTTTCAACGTGGAGCAAGCATCACCTCATTCATCAGTTGGCTCTGGCACCTACAGCAATGTCAACAACCAAATTAACGAAGACAAGCAACCATTACTCAATCACTCACTTCAGAATGATGATCAATAATGCCTGTGTGAGGTGCGTTTGATCAAAGTGAGTGAAGTGAGTGAGTGTGGAGGCACTGGAAGACTTCCTTCTTGAATCCAGAGTATAATCAACATTGATTGGTTGGACTGGATTATGTCTGGAATCATTAGAGTTGATCCGGATCAATCAAAGTAGTTGAAGTCTGCACCAAGTCGATAATCCATGAAAGGGTTTGGCGTGCACTATTAATTGTGTACATTTCGACAACTTGGTGTGTCGTTAAATTTGAGTGTGTGTGGGAATCAACAACAAGTGTCATCGCGATGACACACTCACACATACACACAAATAAACACTATCAACCAATCAAACACATAAACAAAGAGATACACACAACCCACCCACGCCTTTCCAAATTCTGTACAATGATCACTCAACCCTATGAATGGAGGGTGAGTGGAATGAATTGTTATGTTATTGGAGGTAGGGAAGAAAGAAAGTAAAGTAAACACAACTCATTGAGTTCAAAGCGTTATGTGTGTCTGTGTTTGTGTGTGTGTAACACTTTAAGAGTGTATAATTAGTAGAGTTAGGATGAGTGAGGGAATGAATGAGTGAATGATAAGGACTTAACTCCAATCATCTAATAAGTAGCATTCTTCAACACATTACTTCCATTGACGACTTATAGTAATATTATTAATAACTCCAATATTAGTATTGTCCAGGACAAACAATCATTCAATCAATCAAATAACAACAAACTTGTAATTTTTATAATAGTATTATTAATAATACCAATAACAAAGTAATACCTCAAAGATGATGCACGCAGTTGGAGAAATATTCAAGCCAGATGAGCCACCTCTGGAACGTACCAAGGAGAAGTGTGGATTCTTCTGTTGTGTCTTATTTACATTCAAACTATGTAAGTAAATCCAAAGATATGCTTCAAGAATAGTTCAAGTTTACTAATAATCATTCCAATATACTTGATTAGTTGTAAGATTAATATGTTTGGTTGCTGGTGCCGCCCAATGCGCAATGGGAGGCTATACATTCTATAATATTGCCAATACCAAGACAAAGACAATTGAGAACTATATTCAATTATCTGTCATTGGTTTCTTTGCAGTGTATGTACTATTGTCTAACATTGAAATGTCCAGTTAATGATGCTGTTTATTAACTTTGATTCTTACCCTTCCCTCAATAGTGTAACGGGTCTGGCTATTTTATTCGCCGAGATAAGGAATAGATGGACAAAGAAGACTTTGAGAGTGATGATATTCATTGCCAATGGTCTGGCCAGAGGATTCGTTTATATATTAATTGGTTGTATTGATATCCCAATTCCATTCAAGTTCTGGAAGGTCACCGCAATGCACGTCGGTGTAGGAATTATTGGTTGTGGTGTATTGTCAATCATTACATTCCTGGTGTCATGGAGAAGAAAGAGACAGAGAAAGAATAAGGACATTGCCACTGCACAGGACAAGACCAAGAAGACTCAACTTTACGATCTGTTTGAGCGTGAAGATTCGTTGAAGGAGCAAATTACCAAGGATGGCAATGAGAAGGATTTGGAGATGCAGCCAGTCCAAGAGGCATAGTTAGACAGACCCTTTCCTCTCCTCAATTCATTACCATGTTGCAAGGTTAAGTTCCTCTGCAGTCTCCCTATATAAATATATTATTATTATTATTTAATCAATCCAAGATTCCATTTATTTGATCATTTATTCCTTCCCTTGGTAACATGGATCAGGGTAGGTACCAGTATAATTGCTAGCAGTATCAGTATAACTACAATAATTAATATCGTTATCTATTATTACATTTGTTAGTACACCTCTCCCTTATTATGATTGCTTTTTGATTGAATAATTGAGTAATTGATTGTGTTCTTACCTTTGCATTCCTCATGCACATCCTCCTCTTGATATCCTTTGTCTGCTTGGTGAAGTTCTTGGCATTGTGGTCCATAACCTCTGACTTCTCTTGGAGATCAGATACCTTGTGTTGGTTATCAATCATACCTCCAATGGCACTATGCATAATTCCAGTTACTTCATTGACCTGTTGTTGAGTCTTTACGACTTTATCGCCATCTCTATATTTATCAATCGGTCAAAGCTTCTATGTTAGAATCATTATAATATCTATCCTTCCTGTTTATTATTAATATACCTACGCTAGAACCATTCTTTGTTACTTCTGATCCTATAATAAATAAATAAATAAATAAATAAATAAATAAATAAATAAATAAATAAAGAGTTGTATTTGTATGTTATGGTGTTGGTATATCAATGACAAGTTGATATCATTGGCAATGGGAAATGTAGTCTGGACAAGTTCATCTCCACTACACTCGTCAGTTCATTATCTGATAACATTGTCATTGAACTCCAATGGACCATTCGCTTTTGAGTCTCTATTTGAGGAAGGATGCCAATAACTAAGCAATGTGTGTGTGTCATTATAAGTGTGAGAGTGAATCGATATTCAATCTTGTGTGTGTGTAGGATAAGTACTACACATTGAGGTCGTCCAACCAACCCAGCTTGTTCTCTGAACATAAACACACCATTACTCTAATCGCATGTGGCTGCCTGGGTGTGCTCACACTTCCACCTCTTCTTTCCAACAACAAACACTCCTCCTTCCCTCAAATGAGTTACATTATCTCTTTCAATTTGCGCTCAATTTAAAATGATCTTCATGATCATCGTTTAATCTCCTGAATCATTTCATTTCATTCTCATACACATAATAATAATAATAACTTTAATATATATATATATATATATTTGTAATAATCTTATCCACTACTCAATCACTGTACAGATAGATAGAAAGAGGAAGGATGAAGGCGTTTCAAAAGTTGATGGGCAGCAGCACCAAGTCACATAAGATTGGTGGCTATCAACTTAATGTAGTCAAACAGATTGCAGAGGGTGGCTTCTCTTATGTCTATCTGGTAAAGGATGCAAACACTGGCAAACAGTTTGCTCTCAAACGTATATTGGTCAGAGACAATGAGGAGTTGGCCAATGTCAAGCACGAGATTGATATAATGCAGTTGGTCAAACATCATAAGAACATCGTCAAGTTCATCGATTACAATCATTCAAAGTCAACAAACGAAGTGTTCATCCTAATGGAGTTATGTTCAGGTTTGTCATCGTCTCGTCGAATGATTGATTGATCGATATGGACTAACATGCATTACATCGTTGATGTAGGAGGTCACTTGGTCGATCTGATGATGAAGAGACAACAGAATAGGTTCACAGAGGTGGAGGTGTTGGGCATATTCTCTGATGTGTGCGAGTCTGTTGCAGCGATGCACTCACTTAATCCGCCGATAATACATCGTGACTTGAAGGTTGAGAATGTGTTGCTGGACGAGGACACAGGACTGTACAAACTATGCGACTTTGGAAGTGCAATTCAAGAGGTTGTACATCTTAACAACAAGACAGATATACAGAATGCAGAGGACGACATATCCAAGCACACCACCATCCAGTACCGCCCGCCCGAGATGGTCGACTTGTACCGCGCCAAGGTGCTGGACGAGAAGGTGGACATCTGGGCGCTCGGTTGTCTGCTCTACAAGCTGCTCTACTACACTACGCCGTTTGAGGAGGCTGGCTCACTTGGTATCATTAATGGAAACTACATCATTCCGCCATCAAACTACTCAAACGAGTTGGTGGCACTCATTCGATACATGTTGCATCCAGAGGCTGCGTCACGACCAGACATCTACTACATCACCAACGAGGTGTGCAGGATGCGCGGTGTGTCGCCACTGTTCCCAGGAAAGGGTCAATACAGCAACAATCCCTACATGTCATCAACATCGCCAACATTGGCTACATCAAAGGGAAGCTCCGAGGCACTCGGAGGGTCGTCCAAGCTAGCCACCTCTATCGGACCCACAGGTCTTTCTACGTCGGGTGCGCCACAACAAAGACCAAAGCCTCTTCCTCACACACCTCAGCAGGCTGTTGTCCCTCAATCAGCTCCAGCGCCAACCCAACAACAGACATCACCTCAACAGACAAATGATGGATTCGAACAGTTTGATAATGAACCATGGCCACAGCAACAACACCAACCATCTGCACAGGTGATAAAGAGAAGACATCAACACCAACAGGTGGCCAATATCAACACACAGACGGCATCGTACTCACCAGCAGTGTACAGTAGCAGTCCAGGCGGCATCAACACCACCAATGCCCCGCCAAGTCTAAACATTGACCCGCAGATAGTCGATGAATTGGCCACGATGATCTCGATCGCAACAAGCTCAGATCCAATCGTTGACCTGGAGGCATTTGCCCGCACCAAGGAGATAGCAGAGACATTGTTGCCCGGAGGAAAGGGTGTGATGAAGGAGCTGGTCAAGCGGCCACTGCGAGAGCCAGTCGTCTGTCTCAAGTCCCTCATGGTGGTACACAAGCTCATGATCGAGTCGACTCAATCATTCAAGAACGATGCATACGACATGAAGGACCTGTTCAACAACCTCTATCTAGGATGGTCCAAACAAAAGGAGAAGTGTAAGTTCGTCATGGTCGTGGCATGGGCGTGGCATGGACCTGGATTTGTCAACTAACCATTAATTCCATCTTAGTGCTACTTGTAAGCGACTACCTTTCGTACTACTCATTGCTTATACATAAGCTTGTGTTGTTCCATAACAAGTACTACTTGGTCGATGGAATGTTCAGCTTTGACGAGAGTAAATGGACGTTGCCAGACTCTACCGACTCGATCAATCATCCAATAAGGTATGCAATATGTGTTAGTTATCATTCGTTCCAATTGACTAACACATCATCAATCAATAGTGTATCATGTATAAACAACTTGGCATCGATATTGGATCAGGTGTTACAGACTCAACAATCAATATCGGAGGTGGCAATGTCGACGACGTCATTGGCATTCATACCTTTGAGCCTCTTGCAGCAGTGTGTAAACATACTGAACAGTGTATCATTCTCAATCTATTGCTTCATAAGTGGAGCGATATCAACGTTGCTCCAACTGCCAGACGCTGAAAAGTTGGCGCCCGTCATTGCCAAGTTCCAAACGATCTTCCAAACACTCAAAGACCAATACAGCAGACTGAGCGCACTACCACCATTCGCCACCGAAGTCTTCTTCCCAACGCTGCCCAAGAATCCTCCAAACTATCTACAAACACTCCAAGCACATCAATCAAACAATCAACAACAGCAGGTGCATCATCAGCAGCAGCACGTGTCCACACACCACCGCACTACCAGTACTAGCAGCAACAACCCATTTGACACACCAACGATGGAGCCCTCATTCAATCCATTCGCCACATCGGCTTCAGATCCATTCAATGATGTCTTTGCAATGTCGCCATCGCCTCATCAATCACCAAGAGTTGGCTACCCACAAGTACAACAGGTGCCCATACTCTCCACCAACTCGCCCAGCTTGCCACAGTCGCCAGTGTCACAGCGAAGGGCTCTTGGTACCAGTAACTTCCAGCACTCAGTGTCGATGGATGATGCGCGTCTGTACTCCAACGTCATGACGCCACCCTCTGTATCACCGCCCATGTCACCAGCACTCAACCGATCAGGCTACAACATCAACAACTCATTCGATCAGATGAGTATCAGCAGCAACACCACCAACCCATTCAGTCCCAGTCCTTCACTTTCACCACATATCATGCCATCACAGCCACTGCCGCCACAGCACAAGCTCCAACACAGCTCGAGCCAGAGCAGCATCGGCCAACACTATAGCCCGACATTTACAAGCAACAATCCTTTTGATGCGACACCTCAGCAACAACAACAGCAACAGCAGCACTCATTGCCACACACGCCAAAGATGGTCCCAACTACTGGCAACAATCTGATGGTCCCGCCTACAGTGGGCAATATGCGCGGACACAGAAGATCTCAAAGTACAGCGGACGAACTGCGTCGACGCCAACAGTTACAGCAACAGATCGATCAGAGCAAAGAGTTTATGCAGAATCAGAGAAGACAGAACAATCAGCGAGCAACACTAAGCACATCCATCAACTTTGAAGTGCAGCAACAGCCACGCGAGGTGTCTCTTGGCGAGCACTACCAGGACGACTTTGATGACGATGACTTTGGCGATGAGTCCGAGACCTCGTCCATCATGTCTACATCATCATCCAGCAAGAAGAAGTAGTAGTAAAATGGTCCATTATTATCTGTTTGATACTACTATTATTATCTGTTTGATTGTACGATTGATTTTTTGCAGATGGAAGGACACTTCTGATCAAAATATCTTGGGTTTGGGGGTCCACGAGGACCATCATGATCGCAATACCAGGCCTCAATTGCAACAATATCCATTCGCTCATTCAATCACTTCTACACATACATATACATATATAATGACTTATACAAGAGTGTTCAGTATTGTTGCCTTGATTACTGTGGCCTTGGTATGTGCTGCCGCACAACCATCACTCCAGGTACCACGTTGCGAAGTTGGCTCAACAATGGCTACAGACTTCTTCTTGGACGATGGCTCAGCACCAGCCATTCAACAGACTGCAGTCAATGTTTGCTACGATGACGAGTACATCTACTTGAAGCCAATGTGCACTGATAACGACATCATGTCACCATTCACCGAGTGCAACCAAGACCTCTTCCAATCAGACGTGTTTGAGGTGTTTATCTCGGAAGGTTTCAACCAGCCCACGAACTACCTCGAAGTAGAGCTGTCGCCCTACGGCGTGCTGTTCGTCTCCAATGTCGCCAACACAGACAATGACTGCTCGGGAATCACCGACACGCTGATCGACTGTGGGGCCAGTGGCATCCAGTACAACTCGACTGCAACACCCACTGGCTGGCTCGGCTACCTGGCCCTGCCATTCAGCACGATTCAGAATGCCACGTACGCCGCCAGTGCCGTGAGACCCGACTCGTACGGCACACAATTCCGCATGAACATGTATCGCATTGACACACCATCCCAAACCTACGTCAAAGAGTACAGTTGCTGGAATCCAACAGACAAGTCACCTGCCTGTTTCCACGTGCCATCAACATTTGGATACATCACATTGGTCTGATCTAATACAATCTGATCTGATCAAATCTGATTAAATATACAAGTCACATGTCATTGAATGATCATTCTTCGCTACATTATATGCAAATGCTAACATCTATCATAAACTCACACACACTCACAAATTGACGATCACCATCAGATGACATTCATTCATTGGAACACACCAGGGTCAGTCAGTGCGTGTGTGAATGGAACTTGCCCTCTGAGACTCAATCTCCACTTCGTTGTCCCGACAAACACACACTCACTGACACAAGCACACACAAATTCAATTCAATTCACACAATGGTTGGACTAAACCACACTTTATCTTTAAAAGGGAACATCTCAACCATCTATGAGGGGTAATTCCTTAGTTCACAATTAACTACAACAAGGCTATTCAATTAATTCAAGGGTGGTAGGTCTAGTCCTGTGCAATCTTCAAGTTTATTTGTTCTCTCTGTGTGTGTATGTAACGCTTTCTGTCATGGGTGGTTGGGTGGGTGTAGTAGTACTCAGCAGGATAGGATAGGATAGGATACTTAAGTATCCTATCTAGTTTTGTAGTAAATGTGGTTGGAATGGATGGATGGATGGATGGACGACTAGTCGTGTTCCATTCACTAAACTAAACTAGTTAGTAGTAGTAGTGGTATACATTAATTCTTATTATATGTTTATATCAAACATATATTTATATCATCTTAATTAATCAATTCAATCAAATAACTTGGGGATATTAATATCCATTCGTAGGTAGAAAGAGATCTAAAAGTCAACACTTCATACCTTCAGCCAGTCAGCCATTCATTTGTCCAAACACAATGTACTTCAAATTCATTCCTTTGCGCTCTCCTCTCTTTTACTCAAAGTTTAATGTACACATACAAAGAGAGAGATAGAGATAGGAATGGTGGTTGTTATATTTACAGCATCATGTATTCAATAACAACATCAATCAATCACTTCAATAGTAGTTAACTCCCTGTTATAGTTATGACTTGTCACATGACCAGATAAAGTGTGTATGCGAGAAAGACAGACAGACAGACAGTGTGCGTCGGTTCACACACACATTCGACAATCACCACCAAACAAACAATCCAACTACCATCATTATTCACTCCCCTACACTCATGTCTCGCTATCTCTCATTATTGATGAGAGAGAACTAGTGAGTGTGTTTGCTCAAGTGAACTCACACAGATCATGGATTGATTGATTGACTGATGGATGGATTGACTGAGGGTGATGGTTTACCTACCTTTAAGTGTAGAGTTAGAACAAACAAACAATCAATCAAACATATATATATATGTGATAGGATATACAAGGGTGATATGTCCATCCAACATCACACGACACGACAATCCATCCATCATAATAGTTACATTCCAAACAGAAAGAGTGTGTTTGTGAGTGTGTAAGAGAGATAGACGAGCAAGCAGTGTTGGTTGGTTGGTTGGACATTGGCATTGAGTCTCGTTCACGACAACTACACACCAATCAATCAAGTCATTCATTCACCATCAATCAATAACTCTCTGTTTTTTCTTATCCCTATTACTTGATCGACAACTCATTCATTCATTCATTCAATCATTCTACTTGTACATTATCTCTCTCTCTCTCAAACCATCGACAACAACAACTCCAAATTACTTACATTGGAAAGTTAGATACACAGCCAGCCAGCAAGCCATCCATCCAGCCAACCAGCGCAGTAAAGAAATTCAATCAATTGACAGACAACAACAATGAGCGAGGTAATGCAGGGAATGACGGGTGGAAACAGCCCTGCAATGCAAAAGACTCCAAGGAAAGAGAAGAAACAACGAATTCAACATGTTGGATCGTATGAAGTAGGCAAAACACTTGGCAATGGTAGCTTTGGTAAGGTCAAGCTTGGAACTCATATATTCACAAAGGAAAAGGTAAGTGGAGGGAGGTATGGGACAACGCCAGGCGGTCCTGGAACTGGTCCATGCTTACTCACTCACTCACTAAAACTCGCCGCAATCACCTTCATTCAGGTGGCCATCAAGTTCATCAAAGAGAACAAACTCTCGGTAAAGCAGCGCGAGACATGCATGCGAGAGATTGAGATCATGCGATTGCTAGACCATCCAAATATTGTCAAGCTGCTCGAGGTGATTGAGAAGAAGGACGATAGTCTGACATTCTTGGTCGTCGAGTATGTGTCTGGCGGCGAGCTGTTCGACTACATCGTGGCCAGAGAGTACATCAAGGAGAAGGAGGCACGCAAGTTCTTCAGACAGATCGTGTCGGCCATCGAATACTGCCACTCCAATCTCGTGGTGCACAGAGATCTCAAGCCAGAGAACCTGCTGCTGGACGCCAATGGCAACATCAAGATCACCGACTTTGGTCTGAGCAATTCAATACTGCCGGGCAAGCTGATGGACAGCTTTTGCGGCTCTCCATTGTATGCCGCGCCAGAGATCCTTAAAGCGGAGAAGTATCTAGGTCCGCCCGCAGACATATGGAGTCTAGGTGTAATATTATACGCTGTGCTCTGTGGCAGTCTTCCATGGGAAGGTGAGTCACAAGCCGAGATCAGCTATCACAGTGTCCATGGCAAATATGTTGATCCTCCACATGTATCCAAAGAGGCCGTTCATATCATCCGAAGAATGATAAGAGTTAACCCAAAGGAGAGGGCTACGATCGAGGAGCTAAAGAATCACCCTTGGACGAATATGGAGTATAATGAGCCTCCACAATCCTATCTTCCAATAAGAGAGCCAGTCTATGAGATCAAGGAGGAGTTGCTGGCTCAGCTCATGTCACTTGGCTTTTCCAACACTCAGGAGACAAGAGACCTGATCTTGGGTAATGTCCAATGTCGTCTCACATGCATCTACCATCTGTTACTGGACAAGCAAGTTCAAAAGGAAATGGAGGACATCAAGAAGAACATGTTAAAGAATCAGAATAAGGAAGATGTATGTATCCTTCACTCAATCATTCATCCTCATTCACATGCTTACTCACTCACTGAATCAATCAATCGAACAGAATGCATCTAAGAAGTCATTAAAGACAACATTGTCATTGGCATCAATCCCTGAGGATGAAGCTGGACATCAGAATCGCGCATATAGCTCGGGCACTCCAAGCCCAGGCACACCAAGTCCACGCGTACCTCGTCGCAAGGAGGATGGCATGAGTTCACCATCCAGACGCAGACAGTCAACACCAAAGCACTTCTCACCAATGGAGATTGACAGCGAGAACAAGTTCCCCAAGTACACACCATTGCCCTCATCACTGTCGGCACCAGCCAATGCACAGCCAACATTTGGCATTCAGGGCAACTTTGACCCATCCATGCAGCGACCACACTTGCAACTGCCATCGGTGCCACCTCCCACATCAGTGCAGCACCTGCCCACAGGCTATGGAGCCAGAAGGAGATACTCTATTCAGGGTCCAACTCTGCGCGAGGAGATGGAAGCCGAGATACTTCACAACACACAGCCGCACATGCCTGTTGCCAAGCACATTGACCAGAGACAACAGATCATTTACAATCAGATGCTGCAGCAACAACAACTGCAACAGGAGCCAGTGGTTCAGGCGCCCAGGACCAACAGAAGGATGAGTCTCGACTCGAGGATGCTGATAGACAGCGAGGACGGACCCATGGAGAAGAATGAGAACTTGGCCAGTCCTCGCTCGGCCAAGGGTATCTTCAAGTCATCGACGACGACGACCAAGTCGCCCGAGAAGACTGTGGAGGAGGTCAAGCGCTGTCTGGAGGAGACCAACCTGTTCACGAAGAAGAAGGGACCCTACATCTTCCTCTGCTTTGATGATGAGAACTCTGTCAAGTTCCAGATTGAGATTGTCAAGATCATGCATTTGAACCTGACAGGTGTACAACTCAAGCGTATCAGTGGAGATACATGGAAGTACAAAGAAGTTTGTACTCATCTCGTGGAATCAATCCATATTTAAAATATCATTCAAATCCTTTGCAACATTAATAAACACTCGAGTGATATATATCGTCATGATGTTACATCAGATCCAACCTTGTTGGAACTAACATGGTTGGATCTCATAAATTAATGAGTTACCATGGATTCAGAATTGAATGCGAGTTTGTTGACCACTCGCTCATTCATTCTTCGGTGTGGTTGTTCCGCCAACACGTGGCAACACACTACCGAATGAAGGTTGACCTTTTGTCCAAAAGGGTAGAGAGTAGGCCCAATGGATCTGTTTGAGCCAAGTCGAGACAAAGTATATCCAAGCCATTCTACACAATTTGGAAGTATATAAGGATTACAACTTTAACATCCTGGTATCCAAATATATTTATTTTATTAATATTTATAAATAATGTCCAAACTAATAATTATATTAATATTTGTATTTGTTGCCAGTTGTTATGGAGAGGATTATTATTCCATTCGTAAATCTGGTGACTCTTATGAAGTTAGAAAGTTGAATGATCTCGGTGACTATGCCAAAGTACAAGATCTGTCATTCTCCAATGACTTCTTCAAATCTTCAATGATTGTAGGCTCTGAATGCATTGTCCTAGGCACCCAACAAGATACTCAACTCTCTGTATCCCACATCTACCGCATGTTGCCCATCTACAGAAAGTCAAGTGAAGGAAACTCCTACATCTTCTTTGAGTCCAAGGATGATGAGTATGTCTGCCTCACTCACAAGACGATACCATGGTATACTTACATTCATTCATTCATTCAAACATAGTGATTACTACTATACTCGTGTGAATGAGGCTGGCCCATCGACCAAGACACGCAAGGTCAACATTCCATTCTTTGGTTACCCTATGATGGATAGAGCATGGTTGGAGAACAAGTTGTACAAGACTGCTGCACCACACAAGGCAATCTCTCAGGTGATGATGAGGGATTCAAAGATTGATGTAAAGGCTGTATATGTTAGTCTTCAAGATCCAATTACATCGTGTCCAGCAGTGACTGAGCAATGTTCAGATGGCAAGGTGATCACTTACAAGAGGGATGATAATCGTTGTCTCCACTTTGACTCATGTGTCACACCGGAGAGATGCTCCTACTACACTCCAAAATGTTTCAGTGGCTACAAGTTAATATCGGTGCCATCACCAAGACGTGGATGTCCACGTTTCATTTGTGATGCTGAATTCCTGTCGGAGACTGGTCCATCAGTCTAATCCTGTTCCAATCATAAACCTATTTATTTATTGAATCCAAAGATGTATGATTGGTTAATGGAGGTGGGGAGTGGGGGTTACGGAGATGGAATAGTTCCAACTCCTTTACAAAAATTGTTACGAGATATCAGAGTAGTGATTGACTTCATTGACAAAACACTTTACTCCAAACCCGCCAAAATGATCATTTATCGTTATTTACCATTTTATTTACAAGTTGTATTTATGGTTCAACATTGGCGCCAAATCTGATGAGTGACTGGACCAATCAAACGTTCAACCTAGCCAAGGTCCAACCTACATCTCTTCTTCATCAACAACATACTCATCATCGACATCAACAGCATTGACTGTGCGATTGGATGATCGGTTGAAATGTCTGAATAGGGCAGCATTGAAATCCTCGTTGTTCTCATCTTGAATCAGGTGACCAGCAGTCTTGAACTGAACAAACTCGATTGGTGATAGGTGTTGTTGAAGGTAGAATGAGTTTGTCGTCTTTACCATACGATCTTCATTGCCACATAATATCAGAATGGGAACACGCGAATCCTTGATCGAACGAAGTCTATGCTCTGATACACTATGTGTGAAGATCGATCTGATGTGACCCATGACTCCAATGGGATCAGGTCGTCTGATCAAAGACTCCTCGATGAACTCCTCGACCAACAGATCGTAGTTTGTCTTGTTGTTGTCATGACTGCCCTGTACCTTTGCGTTCAAAAACTCTGGCGAGTATAACAAAGGCTGCAAGGCTCTTCCCCTCGCCTCATCACTCAAACTCGCGAATACTCTAAGCATTCCAAACATTCCACTTGTCTAAATGATTGAGTGATGGGTGAGTGGGATAGTTCCAGTGACCGACTGATTGAGTGAATGAGTGACATTACATACAGGTGGTGCGGCTCCGGCATGTGTAACAGCAAGACTTAGTGTGTGTAGTCGATGTGGATAGGTGGAGGCCAGTTCCAAACTGATCATGCCACCCATTGATAGACCAACGATGTGTGCTTTGTCCCAACCGAGATGATCCATCAACTCAATGGCATCCAACGCCATTGCCGATGTAGTATAGTTTCCAAATGGTGTATCACTGTTTCCAACGCCTCTATTATCAAACACACACACCTGATACTGATCACTGTGCTGTTTGAAATAGGCTACCTGGTGTTTCCATCTCCGATGAGTTGACATGAAACCTAATGTCGTTGGTCGGTTAGTCAGTCAATCGGGCATTCAATATAAGTTGATGACATTCATACATACCCATTATGAACAACACTTTGTTTGGACCATTGCCATGAAGTTGGTAATACATCCTGAATGCATTTCCTCTAGTTTGTGATAGACGTACATATCCTTCCTTAAATGATTGACTAGTCATCTTTGAACTTGATATATATCTATGTTTGATTGTTTGATTGATTGAAAGTGCAAATGAATGATTGTAATGTAATGTAGGGTAGTGCACTAGAGGGGTGAGTGTAAAGTGATCATATCATTGTCGGGCTGATCATCTAACCCCACTCATTCACAACTAATATATCTTGGATGGATTGGTTTGGATATGTACTATAGTTTATTGCTTTATGATGGAGAGGAAGTATTCCAGGTCTAGTGGATCACTCACTCAATCAATCGATCAATCCATCAATTGATCAATCGATCATTTAAGCTGAAGAGGGAGGTGGAGCATTCTTCTTGAGGTATTGAGAGAGGTATGATGCATAGTTGTCATCGCCAACTGGGTTGGTCTGTGCAACGGATACATCCCAGAGCATGACACCACCAAAGCTTGGATTGGTAAGGTATGGCTGCAACTTTTGTACTGCCTCATTGCCATTCATATATCCGCTTCCGGCGGCTGATGGTCCTGCGGGCAGACCGATCATCAACTTAGTGCCGTTGGCCGATGCGGCCCAGCTTGCCCATGTGTCATAGTTGGACGAGCCACCAGATAGGTCGCAGTAGTTGTTGTAGAACTGCACGTTGACAAAGTCAAAGAGGCCGGTGCCGAGTGCGGTTCCGACACCTGGTCCAAGGTATGCGTCGGGGTACGGGCACTGGGGTGCGCCCGAGATGTAGTAGGTCTTGTTGGCGCCAGCAAAGTACTGCTTCTTGAGAGTGGTCACGAACAGGTCGTAGTATTGGCCGCCACCGCCTTCGATATCCAGGTCAATGCCGTCGAGAATGGCGTCGCCGAATGGGCGGGGGTATCCAGCGTCACCGCCGAGGAACATGTTCCAGAGTGTGGTGGCAAAGGTCTCGGCCTGCTGGGCCGACGAGAATCCGTAGGCACCAACAGCGCCTCCGATGGACAGTGTGACAATCTTGCCCTTGGACTGGCAGTACTTGACGTCCTCACCCATCTCTGGGCACTCCATTAGCAAGGGGTACTGAGAGAATGTGTTTGGACACAAGTTTGCCAAGTTCACCTCTGGCAACTCGACACCATTGAACGTCTCTCCACTAAAGAAGATGTCCAAGAATGATAGAATGAATACATCATAAGTAGTGTCATTACAGTAGTAGCTCTATAATTGATTGATTGTGATGAGTGAACATGAGTGATTGTGTGTTGTGTTGAGGAGTACTTACCAACATCTGTTGTCCACCATTGGCAGCATCTTGACCAAAGTAGGCAACGAGGTTATCATGTGCCTCAATGTTGAATGCAGTTGCCAAAGAGAGAAGGCAAAGGAATGCAACAAGTGTGTATTTCATTGTTCTTTGTTATAAGTATGTTTGAATGATTGATTGAATGAATGAATGGAATGAGGCCTTAACTTACTACTTTATCATGTTCAAGAATATGTTGGTAGGTAGGTACCGTGTAGAGAACCATCAAACAATGCCATCCCATCAAAGCCCGTGAATGTTTCAAATATCTTGGCATTGGGTCAATTTGCGCGAGTCCTGCAAAGCTGGAATCCCCATGTGCCACACTTTCAAAATAATCTTTGCATTGTTGTGTTTATCACACAAAAATCAAACACTGTTAGAGGATGCGTGTGTTGCGGCACATTCGTCGGACATTAGTCCAAGCCATCCTCAATCCAACTGTTACATGACGACACCCTCATAAACAATATCACGTCATAGATAATACTCACTTCACTTCTTTGTATAACTACCATCTATATTATCTATTTATTTATCTATTTATTTATTTATTTATTTATTTCATTCATTCAATCATTCAATCATTATTATTTGTATATTTACTTAAAGAACAGTCAACCATGATGATTGATTATGACAATCTAATCGATCAGATTAGAGATCCACTGACTTCTATATTGGTGGATTGTAGAGGTATTGGCAACTTGATTGCTCAAGAGGAATCATTCCAACCAGAGTTTGAAAAGGTGTTGCGTGACACCAACGTCCTCTTTGACACCTTCAACAACTTCCTTCAAACACATGTTAATCCCGACGGTTCAGTTCGTCTAACTCAACATCAATATCAATATCATCAACAACAATATGGTCAACAACAAAGTCAACAACAACAGCAACAGACCAAACAGAAACATCTATTCTTCCAAGCATTGATATCAAGTTGTATAACATTTAGGACTGCTCTTGGTACTTTGCTCAAGACTGTAAGGTCGGTCATTGGTCTGAATGTCAAGTCCGGTGGAAACAGATCACTCTACGCACTGCTTCGTTACAAGTTGCAAGAGAACTTGATGGCAATGATCGATGCCACACGCACCCTAATGCGTTCATGCAAGGTCCAACAGCAACAAGACTCAACGATGATGCCCGCCAACACGACTATCGATATCGAATTGATCACAAGCACTTCATCGGGATTCTTGATGCAGATGAAGGCTTTGACCGAGGCTACAACCGATGGATCATTGTCAAACTATGACTTTGACCTTATGTCCAATCAGTATTCACACTCTGCTGATGGTGTAACATCGTTGATGCGTGAGTGTCGTGTCGAGGCCATCTCTGGAGACATTGCCATCATAGAACAGTGCATCGCCGAGATCAAACAGCACGCATCCTTCATACGTCTGTCCAGCTTTACCAGTCCCGAGCATGGAGGCTTCGCACTGGACACCAATGCCTTGCTTCGTACCAACGTCGATCTGGAGCAGTGTATATACAAGCTGGTCGGCTCAATCAAGCAGGCCATTGCAGTGATCAATCAGAATCCAATTATGGGTGGAGCCTCCGAGCAACCCCTCGTCACATACGTGCCAACAGTCGACTTGGATGAGGATGAGTTGCATCACGCCTCGTCAATGTTGGACGTGAGCAGCAGCAGCAGCGATGAAGAAGAGGATGCACTTGAGGAGGATGATGTGGTGGAGCAGGAGGACCATGTCGAGCAAGAGAGCGAGGATGTCATTGCCGTGCAGCCATTCGTTCGATCACCGAGCATGGTTGAGATTGGAAGTATGAAGTCTAGACATCATCACGGTCCAGGTGTGCCGGCGATATCCCAGCCCCAACACGTGGCGCCTGCAGTCACAGCCACACCAGCCCCAATTGTCCAAGATGTGCCACAACCAAGACATCTTGGTTGTGACTTGCCTAGGATCGTTCTCACAGAGGACTCTGACGATGAGGACGCGCCAATGATCTGGAGTATCCCAATCGCTGCAGTGTCACCAGATCCATTCAAGGTGTCTGAACATCAACAGCAACAATTATCATCATCGCCATCCCTTGGTGCACCTGTAGCGGCCGAGTCTGGCCGCTCCCACTCACTCTCATCAAACACATCTTCCTCATCAGCATCAGCTTCATCAACTGCTCCAACAAAGGTATATAACAGCAAGGACTACGATATCAAGGTATTGCAGCAACAACAGCAACAGCAAGTACCAGTGAAGGGAAAGAAGGGTGCTGTTGCTCCACCAGCTGCTCCAGCAGTTGCAGGAGGCACGGGTCAATTGGGCACAGGCACAGGCACAGGCAGCTCCAAGTCTGGCGGCTGGACAATCAAGAACCCATTCAAACGTGGAGGAAAGACACGCGAGACTATCCTGCCAGAGACTGGCAAGGTGTTTGGCGAAGCCAACACAAAGGACACTACTGTTGTTGCACCTCCAGCATCAGGCGCCGAGCAGAAGAAGGCACAGCCAACAGGCACTGTGTCCGCTGTACCACAGCTCAGCAATCCAGCGTCGACATCATCCTCGCCAAGTCTGGCGTCGTCCAAGTGGGTATCCCCAATGCCTCCATCACGTTCAATGCTGAATCTACTCTACACACAGGATGAGTCGGCTGCTGAGGACGACATTCCAGACATTGTTGGCGATGGCTTTGAAGATGACCTGCTCTCTGAGAACTTTAACCACGACTACTTTGATACACCTGTTGGCCTCAGAGGATCCACACAGGATCCAAGCGTCCAACTCTTTGAACCAGCCAAGGACTTCACCATCGAAGAGATTGGCACCAAGTCCAAGCGATACAGTGATACACCCTTCATTGGATTGGATCACAACGAGCGACATATTGCTCACTACAAGCAATACTTCTATCAAAAAGGTATGTTTGATTGATCGTTTGGTTGATTGATTGAGCAGGAACAATGACTAACCTTGAATATATTATTGTTTAGAACACTTTAACTTTGTGTGTAAGATACCAGAGTTGGGAGGACAGGTTATCATCTCGGCGTTGAAGCAACCAGAGACGACACACAAGAAGCATCGTGTGTTGATTAGGACAAAGAATGGTGTCGAGAAGATATTGGTCTACAGCAAGAACACAAGAGAGAGCAGTCTGATCAAGTCCCTCCAAATCTATCTCTCGCCAATCGTCAATCTCTCCTCATCAGTATTCAAATCAATCAAGACCGATAAGATTGATTCACATCTTGCAGAGTTTGAGACCTTTGATGTAAGTACATCCACCATATTTACATGTCCAACTTATACTCATTCATTCCTTATCTTTCTTTAGTTGACCAACAAGTACCATTTCTTTGTGTTCTTCTGTGGAGATGGACAGAGCACTGAGAGGGAGATGTTGAACAATGAGAGAGCAAGCCGTGAGTTTGCCGAGTTCTACACATTCCTCGGCAAGAGATTCCAAACGAAGAATTGGAAGAGATATAGTGGTGGATTGGACACCACTGACAACCAGGATGGAGAGGTAGCTGTCTACGCCCAGCTACAGGGTATCCAAATAGTGTTCCATGTTTCAAGCTTGATTCCATCTCAACGACGTATGAGATTGTTGTCCAACAACACCTGTGTCCTTATCTTCCACGAGGGCAAGACCAAGATCAATCCCTCTACATTCACATCACCAAAGAACAGTAAGTCCATACCATATTCCATGATCATCAATCAATATTGCAGAACACTAACCATTGTTTGATCATTATAGAAATATTGTTCGAGGTAAAGAAGGTCAAGGTGGATGATGGATCAAGTATCCATTACAAGTTTGGAGTGTCATCCAACAGTTTGATCGAACCATTTGGTCCAATGATCACAGATCCACCCATTTACCGTCAGGACAACACATTTAGAAATCTGTTGTTAACCAAATGTATGTTAAGTTGGTTGACTCGAGGAAGGACCATGTTTGGCGCATAAACTAACACGTTCATCCCCATCTCATTCACAGTGATCAATGCAGAGAACTCTGCATATTCCACCCAACAACTAACTCAAGACATTGTTAAGCATAGACAACAGAAGTTAGATGATATTATTGCATGGGTAAAGTCATAACTTAACCAACCCAGGCCAACGAATAAACATTCCAGTGGAGGACCGCATCCAGGACAGTAACCTAGACGGGTGCCACACAATGATCTTTATTCAGTCTTGAGTGAATCTGGATGATGATGCTTGTCGTCTAAAGGTGCGATGATACTTCCAGTTTCGATCTGAGGAGTTGGAGGAGGTGGAGGATTGGCTGGTTCGCCACTTCCAGAAGCAGCATGTTGTTGATTGGACATTGATATTGATTGTTGTTGAAGAGGCTGTTGGTCATGACTACGCTCAACAGATGTACTCAAAGGATTGTAATCTGTTGGGAACATCTCTGGCAGTCTCAAATTGAATGCTCTGAACTTGCCTACATTATTAAGATGTTCATTCTCTAGACGGAAGACTGAAAGGATGGATGATGTTAGAAAGGGCAGCAATGCACTTGAGTGATCATCAGGATTACACTTACAATTCCATTGGAATCTCCTTGTGACCTCTAACAATCCTGTAATTAGAACTATTAACTCCTTCTCCCTTGATGAGTAAGCTTCAAAGGAGAGGTTGACTGCCCATGATGCTCTGAGGACAATGTTGGACACAATGGCAAAGTAGTAGACACCTCTGTGAGAGTAAACCAACTTGTCACGAAGCATGAAATTCCTACTGTCTCGATGTAGGACATCCCAGTCCATTATGAAATCCCAGGAGCATCCATATAGTGAACTAACACATAACAAGAGGATCCATACTGCTATCAACGGGATATATGCTCCACCCTCTAAAGAGTGAGATTGTTAGTATGATTGATTGTTTGGGTAGTCTGGTTGGGGAAACATACTTGATAGTCCAGAATGAGCGATTGCTGATGCTGTTGTGGCTGTGATGGTGGCACAGTACTTTCCAAAGTTGAGCATATGTATACGTTGTTTGGAATCTCGATAACGACGTAGTGATTGAAGTGCACGAATGAGTGGCGGTATGGAGATGAGGATTGGACGAATATAAGGATTGATTGACCAACATGTGTTGTTTTGGTACCAAAAGTCATGAACAAAGTAACATAGAGTGTACTCAAAGTCACTGAGTACCAATGCCAATGATGTGAACTGATCACCAAGGAAGAAGTCCTTGAACTTGACTGCCAAGAATGGTGCACATAACATTCTTCCAAAAGTGTGAATGAGCCAATGTCTAACATGTTGAGGTTATTCATTAGTATGAGCTCTGAGGTGGAGGCAAGGGAGGATACATACCTGCTTGATCTCTTGAATATATTGAATGGACAGAATAGATAGAGTAGTGCACTGACAAAGAGTAGGAATGGGAATATGATTGGAACACGTCCGCTGACATGTGTACCAAGGTATACATATAAATACAATGCAACATTCCAAAGGAATGTTAAAGCGCTAGCGAGCTAATAAATTATTGATTAATTAGTTTGACTGATTGAGTCAGGGAGTGGATATACATACTCGGAGAATATGTTGGTAGTTGGTCTCTGTTCTAGGATCCCACTCCAAGATAAGTATATCATTGATCTTCTTGCCTTTGCAAACATACATTAGTACACCAAAGTACCAAAGCATTACAATCTATTGAATCATTATGTTAGTACAAGGTCAATGTCAATATCAATGTCAATGTCATTGTCTTTGGAGATGAACATACAGGCAATAGCAAACATCTAAATAGTATAAACATTGATAGGAAGTCAATGGGAGTTGGACTGTCGAATCTGAATATGGATACATTTCCAACCATGTATCGAACACAGAATATAAATAGAATGATTGAGGCACCAGTGAGGAATCCAGTCTGGAAAACAATATGAGCCGGCGTCTGATAGTCTTGATTCACTCTCAACTTATTCATAGCCTCTCGTCTATTGCCCTCATTATATATATCGGTAAATAGTACCTAAATGTTCCATCAAAGGTATGTTAGTAGGGAATGGGGATGAGTGAATGGAAGGTCTTGACATACCTCAATCTCGTGCTCGATTGCATTGATCTTCTTGGATGTGTAGAAGTATTGTGATTGAGTACGGTCCATGAACTCATCACTCTTTTGTGTACCAAGTGTCTTGTCAAACTTCTTGAATATCTTCCTGAATGCAGTATGATTCAAGTTGACATACTCCTTCAATATCTCTATCTCTCTATAGTTCTCCTGTAGTGCTCTCTAAATATATATTGGATTAGTTAACATCATTGTCCAGTCTAGTCAACATGGAAACCATACCTTGAGTGATCGTTTGATCTTTGTCGGTTTGAGTTTGAATGTGAAGGTCTCAGCTGATCGTGCGTCTGATTGCTTCTTGGCTGGCTGAATGAGCTCCTCAATTGAGTGCTCAATGTTTGGTTGACCAAGGTATGGAGAGGGCATTGGTGAGGAGGTGGAACGTATTCTGGGGGATGACTTGGCATGAGCACGCCTGGTCAACAAACTTGAGAGTAGGTTTGGATGTGAGGAGGAAGCATCCAACTTTGAGAGACTAATCGAACCTGACCTCTCTCTTTGTTTCTTGTCTGGTAGATGTAATAACATCTCACGAATCAATGTGAATTGTCTAATGAACTCCTCTTCACTCTCCTTATAAAAGTTGTTGACCTTGTCATATTCATCATTTAGCATTTGTTCAAACTTCCTAATCTCTGCATCCATCGCTTTGTTGGAAGTAGCAGTCGCTGTACCCGTGGAAGATGCAGTTGCAGTTGGTGGTGATGTTGATGATGATGTCTCTACACCCTCACCAACTCCACCTCCGCCTCCACTTCCTCCTCCTCCACTGCCAATGGCATCTCCACTCTGTCCAAGTTGTTGTGCGACTCTTTCCAACTCAATACCATGATCTGGATATACTATATTCTTGAACTTCTTCTTTAATGTACCTGTAACACTAATATTATCTAGTATCAATAATAAAAATAATGTTAGTATTTGTATCAATAACAACAATAATATCAAACATACCAGATAAGAATGATGCTCTCCTTATTGCTTTGATCTGTTTCTTGAATAGTTTATAATAAACATATTTCTTCTTCCATTCTGACACTTGGTGTCTCTCCAAGTATTTGCCAAACTTCATTCTCTATCATAATACAATACTGTATCTCTATCTCTCTCTCTCTCTCTCTCTCTATCGTTCAACAACAACAACAACAGAACTAAAGTCCATATATTAAGCCAAAGATTATGCTGCTGTAGTGATTGATGGGATGACTGATTGAATGAATGATTGAAGGATTGAATGATTGTTTATGACCCTGGTATAAAGTTATTCTGCGCAGTTGGTGCAAAGGGGATATCACCTTGTACTTGTTTGTGTTGTTGTATTTGTTATTGAAGGAAAATGAAATTAACTCTGGTGACATGTGTTGGGTGGGTGGGTGTTGTTGTCGGGATGGGATTCAACCCAATTAACTTGTTGGGGAGGGGTACTGAAATTGACTTTACGCTTTTTTCAAGACAAAACACGTGTTTTACTTTAAATGTTAATTGGAACTTCATCTTTGTTAATACCATCTGAAGGTTTGATTGTTAACTCGCCAAAGTATTCTTTGTCACTCACCATTGTATACTTTGGTTATTGCCTTAGATTGAATAATAGGATGATCCAAAATGTAGAAGAAGGCGTAGATTATGAGCTGGCGCAAGTGGAGTCAATCCATCCAGTGTGACCAACTTATTGATGTCGCTTGGTCTTGTCAGTTTATTATTATTATTATTATTACTTTGTATGTATGTACTGTACTCTCGTTATTACACGACTTAACAAACAGTTTGTGCACCTGGACTGACTCTGACTCTGGATGACTGACTGACCCAGACACACAGCACAGACCACATTGGTCCGTCAAGTTCATGACCTTTGTTTCTTGGACGAGAAACCTTTGGATGATGTTGATGAGGTGGTTGATGTTGATCGTCCTTGCTTGCCACCCTTTCTCTTTCCAACTGAATCTTTGTTGTTGGCTTTTCTGCTCGCGACAATCTTGTCCCATGCTTGTTGCTCCTCGACTCCCTCAAGGATGCACAGCTGGGGTATCTTGCCCGCCAGCTGCTTCTTCTCGCTGACCATCGATGTCAGTGCACGCTTGGCTGACTCTGGCGTCTTGTAGCGCACCTGTCCATTGTCGCAGTTCTCTCTGTACTCTACAAACTCCACATCGCCATACTGTGCAAACGTAGACTTGATATCGCCATAGTGCAATCCTTGTCCTATTCCCTTGAACGTCAATAAGCATCCCTTGACCATCGTCAAGGGTTCATCCGCGTCATTATCATTGTCGTTGTCTTTGTCATCGCTATGTGTGCCATTGGTGTTGACCTCGTGGTTCTTGACCTTGGCCTGCTTCTTTGCCTTGAGGAACAGTGCGTCTTGTTCCTTCTTCTCGGCGGCAAACTGTTTGTATGTTTGATAGAGCAGCTCGACAGTGTCGTGCAGCTTGGGCGCGTCGGCAATAATCTTGTTGACTATATCCTCTGTCTCAAAGTCGGCCAGCAGCGAGCCCTTGAAGCCCCTGTCCTTCCTCTTTCTCAAGCGCACAGACAGCACGCGGCCGTACGGCCGGAAGAACTCCTCGACCGTGTCGATGGTGGTGGTGTCTGTGGGCCAGCCCTTTGAGTACAGCGTCTTCTTGGAGTGCTCTTCGTTGTCGGGCAGGGGGTCGGTACGACGCACCATCTTTCCATCGTCGCTCACCTGCAATCGTTCAGAGCTACGCAACGAGTCTGTTATCAGCTGTAGGTCTATTGTAAGGTTCTTCATTCGATTGAACGCTGCAATCACATCTATATTGACATCTATTGTTCGTGCATCCATTCGTTGTGCGTCAACCAATTAGTAAACCAACATTGTTTCTTTGATCTATTCAGTCAGCCAGCCAGCTAGCCAGCCCAGTGTGTCTGCCAGTCAAACAAACATTCACTCGCGCACACACACTTCACTTCACGACCTCTGTCTCTGCTGCTGCTGCTGCTGCTACCTTATGCCTATCTACTAGTAATGCTACGCACATCCATCTGTATTCTTTGATGCCTCTCCACGAAGGAATTTATCGCTTGGGAAGTTTGAGTCACTAAAGTAATATTCAACCTGTTTGATAATCTTGTTTATCAATGAATGGCTAGCTGTCTCTGCCATTTCTATATATATATCTATCTAATGTAGGTATGTATGTTGTATAAGTATCTATATATGTATGAGTGAAAGAATGAATGAATGAATGTTATAAATAGACCTTATGCTCAAGGTCCAAAACGATGAGATTTATCAAAGCAAGGCAATGACAAAATGAGATGTGTGTGACACAAGAACCTCATTATGAATTGTTCTCTAAGTTAAAGAATGGAAGTAATAAATAATAACAACCAAGTACATATACATGTCTGTAAACATGATATACTATGTTATGATTGCAAAAAGATGATTGGATGTAGAATGGATGATCACATTCAAATGAAACATAAAGTTGAACAAGTCAATCTCAATCAACTAACTTCAATGATATACGATTACCTAAGAGATAAAGATAAAGATAAAGATAAGGATAGAGATAGAGAGGATGATGATAATGTATTTTCTAGGTTCAATGAGAGTATGAATACATTATTACAAACTACTAAACAATTGACAACCTTTGAAGAACAGAAACAAACAACAATAGAATACTTTAATGAATGGAGACAACGTATCAATGACTTGGAGAACAGTATACTTGATAAGATTGAATATCAAATATCTTTGAAATCAAACAATATTCAATTATTACTTGGTCCTGGTACTCATCCTCCTGTTGTCACTCAACTCATTGAGGAGATGTTCCCAAAGAACATAGTACTCAACAACAATGAGTTGTTGATAGAGAGAATAATGAAGTTATTCAATCAAATGGAGAGAGTTAGAAGTGATCCAAGGATTACATATCGCATTGATAGAATATGTTTGGATAAGATGAATGAACGGATTGGGTCATCTTTCAAACTGATCAATTCCAATCAATATTGTAAAGAATATGAAGGTCATATATTCTTATTGGATGATACCATTCATTGTTCAATATACTCTCCATCCAAATCAACCAACTTGGATTTAGATGGTAATCATAAAGGATGGGAAAGAAGTTTAATTACATCTTCAGCAGTATATGCACATGGAAATATTTATGTATTTACTTTTGGATCAACATATTCTAAATTCTCATTGGTCGATCAAACTTGGAAACATAATATTTATTTTAAAGAAGAAGTTGGAAGCTATGTATCAGTTTGTTATGATGGCAATCAATATTTATACTTGGTAGGAGGATGTACGGCCAAATATAGTTTTAGAAATACTGTACATAGATTCAATATTATTACCAAGGAATATGAACTTATTGGACAACTTCCAAATGAAATAGCAGGATCTTCAACATATTACAAAGATGGAAATATTATTATAGTTGGTGGATACTTGGTTAACAAAGATCAAACACCAAGAACAATTACAAACCAATCAATATTTTTATTCAATGTCAATACTTTTCAAACACAAGTTTACAAAGTGGATGGAATGACTCTAGGTGTATATTCAATGGCAAGTTGTTTTGATGGATTGGACAATGTATATATAAGAGAGAGAGGTAATTTTTACAAGATCAATCTTACAATCATGAAGAAAGTTGAACTATCTATTCCAGATTGTAAAACAATATACACCATAGTTTGGTATCACAATAACTTGGAGAATGATGGATATGTTTTACTTTGTGGAAAAGATCATATATTCAAGTATACACCAGCCTCAGATACTTTAATGGTGCAATAGGGTTCCTTGCCATAGCAGGATGTTTGCTTGAAGATTGACAAGCCACTCTCTCTTTACCTCCTTGAAGAATTCAAGCCTATTTTCAGTACTTTTGATCAACTCACTGGTTCAAGTTGTGATCAATTCTCCGGTTAGCTTCAATGCAAGTGCAGCGCTCATGATTCGTGATTGACAGCAACAACACATCCAATAAACACACTCACATTCATCATATCAGTGCTGTTGTTATTTTATACAAATAGTGATTATTGTCTGACGGTCTTCTTGCCAGAGCGTGGATCGATGGTAAAGCCTGGAGTGCGGTCACCATATATTGTCTGACTGGATGGTGCTGGGGCACACTTCTTGCAATAAGTCTTCCCTGTTTCATCCTCGACCACCTCACCCTGTATCTGATTACGACACTTGCCACACACTGTCTTCTCAGACTCGAAGCATCCACGACAGTAAGGCTTGGAGAACCTTGTGAATGTGCTGTCATCGCCAATTTGCTTCGAACACTTGGTGCAACTGAAGCATGCCTTGTGCCACATCTTGCCACTTGCCTGGACGATAGCGCCATCAACAATTGGCTTGTTGCACTTTGGACATGTATGTGTGGCATGGTCCGCCTCATGCTTGTCGTGGCACCCCTTGCAGAATGGTCTCTCACCATGCAAGAAGTAGCCGGTCTGCAGTGCACCCTTGCATTGATCGCACTTGAAACATCCACGATGCCAGTAGCTCTTTGATATCTTGGTGACCTCGCCTTGGAGCGGGCTGGTACATCCACTGCACTTGTCGTTGGGTCCCCATCCACCTGTGACATTGGACGCGCCAGGTTGTGATGGTACCTGGTGGCTCAAGTTCTTGGCGCATGGGTCGCAGTAAGGCTCGTTGTCGACGTCAACATACTCTTCGTTCAACTTCTTGTTGCATCCTCTGCATTGGAAGCATTGTGGGTGCCACTTCTTGTCCAACGCCTCAAGGCCTTGGCCCATGACGGGTTTGTCACAGCCACCACACTTGGACGAAGTGGTGCCAGCGCACGGACCACACAATGGGCTACCATTGGCGCCCTTCTTGATTGACTCGCCCGGCTTGGTCAAGTCCTTGTTGCACTTCTCACACTTGAAGCATTGTGGATGCCATGACTTGTCCAATGCCTGGAGCACCTGACCCTGAACCTCGCGATCACATCCTCCACAGCACTTCTCCTTCTCATGTGGTGAGCAGAACTTGTCACGATCACCCTTGTTAACCTTTGGTTTGTTGTCCAATGGCTTGTGACATTCGTGACAACCATCGTTTGATGTTGTTGAGGTCTTTGGATGTTGATGCTGATGCTGATGAGGTTGCTGTTGTTGAAGAGTGGCGGTGGATGGGGTCAAGGTTGCCTTTGATGGTTGTGGCTGTGACTGTGACTTCTTGTTCCTGTCATCCAAACATGGTTGGCAGTACCTTGACAGGCCTTCCTCAAAGAATCCATCCTTCAATGGCTTGGCACATCCACTGCAGCTACATTCATCACATATCTTCTGTCCACTAATTGATTGAATGAACATAGAGTTAGTATGATGAGTGATTGATTGATTGAGTGAGAGAATCAACAACTCCTACTTGATGACGTTGAAGTTGCCTATGAGTGGATTGTGACAGAGGTCACAGATGCAGCTTGTGCAGTACTTCTTGGACTCATCCTTCTCATCAGGTACATATCCCTTCTCCAATGATCCATGACATCCAACACATTGATCGTCATTACCATGACCGTGACTATGACCATGACTCTTGCCAGCTGGTGCTCCCTTGTTTGACACTCCAGCAGCACCAACCATGCAATTGGGACACCAAATGTTGTTACCTGGTATGTTTCACGACTCATCATGTTAGGATGACCTGTGTTGTATCAACTCATTCATCATCATCGTCCACCTTCCTGCTCCACCGCCACACCATCCATCTCCTGCTCCCACTCCTGCTCCAACTCTAGTCTTGATCGTCGTACCTTCCATGAAGAACTGTTGCTTGGGATCGAGTTGGCAGTGACAGCTGCAGCACTTGGCACAGGAGGTGTGCCATTGCTGTGTGAGTGTGGCCAGGTAGTTGCCATCAGTGATTGGCTTCTTGCATGCTGAGCAGTTCATCTTTTGGAATGCCAATAGATTGAGTTGAGGACCCTTATATGTACTGACGGCGCGTGCTGCACGACCAAGCCAATACAAAGAGATGGCAACGTTTCTAATACGTTTGGATTCGTAGATATCAGTTGTATCAAACAACTGTGTATCACGTAGACCCAATTGTTTGGCAGCCTTAATAAAGAATGACAAGTTCTCCCTATTGGCAAAGTCTGTAGTTGCCTGGTTGACCTTTGGTACTATTCCAGGTTTGATCTGATTGATCAATCTTCATTGATTGATTGATTGAGTGAGTGGGATAGTTCCAGGACATGAATGATTGGATTTGGATATGTACTTGCAAAGTAATACACCATTCTTGAGTGATGCTTGGAAGTCATCAGATGGGAACTTCTGTTGACAAACAGCTTCAATCCATTCTCTACTCTCCTTCAGTGCCAATTCCAAATTGAATGCTGAGGTATTGGACCAATTTCCTTTGACTGTATCAGACATCTTTAGTTAATATATATTATTTATTTATTTATTATAACAAGTTGAATATGAAGTGATTGATTGTCATCGATTTAATTTGTAAAATGTGTAATTAAAGTGTACCATCAAATAATGGGTTTTGTCTTGTGATCAATTCACTGAAAGACGTCGTTTTGATCATCACACCCAACTGCCAATGATCTTGATCAAACTGTGTGATCATCATGAGTAAATTAATTTATTAAAATATTTATTTGAATATATATATATAGATATATAACTTGTACTAATAATGACAACTATTAATATATTAGAGTTAGTATCTGTTTGCTTGGACTTGGCTGAACAGAGTGGAGAGATAATAAGAAAGGTCTATCAATCAGGTGCCTTGGACATCAAGTACAAGTGAGTGTAACAAGTGACCAATCATTCATATCGACACTCATACTCATCACTCAATCACACTCAATCAAACATATTATAAAGGGATGTTGATGATCCAGTAACTATTGCTGATATCACTGTACAGAAACATATTGTTGCTGGACTGAGGAGTAGATGGCCAGCTATAAGGATTGTTGGTGAGGAGGAATTGCAAGAGGGTGATAGACCAAACCCTTTGCCATCAATAGATAGAATATCACAGTTCAATGATAGACTGGACACTGTTGTAAACAAGGGAGTAGTGCCATTGTCCGACGTCATAGTGTTCATCGATCCGTTGGACGCCACACGCGAGTTCACCAAGGGCAATGTCAACTGTGTGATGACCCTCATTGGTGTGAGCGTCAATGGTGTCGCGCATGCAGGCGTCATTCACCAGCCATTCGTCGATGAGAATGGTGATCGCACCACTGAGCCCGCACAATGGCGCGGCAGGACCGTGTGGGGCATCGTCGGACTGCCCGTGTGCGGTGTGCGTAATCGTCGTGCGCCTGAAGACGAGGGCAAGGTGATAGCCGTGACAACAGCATCTCACTACGATGACAATGTGGACCGCGCCATCAAGCTGCTGGCACCCGACAAGGTTGTGCGCGCCGGTGGCGCAGGCTACAAGACATTGATGATCATCGAGCGACTGGCCGACGTCTACGTCTTCCCCACCGTTGGCAGCAAGCTCTGGGACATCTGTGCACCACATGCCATTCTCACAGCCTGTGGAGGTACACTTACCGAGCCATCTGGCAAACCAATCACCTACACCGATCATCTCGACCAAGTCATGAACAAACAAGGCATTGTCATAACCATGGGTGATCATCAACGTTATATTCAACTACTTAACAAGCAATAATAAGTGTTGATTCATTCATTCCAATCATTCAATCATTCTAATCATTCATTCATTCAATCATTCATTGGATCGCGATCGAATATTTGAATGATGATTACTTATTATATCTTTGTCTTTACAATGCAAGACATAATCTAGTAGTCATTGGTGTTAGAGAATGACGATGAATGATCATAATGAATGAGTTCAATACAAACAACAACAAATAATTATCTATTTTGACGCGTGTCATGCACGAAAAAGGAATGACAGGTGTCTTGTGTTGGGTCCAACTCAACTCGACACTTATTAAAGGTCTGGTCACATCCCACCCTCTTGCATCTCAACCCCACAAACATCGGGTTGGTCCTACCTTCTACAACAACATTAATTAAAATAATTGAAGATCGTAAAGTTGTTCCCCACACACCACTTTCACACATTCACACAAACTCTTCCCTTGACTTCACCTCTCATCCTTTGATCCATCCTCCCTTCCAACAGATTAAAATTCATTGTTTGTCAGGTCTCAAAGTTAATTATACATTCAGACATATTACCTCATTCATTCAATCAATCAATGATTGTTTATCATCCAATATAATAAATATAGTTAGTTAGTCAGTTTATTTGCACAATTAGTCAAGATAGAGATAAGAGATAGAACAATGACATCAAAGTCAAATGATGATGGTGTATCATCACCAGTGAAGAAGAATAAATTATTGTTGGAGGTTCAAAGTGATGATGAGTTGGAAAGGAATAATACCAATAATAATAACAATCATAATAATGAATCGACGACAACACAGAATATTAATATAAATACAAGACCAAGGAGAGCATCATCACCAATGGCATTCTTAAAATCATTGTCACCAAAGCAATGGGGAAAGGACAAGGACAAGGATAACAAGGACAAGGAGAAAGAGAAGGAGAAGGAGAAGGACAAGTCATCAAAGACCCATCATCACTTATTCCATCATCATCAACAACAACAACCTTCGGCAACAACAACAACAACAACCACAACAACAGCTCAACAACTTGATCAACTCAAGATATCTTCACCAAACCATAACAACTCTGCAACAGATGGTTCACCTCAATCACCAAACATACTTATAACATCAGCGACGAGTGCATCAGGACTGACATATCATCTGGACACGATGGGCAGCTCAAACGATGGCTCACTCACAAGCTTGGTCACATCGATTGGCTCAAATCACTCATCCTCCTCCAGCATGCTGTCAAGATCATCCGATGCGCCATTCAATCAACTGCCACACACTGTCATTCTAAAGATATTGAACATGCTGGTGCAGAGCAGGATGGATGGAGAGAAGTCTGAGATCAAGCTCGAGATCCACTCGCCCGCACATCAACTACAGCAACAGCAACAGCACGCGAGGTTGGCGGAGGGTCTGACCACGTCAGGCGGCTCAAACCTCGCCTCATCGACACAGAGCGGCACCAACACAGTGTCCAAGATCAATCCGAACCAAGACCTTCAGACCCTGTCACTCGTGTGCAAGTATTGGGCCAGAGAGATCACGCCTCAGGTGTTCCATCACTTTGTTGTCAAGTCACCAAAGCACATGCGATCATTCATTCGACTGGTGAGCAAGGGCATCCTTGAGGGTGGCCGCAAGTTCAACTTCTTCTACGTGGCCATGATCTTGGACAAGTCATCGTCATTCCAAAAGTTCATCAATATACTCAAGCACACGATGACTGACCGTCTACCCGAGAAGTTCTACAAGGCCACATCAAAGCCGATCATCTCCAACATCCCCAACACACTCTTTGTCTCATTCTTTGACAATTGCAAGTCGATGGAGTACTTTAGGTTCTACCAAAAGTGGGTGTCGCCCGAGAACTTTGAAGCCATTGGCGAAGCATTGCGCACCAATCACTCAATCACACATCTTTCCTTCCGCAACAACAACCTCGAGGATGATCATGCCGTCGGCATCATCCAGGCGCTATACGAGAACAACACCATCCAGATCCTGGACTTCCGTCTCAACAGGCTCTCCAATCTATCGGCCATCGGACTGGCAGGCGCGCTGCTCAAGAACCGCACGTTGACATGTTTGGATCTCTACTACAACAACATTGGGCCAGAAGGTGGCGTTGCTCTGTCTAACGCGCTAAAGACCAACAAGACATTAAAGAAGCTGTACTTGGGCTGGAACAACATCAATGGACAGACTGCCTCCAACCTTTCTGTTGCCCTCGCCGTCAACCAAGCGATCGAATGTTTATACCTCGACAGAATCGACGATCCATCCGGTGCACAGCTAGCAGAGTCACTCAAGAACAATCACTCGCTCACAGAGTTGAACCTGTCCGACTGCCATCTGAAGCAGCTCACGGCCAAAGCATTGGGAGAATCACTTGGCGTCAACAAGACGTTGATGGACATCAACTTCAAGACCAACCAGTTGGGCGTAGACATCAAGGATATTGCCACGGTGTTGGGTAACGCCAACCACACACTCACCCGTATCAATCTCTCGGACAACAGGATCAACGATGAGTCTGGTACACTCCTGGCAACAGCCCTGCTCACCAACACTACCATCGTGTCACTCTCATTGTCATTGAATCAACTTGGCAACACATTCGCTGAGGAGATGGGCAAGGCCCTGCAAGTGAACAAAACACTAAAGATGCTCGATATATCAAACAATCAGATGGAGTTCAAGGGAGCCCAGTACATCGCATTCGCATTGGAGGCAAACAGCACGCTCAAGTATCTTAATATGTGTCAGAACAGTCTGTCGCCCAAGATTGGACAATTGTTGGCTACATCACTTACTTCAAACAAGTGGCTGTTGCATCTGGAGTTGGCATACTGTGGCATTGGTGACGAGGGGGCTGTAGCATTGGCCAACTCTATCAAGTCCAATGTATGTCTGCGTCGACTAAACATGAGCGAGAACATGATCAAGGATGCGGGTGGACGCGCGTTTGCAGAGGCACTACGTGCCAGCAAGTATCTACAAGTTCTGGACCTCAGCTACAACAGCTTCACCTACAAGGTTAAGGAGCTGTACGAGCAACTACAAGAAGACAAGGGTTACTCAATCCAGTTCTCAATATCCTCTGTGCCACTGCAATGGAGGTACCAGACCTAAATACACAACCAACCTTTATGTAGAAAAGACAGATTATGCTATTGTATTCGATTGTTTCAGTTGATTGACTTCACTCTTTGTGTAGCCATGTTGGCATAGGATGTCCTCTGTATGTTGTCCAAGTGTTGGGGGTGGAGTATGTATAACATCCGGATGATGTAGGTCACTCTCACTAAAGTGCATTGGACTTCCAACTACTCTGATTGATTCCACACTCTTTGGTGATGGTGATGAAGATGATTGATTGATCGATGATGAGGGCTGATTGCTCAAATCTAGATTCCAAACCATGTTGCGATGTTGTATCTGTGGAAGTGAGAACACTTCCGAGAGATTGTTGATGGGAGCACATGGCACATTGGCATGTCCCAGCATTTCTATCCATTCTGATGTCTTCTTTGTTGAAGTGACCTCGTTGATGATCTCCAACAATGATTGTCTATTGGCAACACGACTACTGTTGTTGATGTATCGCGAATCAGTGGCAATATGTTTGAGTCCCATTGTATTGCACATTGATCTGAATTGTCCGTCGTTTCCAACTGCCACCACAAAGAATCCATCAGATGATCGCAGAGAGTCATATGGTGATATGCTTGGATGTGAGTTGCCAATCCTCGATGGGTTCTTACCCGTCAACAGATAGCTCGATGCAATGTTGGCCAGGAATGTGGACTGGACATCCAAGAGACTGACGTCAATGTGCTGACCCTTGCCAGTCCTACCCTTCATGATCAGTGCAGATTGAATGGCAACGCTTGCATATAGACCGGTCATAATGTCAACGATTGCCACACCACATTTGTATGGATCTCTTTCTGATCCAGTGATGCTCATCAGTCCTCCCATGGCTTGTGTGGCAAAGTCATAACCAGGCAAGTCTTTCATAGGTCCAGTCTGTCCAAAGCCTGTGATTGAGCAATAGACTATACCAGGGTTGATCTTTGATAATGAAGGATAGTCCAAGTTATACTTTGTAAGTCCACCAACCTTATAGTTCTCCATTACAACATCAGACTCCTTTGCTATTCTATGTATTATCTGAGTTCAAAACAAGTTAGTAAGAGGCATGCATGATCAGTCTTGTATCAATACTTACATCTTGTCCCTCCTTCTTTGTAAAGTCAATGGCTATTGACTTCTTATTCCTGTTTGCACAACTAAAGTATGCACTTCCAACATTACCTTGTGGATCCTTAAGTGAATGTGAATGAGTGAGTTAGAGACACTTGAGATGCCAACTTTGATGAACATACTTGGTAAAAGGGAGGTCCCCATTGTCTTGTGTCATCACCTTTGATACTCTCCACTTTGATGACTTCAGCACCAAGGTCACCAAGTATTTGGGTGGACCAAGGTCCTGCAAGTACACGACTGAGGTCCAACACCTTGAGTCCATCCAAAGGTCTCTGTACCAACTTCAATGTATCAGTACTATATGATGATCGATTGATCACCCTCAATGATCTGTTAACTAATGGTACACCATATAGAATACATCTATTGTATAACATTGTTTGTATTTGTAGTGATCACTTGTGCACTGATTGATCAATCAGATGACTAAACAATGCACCCCCACATCCAACTCAAATATCTGATCGTCAGATTGAAGAAACAGAAACACTCTTGCGTTGTCGAGAGTACTCGAGGGTTATATAATCTTATCGAGCTGTGTTATGCACTTGAGCTTTATGCTTGTACATCACCGGCGTCAGTGACGACGACCTTCTTGCGATGCTTGTCACAGAACACTTGGATTCTCTTGTATGCCTCGTCCAACTTCTCCAATGGAGCACAGAACACAATACGGAAGTAGTTCTTCATTCCAAACACTGTGCCTGGAAGGACGAATACACTCTCCTCCTGGAGCAGCTTGCCCATGAACTCAACGTCGTCGCTGATATCCTCAAACTTGCTGGTGTCCAATCCAATCTATAATAAGTTGTCGTAGTTGAGCAAGAGTGTGTTAGAGTTGGTAACCTAATGTGATCGATCCAGAGTAACTTACCATTTGATACATCGTTCCACCTGATGTGATTGGTGCAAGACCCTCAACCTTGGACAAAGTGTCAAAGGTGAATGTGGAGTGGCTCTCAAGTGTCTTGTTGACATCAACAAAGAACTTGTTAATCTGGGCGTTGTTCTTGTCAAGGATAGTTGGAAGGATTGACTGAACCAATGAGTTTGGTCCAAGAATGAGCTGTGACAATGAGTGAATAGCCTTTCTAATCTGTTGTTTGTTAATGGATGAAGGTTAGTCAGCTGATCAGTTCAAGTCAAGTCAGGTCAATGACGACACCTACATGTTCGAATTGTCCGTGATGGTGGACGGCAACCCAACCAAGTCTCCAACCTGGAACAAGGAATCTCTTGGCAATACCACCAATGGAGAGGATTGGAACAGTCTTGGTCAAGGCAGCCATTGGAGTGAAGACACTGTCGCCAAAGGTCATGCCAGCATAGATCTCGTCAGAGATGATGGGGATACAATATTCGTCGGCAACCTTCAATATCTCTTTGAGGTGCTCAACAGAGTAGTTGCTACCACATGGGTTAGATGGGTTGTTGACCATGATGCACTTGGTTCTGGCGTCGATCAGGGACTTGAGATGCTCAATGTCGATCTCCCAAGACTTCTCTGGCAGGAGGTTATAGTGCTTGACGTTGAATCCCTTGCTGTTGGAGATGCACTCATACAGTGAGAAGCCAGGCTTTGGGATCAATATGTTGTCGCCAGGATTCAGCAGAGCAGTCAAAGACAGCTCGATGGCACCCGATGCGCCACAAGCAGTAATAACATCAGCTGGAGTCAATGGTGATGTCTCAGTCTCTACAAACTTTGCAATGGCAGCTCTGGCTGCTTCATATCCCTGTTGTTTGATAACATGTTAGATACATCTTATGCTCGATCAATCAATCAAACTAATGTAAACATACGATTGAAGGTGGATAACCGTTGAACTTGTTGGAGTTGATGTTTGCAATGAGAGTGTCGTTTACGAGTTGATCAGAGTTGAGGTTGCCAAAGACACATGGGTCACCGATTGACAGGGGAATGACAACCTTTTCAGGGTTTGGCTTATATCGACCAGTGTCAACAATAGCTCTAATAGGGTTGGTTGTGTTATTGGCGGCGTCTGAGACGACAACATTCCATGTCTTTGCGTCCATTATTATATTATATTATAAGTATGTGTATTTAGATATATATAAGTATTTGGTATAAGTATATAAGTGATCAAGTGATTGAATGAATGAATGATTGAATGAATTGGAATTGTGTGTTAGGGGTGGTTAGATTTAGTTGTGTTGTGAGTGAGTGGGACCTGAAGGGATTGAATGAAAGATAGAAAGAGATAAAGTTGTTCTACTTTTTGGGAACAACACAAGTCCGACGAGGAGTGTAAAACACACACACAAAACATTTGATTTGAAATTTACCACACTCTTTTCATCGTTTATTTTGCGGATTTTGCAGAATCAGGAGATTCTCGAACATCAGTATTGTCGACATAGTTCAATGACACGTGAGAGTATGCGAGATAATTGATGTTTGTGTCTTTCATCTGTCATTGACTTCTGTTTAAGTTTGTTGAAATCGCTAATGAATGACTGGACCACATCACTTGTTTCCTCATCTATTTAGATTGGAGTGTTGGATTGGTTAATTGATTGATTGATCGAGTGGTATGATTGATTGGAATACATACCTCTTGGAAGACAATGGAGTAGTTGGAAATAATCCGATTCAATAATCATCATATCAAACTGTTTGTCAGAGGTTGATGCGTCCAAGTTCCTGCATAGATCCATAACACTAATGATTGAATGAATGTGATGGTTAGATGTCAGTAAACTGGATACTTGATATTTCCTAGTTGGTACAACATACCCTCCATGATCGAATGCTGCAAATAGGATGGATTTAAACAAATGAATCCTTTCCTCTGTTGTCGTCAACTACACGTGATTGAATGATAAGTGTGAGTGATTGATTGGAAGTGGACGGAATGATTCCATTACTTACCAACTTTGACTCTTCCAGTGCATTGAAACAGATAGAGTATCTGTCCAATGGTTGATAGTCTGTATGAGTGAGTATCTCACCAATGAGATTTGAGATACCAAGTGGCTGCTTCTCATTGGGTAAGAACTCTCTTTGTATCTTGATCAACTCTAGTGCTTGATTGGAACAGCTGATCAGTTGATCACGATTGGGCAGTGGCTTCTTGTTCTCTGCCATCATAGAGATCTTGGCCAGATTGAGCATGGTGTTCTTGTTGGACACGCTCTGTGCCTCGCGTTGCGACTCCTCCAGGAGGACCTTGGCCGCGCTGTTCCATTGTCTCAGACGGAGAGAGTTGATCCAGGCGATCTGTGGATGATGCTCCAGGAATCTGGACAGCGAGTCGCTAAACTCCTCGGGCAGCTGAAGCAACTCCTGTCTCATTCCATAGTCTAGCATGAAGGCGTAGACTTTGTCGATGATGCCCTCCTTACGGAAACGCCTCAGTGAAGTGTGCAGCATTGACAACTGTTGCTCCCTGTTCTCCTTATCGCTCAAGTAAACCTGGATTATCGAGCTGTAGTTTCCATACTTCTGAGCCAACTGCAATGCCATCTGATATCTATGACTTTGAATGAATGGTGCAATGAGTAGCGTCGAGTACTCTCCAAAGCTTTGTTCCTCATTGTCCCTGTATGTTTGTTTGATCGATGAGTTAGTGGATTGAGTGATTGAGTGATTGAATGATTGAACATACTTGAGTGATTGGAGGTAGATGTTTGTGAGCTCGAGCAACTGTTCGTAGAGAAGGTTCTCAGAGTTGGTGAGGCTGACCTCGGCCTTGGCGAGCAGGAAGTGAGCGGGTCCGGTCTTGAGATCTGTCTCAATGAATGAGTTGATTGACTCGATCAGTTGTTTGAGAAGGCGGTGAATGGAGTCGTTGGTGTTGTTGATTGATGCGAACAACATGTCTGTAGAGTAGTTCTTGATGATCTTGATAATGACGCTGTTGGCCTCGAGTATCGTGCGTAGCTTGAGTAGAGAGTCGGTGACAGTGGCATCCAACATGCGAACAGTCTTTACGAAACGCACCAGCAGCTGGTCGAGCATGGCAACGTTCGAGTAGAACAGTTCATATACATTCATGCCATTGGATGCCCAGTTTGGACCGAGACGATCAGACACGGTCTCTTGGATCAGATGGGTCAGAACCGAGTTAGTTGGGGCTTCGGACTCTTGCTGCGTGTTCTGGAAGTCGCGCAGGTCTGATGCAGCCTTGAGTCGTCGCACATTGTGATCCATTAGGTCGCGTGTCTCCTTGCTCAGGTCGTCGAGCAGGTCATTCTCCTGCAGCATGTCGTCGAGCAGTGCATGTCTCTTGAGCTTGTCCTCTATCTGTTGCTTGAGCTGGACAGACATTGATGTTCCGAGCTGATGCAGAGTCTCTGATCCAGTGGCCCAGTACTTGGCATTTGGTTTACAATCTGCAATATATGATGATGTCCTGCATAGTGCAGCGTCCAAATGCTTTGGATCCATCTTCCTAACCAACTCCAATGATTGACGGAATGAATGTTGCTTCTTTGTCGAGTAGCTATTCAATGTTCTCAGCAGTATGTTCCTCATTGCTCCAATCTGATCCTCTTCCTCTGGTATCTACATTGATTGATTGAATGAGTGAGCGTGCGGGTTGAATGATTGAATGACTGATTGACTTACATCGAATAGGATACTGGACTGTCCTTGGTTATCACCTGATTGCTGTTTGGTTTGGAATGGCGCAATGTTGAGGATTTGAACGCCAGTCTGTCTGTCGATGAAGTAGTAGCTGCTGTTCCAAACACCACTGCACAACATCAAGTCAGTCAATTTGATCTCTCCATTGTTATCCTGCTTGTTGTCCAAGAAGAAGTATATCCTGTCCATCCAACTCAAGTAATACTTGTTCGATGAGGTGACTGCCAGCATTGGTCTAGCTCTAAAGTCCTGGTTCTGTATGATTGTGTGTAAGTATAAGTATACTGCCTATGGTCCATCCACTCGATCAATCATGATGACGACGACATACTCCTTCGAAGCATTGACAACTGAATCGCTCAATGGCCTTGGGGTTGAGTGCTTGGTTGTTTGCTACCTGTAGCGACATGAGATAGTAGAGCTTGGATTCTGGTGTTGACTGGCATAGGAGTATGAATGCGGTGTCTGTTTCATTGGCATCGTCTCCCTGGCTATCCACAAAGAGTTGGCATGTCTTGTATGCACCAGCACTGCTCTGTCCAAGTGCTTGTTGTATGTCTCTTTGCAAAGGTTGATCCATGATAAGCTGCACCATTGTAAGAGGTTGAGTTAGTGATTGATTGGGCTTGCAAGGAGGACCATTAACATACTCTTTCGCCATTCTCATTGATCTCATACTTGAGCAATGAGTTCTCTGTTAGGACATAGACGTTGCGTTGAGCGCTGGTCAGCTGTGCGGTGGAGAAGACTGCGACGACTGGTGATTGCTTGGCCAAGTAGAGATAGCTGAGCAGTCCTTGTGACTTGCTAATGAGCTTGACCACCAGTGCGCCACGCTTCAGGCTCAACAAATAGACTGATCCAAGTGAGTTACCAATGACAACTCCAAACGGCTATGGTTGAGTGGTAGGGATATGTGTCAGTCGTGAAGAATGAATGAATGATGAATGAAACACATACATTGCACTCTGCAAGGAATACATTGGCCTTGCGGAAGTCCAGAGCGATGTCTTGGCTGTGAGATGGTTTGTTTGTTTGAGGCCAGTAGCGCACGCCACCATCAGTCGTGGCAATGAACGCCGAGTAAGTGCCATAGTTCTTGCTGTTGCGCGTGACCACCACCTGATGTTCGTTCAGTTGATTGGGAATGTCAACTCTGTCGTATTGTTGAGGTGTCTAGAAGGGAGTAGAAGGTGTGTCAGTATCCATGGAGTGAGTGAGTGATTGGATTCTTACCTCAAGACTCCAAATGTACATCTCTGTTGGTAGGATCACATAGACTACACCATCCAATGTGATGTTGCCCGAGATCTTGAAGTCAGAGTCGTTAAAGTATGATGGATCCAATTGATCGATGGCATTCTTCACAGGGTAGGGTATATCGAATGATGATTGTATCTTATATCTTGATGTTGTTGTTGCAGACGATGATGCTGATCCTGATGATGAAGTATGTAATGGTGATTGCTGTTGTTGTTGAACCTGTGTACTATGTAAATTATATACAGCATCATCTGATCTCATTGATGACACTTGAGGACTGTTGTTGCCACTGCCACTGCCACTACTAATACTACCATCATTGCTACTATTATTATCAAAGACTACATCTTGTTGAGTATCGAATTGTATATCATCACCAACAAACACATTAGCTGATGCTCTAATCTTTCTCTTTGTGAAGCTCTGCATCCTTCTACACTCCTATCCTCTATATATCTCTATCTTTATGATGATGAATTGATCAGAATGAATGATTGTGTTCAACTCGCGAGTTCCCTCCATTTTTTTGAAGTTCAAAGTGTGGCAAGGGTAAGGGTAATGTACAAATGTTATTGTTGTTGGCGTTGTTGTTGTATCTGCCTCATTCTTTGGAAGACATTGACTATTGATTTGGATATTGGTGGAATGTCTGGATAGAGGGAAAGCAACTTGCTGGTGTCTAGCTCGCAGTTGCATCGTCCAGCTTTGAGTACCTTGGCCTGCTCCACTAGACTGAAGTTGTGATAGGTGAAGTTGGGATCGACATGTTCTCGATACAAGTCCAGCAGCTCATTATGTGAGATCACTCCTGGATTGACAAAGTTGTACACGCCGAGCAATGCCCTGCGCGACATGTCCAGTGCCACCGGCAGCAAGTCATGCAGCACACTGACAGAGTTCTTGACGTTGATCACTCGCTGGTATCCGATGAGCTTCTTTACGAGATTCCTGTCCTCGCTGACGTCGTCTGAGATGGGCAGGCGGACTCTAAGCGTAAGTATGTTGTTGTAGCTCTTGGACAACTCCTCGACAATGCCTTTGGTACGTGAGTAGAATGAGCCTGTATAGTTGAAGGCGTCTGTCTCGCTGAAGCCTGGGGAGCAGCTGCCCTCTGGATGTGTTTCGTCGTACTGATACAGACAGCCAGTGGCAAAGGTAGTCAGATGCACGTTGTACTGATGTGACAGGTCCATCAGGTTGAGATGTCCAATGACATTGGCTCTGATCGTCTCTGGCTTGTGTTCTTCACACCAATCAATGTTGGGTCTACCTGTTAGTCCTGCGCAATTGAATATCCTATTAGGTTTGACTGTCTGTATCTCACTCTCCACGTCCTGTCTATTCTCTAGTCTTGACTTAGCCGCGATCACCTTTATCGACTGTGCCTCCATCAGCTTTGTCAGCTTGCCGCCCATCCAACCAGTTGATCCAAAGATCAGCACCACCAAGTTGTTGTTGTTACCATCCATCCTATGTATGTATCTGTATTGATGTTATCTGTAGGTCACTCAATGAAGTGAGGTAATTCACCTTTCATGTTCCATGTTTGTGGGTTGAGGTGTCTACCCCATTGTCCACACCCCGCCACGCCATTCCACACGTAGCCACGCCACGCCACTCAAGCGCCACTCAAAGGAAAAGCAAAGTATCATAGGATAGGGGATATTACAAAGGGGAATGTTATTAAATTAATTAGATTATGAATACTTCATGATCTCTACATTGGCAGCGGGGAAACGACCGTAGACACCTTTGGTCTCGCCCTCCCACCAGTCCTTGTTGGTCTTGTCAAAGACGTAGACCAGATCGTCGAGAATCAGTGTCAATGTCTTGTTGTCTGTTGGGATGTAGTCCCTGATCACGCGACATGTGCACAACATCTTTGGTGCGGACATGTCCTCGTCGTCTGACCATCCATCATCGTCCTCGTCTTTGGGTGCTGCTGGCTTGGGCGCGGGCTTTGGTGCCGCGGGTCTGGGTGCGGCGGCAGGTGGTGGTGCAGCTGCAGCGGGTGGTGTTGAGACTGGCGCTCTTGAGGCGACAGGTGGTGGTGCTGGCTTTGAAGCGCCGCCCACTGGTGCAACGCCAACGGGTCTGGGTGGTGGGGTGGCGCCGCCACCTGGTGCAGGCACCGCTGGTCTTGGTGGCACTGCTCCTGGAGCTGGTGCTGGTGCGCCTGTTGGCTTCAATCCAACTGGGGCAGGTCTTGGTGGGACGCTGCCAGCTGGTGCTGGTGCTCCAACACCAGCAGGCTTCAAAGGTGCTGGCTTTGGTGCTGCAACTCCAGGTGCTCCTGGTGCTGGCTTGAGGTTCGCTGCTGGCTTAAAGCTCATTTATCTGTATATATGTATGTGTATATGTATGTTGTACTTGATTGGATTTTGAAGATGTAATGTCCAAAAAAGTGATCAATCTCAGGGGGGTGCTCTGATGGACCCATCACAAAAATATTAATCATTTTTGACCCATGGGTGTGAGGACCCATTCATTGAATCAAAAGGCCCAAATCAAGCGACCTACCAATCAATGATGACCACAACATCATCAACAAGTTAGTTGTAATAATAATAACAAACAAATACATGAACAAAGCATTATATTACTTCGAAAGACAAAGAGTTATATGATGACCCTGATGGACACCTTTTTACTCCAAGTTGAGAGCGCGGACAGTTGGAAGAGTACATCCGTTTTGTTGGATGATCTCGCTGGCAGCATAGTGAGCGGCGGCGACACACTCGGCAATTGGCTTGCCAAGGGAGAGGGCGGCCAGGAAACCACCGCAGAAGGAGTCTCCGGCGGCGTTCAGGTCGACGATCTTGTCGGCACCAAGTGGAATTGGCTTGTACTCGGTCAGCTGGCCATTCTGGTAGACCAGGGTGCTCTGTGGACCCTGAGTGAAGATGATAGTTCTCGAGCGGTTGTTGTTGACCTTCTCCCATTGGGAGAGCTTCTCGGCGATCACTGGCAAACTCTCGCCCCAGCCCATCTTCTTGCCGATGCATGCGGCCTCTGACTCGTTGGCAAAGAGGTAGTCGACGTAGGGGATCAAAGCCTTGACGCGCTCAAAGAAGAAGTCGACCTCGATGAGGAATGGTGCGGCCAGACCGTACAGGAAGGTCTTGTTGTTGTCGGCGGCGTGCTTGGCCAGCATCATGGCAGACTCTGGCGACACGGTCATGAAGTAGCCGACCAGGTAGAAGTATTGTGTGCTGTTGATGTATCCAGTCATCTCGCTGCTCTCCAGGTGAGCGATCTTGAACTTGTTGGCAGCGCCCAGGTTGGTGGTGAGACAACGCTCGGCGTTGTTGATCAGCACGGCGCAGGCTCCGGTGGGCTCCTCAGCATCGACCAAGTACTTGACGACGACGCCGTTGGCCTCGGTAGCCTCACGCAAAATACGACCATTCTCGTCGTTACCAACGCAACCAGAGTACATAACAGTCTGCTTCTTGTTCAACATCCATTGAGCGACACGAGCAGTGTTCTGAGCGGCACCACCTGGGATGTAATCGACCTTGTAGCTCTTGACCTCTGTATACCTATTGTTGTTTTTTTTTGTTTGTTGTTAAGATCATGTTCGTAAACTAGTGAGCTGTGTCTGTGTGATTGTGATCGTACAATGGGAGGTGCTTGTCCTCAGCGAGGATAGCATTACCAAGCTGGAGACCGTATTTCTCGATGAAGGCCATATCAGTGTGAGCAGAGATATCGAGCAATGGGTTACCAATGCAGAAGATGTTTGGTGTGACAGACATGTTATGTATGTTGTGTGTGTGCGTAAGTGTATCTGTTTAATGTATAACTACGAAAGAGAATGAATAAAGACGAGACACCTCCCCTTTGTGAATATCTTGCTGTCTCATAAGATAAATTAACAAAAATTATTTAAAAATGAGGTCGCGACCGAGAGTTGTTCATCATGCGTGATGTACAATGTTGGGGTGTTTGAGTTTCCCTCAGTCAGTCAACGAGTCCAGTCATCAGATAAAGGGAAATGGTTAACATGTCCACAATGTATTATCCATTGACAACAACAGGACAGGTCATCAAGAAGAGAGGAGAAGAGTCTTAAGACAACCATGAAGAATGTTTGAAGACATATCTGGTGTATCTTACATGTATATTTGTTGTTATTGTGATTGATTGAATGATTGACTGGAATGAATTGAAATGAATGATTGGAATGAATGGATAATGTTGACAACATTGGTTATAATCGCATGAATATGCAACTTGGATGATTGAAGTGAATGAACCAACTTAATCAATCTATGAGAATAGGTTACCAGACGACTCATAGACAGCCTTGATCTTCATGATGGCATTGTAGAGTGCAGCGGTACGATAGTCAGTGTTCTTCTCGTTGGCAGTTCTTCTGGTCTCGGCACATGCATTGGTCATGGTGTCATCGAGACCCGAGCGAACAATGTCGATCTCATCAGCGCCGTGGATGACAAGGTTGCGCTCAGCCTCACCAAGCTTCTTGTTCACGGTGGACTCGACAAACTCTAGCAGCAACTTCTTGCTCGACTCTTCCCACTTCTTGTTGAGACGGCCGAAACGCACGTGCGACAAGTTCTTTAGCCACTCAAAGTAGGACACGGTGACACCACCGGCGTTCAACAGCAGGTCGGGGATGATGATGTGTCCGCGCTGGTTCAGGAACTCGTCGGCACGAGGTGTCATTGGTCCGTTGGCAGCCTCGCCAATCACCTTGGCCTGGATGTTGTTGCAGTTGCCAATGTGGATCTGCTTCTCGAGCGCCGCTGGGATGAGGATGTCGCAGGGTATCTCGAGCGCCTTGACCGAGTTGGGGATGTTGATGGCGCCTGGGAAGTCGATAAAGGTGCCATGCTGCAGCTTGTACTTGTTGAGCGCGTCGACGTTGAGTCCGTCGGGGTTGTGAATGGCGCCATTGTGCTCGGCTACGGCGATGATCTTGGCGCCGGCCTGCTCAAAGAACTTGGCCGCCCAGTATCCGACGTTACCAAAGCCCTGGATGATGATCTTCTTGCCCTTGATGCCTGGTGTCAGGCCGGTCTTTTGGAGCACCTCTTCGTAGGAGAGGAACTCGCGAACGCCGTAAAACACTCCAAGACCTGTGGCCTCGGTACGGCCACGGATGCCACCTGAGCTGATGGGCTTGCCCGTGACACAGGCCATCGAGTCGACGTCGTTGGTGTTGAACGCCTGGTACGTGTCACGAATCCAGGCCATCTCCTGCTCGCCTGTGCCCATGTCGGGGGCGGGCACATCGACACCTGGTCCAATGAAGTTCTTCTGGCACAGCAACAGGGTGTAGGCACGAGTGATCTTCTCGCGCTGGGCCACGGTGTACTTCTTGGGGTCGATACGGATGCCACCCTTGGCACCGCCAAAGGGCACGTCGACCACGGCACACTTGTAGGTCATCAGCGAGGCCAACGCCATCACCTCTTGCAAATCGACCTCGTTAGAGAAACGGATGCCACCCTTGCATGGCAGACGATGGTGGCTGTGCTGCGCGCGGTAACCAGCAATGATGTCCACATCACCATGCTCATTCTTGATTGGGAACTCGACACGGAGCACCACATCGCACTCCTTCATATTGTTAATGACACCTGGCTTCAAGTTGGTCAAACCTGCAGCCTTATCAAAGAATGTCTTGAAACATTCCAAGAATCTTGGTTCATTATCTATATCATTTCTAATTGATCAATCAATCAATGAATGGAGTTAGTGATTGAGTGAGTTGGATATGATTGATGGATGTATGGTACATACTGTGAGACTGATTCTGATGGTGTGGCGCTGGAGAAACTGCGACAGAAGTTGTTGGAGAGGGAAAGATTCCTTCCACTTCCAATGTGATTGATTGATCTAATGAATAGACGATTCATCATATATATATTTTATACACTTATATATAACTATATATATATATTAAATATTTAATTTAGAGAATGTGGGTTTAGATGAACACTTGTTGATGTGCATCATTGGGAGGACTCTCCAATCAATCAATCAAAGTGTGAACAACCCCTCTTTGGATTCCAAATTGAATTGATTGTTTTTTTTTATTTTGAATTGAATGAATCCACCCACAATCATTGACGAACTTCTAGTTGGAGTAGTTGTTGGATTATCAAGCAACTCTACCAACAATCCACACGAGGATGGAATAAGATTGTCAAGGTTTATAGTATCTTTACATACAATACCAACCTTAGTACGAGAGAGAACAAGTGTGTCTCATTCCAGGTCACCAAGGTCTTGTTAGTTAGTAACTACAATTGATGAATGAATGAATGAATGATAGATTTGGATGAATGATTGTGAGTGGTCAAATACCTTTTTAGTTCGGAGAATAGAATTGTTGACCTCGTTTGTCCTTTTTACTTAAAAATAGACTTTGACAGATTGAACACAAGATCTTAAAGTTGTGTACAACTTTGGAAGGTAGTATCTACCTCTTGTACAACTATCTAATAAGGTAACTTTGAACATGTACAAACATACACACAAATATACATAGATATACACACATACACATTCACGGTTGGTATAGAGGACCAAGAAAGACTTTCAGGAGGAGAAAGCCAGGAGTCCAACACTCGGGACGACGACCCATGATTTCTCTGATTGTCCAGGGCTGATCAAGTATTTGCAACGCGCCAAAGCCAAAGTCATCATATATCTTTGTCGGTTTGTTGGTTGGCATTATATTGGCAGCATTCATTAATTCATTTCATTATTATCATGATTCTCTGTTTCGTGTTGGTGTTCATTAGTTATTGATGATTGTGTGGGGTGTAGTTGTACTTTAGTTGTTGCCCATTGTTCATTTTGGGTTGGGATTGTTGAATGATTAGATGACGAGTCCTGACTCGTCTGCTTAGTTTACACTCCACCATTTTACCACACACATTGCTCTATGATTGTTGACCATCTATCAATCACATCACTCGCACACACCACATACCTCACAAACCTAATAAAGATAGATGCATTCTCATCGCGATACTGAAACCAGTTCGATGCAAGACCACACGGCAACGAATCCATCAACTTGTTCATTGGTTGCTTAGCACTAAAAATAACCCGAATGATCATGTGACCAAAACCGAGAGTCCTCCACGCAACTTTGAACACTCACCACCTGGGGCTTCCGAGCCAAATTTAGTAACAAAAGTCATCAATTTGACCATTCGAGTAGCAGTCTCTACACGCGTAAATAACAATACATCTATTCCATCCGATTTATAATAGCGCGCTCTATAATTGGTTGACGGTCTCTCACCCACACACAGGTTGGATGGATGGACTTGATTGAGGTGAAGTGGTAGAGACAGAATACGCGAACCGTAATCATGTGATGTGAGACAAGTTAGTGACGTGAGTTACATAAACAGGGTACTAACACACAGAGAGAAAGAGAGAGAGACATACTTCAAGTAATCAATCAACGCGGACTCAGATGCCCCCGCTTTACAAAGCAACATAGTTGCTGACACCCCCATTAATAAGTTGTGGAACAAGACAATTCCAATTCACGACGGCCGCCCGTGGCTACTACACTATCTTCTTATATCTCGGTTTTTGATCAACAACAACTAGAACATGGCAGTATGTACATTCATTGGTATTATAATACACTTCTGGTGTTACATTCCATCCTTCATCATTCTCAATGATGACTCTGTCTCCTGGTGAATATTGAATGTAAGTTATGCATGCCCAACATCAAGTGAGCTGCAACTGCAAGGATCCAGATGTGATTCTTGTCGTCTGCAACCCTCATCCATTATTCATTCCTCATTTCCAATATTGTCCTTCATTGATCCATACACAAATAACATACATACAAACATACATATATATATTAATCATTGAATAAATATAACTCACTCTTCCAATCAATAACATAACTTAAACTTAATCACTCGTTCACTCTCCAACTACCTCCTTCCTCTCAACTAAAACTTTTAAAATTGACTTATGGTAAGTATGAATGACAAGACACATTCATTGAACACCACCATCAATCTACCATTTCATTCATTCAATCATTCAATCAATCAATCACAAACACACACACTGTTGACGATATAGTAGATAGTATTACAGGCCCCAATGCTAAAAGGGATGGTCTTCGCGTCTTTATGGCCAGACTCTTTGAGGTTGTCAATCAATCAACACTGTTGCACACACCCCCTCGTTCATATATCACCCATGTCCAATCAAACGAACACACACAAGCAATCAATCAATCATTCATGCGATCAATCAATCACACGCAAACCACACCACACACACTTTCACACTCATCAAGTCACATGATCGATCGATCAAATAAAAAAAAAAAGGTATCACCATCGGAAACATCACACATGTAATTGCATTGTTTGATCCGTTCAGTGATCGATCAACAACCTCATTTAAATGTGTCTGTGATGTCTCGTGATCAGAGCCCTATGTTGTACCTCCCCGCAATCCATAAACACCTCTCTACTCCTACAAGGAGACCATCCATCAATCCATCACATCACCAAAGTGTTCAAATGAGTACCTAACCTATAACAAGGGCGATGGCGGTGGCCGTGCTGGCGGTGGCGGCGACGGGTAGGGGCTCTCTCTCAACCGTATCCGTCTATCTATATTAGGACTCAATTGAACAATTATCAATGTTCCTATATTTCTACTACTACTAAATCCTATTTTATCATTCATTATACTAATTCTACAAGTTGTAATCAAACATATAATAGATTAACATACTATACATATTTGATTGATTGGTAATGGATAATAATGAAGAAGCTGTGGACGAATGTAATGTATTCGTCAAGTTCCTCCCATGTACATACAATGAATATGGTATGTCAATCAATCAATCATTCAATCAATCATACTAATTCACAAGATTACTAATAATTGATTGATTGGAACCATTCCACCATCATCACCCACCATGACCTAGACCTATATACATTATTTAGATCATGTGGCACTATACTCAAAGTTAAAGTAATGATCAATACAAAGACTGATAAGAGTCTTGGATATGGGTTTGTAAGGTTTGCCAGTCCTGATCAGGCAAAGGACGCTGTTTCCAAAATGAACCGTGTTCAAGTGGGCCACAAGACCTTGTTATGCAAGTTGTCCAAACCATTACAACTACCATCTCCAAATATATTTTATGGACTTGGTGGAGCGAATGGAGCAAATGGCGCAACTGGTAATGGTCCAAACTCTTCCGAAATCAAGGATGACGCCCCACCAACTTGTGATCTGTACCTGAGGATACTGTCGCCAACTATTACCGATGCCAAGTTGAAGGCATTCTTTGATCCATACGGTCATGTCATGGATTGTTATGTACACACGACCAACTTTGGCAAGTCCAAACGTACTGGCTACGTCCGTTTTGCCACCACCGATGAAGCCACTGCCGCACTATGTGGTACACGAGGTACCCTACTACTTGGAGAGACTCCTTTACTTGGTAAGTCATACATTATTCAATCAATCACTTTGATGACTTGGACTGACACTCATTTATTCAATCAATCAGTCAACTACCAAAGCCGGGCACAATTACACAAAGATAATAATAATTCCAGTTCCACTACGACAACTTCCACTTCCACATCAACTTCCAACACAACTACATCAACCAATGTATCACCTGTGGTAAGCTCCCAGGTGCCATTCCATCAGAAGCAACAACAACATAAACAACAAATACAACAACTACAATTACAACAACAACAACAACAACAACAGCAACAACATTCAAACAACGCCATAAACGCCAACACCAATAACAACAATAATAACTATTATATAACTCAACAACAACTTTCACCGAAGCAGAAGCAACAACAACAACAACAACAACAACACTTAGATAGCATATACCAATGTCCATCTACTTCTCCACCTTTGCACTCAGTCTACCATCGCCCACCAAAGACTCCATCTCCACCACCCGTCCCCAATCACTACCAATCCTACCAACATACACCAACATCACAACATGTTATATATGTATATCCCCAAGCTCCTCCACATCATCCTCATCCCCATCCACATCCTCATCCTCTTCAACATCAACGTCAACAACTTCAACAACGCCCACATTCACTACCACCTCCTCCACCACCTCCTTTCTATATACCAATCGACTACGAACCTAGTAAGCCGACATTGTCATCGTCCACTTCATCGCTGTCGGAATGTGATGGAGTGAGTGGCGGCAACAATCACAACCTCATTGTGAGGACACAATACGACATTGACTTCTCCGAGTTGTACAAAGCATTCTCCAAGTATGGCCGACTACAAGGACTAAAGATTAACGACAGGAGTGCCAATGGTACAGTATGTTCAACCGTCAGCTTTGTCAGTAGTGATGATTGTCATCATGCCAAGTTCTACCTTGATGGTGCTGAGCTTGGTTCACAAACAATCAAAGTTGACTATGAACATCGACATGTCCTTTCAACATCATCCGTTGGTTTCGAACAACAATATATACCATCAACAGATGAACAACTATATACCTAACATTCCATCATTCATTCAGTCACCTATATACAATCAATCAAACATCATCATCATCCACTAATATATAATCACAATCCAATCATATATCATAGAATCATATAATAACAACAACAACATATAACTACAACATATAACTTCAATCAAATAAAAAACAACATATTTGAATCAACAACTACTATCATTGACATTTAATGACATCATGTGAGCAAGCAAGTGATGCGTGTACATCACCTGGGTAATACATGTGGAAGCAAATATCAATATTTACAACAACAATTCAATTTCACCTTTGCAGGATGAACAGATTGACGCGTTTTGAGCACGATGGTATCGAAGCAGGGCCGAAAAGCCAACTTTATACCCATCGTAATGCCCAAGACCAAATAAGGCTTGTCATGGTGGTGTCTAAAGAATCGACCCATTAATGGGCTATGCTCAATACCAGCCTCATGTGACCTATGGGGCAGGTGCTCGTGAGACTATTAGGGTAGGTTAGTTAGTGATTGATCTATCCTAACCAATCATATCTTTCTTGTTGAACAACACTTGAAGAGCAGTAATAACAACAACATTGTTGTCTCCTCACTCACTCATTCAACTTACAACTTGTATTCATACATACACACACTACAACATCTACAACAACACTACTACTACCACATCACCCACATCTTACACCTCTCACCACAGACACACACGCATATTCATTCAAGTCAAAGCTTGTCAATCTCTTGAATACCAATCAACATCACGTGACTGATTCATACTACCTTTCTACCTTTGGTTTAGTCTACTCTACTCTATTATCTATTACACATAAATAATAATATTATGATGGCATCACCTCTAGAATCACCATTCCCACCTTCACCTCCAAATGGAAAGAATACATTGACCGTGACTGATAATCGCACGGGAAAGACTTATGAGATCCCAATCAACCAAGAGACGGTCAAGGCATTGGACTTTAGACCAATCAAAGAGAATCCATCTGACTTTGGTACAATGTATGTATTGCTTTGGCCAACATCCCAAAAAATGAATGAATGAATGAAAGGAATCATTCCAACTGACCAATCATTCAATCAATCACAAAGGATATATGACCCAGGTTATTATAATGTAGCCGTTTGCAAGTCACATATCACCTATATTGATGGAGACAAGGGTATATTAGAGTACAGAGGATACTCAATCGATGACCTGGCCAACAACTCAACCTTCTTGGAGGTTGCCTACCTCTTGATCTACGGATCATTGCCAAACACTGTAAGTTTGAGTGATGTTTTATGTTGCCAATACATTGAACTAACGAACATCACGATGAACAATAGACTCAATTAGACTTGTGGAGCACAAAGATCATGAATCATACATTCATTCATGAGAACTTGATCCAACTGATGAAGTCCTTCCGTTATGATGCACATCCAATGGGTATGCTTATCAGTTCAATGAGTGCCATGTCTACATTCTATCCAGAGGCCAACCCTGCATTGCGTGGAGCCGACATCTACAAGAACAAGCCACTGATGAACAAACAAATCTTCAGAATCCTTGGTAAACTACCAACCATTGCCGCATGTGCCTATCGTCATCGTATTGGAAGGTATGTTTGATTGACCATAATGAATGACCACTATGATTGAATGATTGACTAACTTGTTCACAACAACAACTAGACCCTACAACAACCCAATCAACACTCTCTCATATACTGAGAACTTCTTGTATATGTTGGATCGTTTGTCCGAGACCAACTACAAGCCACATCCAGTGTTGACTAGAGCTTTGGACAAATTGTTCATCATTCATGCCGATCATGAGTTGAACTGTTCAACAGCAACAATGCGCCAGATCTCCTCCACATTGGTCGACCCCTACTCAGCCGTGGCTGGAAGTGCCAGCGCGCTCTACGGCCCACTGCACGGTGGTGCCAACGAGGCAGTTTTGCATATGCTCGAGGAAATTGGATCGACCGACAAGATTCCAGCATTCCTCGAGGCCGTCAAGCAGAAGAAGCAACGTCTGATGGGCTTTGGACATCGTGTGTACAAGTCCTACGATCCACGTGCCAAGATCATGAAGCAGGTGACCGAAGAGGTTTTCTCGCTGCTTGGCAAGAGTCCACTGATGGACATTGCCACCGAGCTCGAGAGGATTGCCCTCACGGACAAGTACTTCATTGACCGACAGCTCTATCCTAATGTTGATTTCTACAGTGGAATCATTTACAAGACAATGGGTTTCCCAACTGATATGTTCCCAGTCTTGTTCTCAATTCCAAGAGCAGCAGGATGGCTTGCACATTGGGTCGAGTCACTGTCTGATCCAGACTTGAGAATATTCAGACCTCGCCAGATATACCTTGGTCGTCGTGGACAGAAGTATATCCCATTGAAGGAGCGTGAGGGACCTCAACATGAGGAGTTGACCAGCTATGCCTCTGGAATGTCATCCAGAAGGAGAGTGTCCGATCTGTACGATGAGACCAATGCCATTCCCAAGACTGTCAATGGTTCCAAGCAGAAGGAGTCAAAGTCCATCGAAGAGTCCTTTGGTAGCACTACACCAGAGGCAACTGCAACAACATCGTCCACCAACAACTAATCACATGGTCGTAGTCAATCTTTTATGCATTCCCATCCAGACCAGGAGTTTGGTTTGGAATATGTATTAACATTATATATATATACTTTCAATCATTCAATCATTCAATCAAACAACCAGTCCAAAAAACAGATAAACATAAAGTGATCGAACCAATCATTTCTAAAAATAGTCTGGATATGAGTGTGTGGGGTTTTGATCAGTTTTGCAATTCGGTGAAGTTTTGTTTGTGAAGTTGGATCAGATCAGGAATTGTGGTATCATTCAAGAATAGATCAGTTTCTGGCCTTTTAAGCAACCATCCATCAGAATAATCAATCATGTAAATAATAATAATAATTACAACTTGTAAATATATACAATCACAACTCCAATCAATCAAACAAACAAAATATAATAATTGTAATAATAGTCAATCAATCAAACATATAATAATAATCAAACAAACAACAATGGACTTTGCATCAAACTATGTACAGGTGGATATTTCTCCACTCGATTCGGAATCCAGACTGGAGTACTTTGACAAGAGTGAGTTGGATCATCAAACCTACACCACGTCCACATCACTTTATGGAAAGATGAATGCTGGAATGGACTCGGGCACATGTCTGCTCGACATCCTTGATACTGCCGGCCAGGAGGAGTACTCCTGCATGCGCGACCAGTACATCAGGACGGGCCAGTGCTACATGATCGTCTACGACATCACGCGTCGCTCCTCATTCGAAGAGGTTAGCGCCATCAAGGAGCAGCTGGACCGCGTCAAGGACTGCACCGACCTGCCCGTGATCATCGTTGGAAACAAGAATGACAGGGAGGATGAGCGACAGGTGTCGCGTCACGAGGGTGAGGTTCTGGCACGCTCACTCAACTGTATCTTCAAGGAGACCTCTGCCAAGAAGAGAACCAACATCGAAGATTCATTCTTTGACTTGATTCGCATCACACCTCGCCAGCAAATGGACTACAAAGTGGTCGTCGTCGGAGCCGGTGGTGTTGGCAAGAGTTCAATCATCATCCAATTCATCCAAGGTCATTTCATTGATGAGTATGATCCAACTGTATGTATATCAAACATGGATTGGAATAATTCCAGTCCTCAATCAAACATCCAACACACACACTGACAGTCAATCAATCAACCATTCGATGTAGATTGAGGACTCATACAGGAAACAATGTTACATTACTGGATTGAAGCCAATTGGATCATCATCACGTTCATCAACATCATCAGGTTCATCAGGATTCTTGAGCAAGTTGTTTGGTCGTGGTAGCACTGACACAAAGGTCAAGACACCTGCAGCTGATCCAAAGGCCAAGAAGAACCATGAGGGACAGATCTCAACTCGGGCACAGGACGTCAATGTGGTGTGCACCTCAATGTCTTCACTCTCATCTGCCGTCACCCAAATGACAGGTGATCCCATCAAGTGCTTTGGATGCAACATCATCCTCAACCGCTACTCTGACCTCCAGTCCAACTCGAACGGCACCTACAACTGGAAGTGTGAGTTCTGTAAGCAGGTCAACCAGAACCTCCACATTGACAAGGCTGAGATACCAGGCAAGGACTCTGTCGAGTACATTCTCTCGGCGCCAAATGCTGGCGAGGGCCTAAACAAGGACGACTCTATCATTGTCTACTGTGTCGATGTGTCTGGCTCGATGGGCATCACTACCGAGGTGCCTCAACTTCAGTCCGAGTGGAAGAACCTCCGCAACAAGGGTGCCGGTGCCACCTCGGGACCAAGCTACATCTCCCGTTTGGAGTGTGTGCAATCTTCCATCCCGACGATGCTCGACCGTCTTTCTCTCCAATGTCCAGGTCGCCGTGTCGTGTTGATCACATTCTCCGAACATGTTGTCATTCATGGCATGTCATCTGGTGATGCTGTCACTGTTGCCGGTGACAAACTCAATGATTATGATCAGTTGCTTGGTATTGGTCAAGAGTCTAGGAAATACTCCGAGTTGCCAACAATCTCCAATGCTATCAGTTTGTTGAAGGACCGTATCAAATCATTGGAGCCCGAACAATCAACTGCTCTTGGACCTGCTCTGTTGCTGGCCGTCTCAATTGCCTCACAGCGTCCACTAGGCGAGGTGGTCATCTGCACTGATGGCATGCCCAACGTTGGTCTGGGTGCGATTGAGGACCTCCCATTGGCCCCAGCCCGCGCATTCTATGACCGTGTCTCCAACTTTGCCAAGTCCAAAAAGACATCAATCAGCATCCTTGGCATCAGTGGATGTGACATTGATCTTGGAGTGATTGGCCGTGTTGCCGAGGAGACCAAGGGAACCGTGACCACAATCCACCCCTTGGAGATGGCTCGTGAGATCCGTAAGCTGACCCAGAATCCAGCCATTGCCACTGATGTCGAGTACAGCCTCTGTTTGCACCCCAATCTTGAGTTCACCTCCTACGACTCCAAGGCCAACCTTAGCCGTCTGGTACAAGAGTACTCCAACGTCACAGCGCAGACTGACCTCTCGTTCATGTTTGGACTACGCCCCAGGATCACCAAGGATGCCTTGCTTCGCGAGTATCCATTCCAATGCCAGATCAAGTACACCAGATTGGATGGCATGCGGTGCATGCGTGTGGTGTCCTGTTCCAAGCTGGCCACTCAGAAGAAGGAAGAGGCCGAGAAGGACGTCAACCTGAGCTTGCTCGGACTGGCCTTTACTCAGCACTCTGGAAAGATGGCCGACAAGGGAGACTTTGCCTCGGCAAGATTATTCCTAAAGTCGGCCTCCAGATTGATGGAGAGGGTGCGCCAAAGCGACGAGCAGTATGAGGAGTTTTACAACTTCTCGGTGCTCAAGGCTGAGATTGATGAGGCACTCGTCCAGTGTCTAAAGAACCGCGACAAAAAGATTGACAAGGTGTCTGATGATGTGACCAAGGTGTTCCTCAAGATGAAGTCAGTGCACAAGTCCGAGGTGATCAGTGGTGCCAAGAAGGACATTTCCAGAAGGAGAGGCGATGAAAGAATGAACAAACAATATTATGGAATTAAGTTTTAAATAAATGTTTTAATATATTGTTGATTGTTTAAAATCAGATCAATATCTCTTCTATGTTAGTTGATATGGGATTAAGGAAGAATATGTTTTTATTTAAAAAAAAAAATGCAGTTTTTTATATTTAACGTTTGAATTTGGTTGTTGGGTCATCAAATTGCTCGATTAGCTCAGTCGGTAGAGCACGGTGCTAATAACGCCGCGGTCGCAGGTTCGATCCCTGCATCGAGCAAATTCTTAATGCCAATTTATTAAGGCAAAATTTTTGGAGGACTCTGGGAAGAACACCCCATACTCCAAAAACCAAGGACACCGCCTACGGCTCCAGCTTCATCAACACGATGGCACTGGACCGCGCCAGCTTCCATTGGGATGAAGGTGGCCTCAACCTCTGGGACATTGGGCTCAGATCAATTGCCTACAAGGTTTGGGCAATGCTCCGTAAGTTCAGGTGAATAGTTATTAACCTTGATCTGTAACTGTGGGATGTGTCCAGCTTGAAGTGATTGATTGAAATATGTAAACGACAGATGTGTCACAGACTGTGGAGTGTGTCCAACTTCAAGTGATCGATCGAAAGCAGAAAATGATAGACGTGTCACAGACTGTGGAATGTGTCCAACTTGAAGTGGTTGATCGTAAGCTTTAAATGATAGACGTGTCACAGATTGTGGAATGTGTCCAACTTGAAGTGGTTTACTGAATGCTGAAAATGATAGCTGTGTCACAGATTGTGGAATGTGTCCAACTTGAAGTGGTTGATTGAAATATGAGAGTGATAGATATGTCACAGACTGTGGAATGTGTCCAACTTGAAGAGGACTATTAAATCTGTCAAGAGATAAATGTGTCACTGAATGTGGGACATATCCAACGTGAAGGGGCTTGTTTAGTCGTGCATTGCGCATCTTTGTTATTTGTCCGCATTCTACAAAGTGATTCTCCAATGCAGGTGCGATGCTCCTTTGTTGATAGAAGATATTTCTGTTCACCAAGAGTAGACAATATACGTCAATACAGGCAAGATATGACATAATTATTCTTGTTATATAGAGCGGTAGCGATAAAAGCATGGTTTTGTTCCTTGTTCCTTGTTCCTTGTTTTGTTATTCTTTTTGTTCGTTGGCTGGGTGGTAGTGGAAGTGAAGAGATCATTTTTTCAAATCTTCTGTTTCTGTTCTCTTCTTGAACAAAATTGAAAAAATTACAAATAAATCTTTTTCTTCTATTTTCACCTATTAGATAATCACAATCACTATCTCTATCTATTTATTTTTATAACATAATGAGGATGAAGTTTCAAGTTTCGAATGCTTCTTCTGCTACTATCACTTGTGATCATCTTGGCAGTTACATGCAGCAGAAAACTCAGTTCCCTCAACATTCCTAGACCTGGAAAAACCAAGGTGGCGGTCAATATCTACCGAGGATGGACCTGTGGGGGGAATAAAAGCTATTTTCCGTTGGGTATCACTTGATTGTCATGATGTCTGGCAGACATAAGGTTTGTGCTTCAGGTGAGTTTCGATCTCACGACCTTGGCATAACCCAAGTTTCTACTGTAATATAAGTACCACACTCTACCGGCTGAGTTACAGAAGCATTAAAATAAAAAAAATTATTTGTAATGATTTTCTATCGAAAAATTGGGCGTTGCAAAAATCATTCAAGTTTATTTAGTTAATTAGTATGGAATTATTTAAATTGGTGTGTGTAAATAATATTTATTATGTATAGAATTCTAGCACCAGATATATATCTACATGGAGGATGATCGTTCTTATGTTAGGCCTTGTCCAGGTTCTGGAAGAGTGAATGTTGTGGTTGTTGACGTTGTTGTAGTAGTTGTAGTTGTTGTTGTTGGAGGTGTAGTAGGATCTGACACTATTGGTGACTCCTCATCCTCCTCCTCCTCCTCTTCCATTTGAACTGCTCTTGGAGGTGTTGTCAAAATTGGAGTGTTTGGTCCGGACACTGTTGGTGGAGCAATAGTGAATGGTTGTTGTTGTGGTGAGCTCGTGTCTTCTTGGTCGCTGGCTTGCTCTGTACCCTTCTTTGATGACCTTCGTTTCCTCTTTGGTGTGTCTGGGTTGACTCCAGCCTCTTGCGATCCCGCAATATCCTTCATCCTCTCTAGTGGCACAAAGTCATCCGCAGTGAACGCCGGACGCTCCTTCTTTCTTCCAACAAAGTTGCTGACAATCATCTGCTTTTTCTTGTTGATTAACTCTTGATACTCCTGGAGCAGTGGTGACTTGCTGTTCAGTGTCTTCCATCGTCGCCAACATTGATTGTCAGTTCTACACACCATCTCTTTGGCTACCTGTGCCCATTTGCCCATTCCAAGCCTGTCGACAATTGTTTTCAGCTTTGCGTCCTCCTCATCTGTCCATGGTGCTCTCGTCACTACTGGGTCCATAACATTGCACCATCTCTCTCTACACTGCATGTCCGTCCTACCGGGCACATGATTCTTGATCAATATCCAGTTTCCTCGACCATACAGCTCGACCGCCTTGCGCAGCTGATCGTCCTCCTCATCACTCCATCGACCCCTCTTGATCGTTGGGTCCAATGTCTTTTGCCATCGATGTAGACATTGGTGTCCGGTCCTTCCATCCAGTGCCTCGGCAATCCGTTGCCAACTTCTCTCGCCCATTCCATTGTATTTGAGGAACTGACTCATGAGTATCTCGTCCTCCTCTTTGGTCCACTCGCGTTTCATAAAGTTGGTGTTGAGACTGCGCTGATATCGTTGACAGCATTGAATAGGCGATCGGCCTGTGCCGAGTTCTCTGCAGATTGAGCTCCAATCGTGACCCTGATACTTCTTTGCCAGCTCGAGCAACTTCTTGTCCTCCTCCTTGGTGAATGGCTCCTTGTTGATGGAGGGATGTTCGTGGTTCTTCCAGCGCAGCTCACACTCTAGTGGAGTCTTGAGTGAGAGGTACTCTGAGCTGATGTGTTCCCAGTTGATTCCAACCAGGTTGATCTCCATGTCACGTTCGGTGAGGTTGCTAACCATCTGCATCTCGCGTTGGTACTCCTCCTTTGACAGGTTCTTCTCTGATATCTCAAAGAGTTTCAATTGTAAGTTCTTCTCTCTGATACCTTTGGCTAGTTGCATACAATCTGCCTTTGTCCCTGTGGAAGTTGAAAAGGTTAATAATAAGTTGGATACAAGGAACTGCTCTCCATGGGTGTACATACATCTCTTTCCTTTGAATGATACAGGCATTGTACCAAAATGTTGTTTGACCAGTATAGTGTCTGGATTGTCTGGCGGCAGCTCACCAGTCTCCAAGGCAAAGTATGGATGTCCTGGCTTCTTATCTGAGTGTTTGTTTGATTTGGAGGTAGTATTGGTGAAGCTTGCCTTTGCCTTCCTCTATATGATTGAATGAGTAAAGTTAGTTGTGATCGAGTACTCGGCATGCCAATTGAATGGATACTAACCAGTAGGTCTTGATTCTTCTCGATTGCAGACTCTATCTTTTCAAGGTATCGCTTGATTGACCTTTGATACTCAAGATTGAGACTGAGAGCTGAGCTAATATCGATGCCATTGCTATCAACTCTTGATGATGACGTTGTTGTTGTTGTTGAAGTGGAGGAGGAGGTCGGATGTGCTGGTGGTATGGGTCTATCAATGTTCATTGGTTCATTCATGCCCGATGTCATATGTCCGTTTGCTGCGGGACCATTTCCATTGACAATGTTGTTGCTGGTGTTGTTTGTCGTTATACGTTGACCATGTCCACTATTGGTTCTCAACTTCTTTGTTGGTTGTTGTTCATCCATGTCGTCTGTGGCATCAAACAAGTCAATGCCAACTGATGGCAAGGCATTTGAAGCGGCCGTAGTCTGTTTGTTGTGGTCCTCGTCGTCAATCTCCAACATGTCATCCTTGTCCTTATTGTACACTGGTAAAAAGGGCAACTGATGAACTGATTGATGGTCATCATCTGCTTCCTGTTGCTGTTGATGTTGTCTGTGTAAACTCGTATTTACACCATCATTGTCATCATCATCGTCGACTTCGTAGTCATCATCAGTGTCGTCATCGTCACCGTTGGTGGCTCCAACAATGACATCATCTACGTCATTACTAATGACACTCTCCAAGTTCTTCAAGTCCTCCAAGTCTGCATCATAGTTATTATTATTATTATTTGTAGTTGATACGATTGATACTATCTTCTGCTGATGCTGATGATGAGTTAATGTAGATGTGGTTGTTGTTGTTGAAGTTGGTTCTGAAGTTGTATTGATGATATTGATCTCATTGTTATTGCTTCCACTATCAACATAGACTGTACTATCATCCATTTATAAGTCACAAACAAACACAAGTTATAAGTTGAGTGTAGTTGCAGAATGACTTCATTAATCCCATAATACATCCTTTTCAACAATGACCCACACATTCCCATAATTACATTTTTCGAAAATAAATAAATAATATCTCTTTATTTATTCAAGGTAGTGGATGACACTTGGTACAACCTTGAATACATTTGGTAAAGTTTTGAAGGCATGTTTGGAATAATGGGTAGCAGACCTTGAAATTATCTATCTCTGTGATCTTTGAGCTGTTACACTTTGATCTGAGGTTGAATGGAAGATCCACATTAACTGCACATTTGGTAAAGTTGAATGCACATTTGCCATTACATAATAGACTGGACTTATCAAAGTCCTCATCACCTAAGCTAACATTGAATCCAATACAAAACAATGCCAATACAATTAATAAAACAATTAAATATAACTTCATCTTTGTTTAATAAATTATTAAATAAGAATTATTATAATATATAAATTAACGTTCTAAATTAATATAAATATTAATAATAATGAATGAATATACAATGTTGGATATGGAAATTTATATATATATCATATATTATATCTTGGTCATCCTGGATTCCGGAATATCTCTTTGATAATTGAGTGTGATTGGATTGTGTTGTGGTGTGGTGTGTTTGTTGGGCACACACTCCAATCAAGTTCGTCCTGTCGATGATCGATGGATCAACGTCGACATACAGTACTGTAAACTACAGTAGTAGTAGTAATGTATGAATAAAGGATGTATGAAGCAATTTCATTCATTCATTCATTCCATTCCACATATACACATTCATTCATTTAATTGACAATGTCTTGATGAATGGGCCTTGTAATTTGTTGTTGCGAGGATGGTGAAATGTCCAGACACATAGTGCTGTAGTTGAGAGTGAAGACATGAATCGAATATGATAGCTACTGCTCACCACTGAGTAACAGTTGAGAAAGTCTACATTATACTCTTCGATCACATTGGGCACTACTCTCAACAATGTATGCAACAGGTCATCATCGTCACCTGATCGATTGTAATGAATTGAAAGGTGTAGCTCTCGCAGATGTTGTTGTGGATGATGTGTCTGCTGAAGATCTAACTTTGTTACATCGCTGTAGTTGATCTCATTGACGTGCACCACTTCGATCGGTGATCCATCCATCGCTGGACATTGTGTAACATATTGACATTGGATCACATTGGCAATGGACATGCGTGTGACACTGCGTGGCAGGACACATTGTGTGAATGGTCGATTGAAGCTGGTGCCTATTCCGAGCCAGGTAAGTGAGGGTGGCAGTGCACCCTCCTGCAACGGATAGTTGAAGTAGAATCCAAAGTGAAGTGACGTAAGGGAGTGAGGGAGCAGGCCTGGAGTAATGGGCTGGTTGAATAGACTGCCAAATTTCAAACATTGCAGAGACTTAGGTAGGACATTTGGTATGAGAGGTTGGTTGTAGTTATTACCAAATAATAATGTTGTCAATGATGATGGGAGCTCATCGAGCATCGGTTGATTGTAGAATCGTCCAAAGGTGAGTGTAGACAACGACTTGGGGAACGAGCCGCCAGTGTGTATCTTGTTGTAGTTCTTACCGAGAGTGAGATGAGTGAGGGATGGTGGAAGTGAGCCTGGAGTGTTCAGTGTTTGTTCAAAGCATTCGCCAAGATGAAGCTCGAGTAGTGATGAGGGTAATGAGCCAGGTATCAAAGGTTGGTTGAATTGATAACTATATACAAGTCGTGTGAGTGATGATGGCAGTGATCCTGGTAAACATTGTTTGTTGTAGCCTTTGCCAAACTTTAACTCTATCAATGACATGGGCAGTGTACCCACTTTGAGAGTTTGATTAAATCGGTAGCCAAATGTTAAGGTTGTGATTGAGTCTGGGAGTGATGATTGTACAAGTTCTCTGTTGTAACAATAGCCAAACTGAAGATCAATCAATGATGATGAGAGGGACAATGGTGCGATTGGTTGGTTAAAGTTGAAACCAAACCTTAGACGAGTGATGGTTGATGGCATTGATCCTGCTAAAATGAACTGATTGAATGCACCTCCAAACTCAAGATATGTAAGTGATCCTGGTAATACATCTGGATTGATCGATCGATTGAAACAACTTCCAAGTGTCAATGACTTTAAAGTCGAGGGTAGCACACCAATGTTCAACTCTTGATTGAATCGAGTGCCAAGTTGAAGTGATGTCAATGTGCGAGGGAGTGATCCAATCTCAATGGATGTACCATCATAAGTGAGTTCAAGTATATCATTCGAGCACGTTGTCATTGTTGTAGTACTTGTAAGTCTTGCAAGTGATTGCAATGGTGACACCTTATTCAAGATACTCAAATGTCTCTTGCAAGTTAGACCAAAGCAAACCAAGTTCAACAGTTCATCATTCAACAATCTCAAGATGATCTTGATACATGTATCTGGAAGGCTGTTCATTCACTTGACTTGATTGATTGGTATGTATATGTTATATTAAATGATTAGAGATAATAAATGAAATGATGAATGATCGATCAAAACCACCAAACAAGTTTACTTGTTACTATTCAGCTTCTGTTTGGTGTACTCCCACATTAGGATTGATCCACTAACATGGACATTGAGTGATCGGATGATTCCAAACTGTGGTATCTCTATGCACCTGTCGAGAAGGTTGATGTACTCAGTAGGGATACCCTCCTTCTCCTTGCCCAGCAGTATGACGGTCTTCTCAGGGAACTTGTACTCCTCAAGCTTTGAGCTGGTCGATGTCTGCTCGAGTCCCAACAACGTGTAGCCCTCTGCCTTCTTGGCGAGCAGATAGGTGGTCAAGTTCTTCTCCTCGACCTCGATAGTTGGCAGCCACCGCTCGGCAGACACCGATATTTGTTGGAACATAGGATCGTTCATGACGGCCTTCCTCGACACGACCAATGACTCCACGTTGAAGATCTCTGATGTACGTGCTAGACCGGCCAAGTTGGGTATCTTGTCGACAAAGGTGGCCACGACGATGATCCTCTGTCTCTCTCTCGCCATGATGTTGTATCTCGACTCATCATCAATCTCATTCCAAGGCAGTATCTTCTTTTGATATCCTGTCACCTGACCATCGGCAACCATCTCAATGTATGCATCGGGATCAATAGCCTTTGTGATTGTAGCACCAGCAGTGATGTCATCCTCTGCTGCCACGTCATTGTCCACAGCCATGTCCTGTTGTTGATCAGTTGTTGGTGGCGTGGTGGCGGCGGCAGGTGTGTTGTCCATATCAAGAACCAACTTGGACTTCTCAAACAAGTATTGTCTGAGTTGGAAGGTCAATGGTGACTTGAGAATCACCTCATCAACAAGGAACTCAAACACTCCCTACATACGTGTATACAATGTTAGTGAGCTATACTCTATCTTGTGCGTCCCAGCTCTACTTACAGGTGCACAGATCTCGCTGGTGGCCAACTTGTCAATGATTGGGATGTCGTAGTAGAGGTTTTGGTAATCTGTGGCGCTGACCAATTCGTCTACGCAGCCCTCTCCCTTGGCGGTACGGATGGAGAGATGAGCTGTTAGACGCTCCAGTCCCTTGGAGGTCTGGATGTTGGTCCTGATGTACCATTCCATCTGCTTAAGATACTCTAGCATGCCATTGTCAAGCTTGTCCTCTAACTTGTTGGTCTCGATCATCTTCATCACAACGCCAATCGCAGCGTTACGCACGGACAAGTGATGAGAGTTACAGAATGCCAATATCTTGTTGAAGATTATCTTGACCTGCTCCTTGTTCTGGATGCTCAACAATATGTTGCCAACTGTTACAATGATTGATGTTACGATATCACCTCTAGCATTGATAGAGTCAAGTAGTCTGTTGTGGTAGGGTAGATGTTAGTAATTGATTGATTGGTTGATTGAATGAGCAGGAGATGGACATACGGGATAAAGTGTGTGGCCACAAGTGATTGGAATCTGGATACCATGTTGATGATGAAGATATTGATATATCTTCTTGTGGATGGTAGGTTGTAGACGAGCATGATGTCCAATAACTTCTTGCCGAGTACCTTCAACTTGTCATCATCCTCTGGTGTTACATGATTGGCCAACAAACATAATGCTTGCCATATCCTGATCTAATGATGATTGAGTGATTGGGTCAGTGGGATCAATCCGAGTGATCCAAGGTAAGGCAACATACTCTCTTTCTGTGTGGTTGAGTATTGATGAGATGTTCAGTCTTCTTGGTGAACTCTTTGGTGAGATTGATATCGATCATATACTCAGAGATACGATTGACGAATTCATAATTGCCAGTGGAAGTTGCCAACACTCCCATCTTCTTGATAAATGTTGCCAACACTGCACGTCCAAATGCATCCTTCAAAGGAATGCTTCCAACTCCATACTGTTGCTCATCAACATCATTCTCCAATGCTGCGTCCACGCCCATATCGAATGCAAACGTCGAGAATCCACTGTGGTGATTAAATGTAGGTTAGCGAATGAATGGGTACCAGTGATGGAATGAAGGATTAAATTTACATGATTGGATCATAGAACTGTGGAGAGATGTCGTTTGATTGATCCCAGTCGTCTTCCTTGCGAATTGGTCCAAAGATCAATGAGAGATAGATCTCATCGATGTAGAGCAGTGCAATGTCGGGTCGCTCGATCCATACGGGCGTGCACTTCATCACCAAGAGGTTCATCAGTCCGACCATCGTGTCGGATAGTGTCAACACCTGTCTAAAGTACTTCTGGAGTACGGTGTGATGGTTGTGTCCGTCCATGTCGCTGGGCATATGTGCCAACAGTGCTGGACAGAATGCCAATTGAACGAATGCCGTCATCGATGTGAATAAAGTGTCGTTGGCCGATGCGTACGCTGATGATACGATTCGCTCGATTGTGTCAACGTCGTAGTCTCCAGTCTCCTGATCGATGGCGAATGGAAGTAACAGTTGAGCACAGTTCATGATAGGTTTGATGCTATATCTGTTGGCTCCACTGACAGCATCAATGATGTCCTCCATCATCTCCTTTGAGTTATCGGCCAGCAACATCAATCCATTGGGTGTGGAGTCGCTGAGGATTGTGAGTAGGTTACGGATGCACTTCCACTTGATCTTCATAAAGTAGGCGAGGGTGTTGCCCCAATCCTGTGCGTTGAGTCCATGGTCAAAGGTATCCTCTAGTGGACGCTGCAACGACAATGGGATGAGCATGGTGATTGATTGTTTGAGTTGTTCGGTACTAAACAGTTGGACTCTTCTTCCAAACACTCCATAAAAGTATTGGAACAGAGTGATTGATGCAATCTGATCCTTCCATGATCTTGACCTTGATGGCTTTGTCGTTATCAACTTGGTCACATACTCATCCAAAGTATTCTTCTCAACCATTCCAATGATGAATGACACAATAGACATCAAAGAGTCACCAAACTCAAGCTTGACCATGTTGTTAATAATGTGTTGATTGTTGCTAACAACATCCTGCGTGATGATCATAAGGTTAGTGAGTCTGGCCAGACATAGTCAAGAATGTACGAGCTTACATTGTTGATCAAGTAACGAATGAATGTTGTGGCAAAGTTGTTGGTTGAGAGTGTGTCGCGTAGTTGAGCGGCCTGTGTGTTTGAGATGGAGTTGGAGAGAATGGTCGAGAGTAGTGTAAGGCTGTAGATGCATGTGTTGCTGAGCTCACTAGCATTCAATGTGATGCCACTGATAATGTCACCAACTATAGATTTGAATCCAATGTCTGATGTGTAAATCGCCAGTCTGGAGAGCATGTAGCATTTGGTCTTCATACGCACGAATGTGTCTCCATCGCTCACCAGACCATCTCCAACCAGAGAATTGTTGGCAGCAATCTCCTGAGTGATGTTGTTTGTCAACCAGTTGGCATCTGAGAATCCAGTTCGCTGCAGCCATTCTCTGATCAACGCAGAATACTCTGCGACTGTGTGTGTCTGGATGGGCACGGTATAAAGTAGTCTGCAGACATTCGAGAATGACAGACCATCCTTAATTGACAATGTGACCAATATCTCCACAATGTACTTGTATGCCCTTGTTCGGTATGTGTGATTCCTAGATTCATCGTTTGATTGAGTTGAGTGAGTGATGATAGAGTGAATGAACGTTGTGATCACAACTTACATCCTTCGACTTGACTCCAATAAAGTGAGGATTCTCTCGACGTGGGAGTCATCGATGAAGCATAGCTCTTCTTGTTTCCTGCCTTGGTTAGCGCGGCCAAGGAAGGCAAGGGCGGCGGCAATGAAGTCCCTGTAAAGGACCTGGTTTGAGATGAAAGTGAGCAACTGAGAGAGGCATTCTCCTTGTAGCAATGGCGTGTCCAACGAGTTGTAATAGGTGTCAAAGAAGTGTTGAAGTGCCGGGTTGATCGTGTCCTCTGTAATTCCACGGTAGAGCATTGGGTTGGTCACAGCCTTGATCAAAGTGCCAAAGACAAAGTGCATGGGCAGTCTTGGGATGTATTGATCAGAGTTGAGGATCACCAGCACCTGGGCCTTGACAACAGCAGGGTTCTCATGGTTCATCACACGTTGGAAGAGGATGTTGATCCAATCAAAGTGGATGCGATTGGTTGAGAGCACCAATTGGTCTATCTCGCGCCATACTGGCTGGATCAAATGAACGTTGAACTCATCGATGGTCTCGTTGATCAGGAAGAACCTGTCCCATTCCCTCTGCCAATGTTCGCTCTCCTCCTTTGACCATTTGTAATGCTCAGTCCATTTAACATTAGACTCATGGTCCTGTTGTTCGATCGACTGTTTGATGATCCTCTTCAAAAGATAGCTGGCACGCTTCCTTATCAATGGATCAGTGTCCATGAATCCAAGCTTGAATGATTGATGTGGTACTGATGTTAGTTCTTGATTGATTGAGTAGACGCCATGTGGATAAACATACTATTTCAAACTTCCAGAAGGTCTCGCTCTCTCTGAGGTCACAGGGGGAGGTGAAGAAGTTGCTGTACTGCTTGGTGAGGATCTTGTAGGCATCGGACTTGATCTGATGATCAGTGATCGACATCATTTGCATGAGGATTGGGACGAATGATCCAAACATTAGGGTTGGAGTGCCATACTCGAGAACGGCTGGGAGAAGTGAGTTGATCAGGGACTGTCTGAGCTCGATGTTGTGTGAGAGCAGCATGCTGGTGAGCAGTGAGCCTCCCACCAAGCTGTTGGTGAACTGCTGCACGGCCTCGGACTTGCTGTGGAACTTGTTCACCAACGATGAGATGAGTGTGAAGACTACCAAATGGTGAGAGAGGTAGTTGCGCGTGTGGCGTGCGTCCTCCTTCTGCGCAACTGGCGTCTGCAAGTCGAAATGGTCGTCATGGTTCATTGTGGAGACAAGGTGTTCCAATGATTGAGTGAGCAGTGACAGCAGATTATCCAACAAATGGATGTTGTCATCGCGAAGCAATGCAGTGAGTGATGTGCATGCCAATGCGTACAGGGGTACGTCGTCACTACAGTTGGTGCTCTCGTCAAGCGAACTGAGTATCGACCAGTAAATATTGCTGTCTCTATTGATTGTAGTCATGCCAGCCATTGTACTAGGGTCATTAGTCTGTACATGAGACAAGAATCTAATGAGCAATTGAAGGTAGAACAATCTTTGTGTTCTATCCTTTGAGTCTCCAGCCTTGCCAATGACAGTGTCACTCTTGTTATTGATGAACTCTTTGTAAATTAATGATATTGTGTTGGTGAGTGCTGAACATAATACTATGTTATTATTGCTACTATTATTACTATTACTATTACATAATGTATAATATATTGAATTGATATATGATGAATGAATCATATCGATTGACTCCAAATCAATACGTTGTTTAAGATATTGATCACATATTGAATGAGAGTACAATTCTAATTGTTTGATTACCATTATCATTGGATCAACCTGTGTTGTTGTTGACGCCATGATTGTAATTGTGTAGTAGTAGTAAGTGTCAATGTGAATGATGGATTGAATGAAGTCGTTCTTTGCAAATAACTCAAGTCGAGAAGAACGAGCGAGTATTTGCTAAAGTGCATGAAGTTCGAAAATTGACTCAAAAGGTGGATAACAACCTGGATGTTGAATTGAGTGTTTTGTGTTCAATGAAAAGTTACTATTGCTTGTAGAGATATAGAGATAGACAATGGGTAACAGGTCACATTCAAGTCAGCAAGCAGTGGACTATACTTGACYTTCAGAACATGAACATGTAAATGGAACACCAGAGAGACATGATCATCATTCAAAGTTCTTTGTATGTTCATTCATTCTTTTATTCAATCAATCATTCAATTATTCAATTATGACAATGGATGGTGATGTTAGTACTAACTAACTACAATTGGTTAATAGGTTGAGTATCATGGTGATAGAGTTGCAATACGTACAAATAATGGAAAGTATATAAGTATAGATGGAGAGAAGGTATATGTATCACCAGAGTTCCATCAAGAACATTCATTGTTCAATATAGAGAAACATGGTCATAATGTCTGTATAAGAGGCATACACGATAACTACTTGGGATTGGACACTGATGGTCGTGTACGAGCACATCATCATGTAACAGATCACGAGATGTTTGAAGAACATGTAGTATTATAATATGAATGGACAGGACATCCCTTAAATACAATGTACAGACAGTTTAATTTAATATCACTATTGTTGTTGTTGTTTGATTGGAGACTCCAATGGCATGCCATTGGACATGGTTGCAGTGCGTGGACTCAGTGTCTTGTCGTAGTGATGATGTTTGATTCCAAAGTGTCCGCATTCGCATACCCATTTGAGTTGTGTCTCTCTGAACATACTGCAGGTGCACAAACGACACTAAGTTGATTGACATAGGGTAGGATGGGTTAGTATTATGATTTGAGTGCGAGTAGACCGATCACTTACATTGATCAATATATCTGTCATAGGAGTTGTGTTGGCGTTGTTGGCGTGTAGATGATGATTGGAGGACTTTGGAGTGGATGGTGAGTCTGTGATGCCATTGGTCTTCTTTAGAACTGGGAATCTGATTGGTGATTGATGTTGTTGAGGTGTCTGTTGTAGTTGTTGTGGCTTTGGTTGTTGTGGTGGTGGCGATGTTAACATTGTCATCTTTCTATCGGCATGCTGATCTATTAGAAGTACTGGTGGAGGTGATGCTGGATATGCGTTGTTATTATTACTAGTATTGAGCTTAATAGGTGTTGATGATGTAGATGTAGTTGTTGTAGTGGTATGTATATTGCCAATGTGACCTGTTGCCGCCGTTGCCGCCGCTGCAGCTGATGAAGAAGCCGATGATGTAGGAGTGTTGATAATGTTGATGCTGCTGTTGCTACCACCAAGTGCCAAGATTGAGGTGGATGAAGTCGATGGTGAGATTGAAGGCGAGCGAGTTACAGACTTGCCGACAACCTGCTCGATCATCTGTCGCTCATTCTGATACTCCATCTCTCTGTCTTTGTTTCGCTCTAGTTCTCTTTCCAAGTATGGTGACATGGATGTTGATGCCGCGGCAGACGATGCTGCTGCTGATGCTGCTGCCGCTGCGGACGATGAAGACGATGTGGATGAGGTGACGGTCAGCGTGGTCGTGCTGGTCGATGGCGAGTTCAGCAGGTACATAGGCTGCGCGCCAATGTTTGTCGTCTTTGGCATCCTCATGCGCTCGATCCTCTTCTCATTCTTCTTTCGCTTGTACAACTCCTCCTCGTATTTGTTCTTCCACTGATTGAGCTCCTCAGACAACTGACGCTCCTTCAGCGACAACAATGACATTGTCTGATGTTGTTGTATTATAACATTCTGTTTCTCCTGTAGTTGATGTGTAGTCTGCATCAACGTCTCTTGCAACACAGACAATGCTTCGGTACTCTTCTCGAATCTATATTGTAACAATTCATTCTGTTGATATAATGATTCAATAAAGTCTAATGAGAACTCTGTATATATATATATGTATGTTAGTATCTGTGTCAATCAAACAACTAACTCAAACAAACATACTGTTATTCTTAATTAAACATGCGAGGTGTGCATCGCCAAGTGAGAGGAATTCGACTTGATCTTCGGCGAGACCAAGTGAGACACATGTGCCATTGATAATCTCTGATTGTGACAATGTATCAGGGAATGTCAAGGCTGGTGCCAATATATCGACCATAATGCCTGTCATTGTTTGGTGTTAGATTAAATAAATAAATAAGTTATATATTAATATATATGATTGATTGACTAGATTGATTGATTGATTGATTAGTTGATTGTGATTGATGTATAAAGTTATAATATGTTATGTTATCTATTTTCAAAATTATAATGGTGTGATTAGTTGTGTTAGATGGACTGAAAGAGTGTAAGTTTACCTTTGATTGATCAATCACACCCCCTTTTCGTTTTTGGTTTTGATCAATTCATTTATTTTATTTAATTTTAATAATCCTATTTTTAGAAAATGAATAATTGTACTTTAACCAGTTTTCAATTATAATTATTTCATTTGATTATTTATTTAATATAAATAAATTAAATAATAATATTATGATATATTGCAAACGACAAGCAAGTTGTCACCCTCTTTTAATTAATTTGATTATTCATGATTCATGATTTTTGATCAATAATATTCTGGATCCAGAGGGAGGTCATCGACAGTGTCAGGAACTTCGAAGAGAACATCGGCCATTAGAGCATCGATATCTGGGTCGTTCACCAGTGCATCCTCTGGGTTGATGGCAATGTTGTCTTACAATAGTTCCCCCTCATAATAGCTGAATGGTGGTGAAGAGAACATACAATAGAATAGGGGTTATTACGAATCATCAATAGTGAAATAAACACCCAAAGATTACATTATATTTCTTGATATATAACACCATTAAATACAAATATTTCTTCAACTCACAATATAACAAGGACGAGAACTCCTCTCATTTGTGCAAATAATTAATACCACTCAAGAATCAATGTCAGAATCTAAAGATATTTATCCTTGCAGTCAACATAACTGGAGTTCCATTGAAGAAGTTCACCCCTTTCGCTCTGATCTATCACGTTTTGATTCATTCAATGGAAATCCATATGGGATCCTCCTTCAAGACGATGAATGTACAGAGGCCTGTAAGGAGAACATCTACAAATTCTGTAATCAAACGAAGATGTACATGGACATGATAATCGCCATCACCGAGAATGAACGAATCGGTATCCAAAATGTATACCCCACTATGGGTTGTTTCAAATATTATTACAGGGGTGTAATGTCTCCAATGGGCATAGAACAAATTCAACGCTTCATGTCCAAACCGTGGCCAAGATTCAACTTCAACAACGAACCAATATGGGACGAGGTCAACCAAGAAGGAAAGGTCATCAAACCCATCATCCCAGGATACGACGACGAGGACTATGACCGGGATGCGAGATATTCTAAATAAAATTGTTACACATTCCATCAACAATAAAAGTAGATTCGATAGAACATATTTGTTGTACACCATTCAGCTCTAATAACCTCAAGGTTCCATTGATATCATTGCATTTACAATACTACAAGAGTATAGAGATAGATATAACAAATGGATTACATCAACAAATGTCAGAGACCAATATATAATATTTATTATATACATTCATTATTGAAATTGAGTTTCATAATAATAATTATTCTACGTTGATGTTATTGTTGTTGTTGTTGTCGATATTATTGAGATAGTCGAGATTGTTGAGATTGTTGAGTTTGTTGAGATTGTTGAAGTTGCGGGCATATATAAGGTGTTGGTTGGCATTGCAAACTTTGGAATGTTATATTTAGTAAGAATCAATTAATTAAAATTCATACTCAACCAATACTTACTCTGGTTCTTTACCATAATATATCTTATGTTTGCTTTGAAGACTCTTTCCAAGGTAATATTTTCGTCACCCAGATTATAAGATACTATCAAACAGATCAAATGAATCAGTAATCATGAGCCAAAGAAATTATAACAAGGATATTATTCCTTACACTTTAAGTTATTTGTATGATTTCCTATTTTGATGCATAGCCAACATTTGATCATCAGTGATAATGATGTCTGGTTCCTTATTCTTTTCAATATTGTTGTTGTTGTTGTTGTTGTTGTTGTTGCTCATTTGATACAAGAGAGATAATTAAAAGAGATAAAATAGAATATATACAATAATAATGAAGTTGATGATATCCTGTGCAAGTGTATAGTGCATCTCTGGACACAGATTATAGTGTTACCCAAACTTTACAGATCAAAAATTAAATCTTAAGATTTAAAGATTTATTAATTGATTGAGGCCATATAGGCGACTGCACCAAGGAATCCAGCTTGATAGTCACAGGCCACCTCATTCTTTACATAGTCTGTACGGTCATCCTTGTATGAATCATCTTGACCTGGGCCTCCAACAAGTGTACCAATAATTGAATATGTGTTGTTGACTGGGTCCATAATGTTATCTGTGAGTGAATGATGGCTGGCACGATGATGTGGATTGATAGGATGATTGGGTCCATAGCCAACGATGAATGATTGTTTGTTTGGGTTATCTCCAAGTATATAGTTGATCTGTGATGCTGTGAATGATGTGTACTTATCGCCCTCACTACCATACACGGACATCAAGAAGGAGGTAGTGGCAGAGTAACGTGCTGGTGCCCACATACGGATCCATGCAAGGCCACCTGGTGTGTAAGGGACGCCACCTCCTGGAAGCCACCAATTGAGGAAGCCCTCAATATCACTGGTGTACGTGTCGTTGTCTGGGAACATCTTGGCCATGAGCAGACAAGTGCCTGGTGCCTTGAGGTCCCAATCGTGTGAGTTCTTCTGGGCCAGTGCACCAATTCCAAACGAGTCATAGTCAGAGACGGCACGGGCCAAGTATGTCTTGTCCTGGGTGGCCTTGTACAGCCAGATGGAGGCCCATACAATCTCATCCTTGTAGCCGGACCATGACTTGTAGAAGTTCTGGGCATCGGGGATTGAGTCAGAGTACACGCCACGGTAGTTGTCTCCAAAGCTCCAGAGTTCCTCTGAGTGCTGAAGACATTTGGCGGCGTATGCTGGATCACGTGACTCAAAGATCATTGAGCAGATGGCCAATGCAGCAGCGGACTCCATTGCCACCTCGGTACCTGGTGCGGTCTCGTTGAGAACATAGGTTGGACGGGGCATGGTCATGAGCTCGGGAGGGCCCCAGTAAGCATGGTCGGCATTGCCCTCACCAACCTGTCCGGCAAACTCGTTGGTACCAAAGTGAGCGGCCATCAGCCAGTCATATCCCCATTGTAGGTCCTCCAGCCATATTTGAGAGGCGCCACACTTTTCGATTGTATCCTCATACTCGAGGAAACCCCAACCAAGCATGGTCATTGAGGCGGACATGGGCAGGGCAAACTTGACATGGTCACCGGCATCAAAGTAGCCTTTGGAGAGGTCACCATCTCCATTGCCATCTGGTGATGAGCCAGGTGATGCATCGGCCAAAGCAGCAGGACCACGCCAGGGCACGTCATTATCCTCAAGTCTTCCGGCTCTGTTGTATTTGTAGAACATTACACCATTGTTCATTACCTCACAGTAGTCATGACCCGAGGCGTCTGGTCCATGATGAGGATGGTGTCCACCATGATGGTTGTGGTGGCCGTGGTGGTTGTGGTGACCACCATGGTGCTTTCCATGGTGGTGGCCGTGGTGTCCGCCATGATGTGGTTCATGACGACGATGATGGTGTTTATGGCTGKGGTGTTGGCCTTTTGGATAATATTAATAAAGTGATCCATTAGACTAATTAATATTATTGTTGAATAACATACCAGCACTTGCCAATGCAATAAGCAGCAACAGGAGAATACAGACTAATGTCAATACTCTCATCTGTGATTAAATTATTATTATTATTATTATTATTATTTACAACAAATAATTGAATCGAGGAGAATGAATGAATGGGTAGGTGAATGTTGAGTACTAATGATATTTGTGAGTCCTTAAGTAGACCATGGTCTTGACCATTACCAAGGCTTAGGCATGCCGAGGCCTGTTTAAAGAACCCCCAGCAGTAATAGATCGCTGAGGAGATGTTTGGTTGGTGTGAATGTGTTTATGTGTGTGTGTGTGTGTGTGAGTGTAGAGTTGACAACAACGTTTCCATTGCATGTTCACAGATGGACAACGACCATTCAAAGACATACACACCACACCACACACATGCATAACGAGTCTTTTCAGATCACATGAGGGTTAAGATCATCCTACAAAGACGAAGCTCTAATTAATTTGTTGGACAACCAACAAACCAACCAACCAACCAACCTGCCTACCTACCACTTACTTATAAAGATTGTTGATGGTTTGCAATCCAAACAGTGTTTACCAAAGTTAGCTCCTGCGATCCTTTCTGACAAAGTCTGTTTGTGTGTAGTCTTTTGACTTGTTGGTCGTTGTTAATAACTTCATTGTGAAGTTAACTCTAAAGATACATTAGAGTGAGTCAGTCTCTTATGTTGTATGACAAAGAACTTCTATTGATGTAAAGATGTCAACGCATTCTTATTTGTTTCTTTCAGTGAGATTCGGGTGCAAAGATAAATGAATGAATAATTGAAGAGTGAACTTAACATGATTCAATATTGATTAAATAAACAATCAGCCAAACAAACAAACACATACAATCTATATATTATAATGTCTACCACTACAACAACAACATTAAGTGTTCCTCACTCATTGGTCAAGAGACTGCTTATTCTAAACTATCCCAAGCCACAATATGTGATGCTTGAAGAGAGAGATGAGTTCATTAATGTCGTAGCTTACCTGCTAGAGAAATACATTGCCAACAATGAGCAACAGCAACATCAACTTGAATCACTCCTGACACCAAATGATACATGGGAGAAGAGTTTACTGAGTGTATGTGAATGACCCTGGCAGCGTAGTTAGGTAGGGCATGATTACTGACCAGCCATTCACAGTTCCTCAAAGACAAGCACTACTGCCAAATAGATAGGATAGGTGACCTTACAACAATAGAACAGAAGTGTATCCTGTTAGAATGTCTAACAACTCAGGCCATCAAAGAATCATACAAGACCAATGGTATGTTGAATGAATGATTGGATAGATGGACTCATGATGGCTCCATGGATCACTCACTCAATGATCACTTCCATCATACATTTGAACGATATTTAGCTGATCAGATACATGAGAGCAAGTACAAATGTCTACAAAAGATGAAGTTACAACTGATGAGCTTTGATAGCACACCAGAGGAGTTAAAGACTGCAATCATCCAGATGGCCACATTATTTAGAATACCAATTGGAGACAGTCTGACACAAATGCTACATGTATGAGATCAATCAATCAAACAGTCAATCAATCACTCATTGAGACATACGTATTAACCTTATCAATCACCGTCAGGCCATTGTAAGGATAGCAGAGAGGAAGTTTACAACAGCAGATATACTAGCATTGAGGTCATCATCCTCAGGCATCGATACGCCATCATCCACAACAACCACCACAACTACAACTACCATTACGACGACAACAACTACGACTGCTTCTTCATCATCATTGAACGACAATAGTGATGGCGAGAAGGTGAACAATTACATCCATCCACTTGGATTCGATACCGACAATGACAAGATGAACTCAGTGGCCACCATTCTTAGACTCCTTTACGTTTCCGACCTCAGAGAGATACAGAGCAAGATCAATGAAGTACTTGGTAAGTCGATATCGATTGGTTGTCGGGCGCATGTGGTTTATTCAGTGTCATTTGATTGCACAGCATCTCACTTAGTGATGAGCAGACTGGAGTGTTGGCGTGCAATACATGACATTGAATAGAGGAATGATGTGTATGAACTGGATCCAGAACTAACGCTCATTTGTACAATGCGCAGCTATCGTCCAGAACTACACAGCAGAGCCACAGACCAACTTCAAGCTTGGAGTCGTTGGAAGATGATACAACATGTCGCTGCATTCAATAGTGGACAAAGACCAAATGGATGTTCATGAACATAAACAAACATATTGATCTATCATCACCAATGAACTTCCAATCCAAACTTGTCAGACTGATGGATTCCATCCTTGATTGCATAGGGTGTGCACAATGCTTCCAATCACACTCTATATCCATGGTGTCCAACCTTCGTACATTGTGGACAGGTTGTCAATGTTGATGGACTCTCTGATCATCATCTCGACTTGCTTCTCGACATCCAGTCTCTGCTCGGTACCATCCAGCTTGCTCTTGACCTGGCTGACGATGGTCAGTCCCTGCAGACTCTTGTTGTCCTCCTTGACCTTTGTGTGCATCTCCTTGGAGTCTGTCTCCTGTTGGAGATGCTGTGACGACTCGCTGAGGTTATCGATGTTGTTGTTGTACTGAGGCTCACCCTCACCACCTCCGCCCTGCTGTTGATCATCATCGCTAGAGCCATCGTTATCACTCTCGTTTGCATCACCATCCTCTTCTTCCTTCTTCTCATCATCATTCTCTCCTCCTCCATTGTTGTTGTTGTTCTCCTCATCCTTTGAGATTGGTTCATTCATCTGCTTGATCTTCCAATCAAACAATGGAGCATATATGAATGTCTCGAGCAAGTTCAACAATGTTTGTTTGTTCCTGTTGTAAATGAATAGAGGATGCATAAGTACATGGGTTTGTGAAGGAACTACCAGTAGACAACTTACTGTCTGAGTAGATCCAAGACTAGGACACAGGTTTCGGAGAATGATCCATGCACTCCAGTGAGTCCCAGTGCATTCTCAATGATCTGTGTCAGTCTGAATGGCACCCTCTCTGGTACCTTGAGTTGCAGTCCCTTCTCGAAGCATATGTCTGTTTGTTGTTGGGAGAGGAGGAGTGTAAGTGAACTTGCAGTAATGTATCCATATCCCATGTGCCATGACACCTTACTGTAATCAATATGAACGATCTCTCCAGTCTTCATGTCGATCAAAATGTTGTCAAGATGCCTGTCGCCAAGTCCAATGATGTAACCGATTGTGGACATGAGTGCAAGTGATCGGCTGAATGATTGGGTCTTGAGTAGGAGCTCAGAGGTCGAGCAACTTGAGTACCACAGCTCACGTGACAGCAGCCACTTTGGTGTCTCGTTTGAGAGCTCGACAAACACCTGCTTGAGTAAGTCTTTGGGCCAATCACCACGGTTCTGTCTAGTTAGACCGTTGGCCTTGAGGAGCGGGTCCAGCTTGGAGTAGAACAGGTCGACGGGGCGAACAGGCTGTCGTGGCAATGGGTTAGGGTTGGTGGCCAAAGTGCTTGGGTTGAGGCCCTTGTACGTGACCTCATTGCGATACCAGTTCTTGAAGATGGAGAAGAGGGGCACAGCATTCTCCACCCATTGGATCAGTCCAGCTGAGCGACTGAGTGGTACTACTGCGTACTTGCGCGTGCGAAGGAGGCGCAGGTTCTTGTTCTTGCCAGCCACCATCATCTGGTCGACCGTGTTGAGCAGCTGCATCACACGCTCATCCAAGTGCAGGTCCTCGCGACCCTTGAGCAAGTATGAGTACGAAACACCATCGTTACCAATCATCGATATCCTCTTGGGCTTGGTCTTGGTGGTGTGGAGTATGTTGATCGTTGGGTGGATGGATTGGATGGTGATGTCCGAGGCAATGCCAGGCATCTTGATTGTAGTGGGTCTGAAGACGTTCAGACTCGGGTTGACTGAGGCCAGATCGACCGAGCTGAGTCTGTTGCCTCCAAAGTGCTCGATTAACCCTTGCAGTGTGAGGAAAGGGTTGGATGGTTTGTTCTGCTTCTCGACACAGAGCACGACTTTGTTGACAATCTCATTGTGAACGCTGCAGAACCAGCGCTCAAAGGGTGTGGAGATGGGCCCAAACATTGTGGTCGACAGCAACTTCCTGATCCTATCGAGTATGGGCGCCAGCAGCGCGAGGTTCTTCTTTTTAAGCTTGGAGAGTGATCGCGCGTCCTTGCTCTTGATCAACTGCTGGTTCTCGGCGGTCCACGCCGGCTTGGTGTGACAGATCCAGCCATGGATCTGCTCCATCAACTGTTGCCAACGATCGTCCCAGAGTATGGTCAACTGGGCAAAGCCACGGATGAATGTGTCGGTCTCCTCGACCAGCAGTGGTGAGTGCTTGACAAGCTCGCGCTGGATCACAGCAATCTGGCTGGCATTGGGATGCACGCCACCCCATTGAGTGGCAGCTACCAAGGTTGGGAAGACAATGGCGTGGGGGTTGTGACGTCCAATTCGATTGATGATGTTGATGATCTGCACCTGTATAGCCTTGTCAGGGTGGCCCAAACGGGCAAAGAGTTGTGGGATGATGTCTGAGAAGGCAGTGGTGACAGCAGCGCTGTTGTTGTCATCCGCGATGCACCTGTCAAACACATCGATGATCTGGCCACCATGATTGACTAGAATGCTCAGTATCCTCAGTGTGATCTGAATGAGTGAGCTGCAGTGACCAGTGGCATTGCTGACGAACTTGAGATGGTCAAAGTAGCGCTCGACAGCTATGCCGTAAAGGCGTGCCTTGGTGGCTGCCTCGTCCGCCCCAGTGAGCAGGTCGGCGGTCTCCATCGCCCAGTTGGCATAGGCCAGCAACACCTTGGGGTTGTCGGGCATAGTGGCTGAGGCACGCTGGAAGTATGTCTCGGGGTCGGCCTGCTCGGCAGGCAGCGACTTGAGTATCTCCTGGAACGCCGAGTTGTTGGTGTTGGTAGTCAACTGCTTGACGATCTGCAGGTAGGTCTTGGTCTTGATGTCTGGCGTCACATTGTCAGGGAACTGATTGGAGTGGCGCACGAGCTCGGTGAATGACTCGAGTCGACGCTCATGCAGGCACTTCAACTTGGACTTCTCCAGGAAGAATGAGGGCGAGTGTGTCTCCAGTACCGAATTGAGCAAACGTGAGCAGAATCGTGTGTTTCCAGACTTGCGCGACAGTTTGATCAGCACCTCTGTCAGCGGGATGTTGTGGAAGACGAGATCAGTGCGATGCTGAATGTTTGACAAGTGATTCCTCACGCGGCGCAACTTCTCGAGGAAGCCAAGCTGGCGACAGAGTGGCGTGGAGCTGTCGACGACGCCATTCTCAAGCTCGTCAATCAGCTTGAGCTGCGTCAGGTATTGGAAGGTCTGGATGTTGGACTCGTGTCCGATGACTGACAGTGAGTCGTGGACGTGATCCTTGGCTTTGACAATGTACTGCCATATGTCGCCGCTGTTGTTGGACGACCCCTCATCCCTCTGTGCGATCATCACCGCGAGGATAAGCTCATCGGCAGCGAATAGATTGCCAATGAGTCCTCCGTTGGCGATCTCTCTCTGAGGGAGTTCGTTGATGAACTGCTTGATTGCGGTACTCTCTGCGCCGCCGCCAGTACCTCGAGAGAAGGCAGACAATGCACGCAGGTACGTCTCGCGATATGTGACGTTTGAGGAGTGAATGCGATCGCCAAACTGCTGAAGGAATGCGTCCATCTCCTGGTAGTCCGACAGCTTCATGTATGACTTGATGATGTGCTCCACGATGAAAGGGAATGACATGTGCGAGGGATCGGTTGTAGCGACCAACGGTGTGAGTGATTGAACAGAGTCTTCATAGTGTTGATCGCTAGACTGGATCACGCCTTGCATCCAAGGCATGGACAGAGTGAATGTATGCCTCGTATGTTGTTGAGCCGCTGCTGCTGATGTTGGCGTTGATGGTGATGGGGAAGAATGAGACACATTCATTGACGTTGACTTCTTTGGTGAGACAACCATCTCGATGAATGATGACGATGATGTACTCTCCTTGTCCTTGCCATTGATTGTGGAGTAGTGCAGGTCGAGCCATTTCGATAGGCCCTTGATCATATCTGTCTCATTCATTTGCTGTAGAGCATTAGTAAGGTGCAATATACAGAACTCCATCTCATGCTGTGCATGTGATGGATCAACGAATCGGTTCGCTCTAATGTCAGCTATGCGCTAATGATTGTGTTGTGTCAGTAACCGAGTCCATTGTATGATGAATGAACAGAATAGTTACGAGTGTAGCATGTCTGATGATGTCTGGACCCGAGCTACAGAGGATGCTGGCCTTGAGGAGGTTCATGCGGATCCTGCTGAACCAATCCTCACTGACACGTGCGTTGAGCTTGAAGAATAGGATCTCTTTTGACGAGGGAGACGGCAGGAACACCGAGCCATAGGCAGCAGAGAAGATCTGTTTCTCCAGTGAATCCATGAACATCAGCATTATCATTATCTTCTTGAAGTCCTTCCTCTCCTTGTTGAGCTGAAGAATGATACGCTCAAATATCTCAAACGTCTGCACTCCCGTACCAAATGGTGTCTTCAATCTATTAGTGATACAATATCTTGCGCACTCCCATGTTGCCCAGTACCATCTAAGTGCATCTGATGTGGCCATCAATGTCTCTAGTCTCCCTATTATTGATTGATAGTTAGTTGTGATGTGGATGTGCCATCGAGATAGCCATTACTTACTGTTTTCTAGTCTGTCATGGTGGGCTTGTGCGCCATGTGTCATGAGTGTGCTGTCGTAGAAGTGATCAAGGATTGACTTGAGTATGTCATCAGTAGATCGGTCCACATTGTAAAGACAATCAAACATATGTTTGAAGAACATTGGAACTGATGGGCATGGTCCTTGGACGACCATGAACTTCAACTTTGATGTGTAGAGTGATTGTTAGTCATTCATTGTTAGTCTACAATGTCGGTTATCAATGATCACATACCTTGTAGTTAATGGATAGGTCGCTTATCTTTGAATGGAGATTCTTCTGATTGATGAACTCAATGTGTACGACAGTCTTGGCCAGGAGGTCGAGGTTGTTGCGCTGGATGTCCTTGTCAATATCCGAGATCCTAAACAAGATTGATCATCGATCGTCATTAGATGGTGGCACACCAATCAACGCAATTGTGAATGATTGATACTTACTTGAACAATGCGATCGAGAGTACCTTGCGTATCTGTAGTTGGTCAAGATGATTGTTGATGGTGTACTGCTCGAACACTTTGGATAGAGTGGTCTGGATCTGAGTGTGCTTGAGGTAGACCAGGTTGGTGAGTCGTCTAAAGAGCTCGCGAGTCATGAGAATTGGCGTGGCAGTGGCCAGTGTGGCCTGCAACAAGAGCAACGCCTCCAGCAGCAGGTTGGCCGGTCCATCAATGCTCTTGAGCTGTGCCAACACAATGGTCTCTAGTTGCTTGTGCTTCTGGAACTTTAACACGGGCACCAGGCTGGCGATCGAGTGGATGGCTGTGCTCGCCAGGACAGCCAGTCCGGGTACCTGGGCAACGTTGTCGTAAATGTAGAACAATAGCGACTCGATCTTCCCCAGGCTGGTCGAAGCAGGTGTCGATGTCGATGTCTGTGTCTGGAGCTTACTGAGCGATACTGCGATCTTGGTCAAGAGGTTCTGATTATAGTTGACGATTCGCACATAGAAGCTATCTATGTCGTCGTAGGGCAACGTGGAAGGCTTCGCCGTGCCATCGGGTAGTGTAGTGGATACACGTTGCTGCTGTTGCTGTTGCTGTTGCTGTTGTTGTTGAGGCCGCTTGATGAAGTGAATTGGTGATTGCTTACTGCCACCCGCAGGGGCGGCGTTCGAGGAGGTAACATTGGGACGCTGCTCAACCGGCGTGTTGAACAGTTTGATGATGTACTCATCCTCCTGACCGATTATGGTCAGGATGCTGTCGATCTGTTCCAATGATTGTTGCTGTTGCTGTTGTTGCTGTTGCTGCATTGTCGATAAGGGCGTGCTGCTGCTGCTGCTGCCGCTGGCAGAGGGTAAAGGATCAAATGCATACAGTATTGAGTTTAGTGTCGACAAGACCGCCTCACGTATGTTATTCTTTGGATGTATTCTATTGAGGAACAGCTGTTGTATATCATCATGTGTGAGTGTTGCTGTACTTGATGCTATTATTGTTGTCGTAGATGATGTTATCGATGTTGTTGTGGTTGATGATAAAGGTGATGATGTTGCAACCGCTGTTGCTGTTGTTTGAGTCGATGATGACACCTTCTGGTTAACATGCTGTTGTTGTTGTTGTTGCTGCTGTTTGACTGCTGTAGATGTCTTTACAGAGACATTGTCCGCTGAACCTGTACCATTGGTACTGTTGTTATTATTGTTCAAATCATACTGTTGCTGTGTTGTTGGCGGTGGAGCAGGAGTCGTCGGAGTGACAGGTACGAATGGTTTAGCGAAAGGTGATAGCTGTTTCTTGAGTAATGTAGACTTTTGTTGTTGTTGTATTGACGTAGATGTTTCTGTAGTCTCTTGATTGATATCACTATTACTACTACTACTACTATTGCCGTTGATTATGTTGTTGTTGCCTGTTGATGCCACAACACCATCCATCTGAGTACTGGGCACTGATGGTCAACAACAGGGCGCGATTAAGTTATTGCTTTAGGTAGTAATGGTATGTTATGGTAGGACAGTCTTGAGTTGATTGATTGATTAATTATTACTATTTCTTGCTTGATTGTCTTTGTTTGTCCTTGTGATTGATTGTGGGTGTTGTTGATAACTTTGCTTTGGAGGTGAGTTCACCAATTTTGGTGTTTCCTTCCAAAGTTGGGCATTTATTAATTTCAGGATGTCTGGCTTCTGTCAATTATTAATACTAATATATATATATATGAATGATAGATAGTAGGATTATTTTCATCTTTTGTTATTATACAACATATAATTCTTCATTATTTATTTTATATTTTATATTTATTTATGTATTTATTATTTTTTAATGATGAACCAAGTTATAACTACTATTCCATCAATTCCAAGACCTGTTGCCAAGGCTGCAGTATATATTAGGGTCACTTACAATTTGGTTAACCTAATTGTAGATGTTGCAGGTCAATCAACTTCAAGAAGATTGGCTGGTGTATCATTTGGTTTGGCTCCAGTTGGTTCTCATTCTGTCACGGAAGCTGACATCAGATACTTGGTTCTCACTTACGATCCCTCTACCATCAAACTAGTTGGTCATATTGACAACATATCTCAACTTGATCCCCTACCATGGGCTACCATACTCTATGCCGATGCCATCAATCGATTTGCCAAAGATATCATCAACAAGACCACATTCACCAATGAGCGTGCCAGAACATTTACCGGAGCTGTACTCAATCATTGGGGTTTGAAGATGCATCCAATTGATCTCCAATGATACCAGCCATGGCATCAACTTGAATCACTCCATCAATCACTCAACAAGGCCCAAACCCTCACACATTGGATGATCCTATAAATACATGGCCATTGTTTATTATTCGACGGCTATGGCCTGCTGTGGCTGTTGTGGCTGATGCTGTTGTTGGGTGAAAAGTTTGAGATCGTACTTGTCGCGAATGTAACGCTCTCTATCCTCGGTCGAGTCGCCTGGTAATAGTTTCTTTCGTTGAGGTGGAATGCAACATTCATACTTGGCATTAACTCGCAGATTGCCACCAGTCTCTTGGAAAAAGACGATGGTTGCTGTCTCCCACTTGTCCATAGTGACTGAACGCACCTTGGATAGATGCACTCCCATGCTACGATGCACGCCAGAACACTGGATGCAGATGAATACTCCGAGATTGATACTGGCCCAAAGGGGATCTGGTGCGCCACAGTCAGCACACACTTGATTGGCGGCAACTGATCGAAGCTGGCACAACGTATCACGATTCTTGTCCAACTCCTTCTGCACCTCATCCTCAATATCATCGCTCTTGAGTCTGATGCTACCCGTGCTGCTGCCTAAACTGCTGCGACTTCCTGTGCTTCCAGTGCTGCTGGACAGGTCGTATTGTAGATATGCCTCCATGGCAATCGATTGGGCTGCCTGAATGCTTGTGATCCAGTTGAGCATCACCTCTCCCGATGGACATGAGAAGTGGATAGTCTTGTTGGTGCTGACCACCTGGAATGTGTACTTGTCGTTTGTGGACTTGATAACCTTGGCCGAACAAAAGATAATGTTGAGTGACTTGATCACATCCTTCTTGGCCTCAGACTCTGGTGACTTGTATAGTGCCAGTGTGTCGTTGCTTAACACTACCCAACGGCTCTTCCACTTTGAAATTAACTTGCCTCCCAACACGTTCAAGTTGCCTCGCTTGGCACCACTGAACTCCTCGTCCAGTAGAGTGGTCGACGTGTTTGGTGAGGTTGGCAATAACTTCATTGAAGCTCTCTTGGACTGATCCTTATCATTGCCCAACTTCCTATCAATCAATGGAGATGATGGTGTACTCTTCTTTGGTGGTGGTATCGATGTAGTCTGTGACAGCTTGTCCGTGCTAGTATTCAAAGGACTTGTCTTATTGAGTGGAAGTGGTACAGACATTGGACGCTTCTACATGTATCCAAAGAATAGTTAGTATGATCCTCGCAACTCCCATTAGCCATCAATGAACTTCATTAACTTACAACTTTGGATGAACTGTTCAATGATTTGAGGAAGAAGATACTGCCTCGCAAAGAGACAATCCAAGAGAAGTAGTCAAACTCCTCGGTGTTGAGTGTGGAGAAGTATCTGAAGATCTGGCCAGTCGTTCCATCGGCCAGAGTAGTCGTGGCAATCAATTGGAAACAACTCTCCTTGCTATCCTTCTCTCTTACAATTGCCTTGTCCAAAGTGATCACCTCAATCTCATTCACATCCTAAAAAGGAAATCATCGTTAGTTTCCACATTTGGTAATTATGATCATGATCACTTCACTCCATACAATATCCATCACTCCATACAATGGTCATATACATACTCTTTCGTTGTTATAAATATATAATGAACCCTCTCGCAGTGAGCAGTATGTCTGACTCCAAATCTCGGCAGACTGGGACATTGGCGCGTAACTAAAGTCAATCTTCATCATGTTCAATGTTCCCCTCTTCTCTGGTGCCTCCACCATTATGCCAACTGATCAAAGAACATGTTAGTAACTCCCTTGGGATGGACAGGATAAATGGTACATACGCTCACTTGATTGTACCGCCAATGCCTTCTTGCTGACAATGATACTCTTGCGTAGATTCTTCCTGGCACTGCTCAACTCATCACTCTTAACATGGATCATTGGTGACATCTTTGGAGAACTACCTCCGCCACCAATATGCAGTTGAGGTAACATTTGTGATCTTCTCTTTGAATCCTTATCATTATCCTTATCCTTGTGTTTGCTGTCTTTCTCCTTTTCCTTCTCTTTTTCCTTGTCTTTGGATGATGTGGGTGAGGCTGGTGGAGAGCCAAATGGACTGATACCTGGACGAGTCATTGATGGTGAGCTGGCTGCAGAGGAGTTGAGTAACTCTGCCGAGTGTGATAGAGGTTGCATCGAGGCAACATTCATCACAGGTGAGTTGTTGACTGGAATTGACGAGATGCTTCTCCTCTTGTTCAACTGGTCCTTGAGACCATCGATCAATTCATTGGGTGGGGTATGTGGAGGTGGCATATTCTTATTCTTTGTTTAATCTATTTATATATGTTGATGTTGTTGGAATGCGTAAATAAATAAATCTTTTGGACAGTCTATTAGTAAACTTGGCTAATTGGATTGATTGTTGGGCGGTCAGTGCAGTGAGGTATGGATTGATTGAAGGATGGATGGATAGGTGGGGATGAATGGGATGAATATTCTAATGTTATATAGATATCATTCAATCATCAATCCAGTTGCGTAATTGCGATGGTTGTGGACAGGTGGATGCGGAAGTGGTAATTGATTGAAAGTTGGAGTGTGGTTGGAGTGTGAATGAAGGTTTGATCAATGAATAGCCATTGCCATTTGGCAGAAAGATTGATTGGTGTGGTGTGTTGTGGTAAGAATGAATGATTGAATGAAGGGGATGGAAATGATGGATGTGGCTAATGGGGTTTGTGTGATTGAAGGGTCATTCGTGTGTCTGTGTTTCGGGTGGGTTGGTGTGATTGTGGTTCTTGAATGGGGAGGATTGTATCGAGTTGATCGCCTGATCGAATGTGTGCGCACTCAATATCATTTTGGGGTGTTACTGATGGTATAAGGTACTAATGGAATATTGTTTATCTCTGTTGTTGTTGTTTGTGTCCAATACAATTTGGAGGTTGTCGACAGCATGTTGGATGATGAAAGTGAAAAGTCTCCCAATCATAGAACAACTCTAACTGCTGTGGAAGTTGGTTGGTCGGTCTATGTACATTACAATATATATATTGACCTTCTGTCTATTATTACTTCTCTTCTTGCCTCCATCAAGTATCGTACGATTCAGTTGGAGTGGAACGAGTGATATAATGAATGAACAAAGGTCATATCCATTGCAATAGTAGAATGATTGATTGAATGTGTCAAACTTACATTGTTGTTGTTGGAATGATTGAATGATTGAATGATTGATTGAATAATCAATATTAAGTAAAAGTAGGTAGAAGTACAATTTATATTGGCTTTGAGAGTAATTAGTATTATTGATTATTATTACTTAATGGTATAATTACAAACAACAATAACAACAACGGTTTGGACGGACGAATCTAATCAATCATACCAAACCAAAGTCATCTATCACCCATCATTTCACTCATCATCACCTGACAATGGGCGTATTACTTTCGAAACTCTGGGAAAGGAAAGGTTGTTGTTTCATTCAATCTTGCATCACAGTCCATCCATCATCACCTTCCAAGATCGAATCTAGATCAGATGCAAAGCGCCTCCCACCAATCACACAACCCCATTCTAAAATTGGGTTTGATCAAACACACGCGAATCAATTTTTTTGATCATTGCAGCGTCTTGGTCTGTTTGGCGGTCCATCAATAGGTATCACAACATCCCAAAATGACTAGTCAATAGTCAAGATAGGACCCATTCATTTCATTGTTGTTGTTGTTGATGATGATATAATATTGATTGTATTTCCATTGGACAACATGATTGGGTGTGGGCACATTGTAGATGATTGTTTGGTATGTCTTAAGCCAATTTATTATGTTTGTTGTTTGTGGACCTGGACCTGTACACGGTCCTGGAATGGTTGAACGACGATGCAATTAAGCTTTCGATGTCGATACTAATTTGGTTGTTGGTTGGTTGTATGATTGATAAATAATTGAATAGTTAAAAAAACTAACTATATCCCCATGGTGAATAATAATAATAATAATATTATGTTGTTGATGCCCCTATATATATCCCCTAATATGAATATAAAAATGAATGAATGAATGATGATGTTGATGATGATGATTGCCAGTATTACTTAGACCTCCACCTTGGTTGGATGCTCACCTGTGAGCTTGACTTGGGAACTGTCCAAATCGTCAGACTCGCCTGGTGTCACTTCATCACCGTTTGACACGTCGTCCATGTCAAAGTCGTCCTCGACAGGTGGACGGTTCATCGTCTCTTTGGTGAAGAAGAATGTCAGGATGAGGCCAGCAAACGAGATACCACCGCACACGTAGAGGGTGTGCGCCAGACCGTTCGAGTGGAAGAATGGTCCGATAGCATAGCCACCGAGCACGGCGCCAAGCTTGCCACAGGCAGCAGAGATACCGTGGCAGGTGGCACGCACACGTGTTGGGAATGACTCACTCGGCAGCACGTAGGTCGTGGTGTTTGGTCCGGCATTGGAGAAGAAGAACGTCAGGCCGTACAGGATAATGAATAGGGCCTTGATCTTGACGAGTGAGTCTAGTGCGGCGCCAATGATGACGTAGGTGATGCCGAGCAGGGCAAAGCCAGCCAACTGGAGGTTGCGACGGCCCACACGGTCGATCAGGGCCACACCGACAAAGTAACCTGGCAGACCAAGCAGAGCCAGGTAGAGGGCGACCAGCACAGTGTTGTTGAGCTTCTCGAAGCTGGTGCTGGCGTGGTCCAGGTTGAGAACTTGCAGGATGGTCGATGAGAACAGGCCGTTGGCGTAGAATACAATGTCGAAAATGAACCAGTTGCCGGCTGTGCCCACAAGGGTGCGCCAGTGATTCTTGATAATGTACTTGGCAACCTCGCGCTTGCCCAGGGTGTCCTTGCGCTTGGTGAACGCCTTGGTCTCCTTCATGCGGATACGGAAGTAGATCATGATGAGGCCGGGCAGACCACCAATAGCCAGAGCAACACGCCACACAATGTCAAGGTGTGGCTCGCCACAGATCTTGAGCAGGACGAGTACAACGATTGGCGACATGATAATGCCGACACCTTGCATCGAAAAGACAGAGGCCACCTGGGTGCCACGCTTCTGGTCGGTGCTGGACGACTCGGACGAGATGGTGGCCGACAGCGGGTACTCTCCGCCGACGCCAATACCGAGGATCGTACGCCACAGCGCCAGCATGGCAAAGATGTTGAACTTGGAGCCCTGAATGTTGAAGGAGAGCGTAGAGCCAAAGGCACCAATTGTAATCAATGTCAGAGTGATGATGAATCCAATTCGTCGACCAATTCTATCTGCCATGAATCCAAAGATTAGTTGTCCGGCCACGGCACCCCATAGCGCTGCGGTGGAAACAACTGAAGCCGTATCCTTTGTCTCTGGGTATAATATCTGTAGAATGACAATGACGTTATTAATCACAAATAGATCGTATGCATCGCACAAGAAGCCTTATGTTGCCAGGCAGAGAATGAGAGATTGAGAGAGAATGAGAGAGAATGAGACGGAGAATGAGAGGGGAGAATGATCCAGAATGAGATTGAGAGAAGGAGAAGAAGAAGAGAAGTTAGAGAAGAGAGAGAGAAAGAAAGAGAAGAAAATAGAGAAGAGGGGAGAGAAAGAAGAGAGGAGGAGAGAGGAGGAGATTTAGAGAGAGGGGTCCAGGACGTGGCGGGGACTCCGACACACGCACGGAGGGACACTTACCTGTACCGGCGACGATCACCTTCTTGGTGGCGGCAAACAGGGACTCCTGTTGCTGTTGTGGTTGTTGGCCCGGTTGTCCGGGTTGTGAGGGGTCAGTGTCATGCATTGTCAAGAGATTGCTGGCAGGTGTTAAGCGATGATATGGTATCTTGTTGTTGTTGTTGTTGGCAGTGGGGATGTTGATGATGGGGCTGCTGCTTCCGCTGCTGCTGCGATTATCACTTTGATTGTTATAATGCAGAGAGCCTGCGCCATTTGAACTGTTGTTGTTGTTCAGCAGGATGGACATGGTGGGCCGATGCTGATGAGGTTGGGTGGGGGAGGAGGAGGATGGAAGTGCGTGGATACGAGTGTCGTGTCGTTGAGTCGGTGTGTCGATGCGATATGATGATAATAATAATAATAATATAAAAAATATTATATTATATTATAATATAGGATATTGAGAGATGGGAGCGGTGCCGAGGATGGCGAGGCCAGGGGTTGGAAGTTGGAGGTGATAGGGTGGATTGGAAGGGATTGTCTCGGTCGGGTGAGAGGTTGTGTGTGGGCAAGACGCGGATGTCTGTCCTGGTATCAATGCAATGCAATGGATGGACCAACAAACGAATGAATGTATGAATTCACGGTCGGTCGAACGAATTGCGAATCGGGAAGGACTGGATTTGTTGGTTTGTGTGAGGTGGGGTACGAAAGTCTATCTGTGTGACTTTGTTTGTTTGTTGACTTTGTGTGTCTTTGAGTGTGTGCCGTTGGGTCCTCCTGATGGATGATGATAGGGTCCGACCAAGTTTGTCAAGTGTTTGGTGTCGTGTTGGTGACGCTGTTGCTGTTCTATCTATGAATCTATCACTTTCGGGACTAAAATGGAAAGGATCCAGTCACCAGATGAACGATGACGAATGGATGATTGACTGTGAAGTGTTGAGAGTGAACAAACAAAATATAGTTATGTTGTTGATGTTCTAGTTGTATAGCTGTCGTAGTTGTAGTTGTTGTTTTTGATGTAGTACTAGTTCATTCCACACAACAAACACACTTATAAGTTGATCAGTAACGAAATCAACACCAAAACAAACAACAACAAATAATATTAATGATCTTAAGGTTGGGTGAGATAGATACTGCAACAGCCTGGTACTGGCTCTACATAGGTATAGGTGGTGAGTTGAACACAACATTCGCTTCATACTTCTATCATAAACACACACACATAAGTCTGAGGCTCGTTCGGGGTTGGGGGTACAGCAAGTATCGTTGTGTGGTCAAATCGGGAAACACACCACAAGCCACACACTCAAACACCACACAAAGAGATACTATGACTTTTCGACACCGGTTGATCAAAATGCCGACCGAGTGTTGTTGATGATAGGGTACAAGGAGGAATCTATCCTCCAAATAACTTTCAAACATGTGCAAACATAGAAGAAAGATAAAGGTGGGAGACCAGTGTAGTCTCACATGATAATAGTGCTGTGAACTTACGATGAAAGGAAGGGGTTCACCAACCTCCGAGCCATCTGATAGTGGGTAGTTTGCTTTGGTTTGCGACTGTGCTTGGTCTTTGTGCAAAGAAGATTCTGAAGAGTCGATATCTTTGGTTGATTCGTCATACGACTCTTGGTCCTTCTTCTCTTTATGATATAAAGATGTTGTTTCTATGTATGTTGATAGTAGAGTTAGAATCAAACAACATTATACATAGATATAATACATACCTTTAGGACTACCTTCATCCTCGCCATCAGTTGTAGCTCTAACAGCACTATGAGAGGTATTTGGTAAAACTACAGGGAGGTCATCCGAGACAATGTCAGCACCACCATTCTTGTCATTGCCAGGTGGTGAACTCCACGCACCATCCGTATCAATGTTGTTGTCCATTTCAATCAATCAATCAATCAATCAACCAAATCAATCAAACAATCCCTTTTTTTGGTCCTCTGTCCAATCAATCTGTCTCTCTGTTTTTGATGATGTCTTTCTGTTTGTGTCTTTCTGTTTGTTATTGGTATTGAAGTCAATCAAGGTATGGATTAGGAGTAAAGGATGGATGATATGATGTTGTTTGGTGCTTAGTAGTTTATCTGAATGTGTGACGATCGTCGTCATTGACACATAACAACAACACATAACATAAACACATAAGTCAGATAGTGATACACACACATTAATTTAAATAATCCTCCTCTTCAATATATAAATCGCCATCATCATAATCTTAAGATCTTAGATGTAGTTGTTCACCACTATTACTCGCTCTTCATTCATTCATTTCCCTCACTCACATGTGTGTCAATCGTTGGATGACATTTGAAGTCTCACTCTATCTAATGTGGTGTGAATCTTTGACACTCCACCAACCCCACACTGTAGTAGTGGTAGTGTTGACATCCAGTCTCCCATCAATACAAATTGACAACCCATTCATTATTATTCCTATATATGTTTGTGTATGTATGTTAATTATTTACATTAGTTATCATTTTAATGGTGATGATTGTAGTATAAGGTAGGGAGGTATGGATGCTATTAATAAATCAACAACAACTTCCATTCCTACTACGATCGGATCATTGATGGATCGTACGATAAATAATATTGGATTGATAATTTGGATTGATCAAATACAATTTGTTGTAATATTTATCCGTGATTGATTGATTTGTTCATTGATTTATTAATGGTAATTGATCAATTTAATTGATGATGATTGATGGTTGATGGTTGATGATGATGATGATGACATGTACAACCCAGACCAGACGATACCTACGCACCTGAATTGATTGTGTACCATCCATCGATTACCTCATCTCTCTTCCTCTCCTTCAAACTCATCAATCTTAATCTTCATCATCTCCAACAACAACTTCCAATTTCTAAGACCTCGATACCAATCAACCAATCAACCAACAATGAACATTAAATTATTTGTAATATTATTCTGTATTGTATTATTATTCAACGTAGCCGTAAGTATATCATCCATCCATCATTGGCATTACCAAAGATATACCTTTCTAACTTATGATTGTTTAATTAAAATAATAGTTGTGCACATTTGAGCGAGCACCAAGCACTGGACACGACCTTCCACCATCAACCGCACCCACAAGGAAATGTCAGCCTAAGCATCCATCTGGTCCACTCTCACTCCTGTCTATTGATGCTTGTGTAGAGGCAGAGGCCAAGATCGGTAACATTGAGGCCAAAACAGCCACTGAAGCACATATAGCAGCCTAGGCTATATTCGAAGCTTTTATCCATCCATCCACAGCCACACATAATGCATCGTGCATTCATTCATTCATTCATTCATTATTGTCAACAACAACAACATCCATCCATCCATCAATCAATCATGCCCATAACATAATAAATGGTTGAAGTCAATCAATGTTGTTTGACATGTTGTAATAACATCAAAAGACGCCAGATAGTTTATTGTTGTTTCTTTGTTGACCTTGATCGCTTGGACGCTGATCCAGTGATGTAGGCCTGCAAGTAGAATGATCCAAAGAGCACCAACATGGACACCATGTATATAATCATTCCCCAGAACATCCAACGTGGGAATGGACAATCATTGGACAGTGCATAGATCGATGAGCCCAAGTTGATGACAAACTGTACCAATTGCAATTGAGTAAGATAACGCTTCCACCATACCTCAATCTTGAGTGATGACAACAAGTAGTAGGTGTACATAATAGTATGAACGAATGAGTTCATCATCGATGAGAGATAAGCGTCGCCACCTGGTGTCCAGTTCATTCCAATCCACCAAAGAATGAAGATTGATGAGTGATGGTATACATGGAGGAACTTGATAGATTGATTGATTGAGTGAGTGAGTTTGGATGTTTGATGATGGATGATGTCGCGTCAACTTCAAAGATACTTACAGACACTTGATCAAACTTCTTCCTCAAGATCATGAACACAGTGTCCATCAACTCGATGGACTTGGAGAAGAAGAACAACCATAATACCTTGGCCATCTATTGGTGGTGATCGTTGGTTAGCAAGCATGCCCGACTGAATGAATGAATGAACATTAACTTACACCAATACCCTTGTCACTATAGTCGACTGCATTACACATCAGAGTGTAACCATTGTTGTAGGCCTGATAGGCAGACTCGAGTGTGATATAAAGACTGATTAGCAACAGGATGAAGTTGTGTGCGAGCAGTGGGTATCTCAACTCGAATGGCTTTCTTGTGGCCATCACCTTCTTTCCAATAAAGATGAACACCAAGTATGCTGCAATCAAATAGAGCATCTCATTTGGTCTATTGAGCAATGGCCAGTTCATTACTCTGACATCTAAGATTGATTAAGTGATTGATTGATTGATTGAGGTGTCAGTGAGTGAGTGTGTCAGAGTGAGTGTCAAGACATGTCATGTGATGTCAAGATTACTAACCTCTCAATGTCAGATAGTATTCATAATCTGTTTGAAGCTTTGTTATTTGTGTTTGAAGGTAATCCATTATTATCTGTATCCTGTATCTATTTGTATTCAATGACACTTTGATGATGAAGTGTCTTAAGATAAAGAATGAGCGAAAGAAGAGTAGAGGACTGACTCGTCAGGTGCCCAACCATCGTCTAGACCAGGTCAAGCACCAACTAAAACCTCAAAAAGCACTAATCAATCGAAACTGACGATTCTAAATCCAAATTTAGATAGTGATCAAAAAGTGCTCATTCTCCCCAGGGTCGTCAAAACGACCTTCTTCATCCCAGGCACTTTAAACAAATATCCATATTCGATCAAACAGAGTTATATTAATACTACACATGAATGACCAATCATCATCACATGCTACAACGCAGTCAAGTGATGTCCAACAACAACAACAACAAGACACAACCAACACGATCAAATACAAACTGTTCTCATTGATCTTGGGAAACAAGGTCATCAGAAACAATGTTACATATCATATCAAGTGTATACATGTACGTTGGATGACTATGCTCATTCACCAATTCAAATGGAGTCAATTACAAACTGATGTGATCGCATTGATCATGCATGGATACTTGGATCCTCTGCGAGCATTACTCGAACGTCCTGACAAACAGGAGCAATATCTCCGTGTCATTGAGAATGACAGCACGATGAAGAGAAAGAAGCGTGATTATCCAGCTGGGATCATACACGCAATCAGACGTAATCGCTTCAATGTGATCAAGTATCTCTACCAACTCCCGGCCAGCGCCAGACTGTTCAAGGGTCGCGAGATTGATGTGGCGGTCTGCCATGGACACATTGAGATCGTGCGCCTACTCTACGAGCACCGGAAGCAAGCTGGCCTCAAGTACGACCTCGAGGCAGTCATGACCGTGGCCATCAAAGAGGGTCGTCTAGAGAAAATGAAGATGGTCTACACGTGGATGGAGATGAAGCGCGAGAAGAGGGAACACCCCAGCATCTCGACTCGTCTGCGCAAGATTGTCAAGAAGCCTCGCACACAGATACCTCGACACTATCTGGAACTCGCCTGCGCATCTGGTCGCCTGGAAGTCGTGCAATGGGTGCATGAGAGCAAGATACCTGGCGTGTGCACGACTAACGCCTTTGACTACGCCGCGCTGGGCCATCTCGACATTGTCAAGTATCTCCACGAGCACAGGACTGAGGGCGGCACGTGCAATGCCTGGGTCAACGCAGCGATCAGCGGCAACCTGGAACTGATCCAATTCCTGCACAAATATCGCACAGAGTCATGCACCAAGATGGTGATGGCACAGGCAGCCTATCACGGCCATCTGGACATTGTACAGTGGCTGCATCACAATCGAACAGAGGGCTGTGGGCCTATCGCCGTGGATCTGGCGGCGGCCAATGGACATCTGACCGTGGTGAAGTGGCTGATGGAGAATCGCACCGAACGGTGTACTCATTCGGCCGTGGAACATGCGATTAGAAATAGACGACTGGACATAGCTCGCTATCTCTTGCAATACGGAGATGTTGTGGCGAAAGTTCAGAGCGATCCAACATTCGACAAGCTCCCAGACTATGCCGTCACGGTCAACTCAATCTTGGTGGACATCCAACACAAGTCCAATCTCTTGATTGTGCCTTGAGGCATTTGGAGTGAGGGCGTGGCACTCTGGAGCCAAGCAAGGTTGTTGGAAAAGACCGGAGAAGTGCCCTCCTACCAGGATAAATAGGATGGACTTGTCCAATATCCCCTCTCTTTAACGAGTCCTTCGATCACTACATCCCACTATCTATCCATCCATCTCCATCCATCCATCAATCAATCATTATTGATGAATGATGAATTAATTATTATTATTTGTTGTTAGTGATTGTGCCTAGGTCGACGAATGAATGACAACCTGAACGAAATTATAAAAGATACCTGATTTAGTTAACTAAATAAGGTTCAGGTAAACAATCTATGCAAATGAGAGACGACTCGACTTTTGTTTTATAAAATATCTGTTTATGTTTTGTTGTTGTGTACTTTTTTTTCAAACTTTCTAACATCCACATTCACCTGTGTTGGGCAGTTGTTGATTGATTGATTTGAAACAACTTGAAGATTATTTGAAGTGTTTGGTTCAACAAACAGAATTATTTGAAAATAAATAAAGAATGATGTTTGCAGCAATGCTTTGATTAGTTTTTTTGATAGTTTTGTCATAATGGGGGTGACCTTTGGAGTGTGTCCTTTGAATAGTGGCAGGTGGGTGTTAGTGAACTTATCCAAACACATTTGACTTGGTGACCTGATTCATTCGTTGTTGGGTGCATTGACATAGCTACATTCATGAGCAAGGCGCCCAATTGGGACATATTGTATCGCTCGCTCTAACAACTCAATGTTCATTCATGCTCTATTAATGACTGACGATGATGGCTATCACCCTCTACCTCGAGGATGTGTTATGTGTATTGTTGTTGACGATGATGACCATGACCTTGGTTGGTCACCACCCCTATGTCCATTCTCAATCACTTCCAATGACTATTATCGTATAGATATATTTATATTTATAACTACTACATTCTCTCTCTATATCTATCTATTTATTATTATTCCATCTTACTTGTATTGTATACTATTCCAACAACTCTTGTTGTATACACCTATCAAACAATCATTCATTCAAACTTGATTATATCAGCTATATCTCTCTCTCAGCTGAGTATCATTTAACGACATAATAATTGTTATATACATAGTGTATCTGAGTTGAACACCATTCAATCAATCCATTCAATCACAATCCAATCAATTCAATCAATCTTAAAACTCAACATCTTCAAAGAAAGAATCGACAATTTAAATAATCTCTTTGGAATCATTTATTAAGAAATGGCAACTGACACTTTCGAATTCGAGTTGTCAGAGGTCAAGAAGGAGGAGATTGATCTCCTGACCCTCCAGAAGGAGGCTGAGCAGAAGCAGCAACAGGAGAAACAGCGTGATCAGGAATTGGCCGCAGACGTAGCCGCCACAATTTTCCACAACAGATATCCCAATCCCAACTACCMCCCACTACCACTACCACCGCGACACCAACATCGACGACCACAACTGAGCCAGACACTACTGCCCCAGTCGACAGCCAACCATCATCCAGCACAACGACAACAACTGGAACAGTTCCAGTCGAGCCTCAAGAGGGCAAGATCGAGGGCGACGAGCTCAATCAGTTGCTGGCAAAGATCCCAGACACTTACAAACTGTCAAAGGTCGACACTGACATTAGAGGATTCTCTGATGACTTGAGGCCAGTCACAGCCAAGCCATTCGAGCCAGTGCTCAACGTGGCCGACAATGTAAAGTTGAAGTTCCCTCCACCAGCAGTGCCCCATCGAACTGAGGCCGAGCGTCGCGAGCAGGAGCAGAAGGAGAAGGCTGCCGAGGAGGAGCGCAGACGACTGGCCGCCAACGTCAACCAGTCGACATCGCCCGTGCCTGCCATCTCGCCGCCACCTAAGTCGCCAGAGCCCGAGCCCATCGTCTCACCCAAGAAGATCGAGAAGCAGAAGAGTCTGCTCGCATCGGGCATGGAGAAGCTGGCCAAGAAGCGCGAGGATGATAAGGCCAAGGAGGAGCTGACAGCTGTGTCCTACTTCTCTTCAGGCCACCAGAAGGAGATCGACGCAGTCGTCGAGATCACCTTCACTCACGCCCTCCCAGTCGTCTGCGCCGAGTCTGGCGCGCTTTACTGGGTGCCAGAGATCACTCCAGCCAACGCTGGGCACAACGCCGAGAACCCATCGCAGGGCTGGAAGTACGTGGCCGAGGAGAACAAGCTGGTGTACACGCCCGTTCAGCCATGGGCACGCAGCACCAAGTACACCGTCAAGATCCCCTCAGTCGCCAAGCTGACCAACGGTCAGACCGTCTCCTTGAAGGAGGCCACCTACGAGTTCTCCACCGTCACTCTCGACATTGCCGCCACACTCGAGCGCTCATCCACCACTGTGCGCTACCCAACCGTGCAGACCATCTTCATCGCCTTCACGCAGCCCATTACCCCAGCCGACGTGTTGTCGCACGTCAAGATTGCTGGACTTGCCGACTCTCACGATCCCAACACCTTGCAACTTGTCAGTGAGGAGGCCATGAAGGAGGACCCATCGCTCAACGCACTTGTCACTGCTCACGAGGGCAAGTGTGTTGGAATCAAGCCACTGTTTGGTCTGCAGGCCAACCACGAGATCACCGTCACTCTCGTCCCAGGCATCTCCTCCACTGAGGGTCCACTCAAGACCATCGTTCCCTTCACCTTCCAGTTCAACACCGTCATGCTCTTCAAGTCCAACGTTGAGTTTGTCAACAATGCCGTCAAGGTTTCCTTCGGTGGTCAGCTCGATAGCAAGGCCCCAATCACTGTAAGTCCTCACTCACTCAATCACAATCTCTCTTGATCAAATACTAACTCAATCTCTCCAATCAATCAATCATAGTGGCGACCAACCATTACTCCAGCACCACCCGCTGGTGAGTGGGAGATGGACGCAAGCTCCATGACCTACAGGACAACTCTGCCATGGGCATGCAGCACAACCTACGTTGTCACGTGCGAGAATGGACCAAGCGACATGTACGGACAGCCATTGGAGAAGCAGAACTTGACGTTCAGCACACCTCTGATCGATGCCCAGGTCACCGTCTGGGGCACCTACGTCCCAACCATTCCCGTTCCACCAGTTGTCCCTGCTGCAGAGGGCAGCCCTGCCGTCGTGTTGCCAATTAGACACGTTGACCCACTGCCAACTCTCTACCACCACAACGCCGTCATCTTTGTCAAGTTCAACCAGATCGTCAACACTGAGCACTTTGCAAAGGAGAACATCAGCGCCAAGACCACCGCCAAGCTCTTGGCCAAGAACATCGATCTTGTCCTGCTGACCCAGGAGGAGCTCAACAATCGCCGGACCACACTTCAGCCATTCCCAGACTTTGTGCTCGACCCAACTCAGGAGGGCAAGTGGGTGGCCGTCGGCGCACCCAAGGGCTTCCCAGAGGAGCAGAAGATCAGAGTGGAGTTGCACAGCGAGATACAGTCACGTGAGGGTCCAAACAAGACCACCCTGTCTCTCAAGACTGGCTTCGACACAGTGCCATCATTCGACGTCTCTGTCAAGTTTGGCCAGCTGAACGACATCTTTGTCGTCGACTTCACCCAGGCCATCCTCGAGAGCGTCGTCCAGTACAACGCTCCAGAGACAGTCCGCGTCACCCCAATCATCACACCACCAATTGCTGATGGCCAGTGGGTTGCTCGCAGCGCCACTTCGCTGTCTTTCACCAGCGTCACCCCACTGCCCCTCTCGACTCAGTTCAAGTTGGAGGTACCAACTACCATCAAGTCGCTCAGTGGACGCTCGCTCGAGAAGCCACACATCTCCCATCACACTACAGAGCGACAGAGCATTGTGCGCGTGTCTCCCAACTCGGGCGCCACCGTGCACGTCGATCAGGTGTTCTACGCACTGTTCACTCAGGAGGTCGATGTTGACAGCACAGTATCTGCGATCAAGATCGCCACCGACGAGAAGCTCAAGCTGTTCAAGCACAAGATTGAGGTCGAGGCAGTTCCCATCGATGCCAACCTCAACCTGCTCGACATCTTCCCTTCCGCCGATCCCACTGCCCCAGTGCCCGCCCACAACAAGGTCGTTGCCTTCCGTGTTCCCAAGTTCCTTCCACACAGCACCACTGTTAAGTTGGTCTTGTCTGCAGGTGTATGTATCCACACATTCAATCAATCAATCAAATCAATATCACTTACTTACATTTTCTCAAACAGATTGTGTCCAAGGCAGGATCATTGCCAACTGTCCATGAGCTTGGACCTTACACCTTCCATGTGGAGGACAGATTCCAGATTATGGTTAAGTCGATGGTGTCATATGAGCTCGATTCAATGTTGCCCATCTCGATTCCATTCAACAGATCACTCAGGACCAAGGTTCCAGTGCCCGTGATCACCTCGCCAAAGAAGCAGGGACGTTCAGTCTCTGTGGAGTCCAAGGCCAAATCCGAGGCTACAAGCAGCAAGTCTGAGAAGGGCAAGGCTTCCGAGAAGAAGGGTACCACCGAGTCCAAGGCACCAACTGCTGAGGAGCCAAAGCCAACCACTACCGAGGCTGCCGCTACCCCCTCTGACAAGCCCGCCGCTGAAACTGTCTCTGACAAGCCAGCTACCGAGTCAGACAAGCCAGCCGCTGCTCCAGCTGCTGAGCCAGAGAAGCCCGCAGCTGAGCCAGAGAAGGCTGCTGCAGAGCCAGAAAAGGCTGTCGCAGAGCCAGAGAAGGTTGCAGAGCCAGAGAGGCCTCAGGCTGAGCCCACAACCACCACGACCACTACCACAACCACCTCCACTCAGGCACCCACTGCTGGTGAGCAACCATCATCCACTTCTAACGAAGCTTCAACTAGCGCAGTGCCACAGGAGGCACCTCCTGCTGTTAAGCCAGCTGAGGAGTTGGTTGACATTGATTGGTCCACATTGGCAACTATCCAGCCAGCAGTCGCTGGTCGCTGGAGCTACATCTCGAGCGGAGGCGCACACAGCCTAATCTTTGAGCCCACTAACGTGTGGACCAAGAGTCAGGTGTACACTGTCACAGTCGACAAGCACATCCAGTCCTCGTTCTCAGAGACCCTGGAGAAGGACTTTGTCGCCAAGTTCACCACCCCATCGATCCGTGTGGTTGAGCAGTATCCCAAGGAGTCGGTCACCGTGTCAATCGATCGCGCAAAGTTCATCTGTCTCACATTCACTCAGGACGTCAACGCGCAACAGGTTGCCAAGGTCATTGAGTTGGAAGTGTTTGACGCCAATCACAAGCGTGTGAAGAAGACTTCAGCATCGTTGGCCTCGGATGAGGACAAGGCTGCCATCACTGACAAGACCTTGAAGGCTTTGTTGGAGGGCTCAGAGAGACGTCACGTGCTCATCAAGAACCCAGTCGTCAGTGCCAACACTGTCGTCCATGTCACAGTGGGACCGGCCATACCATCGGCTGAGGGTCCCGCCAACAGTGGAGACTACCAACACAAGACCAGCTTCAATGTCAGCGACAACCTCAGGATCCAATCATTGCGACTCACCCCAGACAACTATGTTGAGATCGTGTTGAACCAGCACTTGAAGATGGACTTCCCATCTGCAGAGCCAGCATCACCAACCCCAGCACCAGCACCAGCCCCAATTGATGACAGCAACAACAACAACAACAGTGAGGCTGCAACATCGTCGACAACCACGACCACGACCACAACCACGACCACCACCACTACCGCATCGGCAGGATCACCAGCCAGCACTTCAGCTGCTCCAATCGTTCCAACAGCTGCACCCTTACCCGAGGGTCTGCCATTGCCAGTTGGTTGGTGCCCAATCATATTGCCAGAGCCACACACTAGCACAAAGTGGATTGTATTCCGCCACAAGAACCATGATGTCATTCATGGTGTGCCTGAGGGCAGGTTCCCAGCCTCGACCAACTACACGGTCAACATGTCCGAGCACATGGAGTCAATCTACAACGAGTTGTACATTCGTCGCGACATTGATGTCAACACATTCTCCACTGCCTCTATCGAGTTGGTCGACTCCATCCCAAAGAACGCCACTCAGACTGTTCTGATCTCGCGTCCAATCCTCATTCTGTTCAACCAAAAGGTGGACAAGGCATCAGTTCTCAAGCACATGTCGGTCACAATCAGCAACAGGAAGCAGAAGAAGAAGAAGGTTCAGTTCGAGTTGTCCGAGGACTACTCGGCCATCGAGGGCCATGCCGACACCAACAAGGATCACTGGGTGTCGATCCAGCCAACTGGCGGCGCCAAGTTGTTGACCGAGACCACTTACCATGTGTCTTTGAAGGAGGGCATTAACTCCCGCGAGGGTGTCGTCGAGTCCAGCAAGGAGTTCGATTTCACATTCGAGACCAACACGACCAAGGTCGACGTGCGCGTTGTGGACAGCTTCCCTACCATCACCTTCTCGCATCCAGTGTTCAGCATGGGCGAGATCCCCGACATCACCGTCAAGCCAGACCCCGGCATGCCCATTCGCTGGGTGGTCGTCACTCCCAGCAGCGTGCGTTGCGAGGAGAACTTCCAGATCTGGAAGCGCGCAACCGAGTACACTTTCACCCTACCAGAGAACCTCGCGTCAAAGGACCGCGGCTTCCTTCTCGAGGCCAACCAGCTCAAGATCTCCACTCCAGTCAACTACGTGCTGAACATGAGCCCTGCTCCACATCGTCCAGCCGGCGTCTACTGGGTGCGCTTCTTCCAGCGTATCGACCCAGCTCGCCAGATCGAGTACCTCAAGCTTTCATCCAACAAGGGTATCTTCAAGATGAAGCACAGCTACAAGGTGCGTCTGGCCACCGAGGCCGAGATCGCCGAGGAGATCAAGCAGTCGCCTGGCCCCTCCATCGCCCTGGCCGGCCATCTCCGCGATAACCCCGAGAACATGATGGTGTTTGTGCCAGTCTCACCTCTGGGCAAAGAGGAGGTCTCCATGGAGATCACCAAGATCACCTCCGAGGAGGGTCCACTCGTCAGCGACTCGCCCTACACCAACAAGTTCCACTGCGTGCAGCCATTTGCTCTGAACGACGCCCCCAAGAAGGTCGTCGATCTTCACACTGAGGACATTGGCTACTACTTCAACAATCGCCTGAACACCGCCATTGACACCGATCACATCACGATCGAGCCTGCTCCCTCCACCGACTACCAGATCAGCGTCAGTGGACGCAGCCTGTCCATCAAGAAGCTGTTCCCACCCGGATTCAGGAACGTCGATCAGATATTCAAGGTCACGCTGTCCAAGGACATCATGGACTGCTATGGCCAGCGTCTTGGTCAGGACATTGAGACCACCTACCGCGCAATTCCCGCGCCTTTCAACTACGACCTGTCTCTTGGCTGGACCTACGCCCAGCTCGACCAGACCGTGATCACTGTGGACCCAGCCCAGCAGACACCCTCAGTCTGCATTCGCACATTGAACCTGCGCCAAGTCCGCGTGCAGTTGTACCGCCTCAACGCACACACCGACTTCCACTACTTCCAGCAGGAGAAGCTGCCTCTTGCACCACCCGCTGAGGACTTCAAGCTCAAGTGCGGCGAGCTCGTCTACAACCACGTGTTGGACATTGCCGACATTGAGAAGGACAAGGTCATCGAGAGTTACATTGACATCACCGCCGCGTTGGACGCTGAGACCCACGTCGGCCAGGTTGGATTCGTCGTTCTCCCAACTGCCGAGTCCATCTATCCAAACAAGCCAACTAGCCGCTTTGGTGTCAAGACCTGGGTGCAGAGCACACACCTGGGCGTTGGAGCCATCTGTGATCAGAACCACATCACAGCCTGGACCAACAATGTGTCTGACGGCAGCATGCTTGCAGGCGTCAAGGTCACCTCCGTGTCCACCGTCAACGTCACCCATCAGTCTCGCACTCTTGGTCGCAAGGACAAGGCTGGCGACAACACCATGCATCGCGCCGTAGGCACCTTTGTCGAGGGCACCACCAACGAGGAGGGTATTGCTCATATGCCCACTCAAACCAACTACGCCCAGATGTACCTGATTGCTGAGCGCGGCATCGACTGCTGCATTCTCCCACAGGTGTTTGTCAAGACCAACAAGGTGTACCGCAGTCTGTCATGGCACGTCTTTGACGATCAGTCACTGTACCGTCCAAAGGGCACAGTGCAGGTCAAGGGTTACCTCCGTCTGCTGAACCGTGAGTCCACCGACCACAAGGTCGCCGTGCACACTCTGGCACCCGTCCAGCTCAAGTGGGTTTTGGAGGACGCCGTCAAGAACCACGTGGCCAAGGGTGACACCAAGCTCAATGCATTTGGACAGTTCAACTTTGGCATCAAGCTCACCGACTCGATCAACCTTGGCAAGACCTGTCTGACATTCACCGTGGACGACTCTGAGAAGGAGCTGGTCACCCTCGCCACTGGCACAAGCAAGCCAGCCAAGTTCAAGGCTTCCGAAGTCGAGCTGCGCCAGTTCAAGCACTCGTTCGACGTGCAGGAGTTCAAGCGTCCAGAGTTCCTGGCCACCTCTGAGCTTCTGTCCAACGAGACTGATCGTTTCAGCGGTTTCACCATCGTCCAGGCCAAGTCATCGTACTTTGAGGGCGCTGCTCTGTCCGATACCGAGACCAGCTGGAACGTCAGCTCGTCCGTCGGCACTTATCGCCCACCCGGCGAGTCACTCATCAAGTATGAGTTTGGCGTGCCCACCGAGCTGAAGAACACTGATGGCTCCAAGCGCAGCAAGACACTCAAGGGTCGCACTGCCGAGGACGGCACACACGCTGTCAAGATCGCATTTTCACGGTGTCGTTCCCCAGCCACCATCGCCAGTGTTTGTCGATGCCAACGTGGACATCTACGACATCAACAATCAGATCATCAACTCCACCGCCAGAGTCATCCTCCACCCATCAAACTACTATGTTGGCGCGTACTTCCCAGTCGCCGCTGGTGGCAAGCCAATCACCATCACCGACTCGTCAGTCACTGAGCCCCTTCTCATTGACTTTGTCGTCGTGGACATCAATGGCAACCTGTTGGCCGACGTACCTTTGAACATCGCAGTCGAGTCCACTGCTGGCCTCAACACCTCTGAGACTGCCTACAAGCTGGTTGAGACCCTGAGCTCATTGGCTCAGCCACTCAAGCATCAGCTTAAGGTGAAGCAACCAGAGCTCAAGCCTGAGCTCGAGTCTGTGAGCTACAAACTCACCGTCTCTGTGTTTGATACTGATAGCAAGGAGAGTGTCACAATCATTCCATTCAGCGTTGCATGGAAGTTGGCCAAGTTTGTTGTTTCCGAGGCAACAACAACCAGTACCACCTCTACCACCGCCGAGTGCAGCCACGCCAAGACCAGCCCACCAACCACCAAGCAACCAGTGATCACCAACACCAACGGTGAGCCATTGCTCAACTTTGCCAAGCTTACCAAGCATGAGCACATGTTCTCCTTTGACAAGGAGCTGTACCAGATTGGTCAGGACGCTGTGATCACCTTCGACCCACCCTTCCCAGGCGCCTTCTCAGCCGTGCTCACTGTCCTCAACAACGGTGTCATTGCAAGCAAGTCATTCCACAGCGATGGCAACACAAACAGCCGTCCACAGACCACACTCAAGATGCTTGAGGAATGGGGCCCATGCTGCACAGTGCAGTGCGACCTCTGGTACGCCGACCGTCTGGACCGCTTCCATGACAAGCACGACACCAACATTGAGATGTCCACCAAGAAGTTGAGCGTCACCATCACACCAGAGGAGGAGGATGTCGAGCCAGGCAGCACCACCAACATTGATATCGTGGTGCGCGACCATACTGGTACGCCAGTCAGTGGCGCCGAGGTGTGTCTGCTCGTCGTTGATGAGTCGATCCTCTCGTTGACCAAGTACTCCATCCCCGACCCACTCAAGACCTTCTACCCAACCAAGGGCAACCCATACCCACAGTCCACTCCATTCCACGGAGTAAGCTCAACAAGCGTGATCCTCCAGCCCAATGCCAAGACACCACTCAAGGCCAAGATTGTCGCCCCTCCCGCAGCTCAACCAGTTGCCCCTGAGACCACCACTACTACTACCACGACCACCACAACCACCACAACTTCCACAGATGGAAGTGAACCATCCAGCTCAACAGCTACCAAGAAGAAGCCAGAGATCGTGGTTGAGGACGACGAGCCAGTACTGGCTGAGACGACCCTCGATTCAAGCCTGCCAGCACCAGGATCTGCTTCAACCCCAGCATCATCGCCATCATGGAACGCGCCATCCAACTCTTCAAGCTCTCAATCACCCGTGATGTTTGATATCTTGGACACAGCCGGCTGTGAGGAGTTCAGCGCCATGCGATCATTGTACAACAAGACCTCCAATGCCTTTATGATCGTCTACTCGATCATCTCGCGTGTCTCATTCAACGACGCCATCACATTCTACGAGCAATTGCTGCGCGATCGCGACGTTGAGAAGGCACCATGCGTGCTGGTTGGCAACAAGAACGACTTGGAGGATCAGCGTGTCGTGACCACAGCCGAGGGCCAAGAGTTGGCCGACAAGTACGGCATGACCTTCTTCGAGACATCTGCCAAGAACAGAGTCAATGTGGACGTTGCCTTCACAACATGTGGCAAGATCGCCCTGCGCTCTGGCACCGTGACCAACAAGGACATCAAGCTGGCCGTGCTTGGCTCTGGCGGCGTGGGCAAGTCTGCTCTCACTGTCCAATTCAACCAGGGAGTATTTGTTGAGGCTTACGATCCAACCATCGAGGACTCATACCGCAAGCAGGTGATGATCGACGACGATGATGTCTACGCCTCGAGCAGCTACCCCAAGTCAATGGCAAAGAAGAAGGGAGGCATGTCATTTGGCTTTGGCACACTCAGATCACCCAAGCCCAAGAAGAGTGTCTCACCTCCACCACGCTCGGTGAACACCCGTTCGCGATCCAAGACCGAGGAGGCACCAAGACAGATGCTCCAATCAGCCGGTCTCTCGCATGCCGCTCCCTCGCCATCATCTGAGAGTCTGCTCAGCGCCATCTCTGGCGGTGCCGCACTCAGCGACAAGAAGGACAGACGTGACAAGGAGTCTGAGGAGAAGGCCAAGGTAGCCGACGATGACTGGTCCGACAACCAGGACGAGGCCAACCACGCCGACGCCACAGAGGAGGAGTCCGAGGAAGAGGAGGAGTTGGACATGATCGCCTTGATGCGTGTCAACTTTGACGCTCTGGCTAACTTCACGCCATCGGTTGTCACCAACGAGCATGGAGTCGTCAAGATCCCAGTGACATTGCCAGACAACCTGACACGTTACCGTATCTGGGGTGTTGTCAACAACGCCGAGCAGAAGTTTGGCCAGGCCGAGTCGTTGGTCAACGCCAAGATTCTGTTGTCAACTCGTTGCGTGCCACCCCGCTTCCTGAGCCTGAACGACACTTGCGAGATCAGTGTCGTCATCAACAACACATCGAACAGCGATAGGATCGTCAAACTTGGTGTGCGCGTGTCCGATCATCTCCAGATCGAGCTCGCCGGCAACAGCCCCACCAACGTCTACGGACAGTTCGCTCTGGTGCCCAAGCGCCGCAGAAGAGCTTTCACATTCAAGGTCAGGACCGTCAATGTGGGCCACTCGACCATCCAACTGAGTTGTGTCAGCGGCAAGTATGGTGATGCCATGGAGGTCGCCATCCCCGTGAACCTGCCACCCACCACCAAGACCGCTTCCGTCTACGGCACAATCGACGCCAGCGAGCCAATGGCCATCCAGGAGATCAAGTTGCCCGAGGACTCGCTGCCCTCGTATGGTAGCTTCGAGCTCGACGTTAGCTCCACCATGCTCCAGCATCTGAGCGACGCCGCTCTCGCACTCTACGAGTTCCCCTATGAGAGGACTGAGAACTTGGCCTCTATCGCCATCGGTATGGTCTCACTGTACAAGATCCTGGGCGACCAAAAGCTCAATCAGCTGCCCAAGAGCAAGGAGCTCAAGAAGCGTGTTGCGACCATCGCCTCCCAGCTGGTCAATCGCCAGACTGACGACGGCGACTTCTACACATGGGGCTCACGATTCTTTGGCAGGGGCGACTTTGAGTCAGTCCATGCCGTTCACGCCATTGCATTGTTGAACGAGAATGGCTACAGCGTGCCCAACCCAGTCACCAACAGGTGCACAGCCTTCTGCCAGAACTACATTGAGGCTCACCTGATGTCCAACAACGAGTTGGAGCTGGCCACGACCGCCTACGCCCTGTATGTGCTGTACCAACTGCACTCTGTCAAGAAGAACAAGTTCAAGGTGGCCGAGCTGGCCGTGCGCTTCTACCAATCGCACTCATTCTCTGTGTTCAACCTGGAGAGCTTGGCCTGGATCCTCGGCACACTCGCCGACAGCCAGTTCCAGAAGAAGCGCGATGAGATCGTCGCCTACATCGTCAAGAACGCCATCGAGGAAGGCAACTCATACACCTTTGTCAACTACTATGACAAGCTGATCCGCACCCAGCTCTTCCACGACCCAGTGCGTACATGCGCCGTGATCCTGCGCTCGATGGTCAACTCCAAGTGCAACCACGACATCGTGCCCAAGATCCTGCTGGGCCTGCTCGACCGCAAGGTCAACGGTGTCTGGACCAACATCCAGTCCAACTGTTGGGTGATCACTGCCATTGCTGACTACTCAGCCGTCTACGAGAAGGCCGTTCCCAAGTCTGTTGCCCGCGCCTGGTTGATCAAGAACGCCAACGATGCCGCCAAGCTCACCGGAGTGTACTGCGGCCAGACACCAACGTTTGAGGGCAGATCGACCATCTCCTACTCAATGGAGATCCCCGTCGCCACCCTGTTCACCAAGAAGGAGATTGATTACAAGCTGCCAGCACACGTTGTCGTCGATGGCAAGCAAACTGTCAAGGGCAGATCCAAGACCAGAGAGGATGTCAAGACCTTGGGCAAGGGCAAGGGTGCTGCAGTACTGAGCGCCATGCAAGAGGAGTCCGCTGCCTCATCATCCACCACTGCTACTCCACCTGCAACACCAACAACACCAGCCCAACCAACTCCAACCGCCACCGCCACAGAGACTACACCATCTACCGCTACCACCACCACCGCGACCGAGCCATCAACTGCCACTACCACCTCCACATCTGAAGTCCCAGCTCAATCACCCGAGATAACAGCTGAGCCAATCACACCAACTACCACCACCACTACAACTACCACCACCTCCACTACTGACAGCGCACCAACTACTACAGCCACCGCCCTAGCTACCACTGCCCCAACCACCGCCGCTGACACCACCGCCACTACCACCACCGCGACTTCATCCAACATCACACCCGAGTCTGAGATCTGGATCCAGAAGGAGGGCAAGGGAAGACTGTACTACAGGTTCAACATCAAGTACTCACCAAGCGACTTGAAGCTGGCACCAGAGTACAATGGATTCGAAGTGACAAGATCTTTCGAGCCAAGAACCGCCGACGACAAGGTAGAGTTTGACTGCTTGGCCGGTACACTCAAGATGCGTGTTGGCTCCCAAGCCATCGTCACACTCAAGGTGACCACCGAGCACACCAGATACAACACTGCCCTCATCGACAAGTTGGCCGGAGCCTACCAATCAATCGATCACAACGATGTCAAGACAACTGACCTGTGGCAATTCGTAAGTATCCATTAATTCATTCATATATGTCTACATTCATACTAACTTCCAATATCCAATCAACAGTTCAACTTTAGAGACGAGCGCACTGAAGTGTTCTCATCGATCATGGAGGCTGGCACGTATGAGTTCAAGTACACTGTCAGAGCTACATCAAGAGGAGAGTACCTTGTGCCACCAGCAAGCATTGAAGAGGTCTACGAACCAGAGATCAGCGCAAGATCAGACTCATTGAGACTTATTGTCGAATAAGTGTGAGTCGAGAGTTTCTTGTCCAAGTTGTGTGTGGGGTCGACCCAACAACACAACTATCTCCAAGTCCGCGCGCATCACATCCAACATCATTCAACACAACATCATCATCATCACCAACAGAGAGATAATTAAATAAATATATATATATATTAGAGAGAGAACAAATAACGATGGATTCAATTAGAAATGTATTGACAAATAGAACATTGGTGAAGAAGATAATAGCATCAAATAGAGATGTTTATAAACGTTGGGAGTTTGATCGTATTAGGAAAGATATAGATGCCAACCAATATATACATATTGATCGTAAGAGTTGGAAGAAATATAGATTGAAGTATTATCAATGGACTGATGCTCAGGTATTGGTGGCCAATGGACATTTGGGTCTTCTACGCTACAGGATCAAACATAATCAATATGTCAAAGTAACGACTCAGTCGATAGAGTTGATATGTGCTACAGAGGGAGTAGACCTTGCCACTCTGTTGATGCTGTACGAACACTACAAGGACTACTTTGATGAAGCCGATCTACTCATGTCCGCGATCAGGTCGTATAACCATGAGATTGTCAAGTGGTGCTTGGAGACTGGAGTTGGTGTGCCGCTCAGACTAAAAGAGAATGAGACTTTGGAGACGGCGATCGTTAGCAAGAGCTTCATGGTGCTCAAGTATCTTCTCGACTCTGGCAGATACACAGAGTCAGAGGTCACCAGCAAGGCCGCCTATATTGCAGGCTACCTGTATCAATCAAAGCCCGAGACCATCATCTTTGTACTGGATCCAAACAACTTCCCTCGATCACTGGTCAATGCTCTAAAGAGACAAGCCTTGCACAATGTCTACGAGGTCATCATGACTGGCAACCAGGGATTGATTGATATGCTGCTCGGTGCTGCGACCAAGATCGAAGCTCCGGAAGCCTACATATATACCCTGCTCAATAAAGCAACTCCAGCAGAGCAACTTGCGCACTTGGAGAGATTGATAAGATTCAATCAACTGATTGGAGATCCATCTGTATGGGACAAGGCGAAAGATGTACTCAAGAGTGCAAAGGAGAGCTCATTGTTGTTGATCAAGAATGAGAAAGATATGCCACTGTTGTGTGACATCCAACATGTGCTCGATACACTGGATGACGACACAAGATTGGTCTACCTCAAGGTGTTCATGTTGGTGAAATCAAGCAACCAAATGATGAAGAGCGGCATCAACTCGGTCATCAAGTACTATGTCAAGACATGCGACGTTGTTCTCTTGAACCACCTGTTGAAGGACAAACTACACCCTGCTCAACAAGAAGAGATCATTGTAGTCCTCACATCCAAGATCGTAATGTATGGCACTGTCTTGCAAGCCATGTTACTCATGTGTCACCTGCGAGATTATCCTCCTGGCCATCGTTGCATTCTTGCTGTGACATCAACCCTAGCCAATCCAGAGTTGTGCCCGTTCATGTCCTCCAGAGTCTCATCCAACACATTGTCTGTGATCAAATACCTCAACAACAATTTGATCGGGCTCCTCCCTAGCCAGTTGCCAGAGCATCGACGCACCTACCTCTTTGACGGATCGTACGAGATGCTAGCCTTTCTATTGTCCAGCGACAATAGGATATTCTCTTTCAATAATGTCCGCCTCATTGCAACTGACCACCAACAGCTGGAGCTCATGCGCAACACAAACCCAAGGCTGATCACCGACCAAGATGTCTTTTATATCTCTCAGTTTGCAGCACTACATGGCTTGGTGGACACGATGCAATTCCTGATGGATCACTATCCCGACAGGTACGTCATAAATGGCATGCTCGAGTTGGCAATGACCCGTTGCGATTGGAACCTTGCGATGCTGGAGTTGCTGATGAAAGAACGTCCTGACCTGCTCAAGGAGACTGATGTGTGGAAAGACATTGGCAAGATTGGCGACACTCGGCTCGTTGATATGGCACTCAAATACCATCACTCAAAGTCACCAATCAAGAAGGTGATAATGTCAATTCAAATGATTGAGGAGGCAACACGCAAGAACAACATCGATCTGATCAAGTATTTCCATCAACTTCCAAACATGCCCAAACTCACCAAATGTCTGCCAGAGGCAATACTCAATGACAATGTTGAGTTGGTGGGCTATCTACTCAGTGTGGACAATAAGATGGATGTCAATAGCAAGGAGTATGAGGAACTTGTGCAATTGACTCATAACAGTGACCGTCATTATGTCAAGAAGTATCTTTTGTCACGTGTATCAGACAAGAGAAGATCATACATCGAGTCAACACTCATCAAGCACGAATCAGACGAGTCGGACCAGTCATCAATCTATGGAGAGGGCATGGATGAAGATGATGAGGATGAGGATGAGGATGAAGATGAGGATGAGGATGAGGAAGATGAGGAAGAGGAGGATGAAGATGAGGAAGAGGAGGATGATGACAAGAATGACAAAGGAGGTAATGGTTGTAATTTAATGTAATATATGCTTGGGTTTGGTCCCATAGGATGAGATCAATAATTAAACTCCAACTCCTTATGTTCAACAGTGGTATGAATAGTCAGTCGCGATTTGTATTTGATAACATCTTCATCATAAGAACACTCCTCCGATCACATATGTCAACTCGTCCATACTTCTGATGATCGTATCATATTGTATGGACGACGAAACGGTGTGCAAATGAAGTTACCACCTGTTTCATATTGTAGGGGGTGATCACAACCTACCTCCATTTTCGGTGGCCAATGGGTGGTTATCTGGGAATAATGTCAAAGGACCACAAAAGAATGTTGGTGGTGACCAATTCAAGGGCAATCGAAAGGGGGTTGTTCGAGCAGGTGATCTTTAACCTATCAATGAGGGAGCGAGAATGGTGGAATAGTCCACTTGGAACATATATTCCAATATTTATTTAATAATAGTCGGTATAGAGATAGTAATAAGTTTACATTCCACCTAGATTGCAATCAATTCAATCAAGTTATTTTAGTAAATCAAACAAACAATCAAACTAAATTATTATTATTTTTATTATTATTATAAATATTTTTATTATAATTATTTATTATATATTTTAAAAAATGTTGGCCACCGAAGAAATTGACTCTGAACTTAATAAGATTTTGATGGCAAAGGAGAAACTGTTTTTGGTCGAGAAGGATTCAGTTGCCAAGAATTCATTCAATGACTATCATGGACAGAAGGACAGTCTATTTGTCAACACAAAAGATTGGTCAAGTGATGGAGTTGTTCCAAAGCGCCAGGGATTCATCGAGCCAATTGGATTCATCACCAGAGTGACATCACGTGAAGGCATACTCGGCGAGAGATGGGAAACCGCTGACAACATAGCCCTAAATGACAAGTTGGACTCTCTACCACCTTCTGAGCTACGTGGTGCTCGAAAGGATCCAGGTGTTGTCCATTGGGCTGCTGGAGAGAACATCTACAACCTCACCACAGAGGATGACCGTTTGTGCTCAATAGCTCACAACCATGATTCAAACGAACTAATTGGACAGATAGTTCCTTTCTTTGCCGAGCCCGAGGTCGGAGGTTGCTTCCCATATGTATGCTCAGAGAACACTTTTGTAACTCACGCACCATACATGGCCACCAACATGGGGAATGCATATTTGGAGGTGTGGCAGGCCAATGAGAATGGAGTGGAAGAGTGGAGAGAGAAGGACCTTTCCAGGTGGTGGAAAGGTGACCCAACCAAGAAGTACACATTTGGAAGGTTTGATCGTCATCCCATCAAGATAATTGTTTCCAAAGAAGCTAATCTCTCTTGGCAAGACATCTACATCAAACCATTGACTCAAGGTATTGCCAAGATCACTTTCTCAATTGATCTCTCAAAGTACTCGATCAGGTCTCCACTCCAAGGTATCGTCAAGATCAACATCGATGGCAAAGTCATTATCCAATTTGCAGAAATCAATCATGAGATCATCCTTGGTGATCGTTGTTCAAAAGTCACACCATGGCCCATACATGGTATTGCCAATCGTGTTTTGATCACTGGTGCGATTGAGAACTTGGAGACCAGTCCCATCCCAGAGATCGCAGTCTTCCAGCAGGAGTTGGCAAAGTATAAGGACACTTGCGCTCAGGTAGTTCAAGCCAAGGTATGGGCAATCTGGTCTTTGGAACGCGTCATTGAGATGTACACTGCTCTGCGCACTGGTGTGGTCCCCAAGAGCAGTCTATTCAGTGTCTACAAGATTGATTACTCCAAGGTCTACCGTCCAAAGGCCAACAGTATCGTGGAGAACTTGTCCAAGGGCAGTGGATTTGCCATCATTTCTGGCAACTGTCAATGGGACGCACTATGTGAGTCCATGAAGCTCAAGGGACTGAGCACATCACCAATGCCCGTAGCCAACAGCATACATTACAACAGATTCGTCTTTGGCAAGAGTTTAGGAACAGGAATGGGCCACATCGATAACATGTTCCTCTATGACTATGGTGGCGACTGGACAATGCCATCCATTCGCAAGTGGATCGTAGGATTGTCGAAACGAATTGCTGAAGTTCATGCCACTGGAGAGGATTGTATCAAGTCATGTTTCGAAATCACTTGCTTCAGCTATGAATTTGTCCGTGCCAAGAAGCGATACGAGGACAACATGCGTCGTTCTGGAGTTCATCTGATCAATGCATGCGCGTGGAGCGATCTGGCTCAGATGCTCCACTATCGTGTGATCGATGCAGTGTTCCTCAAACCGATGACCACTTCCAGCATGGATGATGAGGCCTACCTGGCAATTGGTTTTGCTTGTGTGATCCATGACCTTCCCGACTATGGCTACGACCTAAGTGTGTGCGACTGCTCCAACATGATGTTCACTCTCGGCGCCCGAGATGGACAGTACTCTGGCATCGAGTACGCCTACGCCGTCACACGAGCAGGTGTTGAGTACGTTGCCGATGTGCACAGGTACAATACAAGTGGTCTCACTCTGGTCTCAACACACTACTGGCAGATATGTAATGGTCGTCACCGTATCCTCAATGCAGCAATGAGTGTTGCCGAGCATGCCCACCCTCGCCGATTTGTCAAGAAAGACACCATGATGAGTACGATCACTGACCGCAAGGAGGAGGAGTACTTTGTCCAACCACACAACCATCAGTCATGTGAGAGCCAGTACCAGCAGCTGAAGGAGCGTGCACTTAAGTTAGGTCCCGCATACGACACACTTCTCCGTGGAATGGTCGCACGAGTCTACGAACGCATCTATGGCAAGTCACTGGATGACATTGTTGGATTGGAGGAGGTGGACAATATCGTCAACATTATCGACTGTGTCTGCATCGACAGTCGAAACGAAGGAATCGAGTTCCTCTGGGACATAGCATTATTTATGTGGGGTGACTCTGGCATCATGTGGCATGCTTGTCTTGGCGGACTCCTTGTGACCAAGGATCGTCTTGTTGGCGATGACACTGCTGGCTATGGATATGAGAAAAGACATTGGGAGAAGCAGCAGAAATAATAATTATTAAGTGATTCAAAACCCGCACCGACTGACTATTCATTCATACACTTCATACTTGGGAGTTTGCTAACTGATGGCGACACAGTTATTCTAGTCAACTCTCACCAATATTGGTTATCATAAATTCTGACGTGTTTGATCACAATATCTTGAGCGTGTGTTTAATTAACTGGGTCGAGGGAAACAGTCCGTCGCGATTGTCTATTGGACAATTGTCAGTGGATGGGGTGAATGGGGGGAGTGGGGGTAGTGTCCGCAAGTGATGTAATAAGCTGCATCTCATCCCAAAGAGTATATCTTCTCGCACTCACAGGTGATAGCGATTCCATCTATTATCTAATTCAGAAAAATACTTATAATGTCCTTAAAATATTTCTATTTTGGTTGGGTGGATATAGATCATATTTGGACTTTGAGTCGAGTAAATAATGTTAATAAGTGAGAGAAGCTGATATGAGATAAAACATTAGTCTTCAGATTATTATATTTATAATTATTATTATTATTTTTATATATTCCAAAACATACAAACATAAACTAAAACAAAAATGTTGACAACAGAACAAATTGCCAAAGACTGTGACAGGAAACTGAATCAGATTTTGATGGCAAAGGAGAAGTTGTTGGTGGAGGATGATTCAGTTGCCAAGAATACTTTCAATGACTACCATGGTGAAAAGGACAGTCTATTTGTCAACTCCGCTGATTGGTCAAGTGATGGAGTGGTTCCAAAGCGCCAGGGATTCATCGAGCCAATTGGATTCGTAACCAGAGTGACATCGCGTGAAGGTGTCATCGGTGAGAAATGGGAAGCCGCTGACAATATCTCCTTGAATGACAAGTTGGATTCGCTGCCACCTGCTGAACTACGTGCTCGAAAGGATCCAGGTGTTGTCCATTGGGCTGCTGGTGAGAACATTTACAACCTCACCACGGAGGAGGATCGTATGTGCTCGATGGCCTACAAACTGAATGAGAAGGAGCTCATTGCCCAGATCGTACCGTTCATGGTTGAGCCCGAGGTCGGAGGATGCTTCTCATATGTGTGCCTGGAGAATACATTTGTCACTCATGCGCCGTACATGGCCACCAACATGGGCAATGCCTACTTTGAGATCTGGCAGGGCAACATGGATGGAGTGGAGAAGTGGAGAGAGAAGGACCTTGCCAAGTGGTGGAAAGGTGACCCAACCAAGAAGTACACATTTGGAAGGTTTGATCGTCATCCAATCAAGATCATCGTGCCCAAGGATGCTACTTTGGCGTGGCAGGACAGTTACATCCAACCATTGACTCAAGGTATTGCAAAGATCACTGGCTCAGCTGACCTCACCAAGTACTCGATCAAGGCTCCGCTCCAAGGTATCGTCAAGATCAACGATGGCAAGATCCTCATCCAGTTTGACGATATCAATCAAGAGATCATCCTTGGTGAGCGTGGTCCAAAGGTCACACCATGGCCCATCCATGCACTTGCCAATCGTGTCTTGATTTCTGGTGCCATTGAGAATTTGGAGACCAGTCCCATCCCAGAGGTCGCAGTGTTCCAGCAGGAGTTGGCCAAGTACAAGGACACTTGTGCACAGGTCGTCCAAGCCAAAGTATGGGCAATCTGGACATTGGAGCGTGTCGTTGAGATGTACACAGCTTTGCGCACTGGTGTGGTCACCGAGAACAGTCCATTCATCGTCTACAAGATTGATTACTCCAAGGTCTATCGTCCAAAGGCCAACAAGATCGTGGAGAACCTGTCAAAGGGCAGTGGCTTTGCTGTCATCTCTGGCAACACTCAATGGGACGCACTATGTGAGTCCATGAAGCTCAAGGGTGTCAGCAAGTCAGCAATGCCCGTGGCCAACTGCATGCAGTACAACAGATTCGTCTATGGCAAGTGCCTTGGAACTGGAATGGGCCACATTGACAACCTGTTCCTCTATGACTATGGTGGCGACTGGACGATGCCAGCCATCCGCAAGTGGATCGCAGGAATGGGTCAACGAATCGCAGAGGTTCATGCCGCCGGAGAGGACTGTCTCAAGTCTTGCATCGAAGCCACCTGTCTCAGCTATGAGTTTGTGCGTGCCAAGAAGCGTTACGAGGACAACATGCGTCGCTCTGGAGTGCATCTGATCAACGTGTGCGCATGGAAAGATCTGGCCCAGATGCTCCATTACCGTGTGATCGACGCCGTGTTCCTCAAGTCGACGATCACCTCCAGCATGGATGATGAAGCCTACCTGGCAATTGGATTCGCTACAGTGATGCACGACCTCACAGACTATGGCTACGATCTGAGTGTGTGCGACTGCTCCAACATGCTGTTCACTCTTGGCGCCCGTGATGGAAAGTACTCTGGCATCGAGTACGCCTACGCCGTCACTCTGGCCGGTGTCGCATATGTTGCCGACGTGCACAGGTACAATACAAGTGGTCTCACTCTGGTCTCAACACACTACTGGCAGCTCTGCAATGGTCGTCACCGTATCCTCAACGCTGCAATGAGTGTTGCCGAGCATGCCCATCCTCGTCGCTTTGTCAAGAAGGACACCCTGATCGGCACGATCTTTGACCGCAAGGAGGATGAGTACTTCATGCAGCCACACAACCATCAGTCATGCGAGAGCCAGTACCAGCAACTGAAGAAGCGTGCACTCAAGTTGGGCGGTGCCTTTGACACACTGCTCCGTGGAATGGTCGCACGTGTCTATGAGCGCATCTATGGCAAGGCATTGGATAACATTGAAAGCCTGGAGGAGGTGGACAACATCGTTAACATTGTCGACTGTGTCTGCATTGATAGTCGCAACGAAGGAATCGAGTTCCTCTGGGACATGGCCATGTTCATGTGGGGCGACTCTGGCATCATGTGGCACTCATTCCTTGGCAGTCTCCTGGTGACCAAGGATCGTCTCGTTGGTGATGACACTGCTGGCTATGGATATGAGGACAGACCATGGTTGGAGCAGAAACGTCAAGAGTAGGCTTTGAAGTTGGATATTGAATAAGAATAAAGATAAAACCTTACATAACACGCACTGTAATACATCCTATTGTTTGTTTGATTGAATGTATGAATGAATGAAAGAACATCTCTTTGCCAAGATATTAAACACGCGTCGAGATCTCTATCTCTCTATGAATTTGAATAAAAAAGGCAACATAATGAGTTAATCTCACTTGAAGACAGTCAAAATCATGGTGTAGGTAACTCTCTAGTCTTATCTTCACGTTGATGGTCATCTAGGATAATGTCAACACTTTGACACTGAATGAATGAAAGGGGGGGGATTACGAAACGAATGAGGCTGCTAGATTTACATTCCCTAAGGGTGTGGTGTAACATGTAATAAATTGGTTTGTAGATTTTAGGTCGACACAGATGTAAAGATCCAATAAAGTAGGACCTCCTTCTTGAATGTATGAGATGAGTATTATAATATGAATGTGGAAGTGAATGATGGAAAATTACAAATTGATAATTTAATTATCACTCCAACTACTAGTATCAATCCAAAAAATATTATTTTCCAAACATAAATAATAATAATAATAATAATAATAACCATTGGATTCATCACAAGAGTGACTTCGCGTGAAGGTTTAATCGGTGAAAGATGGGAAGCCGCTGACAACATCGCCCTGAATGACAAGCTGGACTGCCCGCCCCCTGATGAACTACGTGTTGCTCGCAAGGATCCAGGTGTTATTCACTGGGTTGGAGGAGAGAACATCTACAACCTCACCACTGAGGAGGACCGTTTTTGTTCGATGGCCTACAAAGTGGATGAGAATGATCTGATTGGCCAGATCGTTCAATTCTTTGCCGAGCCCGAGGTTGGAGGATGCTTCCCATATGTGTGCCAGGAGAATACATTCGTCACTCATGCACCATACATGGCCACCAACAAGGGCAATGCATACTTGGAGGTGTGGCAGGCAAATGAGAATGGAGTGGAGCAGTGGAGAGAGAGGGACCTTGCAAAGTGGTGGAAGGGTGATCCGACCAAGAAGTACACATTTGGAAGGTTTGATCGTCATCCAATCAAGATCATTGTGCCAAAGGATGCTACTCACGTGTGGCAGGACGAGTTTATCCAACCATTGACTCAAGGTATTGCAAAGATCACTGGCTCAGCTGACCTCACCAAGTACTCGATCAAGACTCCACTCCAAGGTATTGTCCGGATCAGCGATGGCAAGGTCATCATCCAGTTTGAAGATATCAATCAGGAGATCATCCTTGGAGAGCGTGGTCCCAAGGTCACACCATGGCCCATCCATGCACTTGCCAATCGTGTCTTGATTTCTGGTGCCATTGAGAATTTGGAGACCAGTCCCATCCCAGAGGTCGCAGTGTTCCAGCAGGAGTTGGCAAAGTACAAGGACAGTTGTGCGCAGGTCGTCCAAGCCAAAGTATGGGCCATCTGGACTTTTGAGCGTGTCGTTGAGATGTACACTCCCATTCGTTCAGGTATGGTAACTGAGAACAGTCCATTCATCGTCTACAAGATTGATTACTCCCAGGTCTACCGTCCAAAGGCCAACAAGGTGATGGAGAATTTGTCCAAGGGCAGTGGCTTCCCGATTATCACCGGCAACACTCATTGGGACGCACTGTGTGAGTCCATGAAGCTCAAGGGTGTGAGCACATCACCAATGCCCGTGGCCAACAGCATTCAATACAGCCGATTCTTCTGGGGCAAGAGCATGGGAACTGCAATGGGCCACATTGACAACCTGTTCCTCTATGACTATGGTGGCGATTGGACGATGCCAGCCATCCGCAAGTGGATCCTGGGAATGGGACAGCGCATTGCTGAGGTGCATGCCGCGGGGGAGGACTGTATCAAGACGTGCTTCGAAGCCTGCTGCATCAGCTATGAGTATGTGCGTGCCAAGAAGCGATATGAGGACAACATGCGTCGCTCAGGTGTGCATCTGATCAACGGATGCGCATGGAAGGATCTGGCCCAGACGCTCCATTACCGTGCCCTCGACGCAGTGTGCCTCAAGGCGACGACCAACTCAAGCATGGATGATGAGGCCTACCTGGCAATTGGATTCGCCTCGGTGATCCACGACCTTCCTGACTATGGCTATGATCTGAGTGTTGCGACTGCTCCAACATTCTCTTCACACTTGGCGCCCGCGATGGACAGTACTCGGGCATCGAGTACGCCTTCTCCATCACTTTGGCGGGTGTCCAATATGTTGCCGATGTGCACAGGTACAATGTCAGTGGTATCACACTTCTCTCCACCAACTTTTGGCAGCTCTGCAATGGTCGTCACCGTATCCTCAACGCTGCAATGAGTGTTGCCGAGCATGCCCACCCTCGCCGCTTTGTCAAGAAGGACACGTTGATGGGCACAATCACTGACCGCAAGGAGGATGAGTACTTCATGCAGCCACACAACCACCAGGCATGTGAGAGCCAGTACCAGCAGCTGAAGGAGCGTGCACTCAAGTTGGGCCCAGTCTACGACACACTGCTCCGTGGAATGGTGGCGCGTGTCTATGAGCGCATCTATGGCCTGGCATTGGATGACATTGAAGGCCTGGTGGAGGTGGACAACATCGTCAACATTATCGATTGTGTCTCCATCGACTGTCGCAACGAAGGAGTCGAGTTCCTCTGGGACATGGCATTGTTTATGTGGGGCGACTCTGGCATCATGTGGCATGCTTGTCTTGGCGGTCTCCTTGTGACCAATGATCGTCTCGTTGGCGATGACACTGCTGGCTATGGATATGAGGACAGACCATGGTTGGAGCAGAAGCGTTAAGAGTAGGCATGGCATGGAATGGCATGGTTAGGCGTGTGTCGCGGACAAATGAATGATAATAAAGACTAATGAATATCAGATTCCAATAGATTGATTGATTAATTGATTGATGTAGTCCCAATCAATGGCAAGTACCTTCACAAATAACAACAACTTTGTTGTTTATTGTTTATCACCATGTCCACTTTCTTCATCTTACTCTCTATTTACAGGCCTTGTTGGATTGTGTTCAACTCCTTTGTCTTTGTCTCTATATATTGTTTATCGCGTATATATTCCTCTGTTTGTGATTGGACATGGCATTGGAAGTTAGTCCAAATATTCATGGAATGATTGATTGATTGAATAACTTACCAAGTGTTAGATTATTGATATTGTTACAAAGTTGGTGATCGGTGAGTTTATTGTCGGGTACGTCCAACTTGATGTCGTGATCGGCCAGTCGTTGTTTCATCAGATTATAACTATACTCAATCTCCTTGCTCTTGTGATTGATATTGTTTATCAATGGTACTATGTCCTTCTCTATCATCGACTCTGATATACTCAATGGCACATCCCACGACTCCACCAACTTGATCTCATTCTCCAAGTCCTGTTTCAGTCTTCTCTTCTCTGCCATCTCTTGTTGTAACTTTGTTTGATCGGAATGAGTTCGTATGAGTGAGTATGAGTGATTGGAATAGTTCCAGTGATTGAGTGATTGAACATACTTTGGTGAAGTTTGTGCTCATCTCTTCCAGATCTTGGTTGAGCTTGTGAGCTTGCTCTTTGAGTGATTGGGAGTCAACGGGCATGAGGTAGTTGAGTGATGGCATCTCGCTTGGCAACACAAGGTCGTTGGGGATGTTGAAGACGTTGGTCATGAGGAACTGTTCAAACTTGTCGAGGTTCTTGCCGAAGCAGTCGTCAAGTAGATGCCACATCTGATCGGTGCCCTCGGCTACACGCTCGGCGACATGCGTTGCCTGGAATGCACTGTGTGTCAACAGACACTGGTCGACATAGTCTGCGCCATCTACAGCGATGATCTCATGTACAGCCTCGTGTATATCATCCGCAAATGCCATTGGATGATAATAGAAGAACTCCTTCTCTCGTGTCATCTTTGGTATTTCATCCACCTCCACGTGCTCCTCATCATCCTCTTCCTGCATAATCATGTTTGTCGTTGTTGTTGTCGATGAATTTGTAGATGTAGATGTATATTCAGTGTTCATGCTTTCATTATTTATACTATTTTCATCATCCATCATTATAGACATTATTATTGTTATTATTATCTGTAGCTTTATCTTTATCACTGAGTGATTGTGCTGAAGGAGTGGATCATAATTTGAAATTTTGAAAATTGGCGCCATTTTTTAAAGTTCCCACTTTCTATCGTCTGGATCAATCAATTAATTCATAAATTAAACAATAATATCATTATGAAGACATAATCTTTATAACATCCACCACTTTATTATTACATTTGTCTCGTTACTACCCCTCCCCGTGTGTCCTAGTACTTTAGATTATCAGACTCATTATATGAATTGGGTCAACATGTTGTGATAGATAGAAGGATAGATAGATCTTCATTCCTATCATGTATCCCTCATTCATTCGTATTGTATTGTATTGCATATGTGTACAACAACTACAAGGTTTAAATCGAAATCATGATACATTAGCCACATGATTGTGGTCAGTGGGATGAAAACGAGTGTTTGTGGGTAGATCTACAAGTGATGTATTAATCCATTTGTCCTTGTCTTGTGAAGGTGTGATCCCGCGTTCCTAATAACAATTTCTAATTAAGGAGTACTACTACTACTACTGTCAGAGTAGTACACATGAATTATCATCCGTGGTCCATGGTCCGAATTAATGTGTGGGCGAGTGAGTGAGTGAGTCAATGAGTGAGTGAATGAGTAGTTGAGGTATGGTAGTTGTAGGGTAGAGTAGTAAGGGTAAGGGCAAGGGTAGATTATGTTGGTTTGAGTAGGGATTCATAAAGTTCTCCAAGAGTAAAATGATGATTTCACGACTGACATGAAAAACATCATCAATTTACAAATTTACACCTTTATTGACAGTGATATATAAAATTAGTTATAAAATTATCCAGTCAATTCATAATTTTTTATTTATTTATTTATTTATTTATTTATTTATTTATTTATTTATTTATTTATTAATTTTATAATATTCAAATATAATTCAAAAACAATGTTGATAACACAACAAATTGCCAAAGACTGTGACAGGAAACTGGATCAGATATTGATGGCCAAGGAGAAGTTGTTGGTGGTGGAGGATTCAGTTTCCAAGAGCACGTTTAGTGACTACCAAGGTGAAAAGGACAGTCTATTTGTAAACACCAAAGATTGGGAAGGTGATGGAGTGGTTCCAAAACGACATGGATTCATCGAGCCAATTGGATATGTCACCCGATTGACATCGCGTGAAGGTGTCATCGGTGAGAAATGGGAAGCCGCTGACGACATCGCCCTCAATGACAGGTTGGACTCGCTTCCACCGGCCGATCTACGTGGTGCTCGAAAGGATCCAGGTGTTTTCCATTGGGCTGCTGGTGAGAACATCTACAACCTCACCACTGAGGAGGATCGTATGTGCTCGATGGCCTACAAACTGGAGGAGAATGAGCTCATAGCTCAGATGGTGCCATTCATGGTTGAGCCCGAGGTTGGAGGTTGCTTCCCATATGTTTGCTAGGAGTATACATTCGTCACTCATGCACCATACATGGCAACAAACATGGGCAATGCATACTTGGAGGTGTGGCAGGCCAATGAGAATGGAGTGGAGGAGTGGAGAGAGAAGGACCTGGCCAGATGGTGGAAGGGTGACGCGACCAAGAAGTACACATTTGGAAGGTTTGATCGTCATCCAATCAAGATCATCGTGCCCAAGGAAGTTACACTCGTGTGGCAGGACGAGTTCATTCATCCATTGACTCAAGGTATTGCCAAGGTCACTGTATCAGCTGACCTCACCAAGTACTCGATCAAGGCTCCACTCCAAGGTATCGTCAAGATCAATGATGGCAAGGTCATCATCCAGTTTGACGATATCAATCAAGAGATTAACCTTGGTGAGCGTGGTCCCAAGGTCACACCATGGCCCATCCATGGTATTGCCAATCGTGTATTGGTCAGTGGGGCGATCGAGAACTTGGATACCAGTCCCATCCCAGAGGTCGCAGTGTTCCAGCAGGAGTAGGCCAGGTACAAGGACAGTCATCTCTGACAACACTCAGTGGGACGCGCTGTGTGAAGCCATGAATATCAAGGGACTGAGCACATCACCAATGATCGTGGCCAACAGTTTGCATTCCAACCGATTCGTCTTTGGCAAGAGCTTGGGAACTGGAATGTGCCACGTTGACAACCTGTTCCTCTATGACTATGGTGGCGACTGGACGATGCCAGCCATCCGCAAGTGGATCGCAGGAATGGGACAGCGTATTGCCGAGGTGCATGCAGCCGGAGACGACTGTGTAAAGTCGTGCTACGAGGCCACCTGCATGAGCTATGAGTTTGTCCGTGCCAAGAAGCGATACGAGGATAACATGCGTCGTTCTGGTGTGCATCTGACCAACGTCAATGATGCTCCACTACCGTGTGATCGACGCCGTGTTCCTCAAGCCGATGGTCACCTCCAGCATGGATGACGAGGCCTACATGGTCATTGGATTAGCCTGTGTTATCCACGACCTCCCTGACTATGGCTATGACCTGAGTGTGTGCGACTGCTCCAACATGCTATTCACTCTTGGCGCCCGCGATGGTCAGTACTCTGGCATCGAGTATGCCTTTGCAGTCACCCAGGCTGGTGTCCAATATGTTGCCGACGTGCACAGGTACAATGCCAGTGGTCTCACAGTCGCCTCTGTCCACTACTGGCAGCTCTTCAATGGTCGCCATCTATCCTAAACGCAGCCATGAGTGTTGCCGAGCATGCCCATCCTCGCCGCTTTTCCAAGAAGGACTCACTGATGGGCACGATCACTCACCGCAAGGATGAGGAGTACTTCATGCAGCCACACAACCACCAGGCATGCGAGAGCCAGTACCAGCAGCTGAAGGAGCGTGCACTCAAGTTGGGCGGTGCCTACCACACACTGCTCCGTTGCATGGTGGCGCGTGTCTACGAGCGCATCTATGGCAAGGCATTGGATGACATAGAAAGCCTGGAGGAGGTGGACAACATCACCAACATTACCGACTGTGTCTCGATCGACAGCTGCAACGAAGGAATCGAGTTACTCTGGGACATTGCATTGTTCATGTGGTGTGACTCTGGCATCATGTGGCACTCATTCCTTGGCGGTCTCCTTGTGACCAAGGATCGTCTCGTTGGCGATGACACTGCTGGCTATGGATATGAGGACAGACCATGGGAGAAGCAGAAGGGTCAAGAGTAAGATCGATCAGCATGGTATGGCATGGCACAGTTTGGCATAGGATATATAAGAATAAACCTTATATCATCAATCATTCATTCCAATTTTGTTTGATTGATTGGTTGATTGAATGATTGATGATCCAGTGATCACTCTCGGACAACACAGTACGTGTGATGAAAGTCAGACTCGGGACTCGAGTCCTGATCATTGGGGGTATTTTTTAAATCTCGAGATTGGAATGTTGAAAAAGGCGCCATTTCTCCTATCTCTCTTGAGTATTTCGTTTCATTCGTTAACTGAAGTAGGTCAAGAATGTTTGATTGATCAATCAAACATTATTCATATTATTATTAATAATAGTTAACTATTATTATTACTATTATTATTTTTAATTATAAAGGAACAACAAACAATTTGATTGGTTGAAGACAAATCAACAAACAAACACGTGCCAAAGGATCGTGGACATGTTGCGAAGAGGTACTACCCCGATGATCAAAAAAATAAATTAAAAACAAAAACAACTCTCAATGTATGTGTGTTTATGACTGAAAGAGAGTGCTGTGGTGTGAATTTGAATTGGTTGTGTGGGGAAGGGAGGGGAGAGCAGCAGATAAAGGTGTCATTAATCATTCTCTCAACTCCTAATCTTGCTCTCTCTCTTTCTCTCTCTCTATCTAATCATTCATTCATTCATTCATTCATTCATTCATACATCATTTCTAAACATTATTATTAATCAAACCAAACATCAAAATAACAAATTTGCAAACAACCTTCGACAAACTATTTTTAATATTAATATTGGGAATCATCCCAACGTAGTCATCACCTAAGAACAGACCAACCAACCATCACCTTCATCACCTTCACCATCATACATATATCCATATCCCAATATAATACACTCAAACTCAACTTAATCGATCGGTCGTCATCGATCGATCTTAAAGAGACACTACTTGTTTGGCGCCAAACAACTTAATATTAATCATTAACTTGTATTCACTAGCTAGTTAGTTAGCTGGCTAACGCACATAGATAGACATAAATAGCCGGGCTACTACAACCTTTTCTCTCTCTCTAGCTCTCTCATCTCTCGTGGCAATCACAACTCTGATAATATAATATGTCAAGGTCAGAGAGTGACAGTCAAGCGTAGGTACCCACCCTGGACTCACTCACATCGTCACATGACCTGGACACTCACTCAATCATTCCATTCAATCAATCAATCAATCAAATCAAGTCTGAATGCATATATATTGGACTATCTGGTCAAGTGTAATCTGGTCAGTAGCAGCGCAGCATTCAAGTCTGAGCTAAAGAATACGACGAGCACACCAGTGACGGACATCAATGTGATCGACACAAAGGATGGCTTTCTATATGATTGGTGGACGGCCTTCTGGCCACACTTCAACTCGAGGAATCTAAACGATCAGGACGGCACCTCCAAGCTCTATCTAGATCTTGTCGCCAATCATCATCAACAACATCATCATCCTCAGGCTTCCCAACTTGTACAGGGACAACAGCAGCAGCATCAGCAGCAGCAACAACAGCATCAGCAACATCTTCAGCAGCAACAACATCTTCAACAACAGCATCAACAACAACAGCAACATATTATGGGTCGACCAGCTCAGCCGCAGCAAGTTCAAACAATGCAATCGGCATACCTACAACACCAACAACATCAACAACAGCAGCAACATCTGCAACAACAACAACATCTTCATCAACAACATCAACTTCAACAACAGCAGCAACAACAGCAACAGATCAATCAGAGCAATCCAGCATTGCACATGCATCCACAACAGATGGTTGGCCAACCTCCTCATCAATTTCAAACTCCCCAACAGACTCAGCAGCAGCAACAACTGCAACAGCAGCAACAACAACAGGCTCTTGCTCAACAACAACAACAACATCATCCACAGTTTGAGGGCATGCCCATGCCGATGCAGATCCCCGGACAGCCGATCGGGGCGCCGCCAGGCATGCCCGTGTACACTGCTCAGAATGATCACAGACTGGTGCGCACATTCAGTGGCGGTCGCCAGTTCTCCATGCCCGCTCAGCCGGGCCAAACAGCATCGCCAACACTCCAACAGACATCTGCATCGTCTGCATCACCACACGCGCCACTGACACCAACGACTGCGCCCACTGGACAACAACATGGATTCCTCTCACAGTCCCACCCTCTACCAACTGCAGCGAATCAGCAGCAGCAACATCAACAGAACGCACCTGTGGTTGCGTCGACACCTCCACAGACGATAACGACGCCTCCGATGGCACAACACCCTACCCCTAGCACTTCCCCACCCAATGCCATTAAGTCCGAGCACGAGCAACACCCACAACAACAACCAGACTTTAAGGTATGTGTCCGGATCGATCACACTGATGATTGGCTGATTGATTAACTAACATATTCGCCAATACAGATGCCAGGCAAGCATTCTCCAAAGAAGAAGAAGTCACATGATCAGATGCCAACATCAATGGTTGGTGCAGCGGCCGCACAACAGCAACAACAACAACAAGCGCAACAACAGCAATCGATACCTCAACAACCTCCAGCAATGCTGGCCAAGAGGTCGACGTCACAGGAGGTGCTGTACCCGACGCCACCAGTCAGCAAATGGAATGGTTTCTATCCGAATCCAGCAGCGGCCAACCCAGCAATGTTGATGCATATGCAGGCACAGGGCGGCCCCGCCAACATGTACTACCCCTATCATCCGGGGATGGTGCATGGTCCAGGCGGCGTCCCGGGTATCGCCCCACAAATGATGCCCAACCAAATGGTTGCCATGGGTCAGCCACAGCCACCACCACACATGCAATTCGGCCTGCCGCCTCATATGTTGACTGGCAACATCATCCCTTCTGCCACGCTATCCGGATCCGTCCCGCCAGCCACCGGACCCCCAACCCTAACGCCAGCTGGTGGCGCTGGCGCACAACAAGCTCCCCCTGTAATTCCACCAATGCCTGGCGCAACCAACAACAGCAATAGTAGTAATAGTAGTGGCAGTGGCAGTGGTAATGCCAAGCCAAAGGCACGAACAAACCGCAAGAGTTCACAAACGGACGTTGAGCTGCCGTCCAACTCATCGACGTCGGCGACCGCAGCCGACGGATCATCGTCAGGCAAGTCGACGGGCAAGTCGAGCAAGAAGAGAAAGGCATCAATAACAGAGGCGCCATCCGGTGTCCCTGATCCGAACAATGCGCTATCAGGCAGCGCAAGCACAGTTCCAAGCGCAACAACATCCAACAAGTCAAGCAAAACCAAGCGACCCGCCAAGTCACCTCAGATCACACAGCCGTCCCCATCACAAGACCTACCATCGCCACCATCCATCGAGCAAGCCTCACCCTCACCTTTCACCCCACAACAACATCAACCTCCTCAGTCTCCAGCGCAACAACTACAACAGCAACAACAACAACATAATAATAGTTACAATCAACTTAATATCAATGCTGGCAGTCCCTCATCTCAACAACAACAACAGAGTACCAATGGTCCAATGCAAACTGAACAACTTATCAACAATCATTCACACAGCCTACAGAACGGAGGTAGCATATCATCACCTGATCACCCATCGTCAGACGGAACGCCCAAGCGATCAGTGTCAATGTCCAACATGGCGACGACGCCACCAATGGGCGCAGTGGTGTCCAGTCCATCGCAATCCAACAACAACTCTGGTCAGCAGCAGCAACAGCCACAGATGATATATTTGAATCAATCGGCGCCCGTCCCCAACAACGCTCTCTCCTCCAACAACAACAACAACAACAATTCACTTCAAAAGTCGCTACAAACGTTCACATTCTCACCGATGATGTCTGGCATCACTGGACAGACGTATGACTTTAGCAACACGAGCCTCGTCGATGGAATGCTCGATCCATCTCAAGGCAATGGTGCATCTCCCCACACCCGACCCACCAAATTCCAACTATCCATGAACATTGGCTCTGGACCAGTATCCTTCAGTTCTCTTGGCACTCAACCAAGTGATGATATGTATTTATTTAACGAATGTAAGTACCAACTTAATACTTGTGTCAAATTTGGATTGGAACTAATCAATCGATCATACATGGAATAGCAATGTCCACTGACAATATGTCAAAGGATGAAGAATACCTTTCATTTCTGGAAGAGAAAAAGACTGGAGAGATATAGATAGGCCCAGAGAGTAGTGAAGTGAATGGACATGGACACCCTTCTTGTAATATATTTATATATCTTCTATATATCCAAGTATTCAATAAAACACTAGGACCCAGTGTTGTGTGTAGTGAGTGTGCCCGCCATGCCTCGATCACAACCATCCAATGTCCACTCAACCTCAAACACACACACAAAAACATTTCTTTTTGAATTTAATTTGAGAACAAACAAAAAGACGACGAACGACTCGAGAGAATGAGGGGTCAATCTTTAAACACTTCAAGTCATACATCATTATCAATCATATATATATTTAATAACAAGAGATAGATATGGTTATTAAGAAGACAACAACAGTAGTTACAAAGTCATTTGAACGTGGAGTTCTGCGGAAGGATGCTTCATCAAGAGAGAATGATGTAAGCGAGTTCAATCATCTATTTGATGATGCAAATCAACCATCATCATCATCAGTAAAGGGCAGGAATAAGAAGAAATCAACTACAACAACAGCGACAACAAACAACAAAGATGATATTGATGATAATGAAGCAATCGAGTTCTTCTCAAGTCAACATGTATCATCATTCGCCAGCGCTGATATTATAAACGAGTAAGTTTGTTTGTGATGATTGATTGATTGATTGATTGAATGATGAACTGTTACTAACTTACTTTTAATCAATGATATATAGTAAGAATCTTCACTTATCATTATCAAAGCAGATGGAGAAGGAGGGTCTGACTAAAGCATTTGGTATGAAGAGGAAGTTGGAGAATGATAATGAGTATGATCATGGCACAGAGTCAGAGGATGAACAAGATGAAGAAGACCAAGATGATGAAGATATGGATGAGAACAACGACCAACTCGAGAAAGAGTTTGTTGAATCACGTGGACATCGTTCATTCGAGAATCAAGACATTGTCGTACGTATCCCCATCCCCAATCAATCATTGATTGTTTGAACGAGAATGAATGAATGAATGACTTACACAATGACCATGGATACAGAGGAAACTACTACCTACAAAGGGTGCAGATGGAACAATGAAGAGGGTGACCGAGGTCATCATTAATCCAGAGACAAAGGTCGAGAAGCTGAAAGGTGTGGAGATGCATCCAAAACAGATATTGAAGGAGAAGGAACAGGAGAGGTTGAAGGTACAACAACAGGAGAGACAGTTGAAGAAACAAAAGATGATGCCAGAGGTCAAGGAGAAGGATAAGAAGAAGAAGTCAAAGAAGAAGGGCGATGACGACTCGGATGATGGAGAGATGGAGGATTCGGAATCAGACTCGGACTCTGACGATGATGGACCTGAGAATGATGTTGAGGAGTTGGAGTACATGGAGATGAGTGACAACGAGGAAGAGGAAGAGGCCAAGGACAATGGTCGCAAGAAGCCCATCAACGAAGCTGAGAGATTCCTCCTCTCCCAACAGACCCTCGAAGAGACCAAGGTCCAGCTTGCACAGATCTCGTCCAAGATCATCGAGAATCCAGAGAAGAATGTATGTTGATTGATGGCGTGGCCAGGCATGGATGACGTTGGAACATTGACTAACCCACTAACTCAATCAATCACATGATGGAACTATTCCACCCCACTCAATCACTCAATCACTCAATCACTCAATCACTCAATCAAGATCGCATTGTTCAACAACTTGTTCGCCATCTGCTTGAAACAAGCTGATATGACTATTAAGAAGTTGACTGTGTTGTCAATGTGCGCATTGTTCAAGGATATCATTCCAGGCTACAAGATTAACAATCAATTGCATAAGGAGGATAAGAAGGACAAGGACGATAAGAAGCAAAAGTTGAGCAAGGATATGAAGTTGATGCGTATCTACGAAGGCAAGCTACTCAAGTACTACCAGAACTATCTGGTGCTGCTAGAGGGCACCGTAGAGAACATCTTGGCCATCCAGTCCAAGCATCGTCCACCACGTCCCAACGCCTTCTTCCGCACCAACCAGATTGAGAAGGGCAACTACACCAGCCGCGACATGTCTTCGATGTTGTTTGTCGTGATCAAGGTGGCTGCCACCCTGCTCGTCTCCAAGCCCCACTTCAACTTCAAGACCAACCTCGTAGTGCTCACCGCACGATTCACAGTGTACCGCGACAAGTCCATCTCTGCCTTCTGTCTCCAGTCCATCACTGAGCTGTTCCAGAATGATCTTACTGGTGGTTCCACTTCGCTCGAAGTCGTCCGTTGCATTTCCAATGTGGCCAAGGCTACCAACTACATGATGGACCCTTCAGTTCTGCGCGTCTTCCACTCAATCCACTTGTCCGACGCTGTGGAGAAGGTCAATCCATTTGGTGCGGCCTCTGACAACTTTGGCCACAGATCCCAGAGAGGCAAGAAGCACTTCTCCAACAAGGAGCGTTCAGACAAGCGTGCCGACAAGAAGCTCGAGAAAGAGATGTTCGAAGCCGATGCAGAGTATACAGTTAAGGAGCAGAAGTACCTCCAGACAGAGATCCTCAAGAGTATCTTTATCACCTACTTCAGGATCATCAAGCAAGCCCCACACTCCCCAGCCTTGGCCTCCGTGCTCGAGGGTCTGGCCAAGTTTGCCCATTTGATCAGTGTCGACTTCCTTGGCGACCTGTTGGCAGCACTGGCAGGTCTTATTGGTCGCGACAATATCACACTTGGTAACGCATTGAACGCCACCATCACAGCCTTCAAGACAGTCAAGCAACATGGACACACGCTCAATGTCGATCTGAAGGACTACTTCTCCAAGGTGTACTCCTTGCTTCCACAATTGGTGCTACCACGTGAGCAACACAATTGTCTGGCGGCAGTCAATGCCTTCCAGGGAATGCTTGGAGAGAGGAAACAGACAGCAATCGATCGTGTTGCAGCATTCATTAAGCGTATGGCGACCATCTCCACTGCGCTACCACCACATGTCGCACTGGCATTCATCTCACTGTGCAAAGTACTCTTTGTTGGACATCCACGTGTTCAAAGACTCATCGAGAATGACAACTCATTCCACTCTGGCGAGTACAATGGAGAGACACCCGATCCAGATCATTGCAACCCATTCTCATCAACTCTCTGGGAATTGACCTTCTTCTATGTATGTTATTCATGATGACATCATGATTGAATGAAAGAAGATCGATCACTAACTCACTCGATTCAATCAAACAAACAGAATCATTGGCATCCACAATTCGAGCCAATCATTAAGAGATTCTTGTCATTCAATGAGACATCAGCGGCACAGGTACACAGAGACAAGTCACCAGCAGAGATATATCAGCTGTATGATAACTCCAAGGGAGGCTTCAATCCACCAATTCAAACGCCCAAGGAGCATCCATTGGAGAACAGATTGAAGAAGCTCAATAACCAGAAGACCAAGAACAAGAGAGAGATAGAAATATTTATTATCCCCACCCAAACAGAGCCATCCAATTTCCTCAGCAGCATAACGTCAAAGGCGGAGGAAGTAGAGGCGGACAAGGTGTCATTCAACTCTTACTTTGAGGACATCAGAGACTATGAACGACAGATGTCACTCAAGAAGAAGCTGACACACCTCCAGCGAGTCAAAGCACAGGTTGACAAAAAGTTGAATGAGAAGGAGCTCAAGCTGAAGCAACATCAGGCCCAACAACAGAAGCAAACTACTACAACATCAACATCAGCATCGACCGCCCAAAAGGTTGCCAAGACACCAGCCAAGCCTGCTCCAAACGCCGCGCCAAAGCCAGCTCCAGCCAAGTCAGCTTCATCCAAGCCAGCTCCAGCCAAGACAGCTGCCAAAGCCCAAGCGACCAACAAGAAGAAATAAAGAATTGGCGAATATATAATATATATACATGATGCATTTATAATTATTATTAGGACTTTCTTTGGATGATCTTGCCTTGGAAGCGATACTCAAACTCATCTCTCTTGACGAGGATGTCCAATGCCTTGCGAATGGAGAATGAGGAGACCTTGCCAGAGAGCTCAGACACGATCTTCTTGGTGCTGGACTTGGAGCCGATGGGCAATCTACGCTTGATCAGTGTCTCTGCCTCCAACACCTCTTGTAATATCTGTGGAGTCAATGTCTCTCCCACTGCATTATTAGTGGTGATGGCGTCGAATGTTGAGATTGTGAACAATCTAATAGCTTCCATCACATGAGTGATCGTGGCATTGTTTGACAAAGACATCTTTGCCAAGGACTCGGATATTCTAACAATGGCTTCCAGTTGTCTGGAAAATGATTGGATCAAGGTTAGTGATTGAAATGAGTGATGGAATGAAAGAGTGTCGAGTCATACCTTATAGTGATTGGGATGGCTGCGGCTTGACCTTCATCTTGTTGCATCCTGACTGTGGCACGAACGGATACATAGTGATTCTTGAGTGCTTCGATGGCATCGTCTGACAATCTTGGACTACAACGACTGCGACAATATGAGATGTACTTCTTGAGGAAGTTATCAAACTGGCCATTGTCCGATTTGACGTTGGCGCCTTGTTGATGGATTCGCAACACATGGTCAACGATCTTCATATCCCTGGCCATATTACGAGGGTCCCTCACAATGAAGATCATATCGAAACGAGAAAGGATTGTTGCTTGGAAGTCGATGTTCTACATTGATCGGAATAGTTCCAGTGAGTGAGTTGATTGATTGATTGAGTGAGTGATGGAAATTACTTACCTCTCCGGCTGACTTCAAATCATCGTATCGACCAAAGACAGGGTTTGCTGCCGCCAGTACCGATGTGCGAGAGTTGAGAATGGTTGTGATGCCTGCCTTGGCAATGGAGATGGTCTGTTGTTCCATGGCCTCGTGAATGGCCACACGATCGTTGACATCCATCTTGTCAAACTCATCGATGCAGACCACACCACCGTCTGCCACGACCATTGCACCACCCTCCAGGTAGTACTCACCGGTGGATGGCTCACGGATCACCGATGCTGTTAGACCGGCTGCACTACTGCCCTTTCCAGACGTGTACACTGAGATCGGTGCGACCTTCTCGACAAACTTCAACAGCTGTGACTTTGCTGTTCCAGGGTCGCCAAGCAACAACAGATTGATATCGCCTCTCAATCTCATCTTGTCAGGCAATCTCTTGAGTGAGCCTCCAAACAGTTGGCAAGTGATGGCCTTTTTGATGTCTGTGTTTGGGATGGGGGAGGGATGGTGAGTGGAATGGCTCCATCATCATTGATCAGGAAGAGGAAGTACAACACATACCTCCATGTCCATAGATTGATGGTGCAATGTTGCTTGAGATGTGCTCATAGAGGTCGGCTCGTTTGGAGAATTGTTTGAACGCATCCTCTTCCTTGGGCGTGAAGAAGTAGTTGGACCTTCCACCCTTGTCAGTGTCCGATGTGATACCAAGTGCACGGACGTATGGCTGACGAATGGTTGCCGAACCCGCTACCTCCTTCTTCCTGCCACCAATACCTTGGTAGATGCCAAACACGCCCAACACTGATATACGTGTTCCAGGTGTGATTCTCTCGACCAAACATCTATCCAACGTCAATTGGATATGTCTTGGCATCTCACCCGTAGGTATACTATCAGGACTCTCCTGTAGCTTCAATATCTGTTGATTGACAAACTTGCTCTTGTCTGACATAATGTAGTATGGGTTGTTTCCGCACTGTGTTCCATCTCTTAGGCTATAGTGGGATGGGTAAGGGTAGGGTAAGTGTGTGATCAGAGAATGATTGATTGAATGGGATGGTTCCAATCCTGACGATCATACGATTTCTCACAGACAAGGGGCAAGGGACTGACTGTGATACCGGGTGGTACGTCAACTACGAGGTCATGGCCACATGACCTACATCTGCCAACAAGCCTGACGGGTCTTGGCTGTGTTCTTGATGCTGAGATCACTATTCCAGGTATCCTGACCAGACGTGCAATATGACTTGCTTTCAATGTTCTGATTGATGATGGCTCCTGACTACTTATAAATAGTACCTGTATGTCATTGATCTCTGTAATGTCCATATTATACTTCATCTTGTGTACTGCTTCCTTTGCAGCTCTCTCAAACTACATTAGTTTGATTGATTGATTGATTGAATGGTTGAGTATGTGAGTATGAGTGATTGAATGAGTATGAGTAATTGAATGATCAATCGAATGGGATAGTCCCATCCCAGTGATTAGAATACATACATGAGGGATGACATCATTGGGCTTGGTCATGAGGTGATGAGTGAGGTTTGCATCGAATTGAGATAGATGCTCAATGTTGACCTCGAGATAGTATTGCTCGAGGTTGTATCTCTGTGTCAATTGCTCACGATAGATGAATGAGTTGTCTTGGTTCTTCCATCCACGTATGAACTTTAAGAACTTCTCCTGAACTGCAGCGGCAGCAGCAGCCAATTCATTCTGTGCTTGTAGTCCACCGAATCCACCTCCTCCACTGATGAATACTCTTCCTTCGTCCCAACCTGACATGTCTCTCTTGCTTCGTTCCTATCTTTCTTTCTTCCTACTACTAGTAATGTTGAGGAATATATCATATATTTGTGATTCAATGCAATCTTATCACTTGTGGTCAAAGTGAGAACGACTGTTTCAAATATTGTCAAAGGCGCCAAAATTCAAATTTGTGTACAACTTGAACTTCGTTGATTTCCAAGTGGAAATTGATTGTTTATTTGGAATCAACGTAACTTGGAAAAGATTGTGGAAATGTTAATGAATCCATAGCTGGCTATTGATTGTGATGAGCTGAGGAAGAGTGTATGATTGATTCGACGAAGTTTGAGTGAGATGGCATTACTGTTCAAGTCCAAATCAATCAATGTATCAGTTTTAAGTATTGTTTCTAAATTGGAAAGATTGACTCCACGATAAAATAACCTGCGCAGTGATAATGGTACACTCATTGGAAGTTGACAACAATTGCCTGCAATATATAAATCTGTAATGGATGATGGTAAAAGATCATTCTGGTCAAATGGGTGTTTGTAACCGAATAGATGTAGAGACTTGAGTGAGGCGGGCAGTGTGCCAGCTCTGATCTTGGTCTCAAAACTATCGCGGCATCTAAGAGACAAAGTCGTGAGGCCCTCTGGAAACGAACCTAGTGGTCCATGCGCAGTGGTTGTGAGCGTCCTTAGAGTGGATGGGAGTGAGCCCAGCTCTAAAGTTGACCGCCAACTCGTCTCAGAGTACTGATGCAGGCGAAGTGATGCGAGTTTGGGGAATATCTTGGAGGTGATCAATGATATTGTGTTTACATTGGTTGTTGAGAACACAAGCGAGATTGACAGCTCTGTGAGCGCAGGGAGGGTGATAGTCGGCTGGAATTGAGCTTGCGATCCAAAGATTAATGTTCGCAACGAGGGTCCATTGAAGTCGATGGGTTGATCGAACTCGTCGCCAACAGAAATGTAGGTGATGCTTGCTGGCAGGTTGTTAATAGGTTGATTGAATGCATTACCAAAAGTAATCGACTCCAATGTTGCTGGCAAATTATCTTTGTTGATTGATTGATTGAATGCCTCTGAGAATGTGATTGATTTCAGATGTTTGGGCAGACTTCCAGGAGTGATGGGATAGTTCCATTCATACAATTGTTCAATGTTGAGTGTATGAAGAGTATCTGGTATGCCCAGCTCGACCAAGGATGAATTGAATGAGAAGCCTTGGAGCTTAAGTGAGGTCAAACTACTTGGGAAGTAATTGTTGTCTCGTGATGGCCTTGCCCATCCATGTGGTGGCTTCACATTCATCTTCCTCACAGTGTTCACTTGTGACATTGATTGTAATGAACCTTTGAATGAAATGAAGACTGAGCGCGAGGCCATCTCTAACAAGAAGTCCTTGATGCCATCCCAGAATGGCTTGCTAAATGGTTCTAGTTCACAATCCCAGAACTTGATTGATCGTATATTATTAAATGCCAATATTTCTTGTATCCATTGAATGTTATTATTGTTGTTGTTGTTGATGATCTGTTTTCTTATCCAAGATGGAATAGAGTAGCGAACATCATAACCTGAGGCATGATGTTGTTCGAATGGTGAATCATTCGTGTATACAATGATGTTTAACATCTTGGTATTATATATTTGATTATGTATAATATCTTTATATGATCTTAACATAATCTGTTCTTTCTTCTCTTTCCTGTTGTCATTGTTGTTGCCAATATACTCGCAATATAATGGTAGACTATCATCTGTAAACATGATGTACCTATGACGTTGTTCAAATAATCGACGACAAACCAATGACAATACGATCCTATCTTCATTAGTTGGTAACATTAATGCAATAATCTTTAATAATGGTATCTGTAATGTATCCATCCTGAGTTTATCTCTATCTCATTATCTCTTGAGCGTGAACATCATCAAGTGTCTTTCAAAGTGAGGGGTTTTCATTTCATTCATTCAACCTTTGGATGAACTTATAACATGGACGACGATGACAGTGATGATGACAATAACAACTTGAAGGAGTTAAGTGCAAATGTAATATATACATGATATGCTAGATCAATCAAACAAACGTAACTAATGAAGTTGAATGTATGAACTTTAGGAATACCGCGACTTGACCAATGCACTCAAGGACACAAAGATAATGTCGACCTTGGTCGAGTACTATGAACAAGTACAACAGTTTAACAAAGATAACAACAATGAATCGGACACAATCACACAGACTGCCAATGTAGTCCCAAGTACCAGTACTTCTACAAGTACAAGTACATCCTCAACATCGACATCGACGACGACAACTACGACCACGCAGACTCAGACGCCAACACCACCAACATCATTGAACGACTTGCCAACAAAGAGTGTTATAACATCACCTGCATTCTGTATCAAGACACATAGTAATAGACATGATGTTGTATATGTTATGGTGTCACATTACTACTCGATAGAACCTGCTTCAACTACAGACAATCAAGGTTGGATCATACCTCATGCACTATTCCCTCTACAACAACAAAAGTCATCATATGCTAGCAATATATTCAATGTCTATCACATCGTCTATGCTACTGAGACCTACAACGAAGCAATGAAGAACAGAGGACTAAATCGATTACTTGTTCAAACTGCTGTCAAGGCCATCCATCAGTCGACAGGCGAATCACTAAACATCGCAGGTGAGTGTGCCCATCACTCAATCATTCTGGAATCATTCCAACCAATCAATCAATCACTCACTCTCATCCAATCAATGTAGCATACAAGATATCAAAGAAGAGCTTCAAGAGAGAGATGGTAGTTTCGATATTGCCAGAGCCAGAGGTTGTTATGGATGAGCCAGCGGCAAAGGAGACAGTGAATGAGGATGGAACAATCATACCAGTATATACCATAATCAAACTGGATGAGAACAATCAATCAATAACCAATCCAATAATAATACCAACAAAGATCAAATTGGAGATATTATTGTCAAGGCTGGAATCAATCACAAACTTATACATCGAGGTCATTGATCAACAACTTGTTCTTCAAGAGCCAGACCATCGCTATAACATGCAATACACATTCCATCACAAGATCGACGAAGACAACATCATTACCAAGTTCAACAAAAGGACCAAACTATTGACAATCACTGCCACTGTCTTGGAAGATCATTCACATTCTCATTCCCATTCTCAACAATCTGGAGATCACTCACATCATGGCAGTGACCATGTTCACCATCATGAGGACACCTTGGACATGATCAAGCGAAAGGAATTGATGATAGACATGTCACAAGATACTCTACCATTCTCTACTACCAATGTGGAGGCTACCTCAATGTTCCCATCGTACTTGTATAGACAGACACATGAGAAGATCTGGATAATCATTCATATTGGAGAGTCAATGTTATTGAAGGATACTCTGCAAGTTGTTGTTGATGATGATGGCAAGGGTAAGGACTTGTCAATAACATACCTTGAACAACATGGTGGCGCCAAGGTGTGTCGTCAATTCAATCTCCACTCAGACGTATCATTGGACAGTGTAACAAGTCAACAGACAATAGTAATAAGATTGAATAAGACATTATCATTGATGTGGCCAACCTTGGAACGAACCAGCTAGCGAGCGAACAATATAAAGGTACATTATCAATATATATATACTTCGTCCATTTAATATTGTTGATTATAATGGCTCTAACTTGTCTAGTGGAATGATCGACTTCTTCTTCCAATAGTGATACTCGTTCCATTGCTCATCGATGTGTTTGCTGCCCGAGGTGATGCTTGGGAACATGTCCTGCACAAGATCGTTGAGCTTGGTGTAGGACTTGTTGTACGTGTTGTTGGACGTGTTGATGATGCCGTTGGGATTGATCGTGAATGTCTTGCCGGCCGGGATGCCCACCGAGCTGTACGCGGCAACGTCCGTCGATCGATTGCCAAAGCCGGCATAGAATGGCGAGTAGCCGGGAGGGAAGATGTTCTGGATGTCCTGCAGACAGGCGATCTTGAACTCCTCGGGGTTCTTCTTAATGACCTCGCGGTTGAACGATGTGAGCAGACGGTTCGGTGACATGAACACCGGGCCTGCCGGCAGCGACCACGATGGCATCTGTGGATCGTTCTGTAGGTTGGACGCAGAAGTCTGCTTAACCCAGCTGATGTAGTTACGCGTGATGCCCGCCTGACCAATGGCACGAGATGAAAGATACATGATCTGGTAGCCATTCTCCTTGATGTTGGAGTAGAGCTCGGCAACGCCAATGTGCGACCAGTCCTTGCCAAAGGCCGGCAGCAGATGTCCAAGTGCGTCGGACTTGGTGATTGTTCCGTCGATATCTGAGATGACGATCTTGGAGTCGTTGTCCCACAGGTAGATGGACGCCGTCAACTCTCTCGTGCCCTGCAGTGTGCTCGATACTACAAAGGTGATTGTGTTGACCCCCTTCTTCAGGCCCAGTGATTTAAGTTGGGCTGATGTTGGTCGCAGTGACTTCTTGACGTACGAGTGAGGTGGCATGCTTGGTGGAGTCGTCTGTACAAGCTGTTGGTTTGGCTGTTGTTGAACAATCTGCTTTGATTGAAGTGGTGGAGAGACGACGATTGGAAGATTGCTTGATTGTCCCTCAATCATCTGTTGGTGTACTTTGTTGTTGTGAGCTACATCTTGTTGCTTTCCATTGACTATCTGTTGTTTGTTAGATGAAGTTGCTTGCTTGTCCTCGTTAGACTTCCAACTTGGGAGCCAGCTCTTCATACTCCAAGAGTGTCTGCTGCTACCTGGTGGCGCGGCCGTCTTGGCAGCGGTCCTCTCCTCCTTGTCCTTCTTCCTAAGCGACTCTAACGCCTCGACGGACAGCGGACGATTGAAAACGAGGTGTGACATGATGTAGTGACCAGCGATCGTCCAAGGGTAGTACTCAGACTCGATCTTGGCCACAAGGTGTGGGTTCTTGAACAGGGCCACATCGGAACACAGCTGCTCATGCGAGACGATGTGCTCCTGGAAGAAGCGCTCTCGCTCCTCTGGCTCTGACTGCAGGTTCCTGTCGAGGATCAAGTGTCCGCACAGTGACAGCTGGGCGTGCATCTGTCCTCTTGCTGGGCGGCCAGGTCTGTTGGGCGTCCTGGATGCGGCCAGGGGTGGGAAGTCGGCGTCGTCTACAATGTCCGACAGCTTCTCCATTGAGTCGGATATAGGGATCAAAGGTGGCAATGAGTCACCGCCCTGCTCATCCAATCCCTTGACGATCGATGCGTAGCTCTGCTCATTGTTTGTGGACATTGTCATCAGTAAACGATTGGCACTGTACTGATCGAGTCGATCATCCTTGTCGGGTACCTCTTGCACTCTTTCCTGCTGCTGCTGTTGTTGCTGTTGCTTCTGTGGCTTCCTAGGTCTCTGCTGATGCTGCTCCTCCGACGAGGAATCATTCTTTTGATCATGTATATCATGCTCATCCTCCTCGAAATGGAAGATCTGAGGCTCTGCGCCCGTGTCCAGATTGTCCATGGATTGAGGAGGCTCGGTTGGAGGCTTCACAAGGTAGGTGGGCTCGACAACAGCTGCTGTTGATGTAGCCGCCGAAGTCTCACGCTTGTTGAAGATCTTCTTGAAGGCCGCTTTGCCCCAAGACTTGGTCTCCTGCTCGCCACCGGACTCGCCCGCCTCGAGGGTGGCCTCCACGATGGCTGCACTGGTCGTTGTGTTGCTCTCGACCAGGACGCCAGTGGTGTCGCTCAGATCGCTGGTGAGCTGCTGTTGCTGTTGTTGCTGTGTTATTGTTGCCTCGGTCGAGGTTGATGTTACAGTGATTGATGCCGTTGGCGATGTGATGTGGCTGTTCGTCTGTTGGGGGCTGGTTGTGTTGGACGAGGGCGGCGATGCTGCCGCCGTTGCGTTGGTCGTCTTGCCTCGAATGAACTTCGGCAGACCTCCCCAACGCCAGAAGCCGACCTTTTGCTCCGACTCTGAGTCCGAGTTGACGACCGAGTCGTGGCTGTCCGACAGCTTGCGAGCGCTAGAGTTGGGCGGGCTGTTCTCCAGTGGTGGCGTGGTGACATTGATCTCTGACGGCGATCCAATAGGTGTGTCGATTGGAGTCTCAGACTCGTAGTTGATAATATAACTATTGATTGGTGAGTCCAATGTGATATCCTCCGAGCCTTCAAAGAACACTGGTGATGATGTTCTCTTTAGAGGTGATCCTGTAAGTGCTGTGAACGAGTGTTAGTATGGGCGAACGAGTCCTTGAGGAGCAAGGGACCTATCACATACCCTTCTTGATGGAACTTGTCGTTGGAGAGGATGGTGCGGTGGTCGAGGCCGAGCTGGAGGGCGTGATGTGAAGAGCAGAGTTGGCACTCTTGCTTAGAATATTGTTTGTGGTGATTGCTGGCAATGGGTTGTTGTTGTTGTTGTTTACGTGAGGTTGTTGTCCCTTCTGCTTGATGATCATCTCTTCGATGGCTGATGTAAGAGGCCTCATCTCTGAGGGCTCCAAATTGTTGATTGTTGTCGTTGTCGTTGTGGTCGTGGTCATTGTTGTGGTGGTGGTCTGTTGAATGACGGGCGGCTTGTACATGATCCTAGTCGCCTGGAACTCTGGCAACAGCTCCTCAGTGGACTTTTTTGAAGCGGCTGCTCGCGACTGCTTGGGCGACGTAATGGGCGACGTCGCCAGGATGGATGGCACAGGCTCCTCTGTCTCCTCGACAAAGAATGCCTCACCAGCGTGGCCCAACTTCATCTGCAAGTCGGTCTTTTGAGCATTGACATAGATTGAGATGATCTTCTCTGACGATGAGATCAGCTGCAACTTGCCGAATCTGATATGAAATGGTGTACACTTGAGTGAGCCGTCTGTCTGTGGCACTACCAATATATCAATGGCACCACTGAGTGTGGCAGCATTCAACTTGAATGCAAAGTGCACCTCGTCGAATAACTTCTCCACGTAATTCATCTCCTCCTCTCTCTCTCTCAGTACTGTATATCTATCTCGCTCAAAGTAATACTCCTACTTCTTATTCGTTCTGTCTATATATCTCTATCTCTATCTATCGATGTTCGATGTAATGGTTAATCAATAATATTTAAATTAATAATATTATTACTTGTTTTGTTGTTGAGATATATGTTTGTTATGTTTGTGTGTATGTTATGTTGTATATGTGTGAATGAATAAGTGAAGTGAGATAGATAGAGACAAGAAGTTGTATGAAATTGCTTTGGAAGATGGGAGTGTGTCGTGTGTGCCAGACTTGATATCCATTTCCTTTTTAAGACCAAGTTGGTGGGGTCGGTGTGTGTTTGGGATTCTCTATTTGCGTGGCACCCTTCGCGTCTCTCCTTGACTTTAGACCTTTACATTCAATTCCAATTCAATTCAATTGCCTGTTCAACCAATATTACCTTGATGATGATGAGTAAGTAGCAATGATGAATCATATGATCAATCCTATTTACTCGGGATTTCAACGTATTACTATATCTCCCCACAAAGTAAATTGGGATTTGGTTTGATTGAATGGATTAAAGAAACTTGATGAGTCATTGTAGTGTTGACATCATCATTGATCATTGAAATCCAATAGTAAGTAAGTAATTATCCAATCTAAATGGATACAAATAATAATACATCTAAAGATACAATCTTTGTTCGTTCACAACTCAAAAAAATGAAGTTGTGGTGAAGACTGAGTTCTGTTGTGTTTGAACAAACAACAGTTCATTGTTAGTAGACTGTGAACAGATATTAGGATAGATAGATAAAATGGCAGATGTAGCACTTGCAAGGTTAGCTGAGGAGAGAAAGTCGTGGAGAAAGGATCATCCACCTGTATGTTTGAATGAACAAACCTTTGAATGAATGAACAATGAATGAATGATGGGCAATGAACAAACATTAACCAACAACATAACATGTTCACTTGATATGAATGAATGAATGAATAACCAAAACAGGACTTCTTTGCAAGACCAGCCTCTAACGCTGATGGCTCAACCAATTTGAATAGATGGGATTGTGGAGTACCTGGAAAGAAAGGTGTATGTACATCATCAACATCATCATCAGACATCTAGTTCTTTCATTAACTTACTTACTATTGACACAACAACATTAGACTGCATGGGAGAATGGTGTATACCCAGTCACTCTAGTATTCTCAAATGATTATCCAGCAAAGTCCCCACTTTGTAGGTTATAGATTAGGTTATGTTGATCAATCGAGTGATTGAGTATGCTCAGTAGACTCTAACATCAAACAACAACAACAACATGAATATAGGTTCATTCCCTGCAGGATTCTTCCATCCCAATGTATTCTCAAATGGCGATATTTGTCTATCAATCATTGGTAATGATTGGAAGCCATCGATCACAGTAAAACAGATTCTGATTGGAATACAAGACTTGTTGGATAATCCGAATCCACTAAGTCCAGCTTCAACTGCTATCACTGTTTATGAGTAAGTGGTCATCACTCATTCTTCAGCTGATCATTATGTTCCTGTCACTGACGCGTCCCAATCAATCAATCATTCATTCATTCATTCAAACAATACAATAGGAAGAACAAGAAGGAGTACGAAAAGAAGATACTAGCGCAGGCCAAGTCATACTTACCCAAGTAGACAGATAGAGAGAGAGGAAAGATATACCTTGGCAAGCCAGGCTGTCTGGCATCATAAGTGTCAGCCAGTCCTGTGTACATGTTTATTAATAATACAACCTCGAGAGAGAGAAGCGCACTGCTCCTCTTCAACGAGGGTTTCCACAAAGGAACAGCGGAAGCGAGACAGAGAGTAGAGAGTCAAGTCAAGTATGTCATGTGTGACTCTAGTCATATAATGTTTACTGCTGACTATGTGGGATAGGCTGCACCTGGAGGTGGCTGTGCGTAGTATTGCTCTTGTGTCTGTTGTGGTGGATAGGCTGCACCTGGAGGTGGCTGTGCGTAGTAGCCAGCTGGTGGATGTTGTGCTGGCTGATAGGGATAGCCTGGCTGTGGTTGAGGCTGCTGCGGTGGATACATCTCATAGGTGACATTTGGTTGTGGATGCATCGTTGTCATCATCACTGGCTGCGGCTGCATGACGGTCATGCCTGGCTGCAACACTGTTGTGGTGTGGACGACACCGCCGCTGTACTTCTTGCGACGATGACGCTGGCAGAGCATGACGATGACCACAATGACGACGACGACCACTGCGATCACAAACACGATCATGATAATGCCTGGCGAGTTGATCTGTAATGTGCAGGAATCGCATACCTGGACACTTGTATAAATATTACTGTATTGATTGAAGCCTGTACATTTTGGTTCTGAAATGCTTGATCCATAATACGGCTTGCCCGAGCATTCAAACATTCCAACACAACATGGGTCTGATGATGCTGATGCTGTTCCAACTAAAGTTGTTGCAATAACTACTACTAGTACAAATAATATATTATTATTATTCATTCTCGAAGTTGTTTGTGATTGTTTGTTATATGATTGATTGTTTGGTTGATTGGTTGATTGAGATAACATATTCATGAATGAATATTTATATGTTCGTGACTTGTTTGCTTATGTTAAGATAAGTTGTAGGCTTGTCCTTGTAGACTAGGGCGGGGGTTGGATGACGTCCAACCAAAACAACACAATACATCATAGTCACACAATTTTGTGAACGACACCCCACTTCGTTCAAACACACAATCATGCTTGTGTGTTGTTTCGTTCATTGAATCTCGATCAAGATATAAATCATCACCCCCAAACCAAAATCATCATCCCATCTTCCAAAGACCTATCACCTTATTTTGTCCTGTAGTCCCAAGTAAGTATGCAATAATATGTATTATTTATTATCTATGATCCTGGGTTGACATCATCATAATGTTTGATGACTTGATGTGGTATCTTGATTTGTTGTAGTTGAAGACGGGATGATTCCATCAATTGATTGGGAACAATCAATCTCTATATCTTTGGAGGTATTGATTTTGATTTTTTTGTTGTCACCATCGTGACCATCAGAGGATACAACAGTAACTTGAGTTTTCATTTGGATATCTTCATCTCGGGATTCTTGAGTTGACATATCCTGATCGATCTTTTTGGTACTTTGCCTCCTGCGACAAGATCCTCTTTTAAGTAGAAAAACTAATATTGATACAAATATGAATACTACTGGTATCATAGCATAGGCATAGACTGGTGCCCCTCCAATTTTAGGGCTTGTTTGAGGAGGAGGATCGACTAGATTATTATTCTTTGGAACTGAGTAGCAATCTTCACAATATTTAAATATTTGGGCATCGATTGTCACATATTGGTATTTCTCACCAATACATTTAGTATCAATATTTGAGTCCTCATATATTGGTGTTGATATACAATAAATAGTTCCAATACAACATCCTTTACGACCATTAACTTGACCAACAATTAATAAAATATAGAATATAAATAAAATAATAAATTTATGATTATTGGTCTTCATATTTATATAATAATAGTATACAATTGATAATAATAGATATGACCAATCATAATACGTCATCTTATGGGTTGATTGATTGATTGATGGATTGATTCAATCATTGAGGATTCCTCAATCCAAAGGAGGACTGGTTTTTTTTTTTTTTTTTTTGTTCCCCATCACTCCAAATGCGGTCCCTGATCAGGACAAATCAAGATTCCAGGATACCATTTAAAATTACATATTTTTATTAGATCTGGTTGCTTAAACTAGTATGGCGCCTGTTGGATGGGTGGCGCTGAGGCGATGGCTGGTGGCTGAGCGTATGGGTATGCTGGCGCTCCGTAAGTACCAGGTGGGTACACGCCACCGGGTTGTGGGTATGCTCCGGGATAGGCCGCAGGCATGCCCTGTAGCTGATTGGGCTGATAGTCGTATCCATTGCCAAATGAAGGTGCCACTGATTGTTGTGTCATCACTATTGTAGTTGGTTGTTGTTGTATATGTACTAATTGTGTTGTGTGTGTCTTGGCATTTCTGATCCTGTTCCTACGCGCGCGGTATAAGCTGGCGGCCACTGCAATGACAAAGATGGCGACGATTGGTATGACGTAGAAGATGTACGATGGCACTTTGCTGCTGGATGACGATGCGGGCGGTGATGTGTATCTGGGGTCAAGGTCACAGTAGTTGCAGACATCCACGTATGATCCATTATATCTAAACATTGTGTTGAGGCCACGACATGTCACATAATATGTAGTGTTGTCGTTTATTGGAATTGTCGTACAGTTGGTGATTCCAATACAACATGCTGAACCATCCACCATACTGCTGCGAGACAGTATCACTGTGAATACAAGTACTAAAAAGTATATTGAGTATGTTAACTTCATATCTTTGTTTATCTCTATCTCTATCTTTAACTTTATCTTTATCTTTAAATCTGTATGTAACTCTCAAAACTATTTTTAACGATCACACCCTTACCTCCTCACATTTTGTTGTGATGGAGAATTATGATAGATCAATCACACGTCACCAGCCCCACCTCTCAATCAATCACCAAAGGTTTGGTTGATCAAAAAATCATCATATTAGATATTTTATTTTTAATTTTTCGAGATTGAACGATCAAACAATGAATGAACAAGCAAGCACCCCAACGTGATGTTACAAGGTATACGTTCAATCACTATTCTTTGTTTTTATTACTATTACTACTAGTATGATAGTTAAATGGAATGATTGAGGCAGTAAGTTATAAATGAACTAAACTTTGATTGAACAAAGTTAGATAACATAACTAACAATGTTGCTTTATAGTAAAGTATGATGTATGTCTACTGCCAAACAACGATCAGCGACTTGGATGGTTCGTTTGATGGATATCACCATGAGAACCAACATGCCCAATAGTAGAAAAGTGTTGGTCAAGGTCCTGTCGCTAGGACATACCAAAGTGAATATTCAAGTTCCACTCACTTCCACTTTGATCACCAGAGTACCAAGACAATCAATGAGATGGAGGGGAACCTTATATCATGGTGTTTATTGTTCCAACAAACATATATCTATCAATATTCATTACCAAACAGATATTAATAGTTATTATTATTATTACTACTTATCCTTATTCTACTTCGTTTATTTAAAATAATATTGTAAGTTTGATAAATGATGATGATGATTAGGATGATTGATATAGACTGACTCAATCAAACATACATACCATAACATAGTTTGGAATAATACCAACATGAGCAGTGCAGGACGAGGAGGTACACAAGGTGGAAGAGGTGGAGCCAGTGGTGGCGGCAGAAAGGTCAACTTTAATGACCCAGAGCTGGATGACCAACCCAATCAAGGTAAGTTCAATTGGAATGGATCCAATTGATTGATTGATTGATTGACTAACTTTATCATTCATTGGTGTTGCAGATCCACAACCTCCACAACAACCTGACAATGATCCCAATAACAACAATAATAACAACAACAATAACAATAACAACAATAACAACAATAACAACAATAACAACAAAAACAACAACAACAACAACAATAACAACAACAACAATGTACCTCAAACAAATGTTATAAACATCAACTTGAGGATATATATCTACTTTGTTGCGATGGAGAAGTTGAAGTTCCTCCCAGCAATCTATGTTGATGGCCATATGATCCCAAGCTCCATTCTATACAATGGACTGTACGCCACTTTGATGGCAGAGGAGAACAAAGACTTCCAGTTCTGCGTCAAGATGGCCGATGTCCAAGAGAAGACTTCTCTTGGCAGACCCAAGTTCAGAGAGATTGAGGGCAGACACATGAAGGAGGGCATGCTCTATGTTGACATCAACAATGAAATGTTTAATGGTCGCGTGTGGCACACCAAGGTCGATGTGGAGTCCGCCGTGCAATTCGAGGATGTGGCCCGATTCCTGGCTGGAGCCTGTCCCGAGCCCCAAGTGTTTGAGCGTGAGACAAGATTCATGTTTGACAAGCTCAAGACTGGAAGCAGGATGTTCTACAATCTGGTGCTGAGAAGGATACTCGAACATTTGGAGAAAGATCCGTTCGTGCCCAGTGAGAACATCCTCCCCTTTGCCATCATACTCTGTCGTATTGCCGACCACTATGACTTTAGACATTGCATCAAGTTGGACAACAAGTTCATCAGTCTTGATATCATTAAGAAGTCATTGCCAGCACTGCAGCGCAACCCAAAATACATCCAAGAGGCAAAGGAGTGTGGCTTGGTGGTGAAGACCAACGGTAACATCTGGCGCTACTTCAACCTGGTGTCAGCATTCGCCTACTCGTTCAACCAGCAGAACACGACCGACTCGCTGAACAACTACAGAGAGGTATCCAATGGCAAGCTGACCCAGGACGAGTTGGAGCTGATCAATAGCATCACGGACTGGAAGGTGTACGCATCGTTGGACCCGACTATGTTCATTACATCCGTAGCGATGGCCAATAGCATGTCAATGACCAACGTCATCCCTCAGTTCTTTGGCCCCCGTCTCCCAGACTACAAGACATGCCTCAACAGAATGAAGCGCGAAGAGTACCTTGAAGAGTGGCTCCAATGTCTCAAACTTCAGCCAAACATCGCGTCAAAGGACTCAATCCCATTCTCACTCCTCGGCGACCGCTTCCGCACAAACGAGGGCAATGATGTCAACAACCAAAAGGAGGTGTTGCCTCTGCTTCAAGCTGTGCTCGACCACGCCAAAGCCATCGCCAACGCGAACAACAACAACAACAACAACAATAACAACAATGTCAACGCCAAGATGTCGCTCTGGGACAGTCACCTACTCGAGCAGGTCAAGGACCGTGTGAAGAGACAGGCAGGCAACTCGAATGAGCAGTTTGTCAATGGCATGATCAACATTGCTCTGATGTTTGAGGAGAATGGCCCATTCACCCGTCAGTTCATGCAGTACTTGCCCGAAGCCATCGACAGGACCCTAGGCACAAGACTCAAGCTGCTGGTCAACAAGTACAAGCGTGGCACACTACTCTTCACCATGGAGAGGGACTCACTCAAGACTATCTATGGGAAAATGTCAAAGGAGTACTTGCTAAGCACCACAGATGACCTGTTGGCTGTGACCGAGAAGCGCACTGATGCCCTGGTCATTGAGCTGTATGAACTGTGCTTTGAGCGTCTGATCGACATCATCAAAAATGAGAATCCAGTCACCCAGCTACAGCGACGCAGTAGCTTCCTCAAGTTGGTCTGCGCGCCTTCCGAAACCCGCGAAAGTGACCTCTACTACTACATCACAATCCAGGGCGTGCAGCAACAGTTTGATCGTGCATACTCTGACATTAATGGTGTGGCAAAGAAGCGCATGGACCAACTCGTGAGCGACGCTGCCATGCTGGCCGAACGCATCAACTCCAAGCAAATGTTTGGCGACGGCCTTCAGTTCCTCACCGAGCACAACATGGAGCTAGTTTCATTGTTGCTAGAGTTGGAGGAGCCACTAAGTGTGTCTGCCAAAAAGCTTATACAACATGCCAAGAAGATCAATGGCCAGTGGTTGAGCTTCCTGGAGGCATTCACCATCCTGCAGAGCTGTCCACAGTTTGAGGGACAGGCCAAAGAGATGCACAAGGTCTACGCCGACAAGCACAGGACCATGATGCTAACGATGGTATGTGAGTGGTACGAGCCCCAGAGCCATCCCAACTTCAGGATGGTATCCGACCGCCTCAAGCAACTGGGCAACTCAGCCTTCTTCCAGCACCTCTGGCACGACGAGTCGATTGGCAGAGATATGTTGGCGAGGAGCACTGACGTTGACTTCACAGACCGTGTGGTCATGTTCTTTGACCTCTACTTTGGCAAGTGGCGCGAGTTGATCGAGCAGGTGGGCAGTGGCGAGTTGATGGTGGCCTCCATCGCCACCCTATTCAAGAACAACATTGACAACGGCACGACAATGTTCCGTAACAAGATCATCAAGATGAAGGAGGCCGAGGTGAGGAAGGAGATGGAGTTCAATCGTAAGGCTTTGAAGGAGGACATCGAGACCATCATCAATCAAGAGTTGGACCTATACAAACTACTACATCCAAGTGGTACCACCCTTGAGCGACAAATCGTCTCCAAGAAGGTTCACAGCTGCATAACCGCGCTGACAATGATCGAAGACATTGTTGGGCTCCAACTCTTGCTTACCAATCTTGGAATGGACTCGTCGGTCGTCACAGAGTTCTGTACTATCCTTGGCGACACAAACAATCAAATGATCACAAAGTGCAATGAGGTGGAGAGTGTCTACAACAAGTTGATCAATAATCATCCCGCGCTGGCCAATGTGATCCAGGGATTCCTGTCACTGTTCCATTCAGTGATGGTCCAGCACGACCTCAACAAGGTGCTCTCCGTGTACAAGGACATCGCTTCGCTCAACTCTCGCATTGACAACCGTCAATCATCTGACATCCGTGAGGAGACCCACGACATTCTACACATGTTGCGTCTACTCTGTGAACGTAACTCCATCCTCCATCACCCAGTATATGCCAAGATCAAGGTGCGTCCGCCCTTCCCCACCAGCATCGACGAGCTGATCGCCTTCTTCAGAGAGTGTGGAGGATCTGTCATCCCGCTGGCAGGCCTGCACGGAGTACTCAAGCGCGCAGGCATCCAAATCGTACAAGAGTCACTGCAGAGCGAGTCAGAGGATCGGCAAACAATGGCCATCGTCAAGAACATCATGATGAATGGTGAGTTCAAGATTGATGTTCGCTATCAAAGGGTGATTGTGTCTGCCAGCTACACCGACGGCACTCGCAATGAGCTGGTCGTGGTCCATCCCGAGGAGTTGGAGGCGCTGCCATCACAACTACTGCTCACCAGTGGCGTGACAATCAAGGGACAGCCCGTTGTGGACGTGGACGCGCCACTGCCCGACAACATCGCCAAGCCAGAGGATCGTGAGCGCTACGTTACAAGGTTCAACATGATGTTTGACAACTGCTTCCAGCTGGCCGAGGTCATCAAGAAGATATGTGATGCCGGCCATCCTGACTATCAAGTGAAGACATTCAATGTGGACTGTGGTCTGAGGATGCTTCAGTTGACCGAGTGTATCCACGAGCAGTCCACTGTGCTCGAGCGTTGGACCAAGCACTTTGAAGAGTTTAGAGAGGCGCACCCTATCCTCTCACTTCTCACCCGTTCACAGCTTGTGGCCTGTCTGACGGCACTGCGCACTCAGAACTTGGATGACCTGTTCAGTGTGTTGCAATCAGTCGGTTGCAGTCCAACAAACATGAGAGGGTCAATCGACATCCTGTTCAATCAAGCAAAGAATGTGAACAAGGCATCGGAACTAAATCGATTGCTGTCGACCTGCCTCGAGAAGTTCTTCAACTTTGGCAAGTTGGCCTACAAGTCGCCCCAAATGGCCGTCCTGCCCAGCTACACTCCTCTGACCGACATCAAGAACCATTACCAACTAGTGCGTGTCGTCTCGGATGAGCACACACTCGAGGAGGTGGTCTTTGGCAACCACATTGCCATGCACAAGCGTCTGCCATGCCCAATCGAGGTACTGTTCTGCACGTCGCAGACGACAGTCGTGGACATTGAGGACTTCCTCGACAGATGGGCCCTGTTCAACAAGATCACAAACACAAGGAACTCGACCTTCTGGCTGGTCAAGGTCGAGGACTTGTCCTACGCCACGCAGAATCGATGCATCCAGAAGTTGTTCATGGTGGCCGAGCATATGCCACCCGACCATCCCAAGCTCTTCTTTGTGACCAAGGGTATCCAGCAATCATCATACATCTCCACCATCTTGGTCAGGAATGAGACGGAGATCAAGGCCGACACATGTACTGCACTGGCCAACCTCATCACCCCCATGGCCAGCGCGCTCAACATACATGTCGTTCACTCACCATCTTGTGCGGGAGGCAAGACCACCTCAGCCATACGTGCATTCGTCGCTGGCAAACTCGACAACAAAGGTTTGCCAATGCGACAGGCGCAGTTCTCAATCGACATGACACCGATGAATGTTATACTGCGACGACTGCTCGAAGCCCATCCCATCACATCCGATCGTGGCATTGTGTTGCATTTGAACATTGGACATCTAGTCAATGCCAGCGAGGCCAACCTATTCCTCTTCCAATACCTGCTCATGGCAAGCTGGCGCGACAGCACTGGCTACACATTCCCACTTCATGAGAAGAACACCATTGTGATTGAGCTATCCAACACTGGACTCCCAGACGAGAGGAAGCGCATACCCATCTGCCAGTACTTCAGAGACCTCCCACTGCAACATGGCATCACCTCCACCAAACCCATGCCACAGATCAGCGATGATTCTAACATTCTATACAGCTTCCGTGAACAGGACACTCACCATCTGGGCACGCAGATGCTTGTGGCTGTTTTCAACGCTCTCGAGAGAGGCATCAAGACCCTGCCACAGAGGAGTGAGGTGGCCTCTCTTGCCCTGCCCAACAGTGACAAGCTATATCAGATGGTCTCAGCCATTGCCCACAAGAACTACTGTCAGGCCGGTCATTTGATGGCCATCACATTCGCCTCTCCGGGATCACTGGCGTGCACCAAGTGTAAGGTCGTCCCCGACCCAGAACCTGGCTACGCCCACTGCGCCAAGTGCTCATCAGCATTGTGCTTCAACTGTATGAACAAATTGGATATCCCGCAAGTGTCCAACACCATGTTCCTGCGCAGGTATTACTGGTTCGTGATCCCACTGCTTGAGAACTTCTATCATGCCTATGGTGTCTATTGGGACTTCCCCGATATGGAGGATGCCGAACAAGACTACAAGAAGCTGGCCTATCACTATGCGTGCATGATCCTATACTGCACATACAACTTGGCGTTGCCCTCGATGGAGCCATACGATTCGACGCGTCCACTCGATGACGTCCGCCGATGCAACAACATGAAGAAGTTTGAATCATGGCGCGATACCCCATTCATGGTCGTCACACCAACTGGCTACCACGTCACCTCGGTCGCTGGCTTCTCGCCACTCGAGTACATCATCCAGCGCGAGCGACCACAGACTTCGGAGAACGAGCTGTTCCTACAGTGGATCGTGTGCGAGGGCTCTTTGCAACCAATGAACAGGGCTCAGCTGCAAAAGTTGTGCTCCAAGTTGAGTGACCTCACCTTCTCAGCCGACCACAACAACCCACTCTTGACAAGGTTGCTCGAGGTACTTGGCTGTTCAGAAACGGGAGTCATGTCTGTTCTCCAGGCGATCAACTCAATGACAGGACATGGCACACACAAGCTTGATCAGATCGAGACATCTGACTCGTTGGTCAACGCTATTGACCTGCTCACGGCCAATGGCATGATGGACCTCAACACAAGGATGATCACATGTACTGAGTTCATCGCCAAGGGCACCGAATACATCAACAGTCTGTTTGGATCTAGCAATGACAAGCCAAAGTACACGCTCACCGCCGACAATATACTTCGTTTGCTCGCCGTCCAGACAAGATTGATTGCTGGCATGCCAATATGTATTATGGGCGAGACAGGATGTGGCAAGACAGAATCACTCGCCTTCTTGTCCAGGATCACTGGCAAGGACTTCCATATCATTAATGTCCAAGAGGGTATCTCCGAGGAGAACTTCTATAGCATGATGTCGCCAATCATTGAGCGCGCTCAGAGACATCCCCACCGACAGTTTGTAGTTGCCATGGATGAGGTCAACACAACCGCATCGCTCTGGATTGCTAAGGACATGCAGGTGGACCATGTGTGTTTTGGCGTGCGTATCCCCCAGAACATCGTGTTTGTCACCATCCTCAACCCATGGAAGGAGAGGACTGCCCAGCAGCAGAAGACCATCGCGGACATGGATGTTGGTGGACTGGACTTCCTCAAGTACCAGCAGCAGAACATCAAATCTGGTGGCAATAGCGTACTCCAGCAGACCAAGAAGAAAGACATCAAACTTGTGTACCAAGTGCACAGGGCTCCCGAGACGCTGTGCTCCATTACATGGGACTGGGGAAGCGCCTCAACTACCTTGTCGCCATTCAAAGAGATTGAGGATGTGATGGACACCAACTTGTTGATCAAATGGCGCGATAACATTTCAGACGAGTTGCTCGTCGCCTCCAGCATGGTGCACTGGCTCATTCAACACCTGCAAGACGTGACGGGTCTGCGCAACGACTTCAAGACCGCAGGCGATGGCACTGAAGGCCAAGCATACTGGAAGAAGTTCCGCACCATCATGGTGGAGCTACTTGTCGAGTCGCAGAAATTCATTCGCCACGACGTCTACCTCGACGAGATCAGTGTCGTCTCACTGCGTGACATGCGCAAGATGTGCGAGCTGGTAGTAGTCATATTCGTTGAGTTCTGGTGTGAGGCGCGATCACAGCTACAACGCGAACACCTCAATCAATCACTCCCCTACTTCCGCTTCCTCACCAATGCCGTGCACGTCTCGCTTATCAACACGTACTGTCTGCGTCTTGACTCGCCTCGTCGACTCAATTATCTAGTGCGCATCCAGACACATTGGCACAGCATTCGCTCCAGGTTCAATGACATAAACCCCTTGTTCATGGCGAGCCCAGAGTCCGCAAACCTTTGCCCATCGTATGACCAGTGCGAGCTGTATGTCTCATTCAACGAGCTTGCAACATACATCGTTGGCGACCTTGACAACGACAGCGGCATCGCGATGAACCAAGCTCTCAAGGAGAACACCTTTGCCCTGCTGTGCTCTGTTATGACCAAGTCTCCACTGTTCATTGTTGGACGCCCAGGCTCAACAAAGTCGCGCTCGCTCGAATTGTTGATCCGCGCCACCGACTCACACAGACGTGATGGCACATTCATCGGCATGTTGTGTATCGTCATCCAGATTCACGTGATTCAGTGCTCGCCCCACACCACAGCGCACCACATCCGCGCCAATGCCCTGCGTGCTGCACGCGCTCAGATCGCCGCCGACAAGATACCAAACACCACCGTGCGCAGAATCAACAGTATCGTTCTGGAGGAAGTTGGCGCAACCATTGGCTCAGAGCACAACCCCCTCATGTCACTTCACGACATGATCGACAATGGTATCGAGGTGGATGGTCGCCGCATCAAACTGCCCATCATTGGTATCTCCAACTACAGATTGGACGCGTCCAAGATGGGTCGAGGACGTGTTGTCTACCGAGGCAACCCGCCCTTGGGTGACCTGGCCATCACAGCCACAGCTATCCTTCGCGACCTTGGCGAGAACCACGTTGGCGAATGGATCAAGAACTTTTCGTTGGCTTTCTCCAACAACATTCTCACCAATGAGAACTACACCTGGTACTACGGTATGCGTGACTTCTACGCTGTGATCAGCACCATTCGTACCCTGGCCGTGCCATTGGAGAAGAAGCTCGAGATGAGCCAGTTGCGTACCGCAACACGATCCGAGGTCAACTCACATATTACTCGCTGGGCGGTCATGATCAATCTTCGAGGATTCCCCGATGCCAAGAGCGAGGCTGTGTTGGCCGACAGCATGCAATCACCATTCCAACTCAATGAACATGTGAACGCACGATGGGAGTGGCACGAGAGCGATCAAAGCGATCCCATCAGACTGTGTGACTGTTGCGCAAAGATGAAGATGTATCGCAAGGCACTGGTGTGGCAGACCAACAACCCAGACAGCGAGCTCACGCTCAAAGTACTCGCAGACATGTTCCTGGCTGCCGTTGGCAACGTGAAGATCCATCATGGACAGCACTATTGCCAATACTTTGACGAAGACAGTATGGCTGTTCGCGCACCCGAGGTCATTGCCTACTCCTTGCGCGAGAAAGCATCGCGCCACGTCATGATCTTCACCAAGGCCAATGCAGCCCTACTCTTGCTCTTCTCCATGGGCCTGGTAAAGAAGGAGCAATGCACCGTGATCTTCCAGTGTTCGTCATCCAAGGATCAAGCCACGACCACGTCAGAGATCGTCCAACAGATGATGCAGATCAAGGGATGCATGAAGGAGGGCAAGACCCTGATCTTGGTCAAGAGCAGACATCTCTACGAGTCTATGCTCGACGCGCTTAACGTCCACTACACCAAGGACACCAGTGGACTGGAAGCCGACAACCTTCACAAGACCATGCTGTCTATGGCTGGTGTTACTCAGTCAGTGTTTGTCGATCCCAACTTCCGCTGCATCATTCTCGAGGATCAGGAGGAGCTCAAGTCCAGTGTGCTCCCACCGATGATCAATCGATTCTCCAAGACTGTGCTCACATTCGCCAGTGCCCTCAACCCCCAACAGAACAAGACCCGATCGGAGATCATGCACCAGAGCAAGATTGCCCTGGGAGACAACCAGGTGATCAATCTCTTGGACTTCCTCATTCCAGGATTGAACGAGCAATCGTTGGACTCGGCGATGTACACCTACACCACACATGACGAGGTTGTTAGCCGTTTGTGCTACTGCTTCTCACGCAAGAACCTTCGACGCCTCTCACTAAAGTTGGTTGAGGGGCTTGCTGGCGACAACATCAACGTGCCACTCAATCGCTGGAAGGACATGTGGAAGATGAACGTTGGCGATCAATCATTCGAGACACTGGCCGTTAAGATCATGGCCGATGAGGTCCTGCCACAGCAACACCTCATGCTCATTACTGAGCAGATCCAGCTCAAGGAGCAGTCTCTGTTCCAGACGCTCAACACAATGCTCTTCAAGATTGACAAGAGAAAGGTTGTCTTGGCCATACCCCAGGTGACCATCCTCAATCAAACCACCAGTGTCGATGTGTCCTCGGCACTGTCCACTCTCAAGCGTGCCGACGTCACCGAGCACAGCGCCATGGCCGTCTTCCTCTTGGACACCACGTCATCATCTCAATCAATCCAACTCGACTCATTCATGTATGCAGTGTCCTCAGAGTCGCTCCACAAACACCAACACGCCGTGTTGATTGTGGTCGTTGCTGATGAGCTTGCTGGAACAGCCTCACAGACACAGTCCCAGCCCCAGGCTCAGTTCTCTATGGTGTTCGATACCGCGTGGTGCCAGATGTTTGTGGATGAGATCGTGCCACGACCCATTGACGCGGCACACGATGTAAAGGCATCACTGCTCAATCAACTCGAGCAAGACAAGCTGTTGCATGAGATACTCAAGCCAGAGTTGATCATGGCCTTGGCCCTGCTTCCAGACAACCTCACCACATTGTGCCAGTCAATGGGCTCGGCCACCATTGTCACGCAGAGCTTCGAGATGATCAGCAACATCCTCGCTCACCCATCCAGCTTCCGAGACAAGATCATCGAGCTCCTGCTTAATCATGTTCGCCAAGCAGATATCACGATTGAACGATGGACTACGCTGGCCTTCCAGAAAGCCAGGTACTCGTCCGACTCGCTCCGCTCCATTTACTTGGACTTCCTCGGCCCATTCGTCATTGGTGTGCTCCATCACATCTTCTCGGTGATCACTCAGTTCCGATCGCTACAGTTGCTCAACTCGATTGAATCGTGCGAAATCCTCATCAACTTGATGGACTGCCCCGAGATCTTCCCCCGATGCAACGTCGATGACTGCCTGTCACTCATGCCACTCACAATGTCTCGAGGCAATCTAGAGTCGTCCAAAGGCTACTTCCTTTTCCCAGTGACCTCGCGACATGTCGTGGGACAGCTGACAGAGGTCCAGTTCCCACTCTCGCCCATCGTCTTTGTCCACCTCTTCAATCTCTCACTTGTGGGCGACAACATGGACTCGGTCGAATCATTCATCCGCGTAGCACATCTCGATCAACTATCCAAGAAGTCATTGAATGAGTACATTGATGATGTGATCGCCAATGGCACGTCAGTGCCACTCGCCAACGTCGACCTTGTCAAGAGGATCTTGGTGCAGCTCGGTGGCAATCCCAATGCATTCGACTCCATTCTTGAGTTCCATCGATTCATCATTGATCACCTGGAATGGTTCAACTCTGTGATCAAGCTTGGCACGCAATCATTCTCGAAGGTCGCCAAGGACAAGTTTGCTGGTCGCTCTGTTCAGGACATCATCACTCTCACTCACATCGATGGAATCATCCCACTGAACATGATCGACCTCGTCAACCAGGTCACCCGTGCCGACGACTCTATCAACTGGAGGATCATTCGTGCCATTGCTATGGCCGATGCAGCAGTGGATCAGTCACAACTCAAACGACATCGCAAGACATTCGTCGAGCTTCAAGACATATTCGAGGCTGACCAGGTCAAGGGTATTGTCTCCCTCTTCACGCCCGACAGTCAATCATACATCAAGTACTTCCTGTTTGAGTTGTTCGCCAACGATAACAACGATCAAGAAGTAGACCTTGACCACATTGCCAGCATCATCCAATCACTCTCTGGCGTGGACAACCTCTCTCAGTTGATGGTCCAGCATGAGGACACCAAGTGTGGACTGGCCTTCCTTCTTCGTCGTGCACTCATCCTGATCATGGCACATGCTGACCCTGCCTCCACCCCACTCTTTGGCGCGCTCTCTCAATTGATGAATGTGTCCCTTCAACTCTACACCCTCCTGGCTCACTGTCTCATTGAGATCATCTTCTCTGAGGGCATACTCAAAGACACCGTGCTTAACGACGAGTATGTCAAGAAGTTTGCCGGAAACAGTCCCTTGTGCTACTTCATCCGAGTCAACACTGTTGTGGCCATCCTCTTGGACATCATTGACATGGACAATGAGGCAGCCGCCATCACCTACCATCCATTCATTCAACAATTAATTGGCAATGACAATCAACTCACAAGAGAGATGGCACTGTTTGTCCTGCGATCGTACAGCAGCAGTGGCACAGTTGACATGGACAAGTCCATCATCAACCTCAAGCAGTCCAAGTTCCCAGCAAGTCTGTCGAAGCACCCTGTCGTCAATGATGTAGCCCGTGCATTGCAAAAGGTGTCACCACTCGCCGTGTTCCCCGGCTTCACCCATTCAATCACCGCGCTCGTAGAGTATGCCGTCTCAAAGACAAACGACAAGGTAGCAAACTTCACAGCACTGCCGGTTGATGGCCGTATCGCATCTATTGCATCATTCTGTGCCAAGGTTGAGCCTCAACAGATTGCCAACTTCATGGCCGATATCTACCCAACAGTGTCCTCGCTCATCCCCAAGGAAGCCAATCTCGCACTCACAACACTGTCCAACACCAGAGCGTTTGATCAGAGCTCAGACCTACGCGAGATCATCACTTCAGTGTTCGTGTCGCTGCTCCTCGGCTCCAAGCCATTCATTTTTTACAAGGACCTCGTTCTGAAGATGATGGAGAATAAGGCGGCAGTGGTCAGACACAGCAGGGCCATCGGGGAACTGCTCAACCCCAGGTGTCCTCGAGGACACGTGTTTGTCGACTGGACTGGCTGCTTTGCCATCACCTGTAACGATAATTGCCGCGCTGCCTTCTGTGGTCACTGCCTTGCCGACTGTGGCGCAGATGCCCATGCCCATGTACTCAAAGAACATGGCAGCTACTTTGGAACATATGATCAGTTCAAACGAGGATTTGGTGCGATGGCCACAAAGAGAATCAAAGAATACATACTTGTGCTGCCTGCTGATATCCGTCCTCTGGTTGAGGCAGAGTTGCCCAACACACTCAAGGACAACCTCTTTGGGGTGATGCCACAGCACATCATTGTTGTCCAGCAGGCCAATGCGACCAACAACCGAGATGTACCAGCTGTGTGTGGACTGATAATGGACCTCCTCATCTCTGTCTCAAAGATCTGGCACAGACTCGTGAACAACAACGATGAGACTGATACACTGCCCAACCTAGTCCTCGAGCTCACCCAACTTATTGCCAAGATCAAGGATGTAGTATTCCCAACAGCAGCGACAGTCACAAGCACATACAGCTACATCCAGGCAGTGCTCTGGAAGTTGCGGGCCGCCAACATGCCCATCGTCAGCAGGAATGGCATTCAAAACAAGGTGATTGAGGTCTGTGGAATGAGCCCGGCTCAGATGCTCCAGGATCTGGTTAATGAGTGCCGTGCAGGCCAAACCGGTATCTTGAGCGAACTCCAGCTCACTGAGGAGCATTTGACAGGAGCCGGAAGTGGCATGACTCTTCAGCAGGCTCAGCTCTCACTTTTGGCACTTCAACGAACTTTGATCACTGATCATCAGATCATGGAGACAATGAAGGCCAACTATGATACCTACCCGATACTCAACCTGCTCAGGGACAAGGAGAGCAGCATCACGAACAAGTCGATCAACAGACAGAGGAGGGTCATCAAGTTCCTTGGGCGTCTACAGGATGCCGCTCGCAAGGCTGGTGTGACGAGAGCCCATGCCGCCACAGAAGGCTCATTCATCAAACTGGTCAAGAATTCGGGACTTGAGCCATCGTACAAGTCATTCTCAGCAGACCTCTCTGCCGTCCTCAAGAATATCACCAACTGGCAATGCAAAGACAACATTCAAGCTTTGTACGGACACATGGTCGACAACAAGATACAAGACTCTGTTGCCCTGGAATGCTTCCTCCCACAGCTCAAAGGCATTGGTATATTATCGATGTGTTTGTGGTCTGGTTGCTCAAGGGTCAATGGATGGGATGGTCTGCCCCTGGTCCAGAACAATCTGTACATCGCCATCCACGGCACACAAGCACCAAGAATAGCAGGTAGCCCTTACCTACTGGATGACAAGGACTTGCTTAACTTCAAAGTCCAACCCATCCTCGACACAATCAATCAGCTGTTCATCGTGCCTGGATTCAACCCGCGACTATCCAAAGACTTATTTGTGATTGAGGAGCTCTGCAAGTATGGTGCTCCACGTCTTGCATCACTCCCCTACATCGCCCCAGAGTTGCCAGAGTATGACTATGGTCTTGAGGGCATTCTCGAGCTCTTTGGCAAGGTCGAGGAGAGATTGGCCAACGAAGGTGGACGTGCCTTCACCATACTCCCCGCCACACTTACCAGCGGACTCAAGGGTATCCTGAGCGAGGTGCCACACGCAGCCGAGTTGATCTACTCATTCTGTGGAGCAGTGCTAGTCCATCAAAGTGGAGATGATGTCCCATTGGGCAAGGTTGTGGCCGAGATCAACATTGCCATGCCATTGACCGAGGACCAGAAACAGGGAAGTCAAATCTTGTTTGAGTTGCCAGCCGCTCGTAAATCATTCCTCGTGGAGCACATCCCCGCCATGATGGGTCTGTGTTGGAAGACAAACAATGTACACGCCACCGCCAATGTACCAGTGGACAAAGACACGCTGTTGGAGATACAAACCACATTGCGCACTATTGTTGGCACGCCCAAGTACCACCCATTGATCCCATCGATCCTGGCATCATTGCGAACAGCAGGTGTCAATCACTTCACAGCAGAGCTTAGCAGACAGTTTGGAGAAGCACCCCTTGAGCTCTACTTGACAACAATTCCAATCTTTGGTGAGAATGGCGAACATGATGAGTTGTCTGAGCGAGAGCCATTCCAGACATTTGCCAAACACTTTGGAGTGGTACTACGCGAGGCAGTGGAGATACTTGGACCAAAGGAGATACAATCATCAAAGGCTGAAGAGAAAGCATTGGTCGTCCCCATATCAGCCATCAGGAAATACCTCAAACAGAATGTCGTGGAACAGACTGCCAAGCCAACTCAACCCCAAAGAGTTGTTCCAATCAACAATAGCAATAATAACAACAACAACAACCACATCAATAATAATAATGTGGTCAGGCCAAACAACAGAGGAATATCGATATCAACATCCTCAATGATGAAGGACTTGGAGCTCTAATCCCCAATCTTATCCAAATAAATCCAATCATTTACACACACACAATCTCTCCAGATTAACTTGTATATAGTGATGAAGAAGAAGAGATGGCCGTCAGCATTAGTGCGGCGCCTAGTATCCATGATGAGGCCAACCAGAATGGTAATTTATTATATCAAAATGATTGATTTTGGAGTATTGTTTATTAATTCAAACAATGATTTGTTGTAGATCCTGATATTGAACGATATATTAGGATGTTAAAAGTTGAGTTGTTGGCAGAGGCAAAGAAACAGAAGAAGAAAGTATCAAGTAGTCTAACTAAAGAAGCAATCAAGGCAATTCTACTCGATGATCAGCCCGATATTTCTTTGAAAGAATGGACTGACCAAAAGCCCAGGTTGGGTCTGGGGCGATACCATGTTGAAGAGGTGAATCATCGAGGAGCATACACCAATTTGCCGGTGTTCGAACAATTCTTTGACCACGAGATAGTCCAACTCATTGTCGACCAAACCAATATTTATATTCATCAAATGGGCAGAGAGAGCAGTTGGAGAAATTGTTCTTTGGACATCCAATCAACAAATGATAATATTCAAAATGTTTGCTGCGGTCATCACAATGGGAGTTGTTGAAATACCCAAGTATGAGGACTATTGGGAGGATGGTGATTGTTTCCTTCCATCAGTGGCAAGAATTATAACCAGAGACCAGTTCCGTTTCTTAGTAACAAACCTTCACTTTGCCGACAACTATTGAATCAACGTTCCAGAAGTCAAACATATTTGCTCTGAGTATACATTCACAAAGGATGGTCACACCTATGAGTTCATGGATACTCCAGGTCTCTCAGATACAAATGGAGTAGAACGGGATAATGACAACAATGATATTTGAGAAGGCCTCAAGAGTCGAGTCACTATCAGCAATCATTCTAGTTTTCCTGGAATCTACAACAAGAATAACCATTATCACATCAGAGATCAAATTGGTGGAACAATCACTCATTACCCCTATAGTTAACCTTATTCTTGGATCAAACAATATCAAGAGAGTCTGCAATGGTTTCAACTTTGTTAAAGAGATATCAATATCCATTGATCTATTGAAGATGGAAGCAAAGATATTGAGATCAACAAATTCCAGACTATCAGTAGACGATATAATTCAAGATATGAGATACCTTATCAACATTCTCCATGTTTAAGTTCAACTTGAACGATCATTCCTATTTTTAATCATTTAATATTGTTTAATAAATTTATTAATATCATAATATCATTTTATCTTTTGAAGTTTAATAACCAATTGGTTATTGGGAATTGAGTAATTGAACTTATAAAATCAAGTGATTAAACAAAAACGTGAATAATCACTTTATATTATCTATATATATATATTAAACCAATCATAAAATTTTCAACAACTTGAATAATCAATTTCCTGATGAGGTCAAGTATAAAATATTTAACTTCTTTGGCAATATTCAATCTTTCAAATACCTTTACCAAAGTAAAAGATGATTTCAAATAATAACAACTATATTGATATTAATAATAATAATATTAATCGTGCTTACTCAAGGAGTTTGGTAGGAACTTCATCTGGAAAGAAGAAATACACAATAATAGTTGCTGGTGCTTCGGGAGCTGGTAAGTTTGAAATAATCAATTACATACAATATTTATTTATTTTAATCTAATTATTAATAATAATATTATACCAAATTAGGCAAATCATCATTGTTAAACATATTTGCCAACTTCTTTCTCAAAGGAACTTTCCCTAAGAATCTGAAAGTTATCATAGAGACGGCGTTCTTCAAGGTTACCGAACATCAATTCAAAGGAAAAGGTAGTGAAACCAATGTGAAGGACCAGACCAAGAGTCAAACTAGTGAGTGCTCTCACTATGATTTCACCAAGGATGGAGATGATTACTTGTTCATTGACACACCAGGAGTCTCTGATACCAATGGTCCAAAGCAGGATGATGAGAACATCTCAAAGATCATTGAAGCAGCTGAAAATTGCGAGTCCCTCTCCGCCATTATATTGGTAGTAAATGGCACTGAAGATAGAAACGTCACTTCCCTGAAGAATGCCATTTCTAGACTCAAAGGAGCCATTCCAGATGTGATACTCAATAACTTGATCTTGGTGTTCACAAAATGCGAGCCACACACTGCTACTTTTCAGTTGGGCCTCCTGGGTCATCTAAGAACAAAGGCTATCTTCTATATGAACAACTCATTGTTTGTTAAGGATCCAATGACCTGGAACAGAGTTACATGTATCCCCATTTTGAAGGACTTCCAGACTTCATTGGCAACCACTGACCTGATCATGAAGTGTATTAGGAACAAGGCAACTGTTTCAACAATTGAGTTTGGAAATATGAGGAAACTTAAATTCAAGTAGGTACCATATATTATTCAATTAATCAATCAATAAGAATACTAATTAATAATTTCAGGGTCCAGGCCACCCTGCACCAAGCCAGGTTGGAAGTCAAGAGGATTCAAGACCTTCAAGATAAGATATTAATTGCCCAAGCCAAACTTGGCGATTTCCAACATAACCAAAACATGTTCAAGGATTTTAATAAGACTACTGAAATTATCAACCGCAGGTTGGTAGACTCTCCTGATCTCAGCACAATATGTAATGTTTGTACTTTTGCCTGTCACTCTCCATGTAACCTCAAGGAGATAACAGTACGTGGGGACAATGCATTTAAAAAATGCTACGCCATGAGTGGTAGAGACAATTGCCATGTGTGTCCCAATGGATGCTCCTATCAACATCACTACCATAAACACCTTAAAGTTGAGGAATATGTGACAACTGTAGATGAAGAAATCAAAGAGATGAAGGCTAAGTACATGTCTGCGGAGGCAGGATACAATCAAACAACTTCAGAGATCAACAGTTTCAAAGATGCCAAAGTAATGATCGCAACCGCCATCAATGTCCTCACAGAAGAGATTACAACAACATGTAGAGATCTCAAGAGTATTTGCCAGGGTTTCAATTTGGTAGATGAACTCTCCAACACTATCAAACAGATGGAAATTGAAGCCAAACTCTTGGCGTCCAACGAGGCAAGAGCATCAGCAGATCAGATGATCCGAGTTGTCAAGGGTATTGCCGACAGACTTAGTAATGAAGCACCCTCATCTCCACCCCCACCTCAAGAATATGAGGAGCCAGTTGGTGATGAAGAAGAAGTCACAATGGATCATCTCCAGTCACTCGAAGAGCTGTTGGGCAACTCTTGTCAGATCCAGGAACCTACCTCAGTTCAAATGGCCCCCTGTTTTAAATGTCATCAACCATGGAGCATGCCAACTGTTGACCATGCCCACTTTGAGGCAGAGGGGTATCAAATTCCAATCATGTGTCGTCCATGTAGAGCTACAAAGTGAGTGATGTTTGGATATTGATCAATATCCAATTCATCACACCTTTCCTTCTTTTATTCTTTAAACCTAGTCAAACAAATAAACAATCAATCAAAGTGTTAATCAATTAATTATTTATTTCATTGTCAACTTTGTATTGTTAACTTAAAATTTACTGCTGCTTCTCCCATGGTCTGCCTTCATATCCATAGCCAGCAGTGTCATCGCCAACCAAACGATCCTTGGTCACAAGTAGACTGCCAAGGAATGCATGCCACATGATGCCAGAGTCGCCCCACATGAACATGGCCATGTCCCAGAGGAACTCGATACCTTCGTTGCGACCGTCAACACAGACACAGTCGACAATATTGACGATGGTGTCCACCTCCTCCAATCCAACAATGTCATCCAATGCCAGGCCATAGATGCGCTCGTAGACACGAGCGACCATTCCACGGAGCAGTGTGTCAAAGGCACCGCCCAACTTGAGTGCGCGCTCCTTCAACTGCTTGTACTGGTTCTCACATGACTGGTGGTCGTGTGGCTGGACGAAGTACTCCTCATCATTGCGACCAAAGATTGTTCCAATCAGAGTGTCCTTGACAGCCAGGCGGCGAGGGTGGGCATGCTCAGCAACACTCATGGCTGCGTTGAGGATACGGTGGCGACCATTGCAGAGCTGCCAGTAGTGAGTGGAGATGAGTGTGAGACCACTTGCATTGTATCTGTGAACGTCGGCAACATATTTGACACCAGCCAGAGTAACTGCGTATGCATGCTCAATGCCAGAGTACTGTCCATCGCGGGCGCCCAGAGTGAAGAGCATGTTGGAGCAGTCACACACACTCAGATCGTAGCCATAGTCGGTGAGGTCGTGCATCACTGTGGCGAATCCAATGACATAGTATGCCTCATCATCCATGCTGGAGGTGGTCGTCGACTTGAGGAAAACGGCGTCGATCACACGGTAGTGGAGCATCTCTGTCAAGTCCTTCCAAGAGCACACGTTGGTCAGATGCACACCAGAACGACGCATGTTGTCCTCGTATCGCTTCTTGGCACGAACAAACTCATAGCTGAGACAGGTGGCTTCGATGCAAGACTTGAGACAGTCCTCTCCGGTGGAGTGGACCTCGGCAATGCGTTGTCCCATTCCGGCGATCCACTTGCGGATGGCTGGCATTGTCCAGTCGCCACCATAGTCATAGAGGAAGAGGTTGTCGATGTGACCCATGCCAGTTCCAAAGCTCTTGCCATAGACGAATCTGTTGTACTGCATGCAGTTGGCCACGGGCATTGGTGATGTGCTCACACCCTTGAGCTTCATGGACTCACACAGTGCATCCCATTGAGTGTTGCCAGAGATAACTGCAAAGCCACTGCCCTTGGACAAGTTCTCCATGATCTTGTTGGCTTTTGGACGGTAGACCTTGGAGTAATCAATCTTGCGGACGATGAATGGACTGTTCTCGGTGACGACACCAGTGCGCAGGGCAGTGTACATCTCAACAACACGCTCCAATGTCCAGATGGCCCATGTCTTGGCCTGGACGACCTGTGCGCACGAGTCCCTGTATCTTGCCAACTCTTGCTGGAAGACTGCGACCTCTGAGATTGGACTGGTCTCCAAGTTCTCAATGGCACCAGAAATCAAGACACGGTTGGCAAGTGCATGGATTGGCCATGGTGTGAGAGTAGTGCCGCACTCACCAAGGACGATCTCAAAGTTAATGATCTCGAAATGGATGGTGACCTGGCCATTCTTGACCACAACGAATCCCTGGAGTGGACAGGTGAATGTGAACTTGTTGAGCTCGGCAGTGAATGAACTGGTGATCTTGGCAATGCCCTCGGTCAATGGCTGAATGAACTTGTCCTGCCATATGAGTGTGGCATCCTTGGGCACGACAATCCTGATTGGACGGCGATCGAATCTGCCAAATGTGTACTTCTTGGTCGGGTCACCCTTCCACCATTTGGCAAGGTCCTTCTCTCTCCACTGCTCCACCCCATTCTCGTTGGCCTGCCACACCTCAAAGAAGGCATTGCCCATTGAAGTGGCCATGTATGGCGCATGAGTTACAAATGTGTTCTCGGCACAGACGTAGGGGAAGCAACCTCCGACCTCTGGCTCGACCATGAATGGCACGATCTGGGCAATGAGCTGAGTCTGGTCATGTTTGGACTGCATCGAGCACATACGGTCCTCCTCAGTGGTCAAGTTGTAGATCGTCTCACCACCAGCCCAGTGAATAACACCTGGATTGCTACGGACGCCACGCTGATCGGCAGGTGGCAGCACATCTTGCCTGTCGTTCAGGGCAATGTTGTCGGCGGACTCCCATCTCTCGCCGAGGATGCCCTCTCTGGATGTGACTCTTGTGACGAATCCGATTGGCTCGATGAAGCCTGTGCGCTGGGGCACACGGCCTTCACCGGACCAATCTGCGGTATGTACGAACAAACTTGATTTAGCACCAGGGTAGTCTGAGAAAGTGTTCTTTGCCACCAACTCTGCCTCGACCAACAACTTCTCCTTTGCCAACAGGGTCAAGTCCAACTTATTATTATTAATATTATCTTCAATATCAATAGATTGCATTATTTTGTTATTTATAATATATAATTATTAGTTATAAGTTGAGTAAATAATTAATAAAATATTAGTTTGATTGATAGAATATATTTATAATTAATGATAATGATAATTATAATTATTATTATGATGATGATAATGATAAATAATGATTAATGCAATGAATGTGATTTGAGAGAGAGAGATAGAGGACAGCTGATCCTTAAACAAACTTGTTGGGCAAGCTTGCCATTCTTGATAGTTATTATTGGTAGGCCTACAAGAACAGTTGTCGTCAGAGTCAGATCAGGTCAGAGACGAGCTCTTCGGGGCAACTCTGTCAGTTGTTGATGAATGAATGATCGTTTTCTGTCTTTGTGTGTGTGTGTGTGTGTGAGTGTTAGTGCGCGTGTTCTTGAACAAACCAAACACATCCATTCATCGCATCTGTTTAGTTCTCGTGTTGTTGGCAATGATTATACTTGCTCACTCACATGACTGACTTTGGCAGGCTGGCCGCCTGCCCGACTGATCGATCAGTGAGTGATGTAGTTTGTTCGATCAAGACCCCCTATCAACATGCCATTAGAGGGGTCAGTTTATACACTATCCTATCCTATCCACTAATGACACTCTTGATCATGAGAGATTATCGTGACGAAGGAATCTTCTGAAGAGGTAAGCTTACACATGCCCATTGCAAACTGCAGAGGTACCGCATCCCCTTAGTGGGGGGTATGAGTATGTGAGTGAGTGTGTGTAAGTGCCAAAGATGGAATCTGCGTAATTGGAAGGTCGGTCAATGATGATTCGTTGTATAAGTTGGTATGAGAGTGATGGGTGGTTGGGCCTTTGTGTGAATGTTTGATTGGATGTTGGTGGTGTTAGTTCAGTGACGATCATTGTTGTTAGTGGATGAGTCCCATTACTGATGTGGTTGTTGGTGCACGAGAGCAGTGAGTTAATGTTATTTTAAGTGGCTTTTCGGTACCAAAGTCCCGACGATATCTTAGTAAAGAATGGTCAATTTTGGGTGTAACCTAACCAATCGCTCGCAAAGTCGTCTATCTTGGTCATACTACACAAACACCTACGTATATACGTTGAAACAATGAATGATTATGACTTAAAACTGCAAATGATGTCGATGACGATCATGTTATCAAGGTTGATCAAAGTTGGATCGATCTTTGGCATCATTTATGAAGTTCAAAAAATTGAACCCCAAACCCATAAACTGACAATTTCCAAAAGATATTGCCACAAACAACCAAGTTATTTCCGACCTTTGAAAGTCGGTGTTTAATGATGGGCATCAACATGTAGAGAAGAAGATGAATGTGTAGAGTCGTGCACATCATAGTGTGACCATACATATACACATACATACATATACAATGAATAATAATAATAGTACAAGATCATTCTTTCAATTTTGGCGAACAGGTTATGTACGCAACTATGTGATTGAACAATTGAAGCGGATTAATAGGATAGCTCGTAAACCTGACGCGATGATATATCAATATGAGGACATGCCCTCGGCCAATTGGATGATGATAAACTATCCAAATGTATTATTGTATCGCGTTAGGAAGGGCCTCACAGACGAATTGTACATAGACGTGGACACCTTGGCGCGCGCTGTTGGTCTGCTGCACGACACTCCCTCATGTCTCGCCGACTTTGAACTGCTGTACCGCGTGGCCAAGCGCAACTACACACCTACACATGTGCCCCGGGTCATGGACGAAGCGGCCTCCTTCGGCTCGCTCCACCTCGCGCGCTTCCTTAACAAGCAAGGACACTGCTTTAGCGATCGTGCTCTGATCATGGCTGCAGCTCATGGACATATGGATATGCTGTTGTTCTTGGAGCCTCTGGCGAGGAGGCATGACGTGACGTTCAGCGAGGCCGTCATGGATGAGGCAGCGGCCAATGGACATTTGGACATTGTCAAGTATCTTTATGAGAATAGGACCGAGCACTGTACCAACCTGGGTCCAGAGCGTGCTGCATTCAATGGTCACTCCAAAGTCGTTCACTTCCTGTTGGCCAAGTTCAATCATGTTCCATCAATGTGGACGCCCACCCTTATGAACAACGCTGCTCGATCAGGCGATCTCGAGCTCGTCCGTTACCTTCACGAGAACAGAACAGAAGGATGTACATACTCAGCAATGAACATGGCCTCGTAAGTTTGATTGAATGAGTCATCATACGAATGTTCAATGAACTAACCAACTCATATAACTACAACAGAGCGAAAGGACACCTTGACGTTGTCAAGTACCTCATGGAGCACAGGACTGAGCGATGCACTCATTATGCGATTGATGAGGCGGCATTCAATGGACATCTACATATTGTAATATATCTTCTCACGATGCATGTGCCAGCCGTTCATGCAATAGAGTTGGCATGTATCAATGGCTATTTGGACATTATAATATACTTGAACGAGAACATGAGTGCAGCAGAAGATGGCCAACAACAACATGCACTAGTCACAACAAAGGCCATTGAGAATGCAGCGCTTTGTGGACACCTTAACATCCTCAAATACCTATATGCATACTGGCCCGACGAGTTCAACTCTACGCGCATCATGGAGCATGCTGGAAAGAATGGCCACATTGAAGTTGTACAGTACTTGCTAGGGGGCAGGATGGCCCCATTCACCGAACAAACAATGGATGAGATCGCGGCCAAGGACCACCTGGAGATCATCAAGTTGCTGCACCAGGTGGGCGGTATACAGCCCACACTCAACACAGCGATGGAGGTGATCAGGAGCAACACTGACTGCACAAGTCTGCCCTACATCATGGACAACATGGATAAGAAAAACGAGCCATTATCCCTCGCAGGAATACTCAAGAAGCTGGTGTACAAGGCTGTCTACCACGGCAATCTGGATGCGCTGCAGTACCTTCACGACAAGTACCCGACTCAACTGAACGACTCGATGAGCATCGACTACAACCCCATTGATACAATATGCTCCAAAGGAAACATTGAGATGCTGAAGTACATTCAAACATACTTCCCCAAGCTATTGACCAAGGACAAGACAAAGGAGTGCCTGTACAGCGCGGCACTCTCTGGACATCAATCACTATTCAAGCTGCTGCTTCAGGATTATATTTCTCAGGGAGGCTCGCCCGACGCCACCATGATGACATTCGTCACTCGATCAGGATCCAAACGATTGCTACAATATTTGATTGAGGAGCATCATCAAAAGTCATTGCTTAGTTCCAGTCTATATTATGAGACATTACAAACACAAGGATATTATGTACTCAAGTATCTCAACGAGACCCTACACGTACCATTCCCCGACGCATTTTCAACGTCCGTCAAGTTTGTTCAAAGTCAAGAGATCAAGACATACCTTCAACATCATTCAAATGTTGGTGTTAAATCAGATCAGACTACCATTGGACTATTAGATAGGATCAAGTCCCTATTTCAATAATTAATTAATTGATTGATTGACAGTGTATGTCATCATTACCGACACCGATCACTTGTACTTTGCGTTCATTCGTGTCAAAGTGTGTCAAACCACAGCTCATCGGTTGAAATAGCAAAAAAGTGTGAGTTTTGGGTGATTTGTTAGGTCCCACGCTATAAATAAATTGTTGGATTATCCTTTCCTCCCTTCCCTTCATTCACACTCTCTCATATTCATTCATTCATTCAAACACACCACCTACCTATTCATTCATTCAATAATCATTCATTCAAACAACCAAACGATCAATGACTTGTACTACTACTTATAACAACTTCTAAAAATCAATTGTAACAACAAACATCAACATCAACAACAACAACAATAACAATAACAGATCTTGCTCATTCATTTTCATTCGTTGTTAAAGGTACAGGTTAAAGTTAAATATATTATACTACTTAACAAAGCATTGGATAGTATATATACACAATGAGTATGAATACAAACAGTCCGATTAAAGAGCAGTCAAGCTTCTGGAAGTTCACCTCATCTCGAAAGGTATGTTTATATAAACACGACATCAAACTACCTTCATGAAGGTAGACGACACATGTGCATATTGACTAATCACTAATCAATCAATGATAACAAACAACAGAGTCCTGGTGTTGCAAAGCCTGTTAACAATCATATTCCTCACAAGTTTGAGAAGTTCAATGGGTAAGCCACTTGTGATAAACAGCTAATGTCCCAGGGTAACCTCCTATCTAACACGCACAAACGAACAATCAAACAGGAACTTTATACCAAAGGCCAAGAGAGATATAGATAGTTCAGCAATATTCAATCATAGTCAATATATAGCACCAGGTGATGGCATTGATGGCAGTGCAGGACTGAGTAGTAGCACAAGCAGCATTGGTGTAGTCAATGGCAACAACAACAACAACAGCAACAATAGCCAGAGTAGTAGTAATAGTAACGATAACAATGGCATCAACTTACACAAGTCATTCTCATCATCATCGATTCCACTCTCCTATGGCAGTGCGACCTCTGGAGATGCGACACCAGTCGACCCAACCAAGTTTGTGTACAATGAGAAGGCGGCCAAGTTGAAGCGATTTGAGAAGATATTGAGCGAGAACAACGTCGATCTGGACGCACTGAAGAAGGTGGGCTGGAGAGGTGTGCCCGACTCCCGACGACCAATGGCATGGAAGATCCTACTGGGCTACCTGCCGTCGAATGGTGAGAGGAGGGAGGAGACACTAGAGAGGAAGAGGAATGAATACAAAGACTGCCTGCCACAATACTATATATCCGAGGACAAGAGAACAGATACCGACAAGAAGACTTTAAAACAGGTATGTTGGTTGAGGAGTGTGGTCCAAGGTCCTCGGGCGAATGCTAACAACAACAACATCAACAACACAGATACAAATGGATGTACCGAGAACCAATCCATCAGTTCCACTCTTCCAACGACCACCTATACAGGACATGCTCGAACGAATACTTTATATATGGGGAATAAGACATCCAGCATCGGGATACGTACAGGGCATCAATGACTTGGCAACACCATTCATCTACGTGTTCTTGACAGAGTTTGTGGCCGACGTGGAGAACTGCAATATAGAGGCATTGGACGCATCGATATTGGCAAAGGTCGAAGCTGACAGCTATTGGTGTCTCACCAAGCTGCTGGACGGCATACAGGATCACTACACGTTCGCTCAGCCAGGCATCCAGAGAATGATCGCGCAGCTCAAGGGCCTGCTCGAGACAATCAACTCATCATTATGCGAACATCTGGCCGAGCAGGACGCCCAATTCATCCAGTTTGCATTCCGATGGATGAACTGTTTGTTGATGCGCGAGATCCCATTCCAGCTGATCATCCGAATGTGGGACACGTACCTGAGTGAGCGCGAAGGCTTCTCGGTGTTCCACGTCTATGTCTGTGCGGCGTTCCTCGTGCTCTGGTCCGACGAGCTGAAGCGCAAGGACTTCCCCGACATCATGATGTTCCTTCAGAAGCCGCCCACCCAGAACTGGAAGGAGACGGACATTGAGGACCTGTTCTCCACTGCCCATCTCTACCGCGAGCTCTATCACAATGCACAGAGTCATCTCAAGTCCTCTTCATCCTCTCGACGTTAGGCTTATGATTGGACGACCGAACAACTCGATACCAATACAGGATCTAACACAGGCTAATACCCTGGACATGTTCTTTTAATAACCTCTTCATCCATTGTCTTTTTTAAAAGGAAACATATACAAATTGAACAAGTTTATTGTTGTCGACCTACATTGGCTGCACGCATACATGTGCGGTGTTGGTGGGTAGGTCATGTGCTTTGTGAATTGGTTGGCGATGAGGTGGAGGTGAATCCACCCAAGTTGAGCTGGATACCTTGGCTCTCTAGCAGTTGCCTGAGACTAAGCTTCTTCTTCTCGCCAGCGGCCACGACTGTGGCATCATTTGTCGTCGTCGTCATCTGGGGTTGCTGAGGTTGTTGGCTGTCCAGCATCATCTGGCTCGATAGTGGATACATCTGATCTGGCTCATGGCTTTTGTTGTAGGCATTTTGGATGATTGTGCGTAGTGTCTCCTCAGAGTTGGACCTTGGTACGCAGAACTCTGTGTCCTCTTCGTCGTCCTCTGTCGAGACGTCCATGATCTCCTCATCCTTCTTGACATCTGGCACGCCTGAGTTGCCATCATTCGATCTCTTATATTGTCCAAACAGTTGTTGAATGAATTGATTGGCGCTGTCCACTGGGTTCACTCCAGGCTCCTGCTTCACGTCGATGACCATGTCCGTGGAACTGGCAGCCGTTGCCTGTTGTTGCTTTTGTTGTTTGGGTGGCTGTTGCTGCTTGGTCTGCTGGGGGCCCATTGCTCCTGCACTAACGCCAACACTATTCTTTGGCTTCTCAAACACTAGCTCAGCCTTGCCATACTTTCTCTGCTGTGGATTGGCCATTTGATGCTCTGGGAAGTAGACGTTGAGCGTGCGCTTGTTGGGTGACACCTTCTTGTACTCGGACGATGTGGTCGTTTGTCTGTTTGGTGACATCCACTCGGGTAGCCTCCTGTTGCGCTTGTCAGGTGAGTTGTTGATGATGTTCTCAACTTTGTTGGTGGTAGGGTTCTCCGATAAGTTGACATTACAATGATACAGCAGTGCTACGATGTGCTTGCACTTGCCATAGGTCCTCGTTCCATTTGGACAACTACAGTATGACTCGAGTATTGGTGACGTAGTGGTGTTGCCTCGAACTCTGTAGCGCACCATCAGACTGTAGGGCTGTGGTGATGTGCCCCTACACTGTGCCGCCACCTTTATCGATGGTGACGAGTAGTCTGGCTCCATTGTGCTGATATCAATATTACTCAGTCTTGCCTCCTTGTAATATGATTCGCCACGATAGACACTTGGCTCATCGATACCAAAGTCCACCATAAATCTGTTTGTGACCCAAGGTAATATCTTACCACCGTTGGCTGATGTGTCGATTGGCGGTGTTTGATTGCTTGGCTCTTGTGCACGGTCTGGCTCGTTGATGACTGATAAATCGTTGTCGTCGGCAATGTCATCTTGAGAAACAGCTGCTGACTGTCTGATGTGGTCTTCATGTGGGAAGAATACACCATGTCGTTTGCCAGTGGGCATATGTTCCTCTGTTGTTGACTTCTCATTCGTGTTGGCTTGAACTCTCGCGAATAGTGGCATGCCCTTCTCTGGAACAAAGCCATCAATATCATCATAAGACACGAACTGTATATTCTCCAAGAATGTTGGGAAGCTACCAAGGTTATCAATACACTTTGATCTACAATATGTTGATCGATGTTAGAAACGAATATGATCGAGTGAATGTGATTGATTGATTGAATACTTACAACTTTGTTTCCACACTCCAGGTCGAACCTTGGAAGAACTTGGACGCCAAACAGACTTGGAAAGGTAGGGTCGCGCTGAACTTGATGTCTTGGTCGTCCACGACCACGATTGATCCTTGAAGGGATAGTCGATGTCTGTATTGGGCCATGGCAAACAGTCCAAGATTGGGGAATCGATAAAAGTCATTGCCAGGCACCAATGCAGGCACGGACAGATAGTAGACTGGGAATGAGATCTGATCGGATAGTGTCTTGATACACTTTTTGATCTCCTTGCGATAGTACTCCACAGTGATTGGGTCGTTAAAGTCCACTGACGCGGGATATAGTGCCACCTCATCAATGAGCAATACAACGCGATTCTGTCCAATGGACTTATAACTGGTGGTCCACTCTCTGATTGCAATGTCAATGTTATCGCGCAACTGAACCGCGTACTTGAACTTGAGAGTGCCTGGTGGCAACTTGAATGTTGACTGTTGCGTGCGATCGGCGAACCTGAGGATGGCGCGTGCGTCCAAGAACAACGCCACGTTGGTCAGCTCCTTCTTCTGAGCCGCGTTGTGCTGGTTCAGAATGAGGGGCGTGGTGACATCGCGCAACACGCAGAATCCCTCGCGCTTGTTTGGAACGTGGTACTCTGCCTTGAACTGATCGTAATCCAGTGGTTTGTAGTGTTCGATCGCCGAGGGCAGTTGGGACATTGCGCGCTCGCAGTAGGCCCATGCCGTGGCCCATTGGACCTGCTGCTCGCCGCCCGCCGGGATGAAGTTGAGCACTGATATCCTTGAGATTGGCACGTTGGCCTTGAGCAGCGCCTGGACATAGGATGTGCGCACTGATTGCAAGTGGTTGGTGTCGTCAATCACAACACTCTTGCCATCCAACAATGTCTTGATCACATGATTCTGAATGACACTTCTGAAGGATGTATCGCTGTCCTTGTTGAATAGCTCTGTTGCCGATATCCTGACATGTGAAGATTGTAGATTCTGATAATAGTAATAAGTGCGACCTGAGCATGGTGGACCAATCAATATTATCAATTCAGGTGCATCCTTCTCTATTCTAAGTAACTGTTGTTGTTGTTGTGATTGTGATTGTGATTGTGATTGTTGTTGTGACGGTGATGTTGATGATGATAAAGTTGTTGTTGTTGTAATTGTTGTTGTTGTGGTTGATGTTGATGTTGATGTTACTGTTGACGATGATGAACGAAGTTGAGGTAGAGGTGGAGGTGGTGGAGGTGTTGAAGGTTGGTCGAATGGGTCGTCCAAAGGTGTGAATTGAAAGTCCAATGAAGATGATATATCGTCTGCCATGATCATTATGTATCTGTATATGTGTATCTGTATGTATGTGTATATATATTATAAATAAATAAGATTAGATTAAAGTTAGAATGGCAACTTCTTCATTTTTGGGAACAGATATTAGGGATGTTTCGTCGTTTTATTGGAAAACCATGGTTTTTTGAATTTGAATTTGAACAAGCTCTTCCACAACGGAATAGTTAGGTGGGGGTAAATGAATTTTTTTTGAACTGGGGTTTGAGTGGAGATCAATCCATCCCATCCATTCATTCCTTTCTAATTGCTTACACAACAACACGTGATTGGTGAGACCAAGACGTCAAAGTTCATCATTCATTTCATTGCTTTGTTAACAAATATAATACATTCATATAATACATCAAATATACACACCTGTATCATAAATAATCATCTCATCATCGTTGTATATTACATATATTTATCTTTCAATCACTTCAATTATTCATTCATTCATTCATTCATTCATTCAATTAAGTAGTAGTAGAAATAGTAATAATACTGTACAATCAAACAATCAATGTCAGATGTCAATGAATCGAGCAATGCTCCACCAGCTATCAATGTAGATAAACCAACTGCTGGTGTTACCGATGTTGTCGGACAACAAACAGGTGGTCGTAGTAACAGTACTGGAGGAGGAGGAGGAGAACAATCATCAACATCATTGAGTGCATCGGGTACCAGTCATCAAAGACAACAGAGTTCTACAACGACAACGACAACAACTACACCATCATCATTATCATCTTCTGTCAACAACAACAACAGTGCCTCAACAACAGTACTGTCATCAATAGATACCAAACGAATGATACAGACATCACTAAGTAGCAATGATATATCATTCTCACCAAGCTTATCTCCGCCACCGCCCAACGCAGGTGCATCACCATCGATCGCGCCCAAGAAGAAGACAATCGACGACTTCACCATTGGCAAGGTGTTGGGTGAGGGCTCGTACGGCGCCGTCGTGCTGGGCACCGACAAGGACACAGGCGTCCAGTACGCCATCAAGATATTGGAGAAGAAGCACATCATCAAAGAGAACAAGGGCAAGTACGTCCAGATCGAGAAGGAGATCCTCTGTCGCTCCAACCATCCCAACATCTGTAAACTATTCTTCACCTTCCGATCAGACAACTGTCTATGTATGTACAATCACGTGACCCGATTGATCAGTCGATCACTCACTAACTCAATCAATCAAACATGAAGACTACGTGCTCGAACTATGCTCTCAAGGTGATCTGTTGCATCATATTAGAAAGGTTGGATCGTTTAATTATGAGTGTACAAGGTTCTACACGGCACAGATTATAAGCGCGTTGGAGCATCTACATGGTCTGCGCATTGTACATCGCGACCTGAAGCCAGAGAACATCCTACTCTCTGATGACATGCATATTAAGATCACAGACTTTGGTACTGGCAAGATACTTGGCAATGACAGTAACAACAATCTTAATAATAGTAGCAGTAGTGGTGGAGGAGGTGGTAACAGCAACAGCATTAGCAATAGCATCAACAATAGTAGTGCCAATGGTAGTGGAAGTGGAAGTGGCGGAAACAGCAACAGTGTAAATTTGGATGTGAGTGGCAATGGTGGCGAGTTGATACGGTCCAACTCCTTTGTCGGAACAGCAGAATACGTATCACCAGAGCTGATAAACAACAAGGAGACATCGACTGAGTGAGTATCCCTTGGCGCCACGCTCCCGGACATATACGCGCGCAGCCACTAACACCACTCTTACCCTACACTTGGATGACGCCGACAACAGATCTGACTTGTGGGCATTGGGCTGTATTATATATCAACTGAGCACTGGACGCCTACCGTTCAGAGGCAAGACAGAGTTCTTGACATTCCAAAAGATCTCGAATAGGGAGCTGGTCTACCCGACCAACATGAACGCGGTGATCAAGGACCTAATCGAGAAGCTGTTGATTGTCAAGCCAACAGACAGACTGGGCTCACCGGCAATGGGCAGCTTTGCCAAGTTGAAGGAGCATCCATTCTTTGAGGGTGTCAACTGGGACACGCTGTCCAAGCAGACGCCTCCACCCATCGTGCCACCCGTCGAAAAGATCATCTTTGACGACGACCTCTCATCGTCAGCAAACAACTCATCAGCAGGTGGCAATGGCAATGCTGGTGCCAGCTCAAACAATCTGCAGCAACAACATGCCAACCCAACACCAGGTCCAAGCCTATCACAGCAACAACTTGCCGAGCGAACCAAATGGGCACAGTTCCTTCAGTCTGGCGAGACAATCATTGAGAGTGGATTGGTTTGGAAGAAGAAAGGATTCTCAATCAAGAAGCGTCAGCTGATACTCACATCACAGCCCAGGCTCATCTATATCGATCCCAAGAAGATGGAGCTAAAGGGTGAGATACCCTGGTCTTCATCCCTAAAGCCCGAGGCCAAGAATAACTCAAACTTTATCATCCAAACTGTATGTCCTTATACCTTTCATTCAACTTCAATCAATCAATCAATCAATCCACTCACTCACTCACTCACTCATTCCATGTACTCAATCAATCAAATAGCCAAAGAGAAAGTATTTATTAGAAGACGTTGATCATAACTCACAAAAGTGGATAGATGCTATATCATCTACATTGTCAAATGTAACCATCCATTAATTCACTCTTGGCCAAGGACATCCTCGTCCACCTCCACTTCCTTCTTTCATCAAGTCTGTCTCATCACACGAATTGGGAATTGGAACAGGTATCAAAGAGAGACATACATGTGACTATATGGTTGATCAATAAACCAGCTCATATATATACATATATACATATAGAATGTACATTCACCTCTATCCATCTCCATCATGTATCACTCCAACCAATCAATCCAAGGTAACGTTGTTCGTTTTTCAAAAGGGGACTCTTTAATTAAATTGATTTTTTTATGTTTGTGGTGGAGTGTGTGTGTGAGAGTGGAGGAGACTCGCGAGACCAACCTTCGCCAGCCAATCCAACCCCTATCAATGAAGCTCCAACATTGATGAGAAGGTTAGTCCCTTATTGTTGTCCACACACCTCATATTACAGGTATGATCATATATCAATCACAGCATGCATCATTCATGAACAGGTCAATCTCCATCATCATAATGCGATTGCGATAACTTGCTGAACTCGATCGTTCACATGACAAAGATAGACGGATACAGGATAGAGACATCAACCGTATCAATGATGTAGAGACTATGGATGATGGATGATGATGATGATAATGAGACAGACAAAAGACAGATGCACACATCTGGATGATAGAACAGCAAACAACAGACAGACGATAGATACAGCAACAGACAACTAATCGATACTTTATCACATATACATAGAAATGGCCAAAGCAAAGAACCACTCGACCCATCACCAGAACTCCAAGGAGCACCGTAACGGTATCAAGAAGCCAATTGTCCACCGCAAGACCTCCTCCAAGGGTATGGACACCAAGTTCGTGAGAAACCAGAAGTTTGCTCGCGTTGGTGTTAAGGCAAAGAGATACGTTCGTGGAGACTTGCAGGAGCAGAAGCCACACAAGAACCCAAGAAAGTCTGCCAAGGCTATCGTTTCCGAGCTCAAGGCCAAGCAGGCCGCCGCCAAGAAATAAACGGATCGCCATCAATGTTCTTTTCCCTTTGTCACAAGGGACCCATTGAGTGATATATAGTATGAGAGGTTCAACAACAAACATCAAATATAATTGTGTATCATTTATTTGATTGATTGATTTATCGCGTGTCGATCGTGTCGATTGGATTGATGTCCAATCAATCATGATTGGTCTGGTCGTGCAAACGCCATCTCTTTGCCAAAGTTTGGCGCGCTCGCCAGACGCTGTCCACACGAGCGGAAACACAAAAAACCGAACAAATTGAGGAACGGCTCGTCATTCTCTTTATTACTCACACACTTTGATCATGTACTTATAACTTATTTATTTATTAATATAACAACAACAATGACAACAACAACTACAACAACTACAACAACAAATAATACAACAACAAGAACATTATTGGTCAAACGAAGTAGAGACCAAGTTGAATTTAACACAAGTGGCGATGACCATGAGGATGATGAGTTTGCGACCAGTGACGCAGTAGATGATACGGATGCAGACTCAAAGTCTGCAACGATGGTGAAGAAGAGTGCTACACCATTTGTATGCCCTTATAAATGTGGCAAGGCATTCAATAGACAGGGCAAGCTGGACTGCCACATCAGGACACACACAGGCGAGCGCCCCTACGAGTGCAAGGAGTGCGGCAAGTCATTCACTCGAACACATCATCTCAAGTATCACATGCGCTCGCACACTGGCGAGCATCCATTCCAGTGCTCACACATTGGCTGCGGCGTCAAGTTTGTGCACAAGCATCAGATGGACCTGCACATCCGCGTCCAGCATCTCCAGGAGAAGCCGTTCAAGTGCGACCACGACCCCACCATCTGCCAACTCACATTCCACAAGCACAACCAACTCAAGCGTCACATTGACATGGTGCACTTGAACCAGCTGCCCTACGGCTGCACGTACGAGGGCTGCACGGCGCGCTTCCTCTACCCCTCATACTTGAAGAACCACGTCAACACGGTGCACACCAAGGTCGCCAAGTTTGTCTGCTCGCAAGACGACTGCTTCCAATCCTTCTTCACACATTACGAGCTTCAGAAGCACATCAAGGCCTTGCACAAGAAGGTCGTCCAGACCCATCCCTGTCCAACATGTGGCAAGCTCTGCAAGACCAGGACGCTGCTCAAGCTACACGCAGAGATACACGCGCCATTGAGCGAGCGATACAACTTCCCTTGCGAGTACGAGGGATGCCAGCGAGTGTACGCGGCCAAGAGGAACCTGGAGCAGCACATCAGACAGGTACACAAGAAGACCAAGGTCTACGAGTGCAAGTGTATCATTGGTGGTGGAGATGCTGCTGGTGAACCCATGGACATCACAAAGCCAATGGACATCAATCAAGCGGTGGATCGTCTGAGTGTCCATGTGGACATTCGAAATAACCATGGCACTGGCGCTGACTCTGACATTGACAACGAGACAGACAAAGAGACAGACAAGGAGACAGAGACTGATAGGGAGAACTACAACAACAACAATGATAACAACAACGACAACAAGGTGGTACTATGTGGAAAGAAGTTTGCATCAAAGGTAGTACTGGAGAGACACATTTATAACATGCATACCAATGCAAAGCCAAGAGGTGTCAAGAAGCTAAGAGTGGACTGTATCTATGATCACTTGGTTGGCAAGAATAAAGTGTAGATTTTAAAGAACGATCAGAGCATTGGACAATCAATCAATCAATCAATCAATCATATAGGTTTATTGTTGGTACTGAGTATGGACTAGGACTAGGAGTAGGATAGTTGGGAGGCCGCTGAGTTGGGTACAACAGTAGATTGATAGATTGAGAGGACCTCGTTAGCGGTTCCAGATGAACTCTTCTTCATTCCAATTACTATGTTGTAATTTGGCATTAATGCTTTCATTGCCTCTTTCTGCAACATATCACCAAGTAGATTAAACGCTTCCCATAACTTCTCTTTCAAATCCGACTGATAGTTGATCAAAAATACTAATACTAATGATAATATATAGATAAATCCATAGTTGATATATATTACACGATTGGCTGCATACATTTAAATAGAATATAGTTATAATATATCTTGTTACTAGATATCAGAGCACAAGTTTGCAAGAATGGCTCTAGTTTGAATATGACAAGTTAGTGAAGTCTGATTGGTTGATCATCAAAAACTATTGCTTGAAGATATTTATTGAACTACCAATCAATCAATTCTTCATTCATTCATTCATTCATTCAATCAATCAATCAATCTAGTTCAACATGGTTTTATTTCCAATAAAGATAAGATTGGTGTCAAGTTCTCCAACAGACTCAGTGTTTGAAATGAATGGATTGAACCGTATTAACAAGTATGTTAATAAGGGTTACGGACCAGGCCTCAACATATGGGTAAAGGACAATCCCGGCTTATTGCCAGATATGTTCCGTTTCTACAACTTCCCATACTCAAATGAAGCTGAATTCATTCAACTAGTTGCTTCCAGTGACTTTAGTGGAGGAGGATACATCAACATGCGAACAATGGTCGCTATTATGAACGTTGGTGCAATGCCTACTCTACCTTCACCCGCCCTATGCCAAGCCTTTGCCACTCTTGGATCCTCTCAGATCTACGAAGCTGGTGCCTCTGGTGCAACCAACTATTGTATGATTGGATACAAAGGACAAGCACCGGGATCAGCCCTTGAAACATTTGGTGATGGATCAACTGGAGCTGTCAATCTGACCTCTATGCTCAATAGCTACCACGAATGTACCCGAGTCCTTGGATTCAGTTACAATGAAACAACACTTGATATCATGTTGGGTCACTTGCCTCTCATCCCATACTTTGTCAATCCTCTGGAAGATGGAGTCAATGTTGTCACTCTCAACAGTCAAGTCAACACCCGCCTCAATCAACAGGTAATAACCAACTTCCCAACGATGAACGATGACCCCAATGTCTCCAAGGCACTTGCCCAGTTCATTGACTCCATTGCCAAAGGTACCTTCATAATGATCATCGCTCGTGGACTCAACCTATCAAAGAACAGTCTGAACTCTGATGCCATTCAGAGTCTCCAAAGGTTTGGCAGCAAGTGCATCCTGAACTTCATTCAAAATGACACAAACGATTGTTGGTTCATGCTTTTGAAGATGGGCACTCCATCGATCTACACTGAAATGGCATTCAATCATTCATCACCATGCACTGCCTCAATCCATTACAACTTGATCAACAATGAGTTGATCACTCAGAATAAGACAGTGAGTGATGATGACATCAACATCTACGTTGCAACATCCAATCCCATATATGCTCCCGTTGGCATTCAGAACTTCATCGTCTCAGTTGGAGGCTTGCCCGTCACTTTCCAAAGCAATGCAGGTCTGCTGATGTGTGCAATCAGTGAGGTCGATGGCAAAGTGTACTTTGCTCGCAACTATGATGTCAGCAGTGCATCAGTCAAGAGTACTCTTCAAATGATCGCTGACATCATGTCCATCACAGCTGGTACACTCGTCGTCATCTGCACCGGAGCTCTAAGTCAAGACTTTGCCATCTCAGACAACCTTGCATTCGCAATGACCACATGTGGCAGCAAAGTGACGGTCAACCCAATCACTTCAACCTCGTCGTTCGCATTAATTGGACGAAAGGGAGCACCATCTGGCTCAGTACCCGAGATCCTATCACTCACAGGACCAGTCACACTCTTATCAAACTTCAAGAGACAATTCAAACCTGTCAAGCCATTCGTTCACATCAAGGCTGCATCCAATGCTGTATGTATCCACACTTATTCATTCACTCAATCAATCGATAGATCAATCTCTAACATAATCTCTCATTCAATCAGACACCATCAGTTCCACCAGAGCCTTACATCCTCATCAATGGACTACCTGTATCTGGTACCTTTGGACCTGGTTTGAATGTTGTGGCCATCAATCCAACAAACAGCACGGTGATCATGTCAAACAACTATGACACCACTGATGCCGCTTCCCAACCTCGACCAAGTAGCAAGTTCACCACTGATATCACTGCCCTGCCGCAAGGTACCATCGTAGCATTGTCAACACTTGGGTCTGCGGGCACCTACCTTGGCACTGCCAGAGACACCATCACCAACTTGGTTCCAAGTTGATGACATCTTTCACCTCCAATCAATCATACTGTAACGTCTCAACAGTTGGTCTCAACCTCACAGGTGATACGAGAGTGATGAGTGAGTGTATTGCACCAACCAGTTCGTACACATCATGTGACCTTCGATTCCCATTGAAGTCACTCTACACCAACACTGGTCTGACCTTCTGTGTCACATCTGGACAACAGAGTCGCATCATGGTCAACAATCAATCGGCCCTGCCCACCACAACGAATGGAATCAACTGGTCACTGTCGATCCCGTCAGTGGAGACGCCAGTCCATACTATTTCAACACATCTGGATCGGTTGCACAATGGCAGGTGTTGTACAACTTCATCCAAGCACTCCCAGTTGGTCAGTTTGTCTTGATCTCTGTGCAGCAATCGATGGGAACACCTGCGACACCTCAATCCAAGCGATACCAGATGATGGCATTGACAATGATTGGTGCATGTCAGTTTATCTGTGTTGGACCAGAGTCCACTTACTCTGTGATTGGCACTCGTGGAGCAAGTCCTGGATCAGCATTCGAATCATTCAATGGCAAGAGTATCCAGGTGTGTGTTGGATCATGGGAGCCAAAGACACCGACATCACTGGTGGGCAGCTCACAATATGGAATGATGGACAATGAGGCACCACTCTTCAATGTACCTATGTTGACCAACATGTATCAACATCAAACACCAATGGCAAACATCCCAAGCAACAAAGCATTTGGCAACATCTTCAGAGCTGAGCCAGCATACAATGGGACACTTCTTCACCCAGCTGGTCGTGTCACCAAGGCTCTCTTGGTGGGTTTGTCATATTACAACACAGTTGAACAACCCAGTCAAGGCATCGAGTTTCAAATCCAAGAACATGCTCGCGCGCTGGTCCAAGGTGGATATGTCTTGCCACAGAACATCAGAATGCTCACAGAGGCCTTGACAGAAGTCTCCAACGATGGAACATATGTCAACGGACCATCATGGCTGTGCATCAAGAATGAGATCATCAACTGGTTGGTGGCAGGCGCACAGGCTGGTGACACACTCTACTTTGAGTTCCTCGGTCGTGGCTTCTCGAGCGACACCTACCCATTTGGATTGGTCACCATGAACAAAGACTTCACTGCAGCCGACCACACCAATTTGACCATCGATGACTTCAAGTTCTGCTTCTCCTCACTGGCCGCTGGCGTCAACCTCACATTGTTGGTGGACTGCTCATACTCATCGGAAATGGTGTCAACATGGTCACAAGGTATCCTGTCCCAGACCTCAGGACTGTTTGCCTCATCGCCATACAACATACTCCCACCATCCACTCAACAATCGATTGGACTTACACCAATGGTCACTCGCATCCTCAAAGAGAGTGGATCAACTCAGTTGACTTATAATCAGATCATCGCACAAGCTCAAGCTGAGAAGTAAATTCGTGGAACACCGACGTTGCTCAATGGTGGAGACAAAGTGTTCTTGAGTAATACATCAACACTACAGATCCATCAACATCAATCAACATCTGGCGACGAGTACCAATACCGTTTCACGACCGACACCAACACTGCATACCCATGGATGAACATTCAACCTCGTTGGAACGTTTGGGCATCAGACTGTGGAGTTGGAGTGCCATTGTACCAGTTCTCTGATGACACTGATCAAGATGGTGATGAACCAACCAGATACTTTTTGTCACTGAACAAACATGAACCTGATTGGACATTGATTGGAGTAGTCGGTCATGTGTCACCAGTCCCGGAAACCTGGTGCAACAAACCAATCCATCGATATAGTTGCAAGTCATCAGTCAACAACACCAATCTATTTGCATTTGATTCAGAGGCACCTCTCGCTCATGATAATGGCAATCAAGTATGGGTGGACAATGATGTTGTGTTCTATGTCATCGATCCTGTCCATTTGGAGAAGGAGAAACCGATTGAATATCCAATTGCGAGGATCACCTCAATGATGGGATATTGCGATGATGATAATGATGATAGCTTAGATGGTGCTGGAGCTCAACAACATGGCGATTCAGTGAATGAGACAGAGTCTATAGTAGTTGGAACCGTTTCAAACAACAACAACAACAATACCATATCGCATCAGGACAAGATTGATCAACTCCAAATAGAACTTGATGAGTTGAAGAGGTCGCTGATGAAGGCAAAGAATCAATAATAAATCTATCCCCAGTCCAACATGTTGCAAGCACAAGCAAGACCAGAGCGCTTCTTGGAGATACACAAGAATCATTCAATCAATCACTTATTCAATATTAGATTGTTATTTATACATTTATTTGATAATACTATTCTATCCTGTCTTGGTTTTTGTTGATAGGGTTTGGAATGTGGACTGGGGCAAGGAAGAAACTCCATCCATCGCGGCCCTGGAATGGTATCAGGTGTGGTTGACCAAAGATGTAGATTTCATCTTCACCTTCGATCACAATCGGTTCGTTATTATTCTCCTGGAATGGTATACTAAGGTGTTGCACTGTAGTATTGTAGTTAAATTGTGGATTGAGAAGGGGGCCATTCAGATAGGCAATGGGCTCAATTGTTGTCAAGGAATTGGCTTGGCATACTGGAAGGCCGAAACAAGGTTGGAACTGAGCATTGTTGTCAAAGAACAATCCAGCGTTACAGGAATTGATCAAGACTGTATTGTTGATGCTAGGATCCAAGGTGATGAGTTGTTGGACTTCAGTTCCGAACATGGGTCTGTCCAAGAGCTCAAATGCGTATTGGCCATGATTATCTGCACCGTGACAAAGGAAGAAGGTGTAGTTGACATCACCAGTCCTCTGATAGAGACTCCTAGAGTTCAACTCTCTATTCACATTGACTGACAAAGGCATCTGATCAGTGGTGGTAGTTTCTTCTTCAATCAGCTGGGTGACTCTAACATAAACGACGAGGTCGTTTCGTTCCTGCATCAATGATAGTGCGACTGCATTCAGGTAGTGATAGATGCCTGTCACATGGTTGGTTAACACATCGGCTGCACCTGCGAGCACGTCCTCGCCAGTCCCCAGGTATTGGAGTCCAATGATAAGTGCTCTGAGAGTGATGACAGTGATTCCAGACATGGGCGGGGTCAAGGCACCAGCACTCGAAACTAAGTTTGTAAGCATTTTGGGGGAGAATCCATGGACCCTGTTTGGACTGCTATCCCCACTCAAGTATAGGAGCTGATTGCGGAAGACGTCCACTTGGAATTGGGTTGGCGATGGAGGTTGAGTGGTGGGTGGTAGAGCACCGGTCGGTATCATAGTGGAGTTGGAAACAACTGAAGGTTGTTCATCTTTGGAGATAACCTCGTGACCAGTACCAATTCCACTACCCTTGGTGCCGGTGGCGAAGTAGTATGGCGATACAGCCTTCATTGCTTCTTTGAACATTGAGAGTCCAAGCATGATAAATGCCTCACACAACTTCTCGGTCAACTCTAGCTGGTTGGTGATGGAGATGATCACCACTGCTCCGACTGGGAGATTGTAGATAAGATCGTAGAAGTTGTCTCCAGTTCCAGTGACCTTGAATGACTTGACCTTCTTGACTTGGTCGATTGAATATGTTCCAGGTACTGGGTACACTTTGATGTTATCGATCATAGTTCCAACTGGATTGCCATCAACAGTTATACCATTTGTTGTGACTGTGAGTGATGAGTACAGCTGGGTTGGACTATAGAGCTGACGAACTGGCATTCGGATTGAAGAAATGGCAACTGAGTTCTCGATCGTGTCTCCAGCAGAGTAGGATTGGGCAGGGGTGGACATGTTTTGTTGTCCAATTGGAGAAGCAATGCCAATGATTGAATAGGATGATCCCTTTTGAATGGGATAACCGTAAGTGATACCACCAAGTCGATAGTTGAGAGCAGTGCGTAGTGTTACTGTCATGCACTGGACCCAGTCATTGCATGATCCGATAGCGACAAGCTTGCCAGCTTCAATCGAGTTGATGAAGGTCTCCATTCTGTTAGACTCATCAACTGAGGATCCAGTTGCGAAGGATGCAACTATCTCAATCTCTCCAGTGATAATGTTAATGATCATGACATTGAGGCCAGAGCGATAAGTGAATGGTACTACCTCTCTAGAGTTGAAATAGAGTTTGGTGAAGCCAGAGTTGTCAGTTGGTGATTTTCTCTAGTTAAGTGGTATTCAAAGAGTTAATATACATATACCTCTCAATCAATCAATGATTGGTTTAATCTATCGATTAAGAATACATACACCACTGCTCTCAACTCGAGCTTCTACGAATGGCTTGACACTGTAGTCCTTGCTTGCGAAGTAGGTAAAGAGGGACACTGGTCCCCTAAATGATAGTAGTTCGGGGACTGATCCTGGTGTTGATCCTTTCCTTCCGGCGATGACGTAGGATCCATTATTTTTGAGATTCTTGATCAAGTTGGAACCAATACCTCTATATGCTTCAATAAGTTTGGGGTTCAACGAATCGTAACTGGTTGGGCATGGGGCAGAACAGACTATGACTAGTGAACCAACTGATACATTGAATAAAATGTAGTCCGCAGCATCTGACTGGGTGATTTGATTGGGACCATTTGGTGTGGATGTGTCGAACACTATCTGGAAGTGATCCAATACCACACGAAGTGATTCATCCACAATGGTCATGACAAGTACAACATCTGGAGAGGTGTTGCCGGCCATTGCAGATACTGGTACACCGTTGATGGTAGTACGACAACCATTCTTGCCGTTAGCTCTTGAACATGACCCAACAGACACACTTGTGGAAGGGAAGGTGGTCATGGGTGGGTAGTAGACACCTTGGCAAACGATGTTTGTGCCAGCGCTGGACTCACAACATGATCGGCCATTGGATGATATCATGTACCACTTGTTTTGGTCACTCTGATCAATGAACTGGTTTAGGTATTGACTGCCAAGGGTGTTGTTGATGACATCAACTGATTGCTTGGTAAGTCCAAGGGGTTGACCATCATTGACATTGGCCATCACTATGACAAGTGTGCTGCCATCTTGTGATTGTGACTTTATATGTTGAATGAACTTGTTGTTCTCATCCATCCTGGTGGCATTGTCAACTGCCGTAGTGTTGAAGTTGATGTTGGATACAACTTCAAGTGAGTCCTTGAGAACCACAAACACGTTGAGACCGAGTTTGTACACAAACTCGAAAGGCCAACCATTGATAATGACCCTGGCCGATGAGTTGTTGACCAAGCTCACCGAGAGTTGGTTTGGGATGGTGCAGTCTGGACTGAGGTTCATAATGACACTGGTGCCGGTGATGGTCTCACGTGCAGTGCCCGGGGCCCATCCTTTGAAGCCACACACCAAGTAGAGCGATGTAGTGGGGGCAGTGAGTTGGGTGACCTGGACAGCGCCAATTGCGGAGAGTGCTCGGAAGAGAGGGTCGGACACATATGAACCTTTTCTGATGGATATCGCAACAGCTGTTCCACCTGGAAGGGAAGAAATATTATCCAATACTGTTTGGCCATCAGCCTCTGATTGCAATCTTAGGCTCATGGCTCCCCATGGTGATCCAGAATTTTTTTGACTCCAGAACAAATTGCAGTCTGAGCTTACTGTTGGTGTGATGGCAATTCCATCGTATATTATGGCTCCGTCGATACAACTAATACTTGAACCCTGTCCCATTATAATAATAATAATAATAATAATAATAATAATAATAATAATAATAATTAATAAGTAAATATAAGGATATATTTAGTAGTTATAACAATGTTATTGTTGATTTTGATATCCAAACATTGATTAATTGGATGTCAATTTATACCTTGTTACTTTGTCGATCTATGTGGATCTTTGAAGTATGATACTCAACATGATTTGTCAGGTTCTCAATTGATATTGGTATTGGAATTGTAGACAAACTCAGTTCATAATTTGTTCTTGGTCTTACAAGAATGTTGATCAAAGTTAAAATTTGAGTTTTTTGTTTCTCGAAACGAACGACAAAGTCCGATACCATTTGGAACAAATCCCCATATTACGGGGGGCTATCTATATATAAACTTGAGTACAATCTCAAATTACGTTCACTCAAATTTTCATACATCCCATTGATTAGGACTTGTCATTGGAATTAATCAATAAGAGACTTCTGTGAACAGACAGTGTGGTGGATGGGACTCGCGGAAACCCATCAATAATCCAAATCTCAAGTTGTTTCGACGACAACAAACTAATCTTTCAATTCCTCTTTTCAATTTATAAATTGATTCGTCATCACTATTGATCAACAAATTTGAGTGTGACGCATGTCACTTTTCTAAATTAAGAAAATTCAACAATGCAATGTTACATGGATACCGCCCGTCATTCTCCTTTGATTCCTTTGAAACACTCTTCGAAAAACGATTGTATTCCAAAGGTGAGAGTGTGTGATTGATTGAGTATTGTCCTCCTGATTCAAGTTCGTGACAAAGTTTTGAATTTTGAATTATGAAGTTTGAAAGTTCAAATTTGGAAGGATAGAATGGAAATAATTTTATTTATTTATTTTTATTGGGCACAAAATAAAATATTATTAAATATGAAATATATTTTGTCTGAATAAATAATATTACATTTATAAATTGTTTATTTAATCGGATGGATGGTCCATATCATCATCATTTTCATCATCATCATCAAAAGTATCATCGCYAGACTCATCATCGCTCAATAACTCATCAAAAGTTATTTTGCGGGAATAAGGAGTAGGTCGAGTGTACCTGCTCTGGTTGCTTTGGATGATGCTCCTGCCTCTGCTACTGGAAAGGCTGTTGATACTGCTTCCAGGTGTTACACCAAATAACAAGTCCATGTCTGTTTGTTGATAGGAATCTTTGACATGATTCACCAAACTGGCGATCATTGTTGTGACGACTTGTCACATACGATTCACGATGTGTCACCATGACTCATACATTCTATCATTGCTGAGTCATCATCCTGGAATCTACAGAACACTATTCCATGTTCCATCTAATCAGTATATATACATCATTCATAATACACTAATAAAGCGGGCATTCTATACATTATACAGTTATACATATATATATATCTATATTTGTTATACTTTTTTATATTTTATTTTTTTTATTTGAAATATTTTTTATTTTGTTCCAACAATATTTATATATTTATATATATTTTCTTTGATAAGAAAGTGGAGAGACTCAATAGATACGTTGCTAGACGCAAAAGAGAACTAGGATTAATAATGAACAATAATCAAGCCTTGCCCCAGGCTCAACCAGTACTACAGCCAGTACAACAGGAAGCACAACCACAACTGCCAGCACA